TGTGCTCAGAGGATGTGATATAAGAGCTGCACTGAGTTTGCTGCTGGACTTTGCAGCTGCAGAGTTTACGTTCTGGATAGTGTTGCTGTGAACTGCTGGAGCTGTTTACATCAAATCAACATGAACAACAATGAACAGGGATAAAAATGATCACTAACTAGCCTCCTGGATCAAACTGAGGACTACTGGACCTGAAAGAACTGCAGAAGAGGCAAAATTCAGACTGGATCCTTCCTATGGGACACCTATGATTTGTTCTTATCACTGTTTACAGATACTTTGTCCAAAAAAAAGCTTAGATAGTTTACAAAGACGTAGAATAATCAGGGAAAACCTGCATGCTAGTCCACCAGGGATGGTTTAGAAATCAGGGTAGAAATCTGTCCATTTCTAGAACAAATCCTGTGACATTTGGTGTGAAGGTAGGACCTGATCTCCACCCTGAGATTTCTCCTGTCTGTACATTTGTCCCACAGCCACTCCAGCAAGTAAGCAACCATCGTGTTTGACTCATGTACGTTTGGCGTGTAAAATGTGGCTGCTGAACTGGTCTCTGGTTTAGACAGACGTGTTGATTTACTGTCCCGTTTCTACTGATGAATGTAAAATAATGTAGAATGTGTTCTGCCATCACAAGTGCTGTCCTCTGCTTTCACCGAGATGCTTTCACAACACTCGTATACCCATTTTGCATCCCCAATCCCCCTGCAAGCATTTAGTGTGCGACAGTAAGCATTTAATTTCATGCATCCAGGGATGCAGAACGGTGCAAATGTAAGAAAACACTTCACTAATCCACAGAAGAGCAGCTTTCACTCTCAAGGTGTCGTAGTTTGTGATCATCAGTGCAGATTTAAATCTTTTCTGGTATCTGTAAACCGCCGAGTATTCTGCTTTTTTCTCCTGTTTTCACCTTCAGCAGCTTTTAACAGCTTTTAGTTTTAGATTTTGACGGAGGAAGTGTAACAATACACTCTCCTGAAAACTCTCTGAAATCATTACACAGAATTAGTTTTCACACGTTTGAATCACCGTCCCCTGCAGCAGAATAAGTTTGTAAAGTGGGTAGATTCAAAGTATTCTGTATTATTGCAAATTAACAAGCTGATGTCACTTAATGCTCGTTCACAATAATGTTGGTAAATCAGTTTATCATGGAAAATATCAGAACTATAAATTCTTAAGGATATATTGCAGCAAATTTGTTCTTCTTTGTTTTGTTTTCTGCTGACGAGACTCAAAATGGTCAATCCTATTAACATCGCACTAACAAATAATCCTAAATAAATCAAATAACAAAAATGATTTCATTTCACTCTAATATTGAAAAATAGTCCATTTAGATTTTCAACTCAAACCCAATTGAGTTTAATTGGAGGTAATTTTTCACAAATTTAGAAATGGTGTAAATGCATGCAAAGGTTTGAAATTAATGCTATACTGGGTATGTGCCGCAAATAAACAAAAAGAGCCGAGACAAAACAGACACGCTTCAAATAAATGCGCATAGCAAAGCCACCGACACACAAACACAGAAGACAAGTTCAGAAGAAGCACACTGCAAATACAAATGACAACGGGTGAACAAGAGACCTGCAGGGGGCGCCCAGTGGAACAGTTCATGACATTTTCTAATTTACAGGAAATAGTGAGGAAGAAGAGGTAGTGATCATTTATTAGATCACATATCAATAGACACCGCTGAGCAGAGAGTCTGTGAGGGTCAGACGACCATCACTTGGCTGACAGAAGGGGTGAGCAGGGGAGCGTTTCAATCTAGAGTCTGACAGCCATATCTTTCGTTAAATATTCCAAAATCTACACACGGTACCTTTAACTGGACGGCAAACAGTCTGTTCCACTGAGCACCACCTGCAGGCCTTGTTGCACTTTTATTGTCAGTTTTTCTTTGCGTATGTTTCCTATGCGTATTAGTTTTTAAAATTGCACAGTTGCTGTATTTGCAGTCAGTTGTTGTTGCCTCATTTCCCCTGTTTCGTTGGTTTTGGCCTTTTTTTAAATCTGTTTTTGAACTTGTGTTTCTGTATATGCAGCACATTTCTCCTAATGAAGCCCCTTCAAGGCTGTTTCATATCCGTAAGCCTTTTTGGCCACATACTTTCTGTGATGGAATGGCATTGCGGAGTAAACCTGAAATCTATAGAAAATAGCGACGTGAGGTAAAAATTAAAAGTGCACAGAACAAAAAGGGGAAATGACTGAAGAAGACTGAGAAAACGTTTTCAAATCTTAATTTTAATGCATTTGGTCACTTTGGGACTCCATATTGTGCAAAATTATTCATTTGTGAGCCCGAAAATGTCATTGTTGTCCTGTGAAATAAATGCAGCCCATGCAGATAAACATGGCAACCTAAACTCAGCTGTTAGTCTAACCAAGCTTCCATAGAAACAGCTACAATCTCACAACTCTCTCTTCCTTCAGTTTATGCTTTAAAAAGTGCTCTGACATTACATCAAAACACAAATGTACAACTTATCTGCATTATTTTTGTAGACATATGCTGGTTTTTTGCACTGATCACCAAAATTTAATACTGTAAAGAGCATTCAGACCTTCAGTCACTCGTTCACCTCACCTGAAACAAAGCATTAGGCCTGTAGTATTTTAGCCTAGCACTCAGGGCGTACATGGAGATAAACCCAGCCTTTAAAACATGAAACATTTCAGCAGAATATTAACTGAGCTCTTATTCATATTTAAAATGCTCATAGTTTTCTGTAAGGAGAATCATTCACCTGCAGCATCTGGAGCAAGAATTTCTTCATTTTAACATCATCGACCATCTAAACCTTTCAAATGCTCAAACTAACACTGGAAATAATCAGATTTGATATTGCAGTAGAGCTGTACAGTATGTAAAGAACTTTTTCCCCCTGTTTAAAATCAGAACTGCTTCACACCTGCTGACTGTTCATATTCATTAGTTATTGCCATGACAACAGTTTTAACTCTCTCTGAATAAAAAGCTGATTTGCGGGATGCTTGAACAATATTACACAATCACAAGTTGACAAAAACATATCTAAAAATATTGTATGTAATGCTGAGGACCTGTGGTTCATTTTACATAAGAAAGTTTATATTGAGGAAGAGAGTCTATGTCAATGCTGATGGTCCAGGTGTTTGTTTCAGTCCCAATCCCACGATGCATCTGTCATGGCTTGTCGGGCCGCGTAGCACTGTGGTGGCTCCTGTTGAATGCTTCTGTGCTGTATCCTGCTGATGTTCATGCTGAGCTTCGTCCTTAGACACATTCTGCTGATGGCTTCATGTTGTGTGTGAATCAGCACATGTCTGTATATTCTGCCTCTTCTTACTCCATCAACCTGCTGGTTTGTTACTCTTTACTAATAAACAACCTGCTTGTTTTCTATCCTTTCCTCTCTTTCTGTCTTTCTCTTTCAAAACTTCAAAACTCTGTGCAAAGTGCTGGTTTTAAACTACTGTATAGGCAGACGTTATGCTGCGTCTGAGTTACCTCCGAAGTCAGATGTCCGAGCTGAAAATGACATCACACCCAAGTTCCCAGCGTTTCAGTTACCAAGTCGGAAAAAAGCAAAATCGGAGGCGGAAACAAGATGGCTACATCTACGAAAGTTATTTTAGCGCTTGTCTTGTCCGAATATAAGGCAAGCACTAAAATAACTTTCCTAGATGTAGCCATCTTGTTTCAGGCCTCCATATTTGCTTTTTTCCGACCCTTAACTGAAATGCTGGGAACTCAGGTGTGACGTCGTTTTCAGCGCAGACTTCTATTGCTGGGTTCGAGTTACCTCCGAAGTCAGAAGTCCGAGCTGAAAATGACCTCACACCCAAGTTCCAAGTGTTTCAGTTACCAAGTCAGAAAAAAGCAAAATCGGAGGTGGAAACAAGATGTTTATTTTACGAAAGTTATTTTAGCGCTTGTATTAAATTCGGACAAGGCAAGCGCTACAATAACTTCTGTAGATGTAGCCATCTTGCTTCCGCCTCCGATTTTAGCTTTTTTTCATCTTGGTAACTGAAATGCTGGGAACTCCGGTGTGACATCAATTTCAGCGCAGACGTCTAATGCTGCGTTCGAGTTGCCTGCGAAGTCAGAAGTCCGAGCTGAAAATGATGTCACACCTGACTTCCAAGTTTTTCAGTTACCTAGTCAGAAAAAAGCAAAATCGGAGGCCTGAAACAAGATGGCTACATCTACGAAAGTTATTTTAGCGCTTGCCTTGTCCAAATTTAAGGCTAGGTAACTGAAACACTGGGAACTCGGGTGTGACGTCATTTTTAGCTCCGACATCTGACTTCTGAGGTAACTCGAACGCAGAGTGTTACAGTTTAACTTGCCAGTTTTACCATGTTGCTATAACAACCACTGCAGCGTTTTACTGTATGTCTTCAGTAAGCAGGGTAACTCCTTCATCCATAACACATGTGGTCCAATTTTCACTGCTTATAAATCAAAGAACTGTAAAATGGCCACAGTTTGTCAAATTTTTCATGGTTTATACAGTTTATGGTCTGAAACACAATGAATACATGATCATAAACAAGTTTACCTCACTGAGTGTTATCTCACCAGGAAGTGCCTGCTGCTGTAGGAAAAATGGTCTGTAATTGAAAAACAAGCAAAAGTCATGTTTTATCTATAACTAAGAAGAAATGACTCCTTCATCCTTTTGCACACCACCTTTTTTTCAATGAACCTATCCCACACACTGACATACTCTCTCGCTCTCTCTCTCTCTCTGTCTCATAAATACTGCCATGCTCACAGGTCAAAGCATCATGCTGACCACAGCTATTTCACACACACATACACACAAAGCTAAAAACACAACAGGAGGTTGTGTGTGTGTGCGTGTGTCAGTGTAGTCACTCTGTCATGCCATCGCAGCAGGTTGACTTCTGAGGCACAAAAATAGCTCCAGTTTATTAAAACCCTGCTGGTTATCCTGAGACTGAACGTGTTTGTGCTGCCTGAGCTGGAGTTTAATCAGATGGCAGGAAATACTGAAGAGAGTGTAAGAGGGAGAAAAAGTGGACTTGTCCATGTTGAGGTGAGTTTTTGAAATGTGTTTCCTTCTAAATGCTACAGAGAATATTTTTTAACAACTCAGACATAAAGTAGCTGAGTAGCTGAGCTGCTGTTGGACAAATTTCTCTAAAAGGTTTGTCTCTTCTGTTGTTGCTTTAAATCTAAAGCGAAAGTCTGACTTCCTTCCTCTCCATATAGATCCAGCACCCATCATCTACTTCCTCCCCCTCCTCTCCAGCACCGTCTGTATGGCAGGACTTTGGGAGGAAGGTGAGACTCTTGCTGCCGTACATCTGGCCCAAAGGCTCAGCAGCTCTGCAGGGTCTGGTGCTGCTGTGTTTGGGCCTGCTGGTCGTAGAGCGGCTGGTTAATGTCCTGGTGCCTGTTTACTCCAAGAACATCGGTAAGAAGGACGTCCGCATCTGAGAATAAACATGTACAGTAGATTGAAAGTGCAAGCTCCGGTGAAGAAATGTGAGCCAAATGCAACACATAGTGGAATACATCTGGATTTTCTCAGACAGTTTAGTGCAAAAGTTGTACCACATGTTAAGAGTATTTCATCCCGGGTCCTTCAACTTTGCTGCTTTGTGAGACGTCATATCTCCATAGATAAGGTTAAAAAGAACCTAATTTAAAGCAGTTGTTAAACTGATTTATTGCACTTTTACCCTTAAAACACTAGAGGGCAGTGTGTTCTAGTTTTTTGAAGTGGGGTTCCCCTTTTTTAATCAAGTCTGATGATAATCTTTTTATCCTCCAAATGTATTCACATCCTCAGGGATGTCTTCCTAGTGAGGCAGCAGACAAATTGGATTGATTGGATATGATTGAACATTTTGTTTTCCAATCAGTCTGACTGCCAAAATACCCATGACAAAAATTAACCTTTAGATAAGACCAGCAGGTAAGAGAGCAACATAACGCTCAATGGTAACAGGGAGGCGTTGTTGTCTGAGGAGCCTCCCTGAACAGGAGTGAACAGTTAAAGGCTCTGATGGAAATTTTGAATTAACATTTGTCAACATACAGTATGTGAAGAATGAAAAAACTATGAGATTTGTAATCAGGATAAGGCAGTGACTGAACCTTGTCACCTTAGCTTGTTAGCGCCTGAGTAGGGCTGAGCAATAAACCGAAAATTTACGACAATAACCGAAGTCATTTTGTTCATATTCGGTGTCAAAAAATGAATAAATAAAAGTTGGTTTTGGATGTGTGTAGGTAGGCTATGGTCTCATGCCGCTTTAAGACGCTGTCGTACATCAGAGACGTGACTCCACCCCATCTAGTCCGTAACAAAGAGGGAGAGACAGGTGAGGAGATGGAGGACGGTTCAAAAGTTGTAGCTGCTGAAGTAGACAAAGTTAATGTGGGAGGGGGTGAGCAGCTTGAGGAGTAGTTATTGTCCATTTATCGTTATCGAGGTGAACTGCTCAATATATCGTGATATTGATTTAAGGCCATTTCGCTCAGCCCTACACCTGAGTTAGCTGTGTAAAATCTCATTTCCAGCCCAGCAGAGGTGTACAGAAGGCTGGTGACACAGTTTAAACACAGACCCTGTTTTCTGTTTGTTGTCTCACTTCTGGAAAAAATCAGGATTAAAATTCAGTCATTGATGAAAAATCTGTCTGTTTGGAACATCCTCAATTTAAAGTGGGTGGAGTGGAAAGATGTCCTTGATAACATATTACACTCAAGATGTGTCCTCCAAAAACATGATGAGGATCTAACATCACATAATCTAAGTAAGGTGTTTTTAAAAGTGAGATTCGACAGAGACTTTAAGTCGATTTGTTAACAGCATGATTTGATGGGAATCACTGCAGCAAACTATCTCAGCTCTACTCTGCTGGACCTAAACCCAGAATGAAAGCAGTGACTTTGACCAAAATTATATGGCATGTGAGTATGCTTAAGCTTAGTATGATAATCACATGCAAATATCAGAGATATGGGTGGGCCATCCAGAGATCTGGAACAAGGTTTACTTTTGCTTCCAAGGAAATTTTGATCCGTGGTCGGCTGAGAGACCAAAGAGATCTAATTTCAGCCATAAAGCATCCAAAATTAGCATAACTGAAGGAAGAAGAAACATAAACTTCAGATTTAATGTTCAATGAATGTAGATCAGAGAGGTTTAAAAGAGGAAGCAACCTTCACATTTTAGAGGCAGTGTCATCATTTGCCAAAGTCTTTTGTTGCTAGTTTTGTACCCAGGACTGCATCCACCTCAAGGCAACAACCCAGAAGTCTCCACTTCAGAGGAAGTCAGCATTCAGTTTGTCTTCAGCTACTTTCCCTGCTTTAGAAAAAAAGAAAACTGCCCATTTGGCTTCTGGAGCGACATGAAAGTCTGAGCCAGTGCAGCCAGAATGAAGCCCAGCGCGGCTTTGTGTGATGAGGAAGGCGTGGAAGAGGCTTCAGAGGGGGGTGTTGTTGTTGGTGTGTGTGTGTGTCTGTGTATGTGTGTGTGTGAGCAGAGGGTTTTCTGGGAGGTCACCCCTCCTGCCAGTCATGCTTAGCAGGCATTAGCGGCCTTTTTCGTGGAGTTAACACACCGGTACAACGGACGTTTTGTCTCTGGGTGCGACCCCGCCTCTCACCCTCCAACTCCAGGACCCGATGCCAAAAAGCAGAAAATACCCCCTCGCTAAAAACACACACACTGGAAAGTTCAAGAAAGTAGAGAACACATAAATCTCTTTTTATTCCACTTCATCTTTTATTGAATTATTTTTGTTATTCTTTTCTTGCTATTTCTCATGTTGTCTTGTGTTTTTCTCCTCCCCTTATTTCCCTCAGTTTCTGTTTTTCATTTCATCCTGATTCCCAGCACTCGTCCCAAAAGATAATGAATTTAAATGAGACCAGAGGAAGTCTGTAGACCAGAGGAAGAGGAGTGTGTGTGAATATGTCACGGCTGTGTGTCAAATTAGAATTATTATTGCTATTATATTAAAAAAATGAAGGACAATGTTTTGATTTGTGCGTCAACAGTGAATGAGCTCTCTGCAGGAGGTGGCTGGACTTCATTGATTTCCACAGTCTGTATCTACACACTGCTCAAGTTCCTGCAGGGTGGAGGAGCAGGTGTGTCAATGCACTGAAAAATTAGTGTGTGAATGTGTTGATGACTTTTATTAGTATCTGCCTTTTTGATAAAGAAGCAGAACCAGACTGACATTTTCCCTCATCTTCTGTTTCTTGTAGGTACATCAGGTTTCATCAGCAACCTGCGTCAGTTCATGTGGATCAAAGTTCAGCAGTTCACCAGCCGAGGCGTTCAGGTACCACGAGCTGCTCTTTGACCTCATCTGTCATGATATTTTTACCTCAGGATTAATGAGCTCATAAAATACCATGTTTGTTTTTTTTCCTGTTGTCCTCGTGTATTCACGGTTTAGCTCCTCAGTTCTGTTTGTAGTGTGTCCTGTTTTATTTTGTAAAAATAAATGTTGACATGTAGTTATTGTAAGACTGGTTTGTGCGCAAGTCCTCTTTTTTCTGTAAAGCTCCGTTTTTAAAAGTTATTAGGGGGTCTGAGTTTTCTTTGATTGACACTTGATACAGCCTATGGGCTTTCGCTGAAATACAGGGAGCTTTTTCGGCTTCAAATCCGTATACTGGTGGAAGGTGGAACCTAGTTGTCCATAGTATATACAGTCTATGGTTACACCTGTGTCTTATACCTCACCAGTCTCTGTATCTCCCTCCTTTTTTCTATTTCTGGTAGATTTTAAGTTATTGAACTGAATTGTCTTTAAATGTTGGTTTTAAAAAGTGTTAAATATCTAGTAGAGGGCTGCTATAGCTAGCTAGCTAGCAGCTGCTACTTCTTTGCTTCTCCAATTCATGATCTGTGGTGAGTATGGACATGTGGTATCACCTTATGCTTCTTTATTAGCATTATATTATTTCATTCATCAAAAGGATAGTTACTGTCAAAAAAAAAAAAGAAAATGTAAATAAATTGCCTTGGCGATGCATGACAGTAGCAGTCTGTAGCACTTGTGGTTTCCCTCTGTCAAGATCTTTGCTTGTGTTGTACTTGCTCTCAGATGTACATCACTGTCGACTTAGTGACTGAATGAAAGTAACAATTAACGTTGTGGTGGAATGAGAATGTAAAAAGTTTGAACCCAAAATGTTGGAATGAGGACATAGACGGTTCCCCAGAAAAGATTAATAATTCAAGGTACAGTGTGTTGTATTTAGCAAATAGAAAGTTGCTTTGTTGTGATTTAAAAAGTACAACTTTGCCTTTACAGCAGAGTAGAAGTACCAAATTTTAATGTAAGACTGAAATAAATCACAAGTTCATCATAACAGGAAGCTTCTCTATCCCTCCAAAATAAAGGTGTGTTTGTTTTCCCACCTGCACGCTCTGTCCTTGCGCTGGCACCTGGACAGGTGCACTGGAGACGTGCTGCGGAGCGTCGACAGAGGGACCTCCTCCATCAACCACCTGCTCAGGTAGGACTGGATGGTGAATGGTAACACATGCACACACTGTCACTAGGTAGAGGATTAAAGAAACCTGTGATTGTTTTTGTCTTTAGCTACATCGTGTTCAGCATCATTCCTACCATCTGTGACATCATCATCGCCATCATTTACTTCGTCTCCTACTTCAGCGTGTGGTTTGGACTCATCGTCTTCACCTGTATGCTCCTCTACCTCAGTGAGTCAATGTGTTATCAAAGAGAGCGTTCTTTAACTATCATTCAGTGTAGACTTTAAAATCTCTTTAATGTGATGAGCATTACTAGGAGATGAATTTCATGTGGATTTTGTCTGCAGCGTCCACAATCCTGATCACAGAGTGGAGGACCAAATACAGGCGGGAGATGAACGACCAGGACAACAAGGCCAAGTCCAGAGCTGTGGACTCACTGCTTAACTTTGAAACGGTATGTAAGGCCACACAGGTCCTGCTCATTTTACTGCTTATAAATAAAAGAAGTCACTCTGCAATTGGAGAAATCTGAGTTTGGTTTACATACAAGTTAGTTTTTTGGGTCTATTATCTGTCATTGCTTTTAAGGAGCCTTCAGTTCTTATTCTCAGAGTTTGATTAACTTTACAGGTAAAATATTACAGTGCAGAGGGTTATGAAGTTTGCTGCTTTGAGGAAGCTATTCTAAAATATCAGGTAAGTGTGTTTCTGCTAAGACCAAAGAAAAGAAAACTGTTCTCTGTCTGTGTTTCTTACCTTTGATTAAAGTGCTGTTGCTTGTGTTTGTGCAGCACTGTGAGTGGAAGAGCTCGGCCTCTCTGGCTCTGCTGAATCAAACTCAGAACATCATCATAGGATCAGGACTGCTGGCTGGATCTCTGCTCTGTGCTCAGCTGGTCTCTGAAAGACAATTTCAGGTAACATCACTGACTAAAATGCACACTTTTTGTGCAAAAAGCAATGCAGGTACTTTTCAGAGGAAGCTGGAGCACTTTCAGAAATACTGACCTCCTTTTCAGCATTACAGCTAGCCTGACTCAGACTCACAGTGACCTGGATGTGCAGCTTGACCGAAGTCTTTGGTATCATATCATAAGGAAAGCTGGGACCAGACCTTAGTGACTGAACTTGACCTCAGTGACCCACACATGACTCTTACTCTGACTCTGACCTGATGGGGGTTCCCAAACTTTTCAGCACTGGTCCTCTAAAATGAGTCCATCATTATTTAAATCCACCATTGTCTTTTTTTGTGCTGAACAAGAGGGATACAAGGTCATGTTAATGTAAAAACGACACTGTTGATTGTTCTTGGTTAGTATTGGCTCATATTTTGTGCACTTATATTTCCCTCAGGTTGGAGATTATGTTCTGTTTGGCACCTACATCATCCAGCTGTACACTCCTCTGAACTGGTTTGGAACCTACTACAGGTAACATTCAGAATCTAATTTATATAAAGGTAAAGATATAAAAGGTGGTAAGACTTTTTTCCTCTTCTTCTCTTAACATTTAACGACAGACTGATTCAGAGTGCGTTTGTGGACATGGAGAAAATGCTGGCTCTGCTCAGTGAGCAGAAAGAGGTGAGTTGTATAAGGACTACAAACATTAGGTAAGATTTATGCAACAGTGACACTAAAAAACGATGACCAAAATAAATGACAAATTTGGGCAAAAGTTAGATTTTGTAATTTTGGGACCAATTCATAACATTTTCAAAAAGTTGATTTTAATCTGTTTGTCTCATTCTTTCTTTATTTCTCCATTTTTTTTCAGCTGGTTTAATAGTATTTCTTTTAACAGCAATTACTGTTATTGGAATTGTAGTAATGATGGGTATTGCCAGATTATTATGGATATTAAACTGTCTAAATAATATCTTTTTATGCTTAGAAGTTAGATTTAGATAAAGAAATAATAATCATTTTCCATCGGAACAACCAGAGATTGAAAGGCTTGTGTGAGTAATCAAATATAATCTCGATAATCTAATAATCACAGATTTGTTTGAATCAAACTGAATTCTCATGAAGTGCTTCTGATCAGCATCAGTCGAGCTGAAAACAGAGAAACTCACACAGTCAGAGGTCAGCGGATTAGAAGGTCAACAAGTGTTTGTGTGTGACTTTTGTGTGTGTATTTGTGCGCATACACATACTGGAACACAGAGTCTGCGTGTTTGTCTGTGTGTGTACGTCTGACTTTTTGTGTGTGTTTCGGTGGGAAAAGGCGTCCTCCGGCTGCCTCACTAAAGGCTCCTACATTCACAGGCCCTTGATATGGTAAACAGCCACATGAATGCAAACAAAAGCATTAGAGCACCTTCAAAACACAGCGGCCCTTTTCTTTGGCTTGGGAAGCTGCAGGGGAGGAAAGAGGGGGAGTCAGGGAGAGAGGGAGGAGGGTGAGGGTGAGGAGGAGGTCAGAAGGAAGGAGCGAGGAAGGACTGAAATTGAGGATAAGTGTTCAGATTAGGTTTGAGTATAGTAGAAATAAATGAGAATAGAGAAGTGGAGAGAAATATTTCTATTTACAGATGCTTCATAGAAAAGTTTAGTTTGTACATCAAAGGTTTGGATTTAGTATTTGGGTTTGTAGCTTTGTACATTTGGAGCGCAGGTAGCTTTGACCAATCACATTCCAGTAAGCTTTAGCGTATGCATGAAAAACTGTCTGTATGGAGAGCAAAAGCAGGCAGATAAGGATCCACTTCAACAGCATCCTGGCTCTCATCACCAGTAATCTGATTGTGATTTGTACATCTCTATGAACAGATATCTTAATGCAAGTGCACTTTTGAGATCAAACATTTTTGCATTAAGTTTCCAATCTGCTTAAAGGGATATTCCGGCGTAAAATCAATTTAGGGTCAAACTCAGCTCAAGGAAAAACATCAGACCGAGATGATAAGGTAGAAGAACTACAGCATCTGCAGGGCAAAATGTTGAATATGATGATAATTACTTCAAGGAAATGATAAAGAAATTATCACAAATGTTCTTCCTTGAGCTGCGTCACTATGCTGTAGTCTGTAATGGACTGGCCTGAGGTCTCGCTACAAACAAGCAGCTGCTGGAAGAGAGTTGGTGAGTTGTGTTTAGTCTCTTTGGTAAAGAAATCAGGCAAAGTTAAAAAGATGTTTGGTGGCAAGTACTATGGCTATGACCCTATACGTACCGTTGATGAAGTTAGGTGCTGTTCTGAGCATTATTTGTAGCTATAGAGTGGCGTTTTGGTTGAGCGTGTGGCTCCTGGGATCGGTGTGTATTGCTATAGTGCAGTCGTTACTCAAAATGGTATAACTAGAGAAGCAAGCGGTCAGCAACATTCATCATTCGCTGGGGTGTCTACCTCTGTGTTATGGTGTGTTTGACTCTAGATTAATTTTACGCCAGAATATCCCTTTAAATCATGGACTCATTTTCAGTTAAATGAGTTTTAAAAGTTCTCTCCTGTTCAAAAAAACAAACATTATAATCATGATTTTGGCAACTGCAGCAGACTGAAAAGATTAAATCCAGACATTTGCTTTGTTCACTTGTTTGACTCAAAAGCTAACCAGAGTGCAAAAATTAAATCAGCTGTCTAGAATTAAATCATTGTCAAAACACTAAGAGAAATGTTCATATGCTCTCTCTCACCCTTCTTCTTCCTCCCCCTCTCAGGTCCAGGATGCTGAGGATGCTCAGGACTTGCAGCTCACAGCAGGTCAGGTGGAGTTTGACAGAGTCAGTTTCAGCTACGTGCCCGGGTGTGTAGCCAGTAAAAGTGTCATCCAAGCATGCTCAGATTGTCAGTGATATTCTCAGTTATTTGGCTTGCATAGTCATTCACAATTACATCATTTGGTATTTTAATGCTAAGGCTTTTATTTTGTAAGGTAAGCTTCATCATATTGAAGAAAAACAGTGACTCAGCTGGTTCCCATCACTTGCTGTGCTCAGGATTAACATAAAAAATTATGTACTTTGATTAACTGATTGCTCTGATCAGCCTGCTGTGTGCGTTTGTCAGTGTTGTACTTACTTTATTTTCCGAGCAAACACTCCAGAGAAGATCCAGATGTTGGTGATTTATGTGAGAATTTGCAACTTGAGCCACTGCACACAAAAGCTCAATAAATCTAACCTCTTTAGTGTTACTTTTTCTAATGTTCAGTGTCTTGTAAGTTTGTCTCAAAGCTGCAAACGTTGAGGAATCAGTGCCAGAGTCAAAAATGCCTAAACGTGGTTTAAGTTATTTTGATCCTGATTGATGCTTTTTGTGTGTGCAGCACTGAGGTTCTCAGGGATGTGAGCTTCACAGTAGAGGCAGGACAGACAGTCGCTTTGGTGAGTTATCAGATTTCATGACCCCTATTTTGAGAAACTGGTCAGCAAACCAACACAGGAGCTATCAACCACTGCAGACAGGAACCTCAGAATTACAACTGAGCAGATATCAGATATTTGTCTCTGCCTAAACCCAAATTTTTATTTCAGAAGCTTATGGTGATAGTCTGTAAACAAAAATGCATTTGTGTCTTTGTTGTGCATGTGTGTGAGCAGGTGGGTCCGTCTGGATCAGGGAAAACCTCCATCCTGCGGCTGTTGTTCAGGTTTTATGACCCTCAGAGTGGAAGCATCCGCATCGACGGGCAGGACATCTCCAAGGTAAACAAAAACAACACCGCAGAAATTTGACGGTGAGGTGAAGTAGCATGCTGTTATTAGGTCACTGACTTGAATCAATAAAAAAACAGAGTTAATGAAAGAATACTTTTGACATGACATGATGCGTCATGTGGTTTAAACAGGCTACCTCATGCCACACATCTGTACTTTGACGAGAATTACACATTTCTTTCAACATAAGCCCTTGACTGTTTTTCTACCCTGACCACCACTGTATCAAATACATGATTAAGGACCTGTGTACACTTACAGCAGTTTTGTAAGTGTATTTTTTTTTTATGAAGCAGCATAAAAATGTTGCTTTTCCACTGCAGGTTGATGTCCAAATGGACCTAGAGAGCGTTGCACTGCTGTGTTGCTTCAATGTGTTGTTGCACTTTGTCGTGTCACAAGAGACGAGACACAACCATGTGCAAAAGGTCTGCAAACAGAATACAGCCAAAATGAGTCGATACATGATCAATTAAATAGGTAAACAAATGGATCCCACCTCCTGTTCTCTTCCAATCAAATTCATTGTTTTTTTCTCTCATCAAAACTGTTATAAGGAACTTTTGGTGCCTCTTGTGGACAACATAAAACCTCTTGAAAGTGGTTTCAGGCATCAAAAATTACGATTGAATTTTCTGCCTTGTTGCTGATGGTTTCATTGGCTTTGGAAGATCATAAAGAGGCATCAGTGAAAATTTCATCCTGTTTCTCAACCAGTTAAAATCCCCTTTAAAAGGAGTCATTTTCACTTACGTTTGGGCATTTTTTCAAATCTAATCTGATTATAAGAGGTTATAAAAAAACAACCACAAACCAATTAAAATCAAGAAGGGGCGGGGCTTCCGGTATCAGCTTTGTCTGCATATGAAGGAGAAAACAGCCAAGCTGATTTTTTTAGGCACCATTTTAAAGTCTAGAGCTGCTGCTAATGCTACACTGATTACTTGTATCAATGTTTTTTAAAATTTACTTTAAATTCTGTTAAAAGAAATCTTATCTAAAGTATACAGGACATTTTAAAACATGCTGAACCATCACTGAAAAAGCAGAAGTGTTTCTGGACTAGTAGCAACTGCAGATGCCAGTGAGAGGCAGTACCAGTGCAGAAGATGCCATCAGTGGACACAGGCCCTTAACCTTTACCTCTACCTACAATGCACTGCTCTTTTTTTCATGCAAAGTTTTGCAATATTATGGCATTGTTCACATATAATCAGGACTTGATTCTAATGGCTTCATAGTTTAGATCCCATATGAATCTTCTTTTATGTGGCGTGAGTACTCAAATTCATATAAACAGAAAACCCACATTTGTTAAAAGTTGAACTAGTGTACAGATTATTGAGCTTTAAGTGATTTTTGGTCTTTAAACTTGCTGTTTTAAGTCTGTATGCTTACCTAAATGACTGCTGGCTGTAGCTTCAGACTCACTGCATTAACATAAAAGTGGTATTTGGCCTCTCACGTGGACATCTCTCTAAGAAAACTATCAGCACGTTTCCTAATATGTCAAACGAGTCCTTTAACCGCAGTCAGTGTAACCATCAGTGTTTCTTTTCATCTTTTTTTATTCCTCCTTTCATCTCTCCCCATCATGGTCGTTTCCTGCTTTTGGCTCACGCACCTTGACTTCCACTTTCCCCCTCTCCCTCACACACACACACACAGCTGGGCTGAGTGTGTGAGCTCCGGTCACACTGTGAATAAATCATAGTAAAAGGTTCCTGAATAATGCAGCAACGAGTCCAGACGCCAGATGTGTATGTATGTGTGTGTGTATATGTGTGTGTGTAAAGATAGCCCATTTATTGCAGTTGTAGTTAAAAAGTAACTCTGTGTATGATTTTCCAAAAGTCCCAATAAAAACGAAGCAACACAAACACATTACAACACACACTCTGACTCACATGCACACCTGCTTCAGTGCGACAGATGTGCTTTTTAAAGCTGGCGATGATTATGTGGACGTTTGTTTATAATTACACAGCAGGAGGGTCGCTTAATCAACACACAAGTACACACATGTTGTCGTCTCTCTAATTAAAATCAGACAGTTTTTAGTCTGTGGTTTTCTGGGACAACGGAAATTATAAAATGCATCATCACTCTGCCAGAGTTTTTAATCAGCTGTCAGTACAACTTCTTTTACCAGTTTTATCCAAATTTCACACAAATCTCCAGCGAAATTAGAAGGAAAAATGCTAAATTCATGCTTGTTTTCAGAGATTGTTTGGGGTATAAGTGGCCTTGGTATATAACATGTGGGGATATCAGTTGGATTCAGCAATGTGCAGTTTCTCTGTAAATGTGTAGCAGCTTTTATGAAAACCATTTGTCACAGCCACTTCTACACTTTTTCCACTAAAGTGAACCTGGTCCTAGTTCACTAGTTCTGGGCTAGTTCTTGCAATCCCTGTAAACCAAACCACTTTCCTTTTCCATAGGCATGAGGTCACCTGCAAGCCCTGTCATTAGATCACTGCATACATCTCTGATTTCCCAGCAGCACTTTTGTTGTAGTCTTCAAGCACACCATAAACAACAATGAATGACTACAGCTTCTCGTTTCAGGTGTTGCTCATGGCTTTGCAAACCGTCTTTGGCTTTTTATTATAAGGGGTAAAAAAAAAAAAGTGTGGTCTTATTGTCAGGATAGCTATGAACATCTTACCTTTGAGAAGTCACAGACACATAACATCACACCAATTACATTTTGATTCTTACTGTCCACAACACATAATATCAAATCATAACAAAGTTGTAGTTGGTTGTATCTTGGTCACAACAGCCTGGCCCGTAGCCCCTGACATAATCAGTTCTTTCTTGTGGACCAGCGAGGAGTTTGTGGTACTCTTGAGCTGGATTTTCTGGTGAAGAACAGCTCCTCTGGCAGTCCAAACACCAAGAACTAGAGGCATGTTAGACAACCAGCCCAGTGACTCCTTTAAAATTACAAGAACATGAAAAAAACTCACCTACATAACAATACACATGGTGGCCCATTAAATACGATGACGGCTAAACCACCTGACAACAGAAAAAACGACTTGAGGTATTCTCAGAAATAAGTCTGGCTTGCTAAATGCAATTAAATCCTCAGGAGTATATCAACCACTTTTTTAAGGATCACTTATCAGAGTTTGTAAAAGATAAAATAAACTATTTATCTTAGGTGGTAAATCCTCTAATCACCTCTAACACTAAAAGACCTCTGTGATTAATATATGAAAGTCGGGACAGATGGTGGTTGTAAAATCGCACCTTTGTTTCAAAGTGAGAGTGAAGAGGACGTTGAGAATTTTCTGCTTTTGGGTTTAATTCCTGCAATTTTAACACCATCTGTTTAACATGCTGGCTGTTGTCACTTCATTAAAAATCCATTCTTCTTTTCACGTTGAAGTCTATAAATACTTTTCTAATGTGTCACATCAGATAAACTTTTCTGTAAAAACACGCAAACAAGTATTACTCAGTTGATCATGATCACCTGCTGAAAGTTTGACTGCAAGATGAGACCTTCTGACTCCAGTAAAACTTCACTGGATGCAGATGTTTTTACAGGAATACCTCTCATCTAAGGTTTTAGAGGATAAACACAGTTTTTATCTCTTTATGCTTCTCTTTAAGGATGAAATCGGGGCTAATTAGCTTAGCTTAGCATAGAGATTGCAAGCAGAAGGAAGCACTTAGCTTCACCCTGACCAAGAAATAGCCCTAAGATGTAATTCAGCACAAGTATTTAAATAAGTTAAAGGGGGCAATTGACAGACTATTAAACCTCTCTATCACTGAGTTGACCAATTCCAGGTCTTGTGGTTTGCATAGTTTTGACTCGTAGTTACATTTCAAGCTGCATGTGTCAGCTTTAGAAGGGGATACTCGGACCTTCAGCATATGCTAATATGTAGGTCAAGTATAAACCAGGTTTAATCCTATATGTGTCAGTTGTTGCAGTTCTAACAGCTGTTGAAATACTTCTCATATACATCTTGGTTTTCAATAAACTGTACAAATCATGGATATACTGTCGTCTCAGTGAGGTTTTTCGATACCAATTTCCCTCAAACAAATTAGTTATATAAATATTCGAACCTTGTGCAGTGTGTGCAGATAGAGACATGAGCTACTAACATCAAGATCATTTTTACCACGCTGTTATCATGTACAGATGTGCTTTTCAGAATAGGCTGGCCATATTCTGAATTCCCAAAAAGAGGACATTACTATGCAGGGCAGAGTCGTGGAGTCGAGTGTAGAAAATTTTGAGGGTTTTTTTCAGGTTGGGTCAGGTCAGGCGTTTCTTACACACTTCTAACTCAGTCCACGTTACACTCAAAACTTAAAAAAAAAAAAAAAACCCTGGACATTTAAAGGATTTTATAAACTTCCCTGGACAAGGCCGGACAGCCACCCCAAAAGAGGACATGTCCGGGTAAAAGAGGGCGTATGGTCACCCTATTTCAGAATGATTGTGTGTGTGTGTGTATGTGGCCTCAGGTGCTTTTGGAGTGAACCTCAAGTGGACACTTGAGGAAGTGCAATATTTCTGTTCTCAATGACTTTGCCCAAAGAAAGGTGGAGTGATGGTTTTCCAAGAATGACACCTCTCCATATGTTTATAATTTTAGGTTTTTGTTTCACATCTCAAAATAAGTTGGATTTATAGAGAGATTTGGTGTGTGGAGAAGCTCACATAGCCTTTAGAAAAAACAAAAACTCTTGCCAGACACAAACACATGACACTTAGGATTTGTCCAAATCCTCATCCAAAGGTACCTTTTTCACTCTATGTGCTGGAAGATTCAAGTTTTGATCTATTTGCTGTTATTTTTCCCATCATTGAATTGTTCACTAAGACACTAAGTGTGATGACAGCTGACTCTGTAATGAATAACTTTGATATATGACTCTTTCGAGATGTCCACATACTCTTTGATTTCAAAAAGGGGCTTTCTGCTTGTTGCACACATCTGTTCATAGATGAATTATCTGTGCTTTAGCAGTTCAAAGAGAAAGCTATGATCATGAAATCTGTTTTAGTTGATCACAGTAAAGAGGAAAAACCGAGAAATGTAGATATAAGGACCCATTTCTTGGTCTTTTGCAAGTCCTCATGCTTTTATCCTCCAAGGTTCAGTTTTTTTTACCTTGCAATGAGTCCAACACCCAAAACTCTGGATGCAGCTCAGTCTGTCAGAGTCTAAAGTTTGTTTTCTGGTGCACAAGTCCTCTGCCATTCTGTTTGTCCCTGCATATGGCCACCACATGTAGTTAAGCCCTGATGAGTCGGACTCTGCTGGCCCTGACACTGCAGGCTGACGGCTTATTACTCACCGCCGCAGTGATTCATCTGCTTGTTTTTAAGGTGTCCGTCAGATTCCACTTTTTATTTCAATTACGGGATAAAACAGCAGTTTGGGTTGATGTGTGTTCCATGTTTGCAATCACAGCTAATCGCTAAATACTTTTTCTTGGGATTGTGTGACACCCTTTCCTGTTTGTCACTAAGAAGTACTCAAGACCACAAGAATTCTACTTTCATCAGTAACAATGAGCAGATCACAGCTGGGTCAGAGCAGGACACAGAAGAGGAACAAAGAACCAAATTAATGACGGATTAGTCAAATATCTCATATCAATCCCAAGCATTCTAACAGCTGTTGGAATATTACAAAGATTTAACCAGCTGCAGATTAAAACAAGGAATGCTGGTCTGACTCTGCTTGCAGGTGACAAATCTTTGTACCAGCATCTTGTACAATATGTTCTCCTATTACGTCCTATTTGCAAATCAACATGTTTTTGACTGATGACCAGAAATCTGCATGGAATTAAAAATGTATAGCTAAACCATGTAAAGCATGACAGTTGAACAACATAAATGGATTGGTTTGTAAACAAAACCTCGACAGGATGCTAAAAAAGACCAAGGTGTTGTATCCTATGTACAAAAGCTACAGAGCTATAAATATAAAGGGGTGATCATTGTTCAAGGTATATGCCAATGAGTTTGTCGATTGTTTTTGTACGTAACAGATTAACTGGGAGACAGTCCAATTGTAACAAGCTGAAAAGAGCTGTAGATAAAAATGAAGCACAAAGAACTTCAGGTGTTGAGTCAAAGCAGAGTCTACAAGATAGGGGATTCAATAGAGGTCATATTAATATTAAAGACATGGTTGACGATCTGAGAAGCAGTTGAAAAAAACTGAGCCGTTGAGGCAGATTCGAAAAAAGCATCTCACCCACCTCACACAAACCTCTCCCTCAGTGCTCCACGATAACTCACCCCCGAACCTGTAGCAAGAAACCGGCCGACAGAAGATCCTACACTAGCTTAAAAAAGGATTCACCATGTCGGATTGCGAGTTACTAGCAGCAGTAAACGCCAGCTCTGCTAGCGAGCACCATCTGCAGCTGCCTGGACAGCTATTGTGTTGACATTGCAGAGACTAATAAGAGTTCTTTATGTAACATGTGCTACGATAAAAGGCAAAAATTACCTGTTCAACAAAAACTGCTGTCTCGGCTGGCAGAGCTTTGTTTACCGCTCAAAGGATGACCCATGATAAGCATAGGTTTAGTTCAGGCTAACCAGGTAGTCAAGCTCAGACCAGAGTGCATTAGCTGAACCCAATGCCAGGTTCCATGGTGTGCTCGCCCCTCCTTAGGCTTTGGCACTCCACATATGTCCGTGGAAAGGCAGGGAACTCTCAGAATAGGATCATACCATCAAACCAGAATCATCAGAATAAGAATACCTTATTTAAGCCGAAGGGAAATGATGTTGGGCCGTGTACCTAACCATAACCTTTCAGTCTGGCTGCTGGACTTGACTCTCTATGGTCTATGAACATCTATTGTTCTTTGGCCTTACCGTATTAGTCACATTTAAATGTGATAACAATAACAGGAGTGATAACAGAAGTCTTGGATGACATGAGCCGGTCAGTGCATCCAGGCCTCTCTGACTGACTGCCCAATCTACAGATGAGGTCCAGGGTTTCAAGCAGTCAGATACAAGTTCCAAACACTTGAGCATGAAAGCGATCTCACATGGACACAATTAGCTTGGTAGATTTCCACCATCATGTTCCTGTAAACCTTGAATGGGTATTTTATTTCTCAATCGTTGTTCGAGGAATTCAGTGCACATGCTTAAGCTTGGAAAACACTGAGGTCTGAAAAAGTCAATAAACAATTTACAGCTTGGGGCAGGACCCGTGGACTTTATAAGGACAGCGATAGTTGGGACATATCTTAAATACGACATCATCTTAAACTTGATGGAAGTGTTATTGCTGTCCGTGCAAAGACAGCTGTTGTACACCCATATCATGCTCTTTTGTTCCTCAGTCGATGCTTCAGTGAAAACATTAAATACCCCATTTTTTATCCTCCTTTCTTCTCCCTCCCCATCTGTCTCTTTCTTTCTTTCTAGAGAGAGTGTTAGAGCTCTGTCAGCCCGCCTCGATCAGAAACAGATGCTGTGTTGTTCTTCAGAGGAATAAATACCAAAAGAGGATGGCAAAAAATCAAATTAAGGGAAAGTGAGTGATTATCAGCCAAACCGAGCTGGTGCAGGAAATGGAATTTGTACTGTTGTGGCTGCAGAGAAAAGCTTTAACAGGAAACACTCAGAGTACTGCACACCGACCAGAGAGTTATTGAAAACCGGAAATTATTTCAGCAGAGATCAAGTGCCTGGTCCGTGAAAAACTGAAAGGGAACAACATTACAAGTGGTGTGCTACAATCAGGGTGTGGATCCGGACTTTTTAGAGCAAGTCAGACCAAGGGTCCTGTCTGGTTGGTCCATCTGTTTCTAAAATGTAAACAATTGTTAAAAAACACATTTGCACAATTAAAACAAGTATATGGCTTTTTTTAGGGTTGTTAAAAATAACTAGCTAACAAAATCAGGCTTGTTTTCTCGTGTTTTGTGGTTGTGAACTATGAGTTTGTAATATTCTCCAGGTTTCAGGACAATAGCTCACACCTTGTTCCACTTACCTTTCATTTTCTCTGCAGTGATGATCAATCGTGGATGAATTAAAAATGTCTGTTGTATTTACTGATGCAGCATGAAAGCTTGGTGTATTGCACCTATTACGGTTTTGTTCTTGTTGCCTGATGTTGAGAATCAACTGAATGCAACGATCATTTTGACGGAATGCAAAATAAATATACCACATTATACACCACAAAGATCTTATTTTCAGTCTAACAGCTCGTGTTGTGTTGGTTGAAATGCTTATTGCAGAAGCAAAACATTGTCCTACATTAGTCTGACTTAAACTGGACTTTTAAAATGCAAAACAACTGAAATCGCTCTAGTCAAACGTTTTATAGCCCGACCAAGATCTCTTGACGATGTGGATTTTGATTTGTTTTACTATGCTTCAATGGGACTGAAACTGGCCCTAAGTATTCTGCACATTCCCCAGAGTTTACGTGGCAGGAAGTGAAGCTGGGTAGTAAACAAAACCTTGACAGAAGAAGCGAAGATGTGTTAAAAGACAGCTGTGGTATTGTGCACAAAAAAGTTGCAGATCTGTAAACTTCTACAAAATTTCAGATGTTGCTCTCCACACACCAATCTTACTGCATGTGTTGCCTTAGATACAACTTGCATTAATGCAGCAAAAACGGAAGCCACATCGTCAACATTGTAGTTTAATAATGCTAACAGATTTCTCTCTTTTTTCTTTTTATCAAATAACCAAACCATGTTTCTGCAGTGAACACACCAAGTACAGAAAATAATATTGTAGCCATGCTGCCATAGCATTGAGTAAAGTCTTTCAGGAAATATTCAGTATGAATAAAAATATTGCCCTGAAAGCTGCCTTGCCACTTTGCATGATATCAGGGGAAAAAAAACATACTATGTCAACCAGATTAACAAAAAGCAAAATGAAGGTAAGTAGGTTGAGTCAAAAATGAAAATAACCGGAATAGAGAGTGAGAGACAACGACAGAAATCGGCTCAGGACATGTTCTGTCTGTGACCTGGGGCAGCATGCATTATATAGTATAAGATGAATTAAGCCATGCAACATTTATAAGGATGTATGATGTGTGTGTGTGGAGAGAGGGAGAGATAGAGCAAGTAGAGCGAGAACTGCAACATGAAATATGTTTGTGTCATGACCCAAGATCTGAGGACCCCACGTACAAGGTGGTTTGTTGGTTTGACATGAATTCAAAACTTAATACCTGCAGAGCCTGTATGCTGGTTCCCCTTTAAACTAGGTCAGTGAATAAATGTAGTTCCCCAGTTGCAGGACTGACAGTTTTATCCTTTTTTTTGTCTAAGGTGCGTCAGTCTTCTCTGAAATCATACATCGGCGTGGTTCCTCAGGATACGGTTCTCTTCAATGACACTATCGGCAACAACATCCGCTACGGACGAATTACAGCCAGCGATGATGAGGTGGAGAGTGCCGCCATTGTTGCTGATGTACACAGCAGGATACTGGAGCTTCCTCAGGGTCAGGTCGGGGTGATGGTGACACATTTGAAAATGCTTCTATGTTGGACAAGCAGACGTCTTGATTGTTTGTCAAATGTTGAAAAGTTTAATGTGGAAAAGGGTTTTTAATGAAGATGATGGTGTTATTTCCAATCAGGGTACGACACAGTGGTAGGAGAGCGAGGTCTGAAGCTCAGCGGTGGGGAGAAGCAGAGAGTGGCCATTGCTCGAACCATCCTGAAAGGACCTCAGATTATTCTGCTGGATGAGGTAAGGAAACAAGGGATTACTGTGTTGACAACCCTTTCACTTATGTAGAAGCTAAATCTGTATAAACATGATGAGATTAAAAGAGTTTTCACCCTTTCCTGCTTCACCTATTACATCATGTGCCAAGACAACCTACAAAACTGTTAAAAAGACGCTTTGTACAAGAATAAGTAAGGAGTAGGTGGTGTATTGCAGTGCAAAATTATAAACCAGGCTTTAGTCTGACTCCTAGTCATCGATTTAATGCAATTTCATTTGGACAACATGTTCATGAATTGTTAAAGTCCAGTAGGTAAAAACCATATTAACCAGTAAAAGACACATCCAGTGCATACAACTCTACATTAACTAGCCATAGTCCATTAATAACTTGAGATAAACTCCAGCCACATGACTGACAGTGGTAGACTGTCCCAAATGCTTCCTTGTGAAGTCCTCTAAAATACGAGACGGCCTGATTTCAATTACTCTAACATCTCTCTCCATGTGTGTCCCATTTTTGTTGGTCAAGCTCCATTTAGACAAACTTTATCAAGTTCTTTATCCAAAATACACAAAGACAGTCTAACAAACAAACAAACAGACTTATTAAGTAAACAACCTAGACTCGTATGCCGTGTTTGTTTTTATTTCATCAGGCTACTTCTTCACTGGACACTCAGACTGAGAGGAACATCCAGGCCTCACTGGCCAAGGTCTGCACCAACAGGACGACGATAGTGGTCGCACACAGGTGACTTCACAAACCAAAATGTGTGTCATTATACCAGTTATATAGACATGTTTCCTGCTGTGAAAAAAGCTTCCCTTGACTGTGACCCAGATCAAACCCTTGCCTAAAAGGAGGTGGTTTCTGTCAAGCTTAAGAGAACATGTTTTCATGGTTTTACACCACACTGGTGCAGCATCAGTTTGAACAATAAATCCAATAAGTCAAATTCATGACACATATTTCATCACATACATTTAAATCTCCCATAAAAGGTTTTTTGATGTTAATGAAATAGACTTAACTTCATATTAATGCCTTCTGATGATATGAAGCAAGACCATCAGCAACAGGATAGACAGAGTTTCATATTGTTATTTTAAAGCCTGAAATGGGTGTTAGGGGGAAGGTGTTAGCTGTGTAGTTTAAAGGGATATTCTGGCGTAAAATTAAGTTAGGGTCAAACACACCATAACACAGAGTTAGACACCCCATCGAGAGATGAATGTTGCCGACCGATTGCTTCTCTAGTTATGCCAACTTTAGTAACGACCGCAAATAGCAATACAGAGAGCCACACACTCAACCAAAAGCCACTCTACAGCCACAAATAATTCTCAGAACAGCACCTAACTCCATCAACAGTACATACAGGATCCCAGCCATAGCGCTAGCCACCAAACATCTTTTTGGTATAACTAGAGAAGCAATTGGTCGGCAACATTCATCTCTCGATGGGGTGTCTAACTCGTTGTTACCGTGTGTTTGACCCTAACCCAATTTTACGCTGGAATATCCCTTTAAGACACAGTCCTGTTCTTACAATTTCTATGCAAAAATATTCACAGTGAATGTTTCACATGGCTGTCAAAGACGGGGTAGAGACTATTTGTCAGAGTACACTATTTTAACATGTTGAGGACAAGACCATCTTAAAATATTCACATTACTCCAATACAAGAGTAAGAGAAAAGGCATTACAATGAATCCTGCTGTTTCAGGCTTTAAAAAACTAATATCAAACACTGGGTGAATAAAGGCTAATCTTATCTTATCTTATAAAAAAACAACTGTATATTGCTTTTCATGGCGCTCCAGACAAAGCTGAGACACCCCAATGAAATCAAAAAGATAGATTTCGTGGTGGCACTGCAGAAAAAGTCAGGATAACATCCAACTCAGTGGGATACATCATCTGGTAACCATGAACATGTTGTGGTCTTGTGTTGCTGTGAACATGCTAATCCTTTGACACAGGGGTGCATTAACACATAATCTGTAACTGCAAATGAAAGTGGTTTGTTACAATGTGATTACATCTGTGGGGGTAACTCAAGACCAAAGTGAAAAAGAAGAACCAAATGTGAGTGAGGGAGATGAAAGGAAAAGAGGGATGTGGTGAAAGGAAAACAGGATTAGAGCAGACACAAAGAGAGGGATGGAGAGATTAAATTAAAAGCTGATTGGAGGATATGATGATGACACGTGATGACAGGTCAACAAAAGTAAAAGAAACAGATGTCTGCTTATTCATCAGTCTGAGTGATATTGAAAAAGACTTGAAAGGCTCTGACACTCGCAGACACTAAAATACATCAGGAGTGAAGAAGCCTGTGGTGCTGATTCCTGCAACACTGTGTTAACATAGTCTTCATCACTTCCTACAGTACAAAAGCACACATGATCATGTTTTCTATGACTAACATGATCAAAACATGCTTTCTACTGCACAGGAGAAGATTGACTCATCAGTCGATTGCTCAAAGTCTGAGACTTCAAAGTTCACTTTTGTGTTTTCCAGGACATGGGAAAAACCTAAAAACAATATTTTGTTTGACAGACTTCCAGATATGACCGGAAAGATTATTACATCATCTGTTTCATTCTGTGGGAAGTTTATATAAAGCTTTCTGTTCCACAACAACTTATGTTTTCATTTATTCTGAGATTTTACCAGTCACCTCCAGGGGTGAAGTGAGATCCCCCTTTTTTTTGTTCAACACTGCGCAGTATTTTTCCTTTATCTCATTAGACACAGACCAGCTCCGAGCACATGGAACACAAAACAATTTGTTATTCAGTTGACAGGAAAAAATCTCAATAAAGCCCAGCCTTCTATCTAAGACTGAAAATATAAAGTTCATGTTTGAGGGCTGAGGAGACCAGTGAAAGCTGTCTCATTCTTACCTGTTATAGGATTTCTTTTCTGTTGTTTTTTCCACCTTTATGATAGATATAGTCATTTCCATAGGTGACAAGAAAGGTGGAGTAATTTCCCTTTAAAAATTCAAGTTTTGATTCATTAAACAACAGGACAGTTCTCCATTTCCTCTCAGTTCCCAGTCTTGCACGGGTTCATGCCCAGAAAAGTTCCTGGCATTTCTAACCATATTAATGATTTTATTTTGCATGGTATAGTTTCAACGTGTGCGCTCACAGACAATAGCTTATGCCAGTAAAATTGGGCTCATGCGGTGGCTTCCACTACAGAGTCATGTCTGTTTTTAGTGCAATGCCACAGCTATTATTTCCTTGTTAAACAACACAAAATTGCACCTTTGATCTGAATACAACATTTGTGATGTTAAAATAAGGTGGACGCACGCACTCTTATACTTATTGTTCACACATCCTGAAACATGCACGACTCAGCCCTTTAAATCATGATTCACAAAAAAGTAAGCATGTCAGGAGCATGGCACCTGTGTGGAAACTCTGATGCATGGACACACTGTTTACTGATGCAGACTGTGACTAACCACTTTTGTGTTGTGTTGTCACTAAAGCACAGAGATTTGTTGCTTTGTTGCAGAAAATCAAAAAGCTGAGATGATTGCCTCAACAAAAGGAGATGTTTCACATAACAAATCACATTTTTCTTTGTTTATTTGACCTCAAATCTGGATCATCCAGCCAGACAGATACAGTTTGTTGACCAGGTCATCTAGTAGATACTTGAAATCAATTACATGGTGCTCACTTTGCCTGTTGATTCTTCTTTGTAGTCCGTGTATTGACAAGCAGATCTTTGATTAAATTGATCCAGCAGCTTCTTAATCTTCCAGTAGCAGCAGCAGATGGAGTCTGGTAGCAGGATCGGGAAAGTTTGCAGACCTAATCAGTTGGGCTTTAAATAAAATGAAAACATACAAAGATACAGATCATGTGTTTACTTTGTAGGATGAGCAGAGATCTCTCTGACAGTTTTTGGATTGGGATCAACTTCAGATATTGGGTAGAGGGATCTTCTTCCCTCTCCTGAATATGACAACAATCTGCTTATAACATCAAATAAAGACCTCAGTGCACATTTTATTACCTCATACTGTTCAGCTTCTTTAACCTGGGTTTATTCCACCATGCTCAACTAAAATTGAATCTTGAATCTTGTAAGCAAGACGGAAGTTGGTGCTAGCACAGCATATTGTATGGGCCTTTTTTAGACAGCAGATACTCGGATACAAAACAGCATACAAAATTTGTATGAACAGGGTCCTGAAGCCGAAGCAGTTAAAAACTGGGATGTTCAAACACAGTGAGAAAGAAGTGAGGTCCTGTTGTGTATTTGCCCTTATTTAATGAAATCCACCTGCATCTAGGCGAGTGTTAAAGTGCTTGTTTTTATCATTACAATCATTCAGTGTGTAAAAATGTTGAATCTTTGCTTTAGATTTCATGAAAATGCCATAAACCTGCATGGGATTTTTTTGGAAAGACTGTTTGAATCATAAAAAAATCACGCCCGACCTAAAAAGACGGTTAATTTCAGAGATTGCCAGAGGAGATATTATACAATATAGTCTGTCCTGAGCCTTACCTTCAAACAGATCATGAACCACATTTCTGAAGCATTCTGTCTGCACGTAAACGCATCAGAGGCTTTCTTCCTGCTGCATAATAAAGCTTGAATGAGTGGAGGGAAGAAAACCCTCTGACGTCTGCAGTCTCTTGGGGGAGATATTTCTACCTTTGACCGAGGTTTTCTATCAAATATTGAAGGTGGACGTCCAAAGATAGCCTTGATGACATTAAAGCAGAGTGGTGGCTCTGCTGAAGCTTAAAGTGACACTCAGCGGTTTGGAGAGGCGGGCAGGACCAGTTTTTGAGATCTGCATGCAGTGCTGTGCGAGACAGAAATATTTCAACCATATTTTTCAAATGATTCCTCAAGCTGTTCAAACAAACGACGCACTAAAGCTTTTATGCACCTGTAAAATACGCACCGAACAAAAATTCTGTTTCTGTTTTCACTGACTTATTCATCTTCCAAATAATTTCTCACAAAAATGATGAAACGCTTCCAAGCTTTCATCTTTGCGTCTTGCAACACCTTGGAAAATTTGTTTCTGATTCCCCGTTTGGTCACATCCCAAAGGCTGAGAGCCATTTAGATCCATGTGAGTGTGGCTTTAATCAGACTCTCATCAGAGACTGGTCATGAATATTAACTTTAATAATTTACAGACAGGTTCATACAGAGTTCTCCAACCTAGATCGACACACTCAGCCGTGTGTACATGCATATGTGTCACATACATGACAGAACTGAAAGAGGGTTCATGTTCCTGCGAGTGATAATCAGGGAATGATTGTAGACAAACCCATCCTTCTCTCACTTTCTCCAAAATGGGCCTCCCTCTTTTCACATTTCCTCTTCTTGTCCTCCTCTTCTTCATCCCTGACACCTCTGGAAATACTTTCCCATCTCCTCTCCTCATTTATCAGTCTTTCGGCAGCTTTGCAAAGACAGTGTTGGCTCTTTGATGTGCTACCTCCTGCGCACACATGTTTAAAGAATATTTCCATTGATTACAACTTGGATCCTGTTTGCACAGCTCTCGCCATTCTTCTGTTATTAATAACAACATCATAATAATTATGTTTGAAGCTGCAATTTGGGATTGCAGCAACATCCCAAAGCAGCAGTTGAAGAAAAACATGTACTCACATGTCCATGTCCAACCATGGAGAACACACAATTTTCATTTGGATTTGAGGATTATTGCCAACATTGTGTGTGTTGTCAGTGTCAATTTGTGTCCTTATTAAGTGAGTTCAAATAAAATCTTTTTAATCCACACAAAAAAAATATCTTAGTTTTGATCAATTCGGATAAGCCTTAAAATGCTCGGTTGCAAAACATTAAGGGATTTTATATTACACGTGTTTTTTTGGGCTAACAAGATGTTTTGCAACTCCAAATTTTCAGCAAATGGATGGATCAAAGTCTGCCAAATTGCTCATGTGTGGACAAGTGTTTTAGATTTCAAGGGTATGAAAGAACCAACGTTTAACCGAGGAACAAATCAATCACTCAGCTTTAAAGAGATTTTTCTGCTCTAACAATACACTAACAGCAGCAGACACAACAAGTCTACTTCTTAGTTAATTTTTTGCCTCACATTTTCCATGATGCTTTCCATGGAGGGTAACAGCAATGCCTGTCAACTTTCTTATCCTCTTGCAACTGACAGACCGTCGTGATGTATTTAATGTCAAGGTTATCTAAAAAGTAGTTTTGAATCCCCTAATGACACAATCTGGATGTTGTTTCTCAACACTGACTTTATTCCAGTTTTTCAGGTTGACAGTTTGACTGTGATATTGTAAGTGGAGTCTTGGAGCATAGTCCTTTATTACTAACTGCTGGCTCTTAAAAGTTGACCATTACTCCCTGAGGTTCTCATACGGTCAGACAATCGTTGGAGTGTCCAAATTTGTCTAAATGTTGTCATTTGCTAGTGTGAAGCTGTTTGAAGTTACCCTGGTACAAAGTACATTTATTTCTGGAAAAGATATGGAAATAATGCAATTTTTGGCTTCGAGTCCTCCAGGCTAATGTTGTATGCTTTGACTTTTTAATGTTTATTTAATATAACGATATGATTTTGCAGGTTGTCTACTGTTGTTGGAGCAGATCAGATCCTGGTGGTTCACAATGGACAGATCGCAGAGAGAGGAAGGTAGGATGTTTTTTTCAGAGTTTGGTATAAGAAAGTTGAATGTAAGAGGAAGTGATGCTGTTATGTTTTCAGGATGTTTTATCCTATCTTTTGACCAACACTAAGTGACTAATGATGGGTCTGTGTGAGTGTTGTCATTTGACACACCTGAACAAGGATGTGTGCCCTAAGTGGTTTCAGATTTTTATCTGTTGATCAAAAACCTGCTAAGTGTTTTTTGTAGGTGATCCTTAAACCCTCAGGTATCTTTTACTGCCCCAAGGGCTCAATGACCACCAGACACACTCATACTTGCTTATATTACCAACAGGGGACCATCACATAGACGACGAGGACCATGTTATCTGAGCATTTAAAGGAAGAAAAATCCAATAGACAATATACATTTAACTTGTTGTCCTTGATTTAAAGAACTAATGGTTACACAGACAAAAACTTACACATACACACACACACACACACACACACATACTCGTCTATATTATCAAGATAGGACCATTGAGAAAGTGGGGACCTCTGTTACTGCTCAATTTAAAAAAGGAAGATCAGAAAAAAACAATTAGCTGTTAAGGTACCCTAGGGTACCAAAGGCTAAATGGCCACCAAACTGATATTACCAACAACGGACAATAACCCAAAAAAGACCCAAAAGTGGACCTTGTCCCTTGTCCAAAAGTGGACTTTGCCATTTTAAAAATAGGAAAATACAGAAGAGGATATACTTTTGGGGGTTCATGTCTTAATATGTGATTGGTCACACACACACACATATAGTCAAAAAGGACTATTACCATTGGGGACCTCCATTTATGTTCTTTTTAAAAAAAAGTAAATTTTGACAAACTATGTATTTTTATGCCCCAAAGGCATCAAACATTACATACACTCATACTTGCTAACATTGCCAACAGGGGACTACAATGGACCAAACATGGACCTTGTTTTCTGGTCCTTTTAGAAATAAAACTTGAGAAGAAATCTCACTGTTAAAGATTAAAAACAAATCACCTTAATGGTGCTCTTCAGTTTTCCTCAAATCTCAGGGACTTGGTGGCTTGACCGATGTCTACCTACTTCCTACCTACCTACTTCCATATACTGAAATCGAACACTCTTAACCCAGTGTCACACATAAACACACACAGTGGGTCTGCCACTTAAACTACTGATGCGTACAGCCCGTGGGTATAGGAGATGAAAGGACCTGCTTTGTCAAAAATGGTGGTAAAATAAACCTCTGCAGTGGTGAAAGAGGAAGAGCTATATTTCACCCCTAATATTGAAAACATAATCAACATAGATTATCCTAAAGCATGTTTAATCCACAATAGATAACACTAAGAACACACCTGACAGATGAATCAGATGACAGATGTATCGGAGGATGAACACATGAAGATACTCCTTTTACCCCTGCAGGCATGCAGGGGAAGCCCAACCAAAAGCCATTCACCTTTTGATCGACACTGTGATGTAAACAAAGGACAGGCCAGTTAAACCTCCGGTGTCAGAATACACACAATTTGTGCCACAAAGTGGTGGAGTGTATCATGAAACAGAGGCAGGAAGTCCTCAGGCTGTCCATGTGCTTAACATTCTTTACGAGGATTACGACCATGCTAAGCCAACTAATTCTGAGAGCGCTGATTACAAATGAAAACAAGTGTCCAAACTCACCTTTGCAGGTAGTTTTTGAGAAGATCTTCAAACACGAAAGCATTGTCCTTTATGGTGGCCAACATCCGCTACTGGGACCAATGAGGGGACTAATTTATGTCGCCAAGGTCTTACTGTATTTCCTTTTCTAACTTGATTAAATACTAAGTCTTTTAAAGGAGATAATATTTATGGCAGTATGTTTTTATTGCACAAAATTGAAGTTTGTTTGTTTGTTTCCTCAAGGCAGTGAGTTAAGCTCATCAACCTACAGTCCATATTTTATTGATGCCATACTCAAAGAAACCAAGGAATGCCATTGACCAGTATATCCTGACTTGTCACCCATTAAAAACATTTTGCACATTCTGAATTAACAAAAAAAGGAGACCCTGAATAGCTAAAATCCTACATCAGCTAAGAGTGGGACAACATTTCACCATGCAAAATCCAGAAACTGGTCTCCTCAGTTCCCAAATGTGTTTTTACAAGAAGAAGTAGTGCAACACAGTAATAAACAGGCACCCGTCTCAGCCTTTTTGAACATTTTCTATAAAATAAAAATGTAGAATTGTAAGTTTCAGCATTTAATATGTGTCTTTGCATGATTTTGAATGAAATATAGAGTTTTAAGGATGAGTTAACCATCAAATTCTGCTTTCACAGTGTCCACACTTCTCTGGAATTGAGGTTGTTTATATCTTCTTTAAAAACAAATCCAAGGGTCATTTTTCAGCCTGTGTTCGACTGGAGAACTTGGCTGTCTTATTTACACTCCCTGCCAATATTATTTGTATTTCTCCTCTTCTTATTCTTTCTCTTTATCTTCCCTGTGTTTATGTTTCCTTCATATCAACCTGTTCTCCATATTTTTCTCTCCGTCTCGGTTTCTCTGGATCATCTATTTACGGCCCTTGCTGTGTTTCCCACTCTCCCTGTCTGTCTGGAAGTCCAGACAGTGACAGACTTTTGGTTTTACTAATTCATAGTAAAGTTGGCTAAAGTCTGCGGGAAGATTTCAGACAGCTCAACTTTGTTTTTAAAGCTGCTCTGGTGTCACAAGACATTATGAGTGACCCACCTTCTCCCCTGTCTGCTCTGCTATTCCCAGAATTTCTCTTCCTTTAATCTTTAACTAATTTTTTCCTGCTTTAAATCTTACTGCTCCTCACATTTTCAATTAAGACAAATGGATAATTTGAGAAGATCCACACTTTGCGGTTATAGCCTTAAGTCTTGGTAAGACAGAGGACCACTTCTTGAGGAATCCACATTTTATAAAGATGAATAAAGAATCAGTCCAGAGACAGGCCATGAAACACCTGAACTTCTTTGAAATTGATGCCAGATCCAGCCAGGAAGAGTTACTTGTTGATGTAGTTTTGCAGATTTCATGGTTACTTTCATGTCTAATACCAGTTCCTGTTTCTTTGTCTTGTCCAGGCATGACGAGCTACTCATTCGGGGAGGTCTGTATGCAAGTATGTGGATGAAACAGCAGGAAAGTCTGGAGGCACAAACAGACACACAGATAAACAGTCAAACTCAAGACCTCTGACCTACAACAGAACGTTTATTTGAGACTCTTATTCACATTTGTTTGTAATCTATGATGTAATTGATCCAATTTTATCTTATTAGGAGAATAAAGTCAGGAGAAGCTGAAACTCTGAGCTGTTGTCTTTATTAATTCCTGTCAGATGAATGCTGAGTCTAGACTACTCTATCGTTTGGTTGCTGTTTCAGATTAAGCGATTACAGGGTGTCAATTTGGTGTTGTAATTTGTTAGACAGATACGACAAACACACAGTGGTTCCTAAGCTACTTTCTGAATTTATGTTTATGAATTTTTCACATGGAGAGCGCTCTGTGCTCCAATAGGTCAGCATCACTTTTACAGCTTTTTAACGTTACAAGAGCGTAAACATATCTTTATCTGGGGATATTTACTTTTCTTTCTAGTGAACCTCCAGTTGCAGGTCAATATGTGTACAACAACAAGTGCAAAGATAAGAACATTATTTAACAACTGCAACCACAATTTCACAAAACAGAAACCTTAGCTAGTTTATAATCTTGTATCAGCAATGAACATATGCGAGAATTCATGCGGAAGCTCAATTTGCCACCCCTCAAAAAAAGTGACAATAGTCAGATGTTCTCGCTGTGAATCACATCAGGGTCATTGAAAGCCAAGGTGATTTTGTTACTGGGATTGTTTTGGTGAAAACATCCTGGATGAGCTGAAAGTGCTGGTGTTAAAGGTTAACGTTTGGAGTAAAACTATATCGGCAGCCTGAGGGTCTGATGAAGAGAGACAGATGGGGGTTGTGTTTGTTAGCCATGGATTGGTAGCCAACTTTGTCCATGGTTTTTCTCCATTCAACAGCATTTCATATTTAAATACTCTAGATCAAGACCTCTGTCTTTCACAAACCATCTGTTTTCTATACATTTAGAGTAATTGCATCTGTGGGACCTGTATGCATGTATAGATTGGGAAGTACAATGGGGTGTTAGCATGTCTTTTTGGCCTCTCAACTTTATTCTAATAGGTTTAAATCTCTCTCTGATGCACTGCATGATCAGTTTTCTGGTTTATTCTTGGACATATCTTTTTTAATGAATTTTTTTCTACCTGTGCCTTTCACTAACAACCCCATCAAATAGGCATTGTTTCTTTTACAGAAAACATTGGGTGGTCCTGTTCATTTCAATGTTTTTAACAGAAAATGCTTTAAAATCTTTAACTATGAACACTAAAAATATCTTCCCAAGATTCTGTCCTGTTTTAGCATTGGGGTTCATAGACATTTTTGAAATAGGTTAATGGTTTTTCATACTTGGCTGGGATCCTGACAGACTTGCGAGCTCATGTTTTATTTGCTTAAGCAGATCTGTCTGGTTTCCTTCATGTTTCAACGTGATTTAGGGACAGGCAGTCACAAAAGTCCATTTATTAAGGAGTAGTTTTAAGCATCTTTAGACAACCAAGGTGGCTGCCATTGGCATGAAATACTCTGACTCTGCCATCTGGACAAACTCTACTTGATAGAATTGGTCATATCATACCAAACATTTATTTATTCTTGAGGGAAATTCTCCATAAATAAAGATTTCAAAACTAGCTATCAGGCTCTTACTTAATATAAGTACCAGATTTCACTTGTAGTAATAATGTTATTAAAAACTAATGGAGTTTCAGAGGCTGTGGATCCAACAAATCGCCCCTTGTAACATCAACTAGTATTTTATCTTGGCTCTGTCTCTGTCCCTTGGCTTTTCAGACACTCACAAACACCCATTACACATAATTACTCTGCCTGTAACTTTCATGCTGTTGTCTTCTGAACAGAAACCATTTGTTAATCTTAAATCACTTTTTTAGTCCCAGAAGCCAGACAAATGAATCACAAGAGCTTCACTGATTTCTGAAATGACTTTATTGACTAGATTTTGTGACTCTCTGCATGCAACTAGAAACATATCTGCTAATTTACATCTCATACTCTGTACAGATGATTACACAAATGTGAATATGCACATGTCACCTTGTTGGACAGTTCTGGTCCGAAATGTCCCACTCGTTTGGAAAGTTCATCTTCCCAATCAATCTCTGTCTCTTTAATAAAGAAATCTCTACTGCGGAATAAATCAGTACAACAATACACATCAGTACAAACACAGCAGGGGGGAGTAAGATGTACACTGGGCTGTGGTATATATGGTTACTCACATGTTGAAAGGAGGAGGCAATGTACAGACAAAAGTCACAAATATCCACCAAAAGTAGAGGACAACATATACTTTGTTAGTGTGGGGATGGGTTAATATAAGAGATTGTGCTGTTTCATATGGTGCCTCTGTATGTGATTAAAAACACACACATACATACACACAAGTTGTGCCCTTATTAAAATGCCATAGCCAGTCTGTGTAGCAGCGAGGGCAGCCTCAGTGCTTCATATCTTAATCATGATCGCTGCCAACCACTTTCTGACTCTGGATTCTTGGCTCCCTGTGTCTCTCCTCGTCTCCTCCTTCTCAGGTTAAGAAGCCGTCGTGTCTAAATCCAGAAATACATTCCCTGACTCCAAAGAGCAATCCCTTTTCTTTTTTATGTAACCCGGATTTCCAATATTGTAATTTTGTCTTTGTCGACCATCATAATACAGTATGACTGCACTACCTCATACAGCCGCAGGGCAGCCTTAAAATTTCCCCATGTTCACTTCAGTCCTCACAAACAACAGTGTGGTTAAAGTCAAAGAAATGACTGTAGGTTCTTCAGCCAATAGAGTGTGGTTTGGGTATTGTGGGATTAATTAACAATGGTGTTAAATTACACCCTCAACATGACCTTTGGATTACCTGGGTCAACTTGGGAAGAGGCCCCAGATATCAATATCAATTTCTGTTGGATTCGTAACCAATCAAAAACTCTTCACATGAGCTTTAAGTTCTGATGTGGACATGTGGTCGCCTTTTCTATGATTGTTATTAGCTCACATATCTTCACATTGTATTTGTGATAATCTCTCTTTATTTCCATGCTGTGTCAATTGACACAAGTTTATGTCACTTAAAAACACCAGGACAAGAATCAGCCCATGAGTTGTCATCACTGTGTTCTTGAACTGAATTATTAGAAATCATTGCTCTAAAAAAATGCAAGTCCAGGCTTGATTTACTTGCACTGCTTATCGGTTTTCATCTGTCTGCACATCACCAAACATGAGTAATATGCCTCCCAAACCATATTTCACTATGCTAAAAGTTAATGCTGATTGTATCTGTAAATATATAAATAGCAAGTACAAAAATGTACATGAGTACTCATGTCTATTCTTAGACTTGTTTGCAGTGGGTTTGTTTATTATTGTATCTTAGCTCAGCATAATTTCAGTGCTGTTTTTTGGGCTCTTGAGGAGGGCTCCATTGTAGGACCATGTTTAAGCGATCGAGCCGCTTACTTTGGGAATTAAAGTCAAAACAGATATAACAATTCTTATGGGTGTTAGGATGTATGGTTTCAACTTCTGCTTGAAAAGAGGGATAGAAAAGAAGTAAAATGCAATGTAACAACACGTTTGAGTCAAGAGTCAAAAAACCAGCACTACAACACATTTGGAAAAAAGAGATTGGAAGAGGAAGAGGAGGATAGGTCAGAGGAAGTTAGAGGAGGAGATCGGGAAAGGAACGGTGGTAGGAAAGTGGCAAACACAAGGTGAAGAAGAGGACAGAATAAAAAAAGAAAAACAGACAGTCATAAAGGAACAAAGCAGAAATAACTCGTAAAGATAAAAATGGAGATGGATGATTGGCTTTGAAATGTTGAAGTGCCTCGGAAATGTCGCATACACACTTCACACACACACACACACACACACACACACACACACACACACACACTGACCTGAACATCAGCTAGCACTGGTCTCTGAGAGTGGTTGTCCTCCTGCTGAACTCATAAACACACACACACACACTCTTCACATGGTCAGGACACCCATCCCGTTGGGATGAGCTGTCAACGCGATGGTTACCGTCTGAAGAGAGAAAGAACTCAAACACTTCAAAAAATAAAGTCCTACATTAACGCACACCAGAATAGGTGCATGTGTGTAATGCAAACTCGTGTACAGTGTGCATGTGTCCGTTATTAATTTGTTTTCCACTCAGACATTCTCTCTTTCTCTTTCTCTTTCTCTCTAACTTTCCAGTCAGTCTCAGTGTCTCTCTCCCTTTCAGTTGGTCCTCCTGTATTTCTGGTGCCAGAGCGCAGTTGGCAGATTCTGGCAGCCCTGGTACTCCCGCCGCATCTCGTTGTCCGTCAAAGGAGGTGTGACATTACAAGGGGCGCCTGCCAGTGTCACATTCAAAAGCCCAGCCCATGGCTCTAGGAGGCGGGACATCCCAGAACCCTGAGAACGTGAGAAAAAGTCAATATTCAAAAGTGAGTTCTCAAAGCGGACAAAAATCCAGCAAATGATTAAAGTGACAAAAACTACCTTTCCCAGGTGATCCAGCAGGCAGGTAGCAGGGCTTATGTAGGACCAGCTGCTGTCATCCCAGCCAGGGTTCAACCTCTGGTGGGCCTGCCGAGTCTGGCTCTGGATCAGGACAACATTGTGGTGTTTCTGGGACCCTCGCAGCCTCTTGGAGAGAACGCCACTGTAGCTCTGATCCACAAACAGCAAAACACGGGTCGCCTTGCAGCCTGCCAGGTCAGTGAGAAGCTCATTCACAGAGTATCGCTCCTTCAGATCAGCCTGAGGAGAAAGAGGGGGAAGAGGCACAGTGTAATTGACTCACTTCACCACAACTTGACACTGCATATTTAAGGCAATTACACCAGCGCCTTACTCAGTCATCACTCAACACAAGTGCATCAAAGCTCTGCCACTTCAACGCTCTTATACTTTTACAATGAACCATACAAAAGTTTTATTTCGCTGGCCTTGTCTGTGAATTTGCACTGAACTATAGTGTTTTCGATGTGCTATACCATATAAAAGCTGCACAAAAAGAAAACAGTGTCAAAAGGAAACTCTAAATTATATAAACTCAAAAAAATTAAGACAGCAACTAAAAAATACTACAAAAGAAAAACAATGCAGCAAAATGTTAGTGCAATGGATGTATATCTTCAACATGTTGTACACCAGGAATACAAACTATCATGCAGACACAGATGAGGAGAGGAGAGCAGGGAGAGGAGCAAGAGGAGAAGTGTGTGTGCATCTGAAAAGCAGAGGGACAGAGTACGAACAAAGAGTGAGGCGGTAACCATCACAAGCATGCACAAGCTAACATCTTCCAAGATGCTTAAGGCCCCGCTGCCTATATCTCGTCTTAGATTGAGTCAGCATCCCCAACATGGCAGCCGCTATTGTTTGGCTTAGAATCTCCTTTACGACAATCAGTGTGTTTACATGCACAGCTTAATCGGACTAAGCTCATAATTCGTTTTTTTTCACCGAACTTCTCTCCTTGTCTGCGTATACATGCAGCTGAGAAAATCGAATTATTGACATGAACGTGTCCTCCTCCCCAAAACTAGGGGGCAATATGGGTCTTTTTAGCGGCACTGTTTCCAGACCTTTTTAAAAGATGTCTCCGTTCCTTGTTTTTCGACCATCCATATACTTTAAAATGTCCATTTCTGTCAGGACAGAAAGCATAACGGCACTTTCCTCGTCGTTCCAAAAGTAGATATTCTTTCGTGCTTCAGCCATGTTGCAGTTGCTTCTGAGTTGAAAGTTCTTTAAATGATAGCGCCACTTCTTCTCTGGTGTTTTTGTTCTCAAACTCTGATTATAGTCGGTCTAAGGTGTTTACATGCACCTCAGTTGTCTGGTCTTAATCAGAGTGAGGCAATAATTCGGTTTTCTCAAGTGTTTTCTCCACGGACTGACTGATGAAATAGCTGAGACTAATTCCATGACTGGTTGTAAATGGCATAAAATGAGATTTCCAGATCCCTGCCATTCATGATCAACTATGTATAACTGTTTCCTTTGCATACAAGCATACATAGATGATAAGTTAGTCTTCCCATGCACCTTAAAATTTCAGCTGAACTATATTTTGCATCCATTTCTTTTCTCTAGTTTTCCAATAACAGCATCAGCTAATATCACTTATAAAGTGAAATTAAACACCTTTTTTTCCTTTGGGAAGTGTTAGTTTAAAGCCTGTGGGACTCACTCTGACCTGATCACTGGTGTAAAATACTTCTCAGTAAAAACAGTCTTCAGACGAGCCCATGTCCTCATTCAGAAAACACTGACTGCGATGACAGAAATTCAGTTGCCTGGGTGGTCTTGCTATGTGCGTATATCTATGCATGTGTGTGTGGTCAGAGTAATCGTCTTATCAGGCTGATAATTTTTACCATGTGCGTCCAGTGGATCATCTTCCTCTGAAGTCTGATCTGTTTTAAACTGGAGTTTGACGTCTCTCTTTGAAGTGTCTTTTCGTCTGTGTGTGTGATCTAGATACTGTGTAATGATATGCTCTGTACACACACAGTTTTGTCAAGTAACGGGAATAAACATGCACATAGTTTACAGAAGAGGCAATGCGCTACATAAAAAGTGCACCTATTTCATTCACATTTTCACACACGGAATCAAAGTGAATATGGACTGATGCCAACAGATAATAGTCCTGAGGTTTAATCTTATGCCATTTCACTCATTTCTTTGTCATTAGAGCCTTGTCCCTTCATTATGAGATTGTGCGTCTCTTACAATGCCGTTGAGGTTGGCATCCCACAGCAGCATGGTGCCGTCGTTGCGTGTTGGAGAGTTCAGGTAGAGAACCAGTGTGTCGGCGCAGTGCTGCTTCCTGCAGATGTACGAGACGTGGTTACGAATCACAGCTTTCTCTGTAGCTGAGTGCACTCCCTCCAAATCTTCTGTAGAAGAAGGAAACAGGGTAAAGTTATACACAGGGCTATTTTTTACCGCCTACTTTAGCCTAATTCAGCTTTAGTTGGCATTACAACAATATGGTCATGATCATGACTCATTAAGACTAACCCTGGATTTTGGTCTGTTCCTTTAGAGACAGTTTGGTCAGCTAATCTTGGACAGTGAAAATCTCATGTAAACCTTTAACTACACACTCCTACCAGGAAGCTGTACACTGCCAGCGAAGAAGGTCTTGATGTGATCTTTGTGGAAACCGTTGTTCTGCAGCATCCTGTAGAACCTCTGAAGGTTTTGAACATGGCGCTGAAACGTCATCTGCTGCTGCCAACCACCTGTGGTGTAGATGCAAATGTACTTAAATATGGCAAATCAAAGTTTGACGAGCAAATGGCTGTTTTTGGTTTATCATCATAATTATTTTTTTAACTGTATGGTGACTTGCCATGCCCCAGATGACATGATATAAGATTTTAACCTCATGATTGTTGTGCATATAAAATAACAGGATAACAATACTACCCCCATATTCATAAAAGTATGACTCAACTTCAAAATAAAATATTACAGTCAGTCAAATTGGAAAAAAAGGCTAGACAAGGGAAGAAAGACAGTTTACTTCATCATCTTTACCAATAAAGACATTTTACTGACATGTCATATCTATGTTGAATGATGTTCAAATTTATGATGTGTCAACATCACCATATTTTTTGTTTTTCTGCTGTGTAAAACTACACTTTTATTTTTAAGTAAATTAAGCTTGCTTGAATATGTTATTCAGCTGATTGGGAAAAGTTAAAAAAAGGGTTAGAAGGTATAAATGTTTATCTGATAAGAAACTCAAGATTAGATTTCAAGATTTCAGGAATTATTTTTATACTGATCTCGCCTAGGTCCTTGTCATTATATATTCATTTATGTTGATCACAATTCAGGTGTATAAAAACAATTAATAACCCTACCTGAGATGAGCACAGCGTGGTCACAGGTCTGATAGAGTCGGCAGGAGAGGTGAGTGGCTAACGGCTGTTGGTGGCAGCGTCTGGTGTTTTTATTCAGCTCACAGCTGGAGATCGGCAAACTGGGAGAGACCATTGGCAGAGGCTGGGGGCACCTCGCAAACTCTGGTTGATCTGTTAAAAGAAGAAAGCATTTCCAGTAACTTCCAGTGTTAGGAGAAAGAGTTGGGGGGCTTGACTTGAAATTGAGTTGGAAACAAAAAGAGCTTTTTACCGGAGCAAATTTCCTGCTATAAGGCAAAAACAAACTTAGTGTGCCGATATACTCAGTCAGCTGTGGGTTTAAATGGGTCACAATCAACAATTAAAGAATATTTCATCTCAACATATCTGTAGCCAGAGGTGGGTTTGTGGTTTTATCCCGAGGATTGTCTTTGTTTGCCATAACAGCATGCTATCGTTTTCCCAGCACTTGTTCTCACGAGGCCCAGGTTGCTGGCAGAGGCTGCAGGTGTGGGTGGTCCGGGGGTTATATGAGAATAATTTTACATTTTACCCAATCTCCTGCCACGGAGAGTTAAATGATAAAGCCCAGGTGGTGGTTTACGACCTTATTTTGAATTCATCAGAACTATTTTGGATCATATAAGAAGTCACAGTATTTTTCCACGTCTATTGACCTGATAATCTCCTGACCTAACCTTCAGGAAAAAGTACAAGCCCCAAATCATGTCAAGAACAAAACAATCCTTTGGCAAGTTTGACAAGACTAACTAACCGATGAAACCCATTAATGAAGACCTACCGACACATCTGAGTCTCTGTGTCCGATTGTTGTCTCCAACTCCGATAACTAGTGGAAGGAAGTGGACTTCACAGAGTCCTCCAATAGCACGGTCCAGCAGACGGCTGCCGCTGCTGGTTGTAATGGAACCTCCACGCAGAGAAACACTGGATAGCCGGCCACGCGCGTTACCAATAATCCTGTCAGGACTGGCTTGCCGACGCTTCAGCTGGTTCTGACAGCGACCCTTCAAAGCCAGAGTCAAACACTCCTCACCTGAGGAGAGAAAGACGTTTGTTGAGATAATCGAAGATACCAAGTTCCTGCAGTTGGATATCAGCTGTGAGATAAAAGACTGTCAGTGTTCGCTTGGTGAGTTGGGAGAAGGGTCATGCTACAAGGTCCATTGACGGATTACTTTGATCAAGATCAACCATGTGTTTTCATCCCGGGTTGTCAACCACCAACACCAACCCCCCTTTACTTACACTTTCAAGGTGATTTTTTAACTTTTATTTTTGATAGATATAGGCCCTGAAACTCACTTATTTTTGAGGCTCTAAATCTACAAAGTTATCTGTGGTGATCCACGGGGTTGGTTGGAAACCTCTGACTCCTGTGTGAAGGACATGTGCTGTGTCTGAAGTCATGCACTCCTAATTGCTAGCATCTGAGGGCGTTTCGTGTAGAGGACTATGTAGAGAGCTCACTGGCGCAATAGAAACACTCAGTGTGTTTACATGCACAGTCAAGTCGAGCTCGGTCAGGCAATTTATCTGGACTTCTGACCTTGTCCTGGTTTACAGGCACAGAACAATAATGGAATTAGTGACAGAAACTCCTCTGCCTCTGCTACTGTAACATCCCCCCTTTCAAGTCATTGTACTATTGGGAAATTCTACTGACTGACCTATTACATATCAAAACATGCTAGAATGTTTTCGCAAGAGGCTAAAAGTATGTTAGATAAACAGTTTAAACACCATCACTTTTCCAGCTCTGCACCATTTGTAGTACAATATGATATCTTAGTCTTTTTTACGTCCTTCTTTGCTTGTCAAGGTTCTGCTAACTACCTGACCTCTATCAAAGCATTTGTGTTTGTCAACGTCTGGTTCTTACTGGTGTAGAGAGGGTGGACCCAGTTGTTTGTGATTAGTGGATGCAATAACGTACTTGCTCTGTCAAAAATCCTTTACTCTTTACAAAACTGCGTCAGGATTTTTGCAGAAATACCACTTAATGTTATTCATGTTATTATTTTCTCATGGTATTATGGTTTTTCTTGGTTAGTGAATTCAATGAGTCCACTAGGTAGGGCATAGTAGTTCTCAACAGCACGACTAAATGGCAAATTTCCTTAATGGTGTACTAAATATTGGCTGAGTAAGTAGTAAGTGGTAAGTCGTGGCTGAGTTTGTACCATGCCATTCTTGAGTTTTAGCCTGAATGTCACCTCAGGCAGAGTTTAATATTGGACAGGTTGGGTTTACTATGGCATCTCTTTGGTGATGATAATAAAGTGTCAGGGTGACATGCTGATGGCTGTGTCAAAGACTCAAAACTTTATACCTTTGGAATGAGCGTGAGAATGGATTTCCATGCTGCAGATGAGAAAATATGCACAACACCCAATATTATAGTGTATAATGGCTAGGGTTTTGGCACCTATGTATGAATAAATCCATTTCCATTTACTTATCTGATAAGAAAGATTTCCTTGCTGCCTACTTAACCCTCATTTCACCTGTCCTCTAAACCTGTCCCTCTTTTTCCCCCTACCTCTCTGTCCTCCTGTGTTTCACCTTTTCCTTCTCCCCTTCTAATTCTTGCCTCCCGTCCTCCAAGGGTTAAATGAGGTCTAAAGAAAGTTTTCCTCTTAAAAGTGTCAGATCCAAAACCATCCGCAGGACCCAGCAGGGGGTTCAGTGCCGTATGAATAATTGACAGGTGTGTGTTCGTGTTACGCGGGGCCAAATTCACCTCAAACATCTGGCCATAACCTCTCGCACAGCGGGAGGTCAACAACTTGCACTTTCAAACTCGTCTCTTCTGCAGGACTTGTGAGGACCGTCACGGAATACATTCACGGCCTGTCCCTTCGGACTTTTTCTACATGAATAAAGCACTTTGGAAACACTTATTTTGCTCTCCTTTTTGGCCTTTCATGCACAGCGGAGCTGGTGTTTGCTGCCACCAAAAGTGGAGCTTTTTAGAAATGTTGCTCTTTGATTGTCAACCCTTTTACCAATATGACCAAAATACTCACACCTAAGTGTCCCCTTCTCTGTTAGAATCAGAGAACTTTGGTGTTTGGTAGGTTTGTAAGAGCAAAATTAAGATGTAGTCAATGTTCAAAAAAGCAAAAACTGACCAAGGTGCAGATTATTACAGGGATGAATAAACAGAGACACAAAAGAATTAGAAATAAGACACAAAACATCAGAAAATACCTCAAAGGTTGAACACCAAGTTATGAAAACGGTTGCATTTACTAAAAGGACACAACTTGAACCAAATTTGAACAATAAAGTTGTATTTTTTCATGTAAATTCATCATTGGCAGGAAAATAATTTTACTTATTTCCATGTTGTTTTTGAAAGCTGGGCTTTGGATAGTTCTAGACACTGTATATCCTAATACATATGTACTTATTGGACTTGCAGACTTGCATATCCTAGAAAGCTGGACGTGAATTTGAGAATTCGAAAACCGTGTTTGCACTTGTTCTAGTTTTCTATGCTTTGATATATCTACACATTTTGTTGCAACGCCTGGAATAATCTTTGAAAACCCTCCAAAAAGTGCTAGAGCAAGTCTCAAAATGGTCCTTAAAGAAGTGGTAGAACAACCAAAATACCCTCAACTTTTAAAAGTCTTCATTCTAAGCCATGAATCCAAGTTGGTTATCCCAAAAAGTGCAAGATTGGACACGCAATCACACACAGATAGAGACATATTAGAAGTCACCGAGGGCAAAAAGTGCAGTGGAGGTAGCTGGGTCGACCCCCCTCTGAGCAGGAAAGTGTTCTGCATCAGACAATGAGCTATAAATGGAGCTTTCAGACGGTGAGACCACGCACATTCAACTTTAACTTTCTCTTCTGCTTCATTTCAGGGCAGTACTTTTTTTGCACACACAAACTGAAAAAGCTTATACACACTAGATACAAACACTTTAAACTTAAAAAACACAGATATTTGGTACAAGGAGGCCAACAGAAGTTTACAGAATGAAGACGGTTTCTTTGACAAGTCTCACCCTCATTGAAATAAAGCAGCACAACCATAAGTCATGAGATAAATAGAGAATATAAGAAGACTCAATATATATATACCAAAAAACTTTATAAAGTTAAAAAAATTAAAATATTATCAAGAGGAACACGTTAACCTGGCATAAGGACTCTTTGTGGACTACTCCACGAAAAATGTGCATGTAAACATATCTGTCAAATGAAGTGTACCTGATAAAGATAATTCAGGGTTTACACTGTACTTATGTCAAAGATTATATGAGAGAGATATGATAAATTGAAATGTAAAGCTTAAGTTACCAAGTACACAAGTTTGTCAGAAATCAATGTTTCATTTGAATATTTGAGTAAAACATGTAATGTCTGTCTTGAGTAATGGTAAACAGCCCAGATTTCAACTCTCTTATCAGGCCTGATTTTGTGAGCAATAAAAGATGAATTTATAACCTATTCTGTGAATAACATTTTGAAAAGCTGCCAAAAAATGTTTATATAATGTCCTTTATTTATTGCATGTAAAATTGTATCACTAAAAACTTTGACAATCTTATTAAAGAAGCCTTTTACCACCACTGATGGAAATTGTAAAGGTCTAAAAACAGTGCCCTGCTGCACACCATTTTGATTATTAATTGCTTCTTCTCTGTGTCGACTTTATTCATGTTTTTATTGTCCTGTAGACCTCTGTCTCACTCAGCCTTACTGTTAAATGATTGACCAGAGGTCAACGCTGTAAAGGTACCCTTTGAAGCACCCCCTATCTAACAATTTAAGCTTGTTTAAATCAACTATTTGGTGAAACTGTATGAGTTTAGTTGGTGAGAATTGACACTTATGGATATCTAATAGCAAAGAAAAACTTGCATTTAAGGAGCATTTGATCCAAATTAAACAATGACATACTGCACACACAGAAAAACTATTAGTAAACATTGACTCACCGAGGTAGATGCCGTCCATGTGGGAGCATCTCTTCTTAGTCACATTCACGTCCACATAGAAGAGGACTACTGGGTGCCCAAAGTTCTCCCCAGGGCTTGGATCCAACACCAGAACAGCATCATGGGCTGTGAGTCCAGGAAAAGCCTGCTGGTACCTGGTGTCTCCTCCATTCAGCATGCGGCTGATGCTGTAACTGCCCCGCGGCTTGGAGCCCATCATCCCATTTGAGGATTCAGGCAGGATGGCCAGGACTTTGTCAGGGTTACCTGCAGGTGTTAGAGGAGTACACTAGCTGTTACAAGAACCGTAAATAAGAATTATTTTTCAAGGAAATAAAAGAGAAGACCATTTGGAGCTTTGAACACAGGTCTCCTAAATGGTATGGTAATTTAAAGGTCATATAGGGAAATCAGATAGCGTTTGGTAGTGCAGCTAAGAGGGAAAATAGGTTTCGTTTCGAGATGGAAATCAAAAATTTATCACAATGTTAACTAATTAATACTTTGATTACAGTTCTATTTATTATTCAAGTTTAACTGACTTTAAATTGGCAATAAAACACCAACACAACACAGCACAGTCATTTTAAATGCAATTTGAAGTTAATCAAGGACAATGTCTGAGGAAAATGCACATTTTTGCACTGTAACAATAGTGGTATTCATTTACTGTGTACGTTTAGACACGTCAAACAAAAAATTTAACTGTGATTTTATATTCGAAGACTGTGTCAATACATTTAAACTCAAAATTTGGGTATCAGAGGACCCTTATTGAAAGAATAAGATTATATATTAGCTTGTGTTGCCCGCTGATGACACATTTTGATGAGGTTTTTGGTTTTAAAATTGAACATTTTACACATCATACAATGTTTTTCAGACAAGGGTAACCGTAACCCCTGTCATTGGTTTTTGTGTGTTTAATTCAGTAGCAGGATGACTTTAGATGTCTGTCTAATCAAATACATTCATGTAGAGTTTGGAATACCAATAATTTAAGTAGTAAGGAAATAGATTTTGAGTTTTATTGTAAACTTAAACATTAATTGTGACATATTTTATAACAAATCAGACAAATCAGTGATGGAATTTGTCTTGGTGATGTTGCAAACCAACTTCAGACTTACCCAGTCATGTTTTTAAAAGGAAATCAACGATATTTTGATCAAATTAATCAGTTTGATTGAATTAACATCCTGTTTGAATAAAGTAAATAGAATCTTTATGATGCAGGTGTTCATATTGAACTGGTCTGACTCTAGAAATGTGTAAATCAGTTGTTTCTTCTTCTAAGTTTGACCTCTTAGCTTTAAAATTCAAAAACAACCCAGGGCTGTGTGACCTTTGACCTCCCTACCTGCAGCGGTGCGAGGCTCTGACACGTACACAGCCACGGCGGACATGGGCAGGTGGGCGAGTCGCCTGCACTCTGCCTCGGAGAGCGAGGACATGCGGAGGCAGCGGTCCAGCTGGTCCCACTGCAGTGACTGGAGGCCGGAGCGGACCCAGCGCTCCAGCCGGCCAGGGGTCACGCCGCCTGCTGAGGCTGCGGCCGCCATGTGGAGGATGAGGATGGAGAGAGGAGCTGCGAGAAGCACCAGGAGCCTCATGGTCTCACCCGGATGATTGATGCTTCTGGTTCTTCTTTCCTGACTTTCTCTTTTACTTCTGTCTTCAAGCCGTACTTCTTTAGTCCACTTTTCTGTTGATTTTTTTTTGTTGTTTTATTCCTGTTTTTCTCCTCGGTTCATCCTTTTCACCTCTTTTTGCCTTATTTTTCTGTCCACTTAACACTCCCCAGTACAATTCTTTTTCTTTTTTGCCCAATTATTCCACTTTTTCTTTAATTTTCTGTCTTTTATTACTTTCCCCCCTCTTTATTTATTTATTTTTATGCATTTCTACACAGTCTTTTTCTCTTTTTGCATGCCTTGAACTTGTCCCCTCTTCAGTTCTGATGTCCTCTTCAAAATAATTTATCAAAATGTTGTTCTTTTTCTATTTAAATTTCTTTTTCTTCCCTCTTGGAAAAGAAATTTACAAAACTGTTACTCTACAACATCCTTTATCAGCAGTTCTTATGAAAAATGTCTCTTTTCCTGCTTTTTTCTTTTTTTGTTTTGAGACTGAAAATCCAGAAACTTGTGGTTTTCTCAGTTTACTCAATCCTTATTTGTATCTGTCCTCTTCTCTCTTTGCATCAAAAGTGATGCTGCAGGTATCAACATCCTTTTTTAGTGGCTTTTACAATGAATCCCTTTTCCTTTTTTCTGAGCATCACTTCTTTATTCCTCTTTCCTCCTGGATCGTCAGATCATACAAAATATATCCAAGACTCTTCTGATTGTTCTTAGCTTTTGGAGACTTCTTCTTCTTCTTCTTCTTCTTCTTCTGAAGTCCTCTTTTAGGAGAGTGATTGATTCAACCAGCAGTTTCAGTCTCTTTTTGTTTGTATTAAAAGTGAAAGATCATCCTGAAGAGAGCAAAATGTAGTCCTGACTGGAGGAGAGAGTCAGCGTCTTGTACCTCTGAAACCAGTTTGTCCTGCAGAGTCTTTGCTCTCAGTGACACTTGAGACCAGAATCATCCAAAGATCCTGCAGCCCAGCCCACCACTGCTCAGCTCCAGTCTCTCTCTCTCTCTCTCCCTCTCTCTATCTCTTTTTTTCTCTCTTCCTCTGTTTGTATGCTCTGACATGCTGACATGCCAGAGGTGAAGAGGGGAGGATATGAAGAGAGATACAAAGTTTATGGAGTCTTGAAGGGGGAAAGTATGACTGGAAGAAAATAAAAAGACATGAAAAGAACAGAAACTACAAATAAAGAAAAGGATGGGACAGAGGACGTGAAGAAAAGTATCAGAATAAAAATAATAACAGAGCTAGGGCTAAAGATAAAGCAATAACAGTGATGGGAGAGATAATAAAAGAAATCCTATATGCAAAGGTGGAAAGACTGAAGGTAAGAAAAGGAGACATAAGCAAGCAGGTGTAAATGGAGAAGAGACATGCAAGAGAGGTGTGGCTGGTCAAATGGAAAGAGAAGGTCAAAATGTACGGAGGCCCTAAAGGTCAACTACATTACAATTGCACTTACATGAAAATATTTTACAAAACATAAACATATTTAACAAAATGCAGAAATATTTTATAAGTCCGAGAATCATTTTAAAATCAAACAAAAAAATATATTTTTACATTTTTGCATTCATGAAAAAGATTTCTGCAGAGTGTAAAATGTTCTTAAACTTTGTATAATGACTTTGTTTTGTCAAATTATTTTACATTTTGTGTAAAGTTTTTGGATTGCAAGACATGGTTTATATTTCATGAAATTTTTTTGCATCTCTCAAAATATTTTTGCATTTTGTGAAAAGTTTTTGCATTTCAAAAAATTCAGGGCCACTGTAGACAAGAGTGATGGAGGAGTTAAAGACAGGAGGTGTAAGGAGAGGAAAAAAAAAACTTAAGAATAAGAAAAACTCAGCATCATGGGAAAAAGAGAAGCAGAAAAAAGTGATGAGGGACACAGAAAAAAAGATGAGAAAGAGAGGGAAAGAATTGGACCGAAATGGACAGAAAAGAGAGGGACAGAAATTCTTGAGGGAGGATGAGGGCTAAGCAGGCCAGGGAGAAGACATCAGGATGGAAAGAGTTGGAGAAAAAATATGAGAAAAGAGGAGAGGGAAAATAAGGTGAAAAATGGGAGTAAAATCTTTAAAGGAGAGAAAAAATCAAGAGGAGCTTGGAGGAAGGATGGGACAAGGGGCAGTGTTGTTTCTAGTGGTCCTCCCTCTGCTGAGCCCTCTAGTGGTCAAACTGATGATGTGCATCAAGTCCTGCTCTCAAGTGGGAAATAGAGAGATTTTTTTATTATATATTTTTTTTATCTTTAGGGCTGTGTGAAATTTAAATATTTTAACTTGTATAATGTAGCACATCTCTCTTGCTGGTACCTAAAATAGTGACTTTTGACAAACATCTTTTTGAGTCCTTATTCAGTGGTAATATTATATAACAATAAATAATACATTTTATTTATAAGGGCCTTTCTGAGCATTTAGCAAAGTAGACTATGTTAAAATGTAATATAAGATTCCCAAACCATGTTCAAATTAACCACCTGAATATGAAAATAATTTTTACTTGGCTTTTATATTTATAACCTTCCATGAAGGCTGCCATCAATATCTGTCATGTTTGTACAATCATATATAGTGGACAAACTTGTCACAAACACATTGAACTTAGTGGGTGGCTGGGTGGACAAAAAAGGAAAATGGGTGTTTATTGTGCTAAAAATAATCTTTATTAAAAGATATTTTTGAAAGAAAAGCTGACAAATGGAGAATCATACTTATGCATCATGGGAGCTTTTTGTCTTTAAAGGCCACCAAGAAGGGGTGAGCAAAGGAGCATTACAATCTAGAGTCTGAGCTAAATATTGCATAAAATACAAAGTTGTACTCACTGCAGTGCCTTTAGAGATAATAAAAATGTTTTGTGAGACCTTTAGTAGTATAGAAATCCTCCACGTTTGAGATAATGTCATTGCCACACATATTCAGCGATATTTTCTATAATGTCATACGTCATAGGTGAACGTAAAACTAACGAGAACTGATGAAGAATATTTTTTAAATTTATTTGACCAATTTTTTTATAAGAAAATGTTGTTAGTGAAATAAACAGATGATTTTGAATAGTATGTTACCGAGCCGTAAACCACAACAGAGAAAACATCTGTGATCATCTTTTCTCAATAGACGATCTTCGGCCACGATGTTGTACACAGAGCATTTAGCTAGCGGCTGCAACGTGAGAAAGTGCGTCGAGTAGCCCCTTGCTAGACCGACGAATCAACATGATATGGACACTACATGGGACCAAGTATGTAACAATATCTGTTAATGAAGTTATACCGACACTGTTTGTTAAGTAGAGGTATCTAAGAGAGTTGGTTCAGTGTTGTTGGTTGTTGCTAAGCTAACGCGGCGGTCTGGAGCAGTGGTAAACAAAACGCGGTGAACCAGCGAAGATAATGTGAACGACTGACTGTCAGGGCCGGTCTTTTAATTTGGAGTTATTATTCAGCTTAATACTGATGTTTCAAAGTTAGTTTGACCCAAAGGTGTGTTATCCTTCGGTAAAATTAACCTTAACTTATTACAGAAAGTCAGTGGGTATGCTAACCTGAGGCTAGCAGCGTGTACTGAAACGTTGAGCACACACGTGAGTTTGCACTGACAGGAGTCCTGTCTGAATTCAACAAGACTGTTTAAAGGAGGAAAAATACATGTCTTTGAAAGGAAAGTGTTTCTTTGTTATTTGAGATTGCTTGTTGAGAGATTCAGGTGGGCTAACGCATCTTAGGAACCTAATTTAGCCCTGATATCACTTTTATAACATTGCTTAACATTAAAACTCAAATACAAGTCCTCTAAATGCTTTTCTTTTTCAACCAGCTATCAGAAAATCACAGATTTTTGTTTTCTAAAGCATGTCAGTCTTACTGGATGATATAAAAATGTCATATGTGTTATTACCAGAAGGGAAATACATTAATATTTCACTTTACTGAAGGAGCTTTGGCTTATTTTAATGATAATAACTAAATTGATTGTCAGATTTTGATTATAGTTAAACATTTTTAAGCTTATATAAAAAATGAACAGGTGTGAGCTCTTTTACCGCACTCTGAATTGATAGTAAGCATAAATATGGTCTTTTTTCACAAACAATTTAACATTGTTTTAACTGTTTTGCACAACCTCTTCATCTACCTCCTCTATCTCCCTCTATGAAACTTTACTCTAACATTTTTCTCCTTTTGTGCCATTTCAGTGCTGAATTATATCAAGTTATTCCCTCCTGTGAATCATCAAAGGAGGATAGTAGGACTCGAAGGACACACTCCAACGTCGAAGACTTCGCACCTAAGTGAGAACGGGGTGTGGTGTCTTGAAACTTTCAGAGGAAGGAGAAACATTGGCGGCTCCGTCTGTGTCAGCTGATGCTTCAAGGACTCCTCGACTCTTGTTTCATCTGACTGTTAGTTTGCCTTTGGAAGTAAAACCTTATGTGCCTGCCTCATCTCACCCTGCAGTGCTGAGGTCTCACAGAGTCTTGCTTACCGTGATCACAACGTCTGGGTTTAACTGTCGCACTGCTGTCGCTGCAACTGTGGCAGCAGGTATGTTGACTGTTGGTCAGGATTTACAAAGAACTTGTAGTCGATTTACAGAGACCAACAGAAGATTTACAGTTCTATCCAAGCAGAGCTGACACCTAAAAAGTCCTTCCTTCAGACCTCTCATCAAAAGGAGGAGCAGGGAGTCCTTCATCTCTGGATTTCTGTCTCGACCGCTCATTACAATCCACCCTTTTCATTTACATCCACATTTTTTTGTTTGGGAGGTGCAATGCCTACCAACCAGTCCTCCCCCTGGGGTGGAGGTAAGCTCCGAGCTGACTCAAGCGTAGATAGTTCAACCACTGCGACCTCCATCAGTGCACACGCCAAGACTGTTGCAGCTGCTAAAGTGCCTCTAAGTCAAACTTCTTCAGATCTGTCGAGGAGGAAGGATCAAGCCAAACCTCTCTCCTCTCACGTTGCCTCGCCTGTGCTCCCTGTGTGGGAAAATGGAGACGGAGATAAACCAAGCACCAAGAGCCAATCCACCGCTGTGCCAGATCAGCCTCTAAACCTGCCGCAAGAACTGAATGGAGGTCAGAATCCAAACCAAGTACGAGGTGTGGGACTGAAGCAGGCTGGGAGTATCCTCAAAGAGATGAATCCCCCTTCCTTCTTCCTGCAGAAAACCAACAAGCTGATGGTGAGACATGCATCAAAATTATTGATGAATATTTTAGTCGTGAAAGGGTGAAAACACATATCTGATGTCTTCTTTTTGTCTCCGTAGCCTGAAGCTGCAGACTGTTCCCCCTTACCATCAGTGCCTCCACTTTGCCTTACTCTTAGTGAACACCAGGGGGCACCATCGGGTAAAGACGCCTCCAGTTTTGACAGCACAAAAGTAGAAACGAGGAGCACAACAGCCACAAGGAGAATTTATTCAGCTAAAACAGCAAGAAAATGCATCCAGAGACCAAACAGCAGCACAAAAATGACCTTTTTTAACAATCAGCTGCTGGTAAGAGGCGGTCCTCCTCCATTGATGACAAACGGCAAGTCACAAACAACAGCAACACTAAACTTAAACAAGCAAGCTGCAGAGGGGCAATGTCGACCGAGAAGCACTTTGTCCACATGCAGAAGAAATAGTTCTCCAGCAGTCAGTCCCTGTCCTAATGGACCGACGCCAACCGTGCTCAGTGCCAGTGTCTGTGCCACTCAGGAGAAACAGCCCACACCCATGGATCTCAGTACAAGTAATTTTCATAATAACTCACCCAAGAATCCTTGATTGATTTTCAAAAAGACATGTAGACTCAACAAAGTGTCAATACAAGCAGAATTTGATGGTTTGCAGATTAACCTATTAGTTGGGAGACGTTCCTGTTTTTTTTTTTCTAGTATTAAAAAGACGTTAATTAAAAATAAAAAAAAATATTTATCACTGAAGGGAAATTTAATATTAAGTGACGTTTTCAAAGTTTTAAAGGCCCCCGTCTCAGTTTTTTAACGTGTCAAAAAAGTTTTAAATTAAAAGTGTGTCTTTGAAAACATTGTTTCTCGATCACCTTTACCTAACTTGTTAAAAACTCTGTAGCTGTTTGGCTGTGGTGTCAGTTGCAGATGTGGCTCCTGGTCCTGCTGGAGCCTTAGTGGGCTCTGTGACAAACCAGATCTCTTCGATTCACATCACCAGACAGGGACAGCCTGCCTCCATATCATCCTCATCTCTAATGGAGGAGTGTCAGGGTGCTGAGACTCAGCTGTCTGGGTGAGCATCTACAAATGACTTCTTGATAACCAGATGTGTATGAATCTTGTTATTCCTCCTTTGAATCTTACTAGAAATTGATCAGAATAATTGTTTCCAGTCAGGAGTTCGTAATGCAAGTGGACGGCGTTGAGGAGGAGCTGCCTGATGAGCTGGAAAACACCTGTAGTGACGGTAAACTTTCACCCAGTTTGACTTTAAAATCCACATTTTCACTGTAAGTCACTGATTTTAAGTCGTCTCTGTTGTCTGCAGATGATTCAGACTGTTCTTCCATCAATGGCACCTCATCAACGGCATCAATCGCTCCCAATTCTGGGTAAGACAAACACTACCCAACTAATAACATGCAGTACGGACGTTTATTGATCAAGTAAAGGGACGAAAAACTATTTGCTGCCATCAATGTTAATGTTAGAAGCAAGGGAAAATGAGTGTTTGATACAGGAAACAGAAACATGAGTACAGTAACACTTCACATGACCTGTGAGTGCACACAACATACACACTCACATTTATGGGAGATGACTAGAACTGAAGCTGGTTCCATATTTGAGTCAAGTAAATTACCTGTTTTTGATTAAAGTGTTTATTTTTGATGGTTAGATGTAAAATCAAAAATAAAACAGTCCTTATAAAATAACTGTATCTTTGTTGAGACAGGTGTTTAGAAAAAGCCCTGTGACTAAGATGCCAAAGTCGCAAATAAATCTAATTCATTTTATTAGCAATCAGTTTAATAAAATACCAACATGGATATTAAACCAAATATCAGCCCGATAATCGGTCTACCGTTAGTTGGACCTCTACTTCATCTGCACTCTTGCTGTCTACATGGTGCCTGTAAAGACAGTTTGAGAATGGCTTAAAATACTGAATACCCTGTGAGTGAAATTGAGGTTCTGTAGTTTGTTAAAACAGAGAAATGAAGCTGATTTTTGTTCTCTTGAGTTAATTCAGTATATGCTTCTGTAGGATTTACCTGTTTGCCAAACTGACTGAAATAGTTTCCAGTACGGCTGTAAAGTCCGAATTGACTGGTCGAATTATTGCTGAGTCGACCAAAATTCTGATTGGTCAACTCATTTTTTTTCTACGTCAATTTACAGTCTGATTAATTTCATCGGGAGGAACATACCAAGTGGTAATAGGGGTGTTTTCGGAGCACCCCCATTTCCCAGGTCACAGTCTATCTCAAAACATCCCCCTTGATTTCACCATTTTGGATTCACCTAACCCACTGGAAACCGGCTAGAGACAGGAAGATCGAAGAGCGTTTACGTTAATCAGCGTCCAGTGATTTGCTGAATATTTATATATTAGCCTTTTGTGTTTAATTGCCTACTTGTGCTGATATCAGTATATTCTCAACCCACCAAGCCGCGTTGTCCCCTGACGCAGAAGGGTTTGTTAAAACAAGGTTTTGGTCGACCAAGAATATCTTTGGTTGATTACAGCCGTAGTTTCCAGTGTCCCTGCGTGACCTTCAGAAGCAAAAGAGACCACGACAGATATGATGGATTATATTATATATACCTCGAACCCATGGCAGCTGTCAGATGTGAGGATTAACAGATACAAGAGTTTTGTAGATATCTTTTTTTTTTTTTTGAGGGGGGGAGTGGGTGGGTGTCAGAAAAATCTTCAATATACTCAAATCTGACAGGACAACATCAACAAAAGGATGAACTCTTGCTCAGGGGTCACCAGATTCGACACGGCTCAAAAGTTCCTCACAGCAGCTTTAAGGCGTCGACTAACTTGAAGACAGTGCAGCTCAGAGCGCGTTTGTGTCTTTCTTGGACCTCACAGCCTCCGTCACTGTTTGGTTATTAATTTCCTGAAATGACACAAAGGATTTATCCATCAGATCCTGTGAACTCTTCCTTTCTCTTTCCCATTGTCTCTCACTGTATTGTAATAGAAGCCTGAAAGCAGCAGAGCGCGGTGGAAAGGTCCGCTGCATTGTGCGTCACATTGTGATGTCCAAACTGTGGAACTCCCCACCAAAGACTGGCAGCTGATTCTTTGCTAAAACAGCCTGGATAGGGGCCACTATTGTCACCTTTTTCCCCTCAACCAGCTGATTTGTTTGTGTTCCTTCCTGAATACTTTAGCGTTAGTATGTATAGTATAATGCAGCAGCAATGCCAACGTATACCTGACCGCGGTGGAGGGATTTTATTTTGGAGGAAAGATTTAGAGGAGGATTATCTCATCACTTCTTCCTTCATCTGTCTGTCTTCCTTCATATATGACTGTAACGTGAGTGGCTTTTTCGTTTCTTTCTAAGATTCCTGTAATTGTTAGCTTTACTTTTGGACAGTCTTCATTTTGTAGCAGCAAAACAGAACGATATCCTGAGATCGAATTATGCTCTTCTGTTAACCTAGGGCTGGGCAAAATGGCAAAATCTGTCAGTGTGAGTGATTTTTGGTCACTACATGTTGTTTTTTGGTTTGGATCAGTACAAAAAAAGTCAAATCAAACAGTTTTATCTTGTGTTTTACCAGTTTTTACAGCTTTTTATGAATTTCCTCACCACCTTTTCTTCCTCTGGTCTCTTAACGCCAAATCCAAACAGCAACAGGTCAGAATTGTTGTGTTTAGTCAGCTGAGATTTAGGCTTGATTAAACAACTCTTTTATGGTAACAGGAGATGTGTTTATCACCTCTCACATGCTGCTATTGTTTGTTTTCTAGGGCTTTATGTTAAGTCATGTTTAGATGGCATAAAACTACCTCTACCCATGTAAAAAAAGAAAAAACAGAACTATAAAAGTCTAGATGTCATTTTTCCTCTCCTCTCCACGCCAAGTTAAAAGCTGGTCTTTGTTGTTTTAAAGCTGAAGCACCACCAGCACCTTCCTCCTCCTCAAACATCGTTAAAGAGCTATCTTTAGCTTACAGATGAGTCTTCAAATCTGAAGTAAATGTGTCAACAGCTGACAAGCTTTAGCCTTCCAGATACAGATAAGGAACGGACAGTTAAAGGCAATAACAGAGGTCAGAAAAACGTAATGAAGAAAAACATTCAATAATTAATGTTATTATAAAAACAGCAAAAAACAGGAGCTTAATAAGCTTCATTTGTTGATATTGAACGACTATGTTACTTCTGGTGCCGGGTAGCTCTAGACTGACGACTTTTATTGGGCGCAGATTCACAAACTTGTCTTGTCTTAATCGAATAAAATTCTGTATTTAGTTCACCCCAGAATGTCTTCTCAAGGATGAAAACTCACATAAAGAAAACATGAATTATAATTCCTTTGAGCCGCCTGTTATTTGATTCCTGATCTGATACAAGGAGCTGAATACATCCCATAATGAGTCTTGACTCTCTTCTTTTCAGAGTCGAGGAGCCGATGTTATTGGAGGCAGAAGATGATCGAGAGGAGAGGCCAGCTTTGGTTCCCAGTTTGTTCCCCTTCATCCCGCCGACTCTCTACTTCAGCACCTCCAACGAGAAAGGTAAGAGTATAAAAGAAGCATCATGTAAGTGCTGTCGATTCACCACAAGATGGCAGGAACATTTCAGAAGAGGATGTGAGTGAGCTGCTGTTCAGTTTAGATCATAAGAAATCACCACAAAGCTCAACATAAAGATGTCTGAACTAGGATCCTACTGAACTGGGACTTACTGATTCATAGATCCACCGTTGTTTGGCTGAACAGTTTACATAATACGCAGACACATCTATTATTTTCTGCTGGTGTAAATATTCTATCATGTCTGTGAAGCTTAAAGTGGTTCATAATAGATGCATGTTTGGTGTTTGTGTGCTACACAGTGGAGCTGCTGCCTGTGGAACAAAGACGGCTGTTAAAATGGAAGATGAGTACCGTCACTCCAAACGTTGTCAAGCACACCATCGCCAGGTCCCACTTCAAAGTCACCAAGAGTAAGTCCTCATGTGTTAGCACCAGCAGCATCTCTAGACTTGCAGAAATAATCCAGAAACGTCAAGTAAATCTACAAGCGTATTCCAGGAGTATCAGGATGTACAGAGCTTCAAAGTCTAATGATACAGATACTTTTGTTTAGTCCATTTTTAACTCATGATTTAAGCTATAGTTATTTTAATTTGTAGGGCTGAAAAAAACAGTTTTCAGCACAATTAACTCTCCTAATTTATTTTTAGCTGACTGGGTTTTTTAGTTAGTGTAAAAAATGTCAAGATTGTATTCAGAAAAAGTGTAACCCAACTTCTCAGAGGCCTAAGTGCTGCCTTTACCATAAAAAAACTCAAAACTACTATGCTTGTGTCTTTGTCATATCTCAGGCAAAAAAGTCTCAATTCACCTGACAAGCCTTCATTTCAAAACGATATGAGTAAGACTTTCATCGCTCACATCGAGTTAAAGAAATGTAGGGTTAGTTTCTTGAATAAAGACTTAAATCTTATTTTAGGTCATTTTATTCTTGTATCAAGAAGTTTCACTAGTATCATCATCATTACAAGCAATTTAGGTCTTACTTTAGACAACATGGTATCTGGACTTATCACACTCGTACAGAGTCTAATGACAGTTTTTACTATAAATGAGAAAGAAGAGACTTGCTTTGTTTCCCAAAGACACCCCTTTTAACAACACGTGATACAAGAAAGTAGAAAAATGTACCCGGATTGTCTTATCACTGTGATAAAAGGTAAAATTTGTAGAAACATGTTATAGATACTTTGGATAAAATCTGATGGTTGTTTTTTTTTTTGCCCTGTAGAAAATCATGACTGGTTGGGCTGCTGGGGACACCACATGAAGTCTCCTGGTTTCAAAGCCCTCGGGGAACACCAGAAGGTGAGGAAAAGGATGAATTTTTTTATTCAGGGAGTTGAAATAATCAGCGGATCTTTTTGAGCTCTTTTCTTTATTTTGTTGTATTTTTTTTTTTTTTCCGTAGTTGAACCACTTCCCGGGGACGTTTCAGATCGGCAGAAAGGACCGGCTGTGGAGGAACTTATCTAAGATGCAGCTTCGCTTTGGCAAACAGGAGTTCAGCTTCTTCCCCCGAACCTTCATCCTCCCTCAGGACATCAAGCTGCTCAGAAAGGCCTGGGAGGACGGCGGTTCAAGGCAGAAATGGATCATCAAACCTGTACGTTCTCCTACCTGATAAACTGTCTGCCTCAGAACTTGTTACAACAACTTTCTTTGTGGATAAATGGCGAATGATGTGGTCTGTTTCTTGATATCTCTTACAGCCTGCATCAGCCAGAGGAATAGGTATCCAAGTCATCCACAAATGGAGCCAGATGCCCCGCAGAAGACCACTTCTGGTTCAGAAGTAAGTCGCCTGTGATGCACCTCTAACTGGTTCAAGACCATATTCCCGTAGTTGGTTTTAAATGATAAGTTTGTGTTTCACAGATATCTTCACAAGCCCTACCTCATCAGCGGAAACAAGTTTGACCTGAGGATCTACGTCTATGTGACGTCCTACGACCCGCTCAGGATTTACATCTTCTCTGATGGACTGGTTCGTTTCGCCAGCTGCAAGTAAGTTTGAATAACACCAACCACACAGGCAAAAAGCATAACATGCAAAGTTTTATTTTAGTTATACAGATTAACTTTAAAGATATATTTTTTTAATTTTGTGTCTTTTTTCCAGGTATTCGTCTTCCATGAAGACTCTGAGTAACAAGTTCATGCACCTGACCAACTACAGCGTCAACAAGAAGAATTCTGAATACCAGACCAACAGCGACGACAAGGCCTGCCAGGGACACAAATGGTAAAATAGGGAAAGAAGGGAAATGTCTTTACACGACAGTAGAGGGGGGTTGGTCCGTTTCCAAGTAGTGTGATTATAACATTTCTGCCTTCAAAGCAGGTTTACTCATATCTGCATGTGTGCCGTTGTGTTTCCAGGGCTTTGAAGGCTCTATGGCAGTATTTGGGCTCAAAGGGAGTCAACACCACTCTGATCTGGGAGAAAATCAAAGACATTGTGATCAAAACAGTCATCGCGTAAGTCTTTGGGGTGAATTAGTGTTTTTGCCACATGTATAGCTTTTCCATTACTGCTTTTGGTCTCATGGCTTATGACTGTTTCAATTAAAAGAAGGTACAAAATATAAACTCATCAGCTTTCTGCTCGTCGTTGTTGGTCATCAGGTCGGAGCCGTACGTCAACAGTCTTCTGAAGTTGCACCTTCGGACGCCATACAGCTGCCACGAGCTGTTTGGATTCGACATCATGCTGGATGAGAACCTCAAACCCTGGATCCTGGAGGTCAACATATCACCAAGGTAACATACATACAAACAAACAAAAACAAACAAACACGGATTAAAACGTTTCCAGATTTGAAAGTGTTTCCTCTGTCTTTAATGTTTCTGCTTCAGCCTCCACTCCAACACAGCGCTGGATGTTTCGATCAAAGGTCAGATGATCAGAGACCTCCTGAACCTAGCTGGTTTCCGAATTCCAAATAAAGAGGATGTGGTCGCCTCCTGCAGCAGTGCCTCTAGCTCCACCAGCAGGTAGGGAGGAAGAATTACACCTTAGAGGCTGTCAGGATCCCAGTAGCTCCTCTGAATGTCCTGAGACATAAAAACATTTTCTGGCATGTATCTAGATCTAAAACCTCTGAAAAGACCTTAACTAGTTAACTTAAGACCTGTATGTGTGTTTCCTGGTCTGTGTAGTCTGTGTGGGGGCCCCAAGGAGAAGACAAAGCAAGAGCTGACTGCTGATGAGAAGGTTAAACGGGCCTTCTACCTAACACAGCGTTTCGCCGATCAGGTCAGTAAATACAAACACAAGTAGTTTGAAATATGTTTCAAATCAAAGTTACATCATTTAAAGGATATTTTTGGAGTCTGGCTCACGAGTTCAACTTTTAACACTGTTCTTGGTCTTTTTAGGACTTCCTCTCGACAGTTTTGGACGTCTTGACTCCAGATGACGTCCGAGTGCTGGCGGAGAGCGAAGACGAGCTGAATCGTCTCGGGGAGTTTGAGCGAGTTTTCCCGTCTGCGTCGTCATCCCGCTACCTTCGCTTCTTCGAATGTCCGAGGTACCTCAACATCCTGCTGGACCAGTGGGAGCAGAAGTACTGGAACAACAGGGCCAAAGGTGTGTTTGTGTTAGAGAGAGCATTTTCCAAGTCCTTTTGATAGGTTGGCAATAAGCAGTCCAGTATTAGTTGGTTAGGAGATTATTTTTTCTCTTTGGAGCAGCTTTGAAGTTTAGTATCATAAACAGAAAGCATATGTTGTAATGGATTAAGCATTACCTCCCTCTGATTTATTCAGATATTATTGATTCATACTTTAAACCATGAGTCACACTTAAAAGCTTTGAGTTTTAAAAATGTGTTTGATGTTTTACTTTTTGCATTTTCAGCATCTCTCATAAATCTCATGGGAGTTTGAAATAAAAGGTCAAGCAGCTTCCTGTCCAAACAGATTGAAATGATCAATGTCATATTTGAAAAACAGTGTTCAGTCCGTCTGAACAAAACGGAAGTAAAAGAATACACAGAAAAGTAAAGGATCATCTGAATCAGGCAGGAGGAGTTAATCCAGATTCATTGACTGTGAAATGTCTGTCTCACACGCAGGTGTCAGTCTGCTGCACACTCTCTGTCACAAAGGAGTCCACCTGGGAACCAAAGACCCTGCCCACATGGTGAGGAGCTGCAGCGTGACTCCATAAAACGATTTACATTTATTATGAATTCAGCAATATTAATCATAAATTCTTTCTTTTGATCAGTGGTCCAAGTGTAGCTACGTCTCCAGGTTTGAACCGCTCAGACAAGACCTCACAAGCCCCTCAAGATCCAGGTACACACACACACAGACACACACAAACATTTCCACATTTATTAAGTCTTAAATGTCACTGATGGTCATTTACTCATGATCTCCCTCCTGTCTGACTCTACAGGGTGGTGGTCAGCCATCAGCACCGCCCCCCTCATAACGATGACGAAGGTTCAGACGGTGAGGGCGTCTCGGTCTCCAGCCCGCCCGTCTCACCGAGTCCCGGATCCAGTGTGACCAGCAGCGCCTGCACGAGCCCTCAGCCCAGCCTCACCCAGAGCCTGCTGCCCCAACAGTTCGCCTCGCTCTGAGACTCGGTTTGCTCGCATGACGCACAGAAGTCTCCTCTTACACACTCACTCCAGGGGGGGAAATATGCTGTTTACCTTAAGTTTGAAACCCAGTCTTAACTAATAGTGTCTGAAAAGTTGGGTTTTGGTCTGAAGCAGAACTAGGATGAGCCATTATAGAAGAAGTATTGCCGTTTTCTTTCAGGATTTTACAGAGATTGACCTTGTTTTACCTCTTAAGAGCTATAACTCAACATAATACTCATGTAATCGCTGCTTAAATCTGAAAACGTACAAACCCGACTCTTAAAGGTCCACGTCCTTGAATGTATTGCACACCCTCTCTAATTTAGGATTGGTTTAAACTTATTCCTGCATCCTGAACAATGTCCCGTAGAGGCTTGAAGCACATCGCAGTGAGCTCCATGTCTGCGAAACCCATCAAATGCACATGAAAAAGCAGGAAACAATGTGACTTTAACACTAGAAGAGAGGTGATGTCTAATGTGGGGCTTTGAAATCAAGCATAACCTTCATCTAATTAACATTACGAGCACAGAAACATGCACATTAAAGGTGTTTACAACAGTATAAGTGATGCAGAGGAGAAGTGAAAAGCAAACTTGGTTTTCTTTCAACGATATCTGTAGCCTATGCAGAAACTCCAGCATGTAAAACCCACCAAAATGATCAACTTTGTCTTGTTGCAGTGTTATTTGGCGACTGGGGGACTGTTGCTTCCTTTCTAACCTGAGTTGCATAGTGCTGCACCTCGCTTAGTTAGCAGCTGACAGGCGAACGATGTGTGAAGACACAGGAATGATATCTGATATAGTTTTAGATATTGGGAGTAATTGCACTTTGTTGTTTGCACAGACCTCATAAATGATCTGCAGAGCTTGATGCTGTTATATGTCAATATTAGAGGTCATTCACATCAGACAAACATGGACTGTGCAGACTGTTACCCACTTTAAACGCAGTGCACGAATTATTGATACTCACCTCCTACAAATACCCTTAAAACTATCCCTTTAACACTGTGTCCTACAGTGTTATCACCCTCTTTGAAACTGGGCGCTGCTTCACTTGGAAGAAATCCTTCGAAACGATTTGTGCCATTACAAGTTAACCATAAGATTTTTACGCTTTTTCCAGCTCCACACAATCGAGATTAAAAAGCAACACTAGCTATGGCTCTGTTTTTATGCAAACCATTTTAGCTGGACTGTAAAAACTGCCAAACCAACTCTTCCTTACAGAGTGCAGGAGTTCAAACGACTGTACAACACTGTGATTTCTCTAATGTCTTAATATAAAAGGCTGTTAACGGTGCGCTGTTCAGAGGATTGTATGAACGCTAATCGCACAAGTGTTACATTCCCGGCCTTAAAGACTCAGAGGTTGTTTGCGGGAGTGTTTGTGTCACAACAAAGCAAAGACAGGATGGGGTGAGGAGGATTCTGAGACAAGTGCTGCAGAGGAAGTGTGAGATTCCTGCAGCTTATTGCTATCTATCTTTAAAAACTTGATCTGTTTTTCACTGGTTGATGGTGTTGCTTGTGTGTTTTATAAAACCTCATTATAATAATAATAAATAATATTCAGTATGATGTTATTGACAGTTTGTTAAAAATACTTGAAGATGATTCAGTCAGAGATGCATGCAGACAGACAAAAGAGGTGATATATATAAAGAGGATATTTGTAACGTTAACAAAGGGTAAAATTTATTCAAACACAAATATCAGATTTAGAATATAAAAAAGGGCCTTTGTTTTTGTACAGATTGTAGTTTGTAACATTTCTTGCTGCCAAATCCATGTCCAGTGTCTGAGTTTAACCTCTTTAACCTGGTTGCTAACACAAGCTAGAGAGGACTGTACCCGGAAAGTACAGATTGAATACAGTGACGCTGTGAGGTGAAGTGTTGTGAACTGGGCGAAAGTTTGGGGATTCAGAGTTTGCTGTTAAAGGAGAACAGGTTTTAGATTTTTATTTTACTCTTGAGGGGGGCAAAAAAAAACTTCTTGAGTGGTCTCATGGGCTCTTAACTGCACAAAAATGTCTTGAATGTTTTGGTTTAGGTTAATATTAAAAACAAACTGGTGTGGCTGGCTGTTAACACAAAGGTGCGACTGTTACATTAAAAACATACTCTGTCATTTTTAGGGGAAATTCTTCGAAAGTTCTCATGTCGTATTTTCTATTTATAAGAAATTACAGGAGAGACTATGGATGCCGACTTGTTTACAACCTTTAGGTGCATTTGAACAGATTTGAAGCTACTGTGCAGTGTCAGTGCTGTAAACATCTAAATCTTACATATTTCACCTCATTATCACACGTGAAATCAAAAGAGAAAACAGAATAAAGATTTAGATGTACTGCAAAAAGTCAAAAGCAGCAAGTGTTTTTGTCTTTCAAGTGTAAAAATGTCTTTAGACTTAAAGCTCCAGTGAGGAGATTTTTTCTGATCTTAAAACGGGTAGAAATGAACAGTGACGCCTCTTGATGACCCACAAAGCAAACTAACCTTCAACATAAAGACTGATCAGTGCTGTATGACTATTTCTGTGAAGTTACCAAAGGTGTCATTTTGTCCAGAGGGGGCGCCAAAACCTACACCAACAAAGTTTCTAACAGGAGTTTCAAATATCGTATTTTTCGCACTATAAGGCGCACTTACAATCCTTTTGGCTTGTCAGAGCACTGCAACTACCGTAGCCTAGAGTTATTGACTGTTTTGTTTGGCTTAATGCGCTTAATAATCCGGTGTGCTTTATGTGTGAAAATAGACACGAATGAATGTGTTCTAGATGGTGCGCCTTATAGTGAGAAAAATACAGTAAGCTACAAGAAATGTAGCTTACATTTCTATTAGAAATATAGACAAACCTTTGCTCAGTTTTGAGTTTTTGCAGAGAAGTTCAATGCCTGTTATTTATAGATACTTTACTCGATATTTCAGGTACTATGGAGCCGCAACAAGCAATCCTAAATCTGTGAACCTTTTCTCAGTCTGTGAAATCTCACAGCGCCATAAAGCACAAGTTGTTAATTGATGTATAAGTCAGCTAAAATACATCAACTGATTGTGTCAAGTGTAAAGGATTAGAAAAGAAAAGTTCTCACTTCAAGTATGAAAAAAATAAAGTTTGTGATTGACCTGACCAACAACAGCAGAGTGGGAGAATTGTGGGAAATAACAGTCTTACATTTAAAATCCACTTATGAACTGACTGCTGTGGAAAGTTTTACATGTTTACTATCAAATCAAAATCATTTTCTTGTCTACATTCACCTAAAACAAGTTAAAAACCAATATTTTAAAACATTTATGCTGATGCTTTCATATGACAGAAGTTACATCCCGTTGTTTCACAGATTTGACAGCCAAGCCACTATCCCGTTTGTTTGCTGCTGTTCAAAGTTTATATAAAACACATTTAATATGAACACTGGGTTTAAGGTTGTATGGAGTGTAACAGAGATCTTTTAAGAAAACAAAATGATAATCTTTTTACTAACTTGAAAAATGTCATTTCCATGTTCAAGGGCTGTATTAAACGCTCAGGATGACAATTTAGAACAAAATAAAAGTTATTTGTGGTAAAAGTTTCACGAGTGGGTGATTTCAAGTTACAGCTTTTATGTTTTGTGGTGTTGTAGTTTGTTCAGCTTTAAATCACAGCTAACCTTTTAATATACTTTGAGTTGTTATTGTGCAGCTTCAATCACGTCACTTTAAATGAACTCACTGTAGCTCATTGTTTGGATTGTTTTTCCTCTGTTTCACCATCTTTCTCTCTTTTTCCCTCTTCAGCATGAGAAACTCTAGAGTCACCTGAAAGTCCTCCAAATACTCTGTCACTTTAGGAGTTCTCTGACTAACTTTTATCGCTACAAATATCACAATTATTTCATCATGTAATTGCTATTAATTCAGTCAGATCAAGATTTAGTATTACACTTCATGAAATGGTCTCCTTGTTCACGGCTGAACTCGACTCTCACACTCTTCGTCTCTGTGGATTTAAATGATACAAACCCGCTAACACCAAACATGTCCGGGCTGTGGAATGCTGAATGTGTGTCAGGACTCTCCAAGCAGTTGTAAACTATTAATATCTGAGCTTAACCAGCTGTCAAAGGCACTTTTGGATAACTGTATAATGGTTTGATTACAGTGAAGGAGTCTGCTGTTTTCACCATCAACAATTACAAGTAAACAATATTTTCTATACTGAGTGATATATTTAAGAATTTTGCTTTTGCTTAAAAACTTTCTTACATAACTTTCCCATCACAGAGGATCTTCAGCTGGAGTTAAAATATGAGCGTTTTTGAATACATCCCTATCAGTTTTGAACTCTGATGTAAATCGTATCAGATTTGAAGACGGCATCTAAACTTACAGCTCTGTAAAAAAGCAGAGGTTGGTCTCGCAGTGTCATTCAGAGTGTCTATAAATAGTTTGACGTGTCATGGCCCACTGAAACCTGAACTTGTCCCACAGTAGCACCGACGAAGTCTTAAAGCTGCATGTCCCACATTTATTTCTGTTTATCAACAGTGAAGCTGTTCTCAGTTATTCCCCCCAAAAAATGGTCCAACTCAGTAATCACCAAAATTTGCAACTAGCATCTGGAGATCGAGGAGAATACAGGTGCTCGAGTTCAACCATTTCATTCTTGGCTTTGGTTCTGCACCAGAATACTCTACCTTGATCCTGCATGGATAAAGGTGGAGGCCTTTGCTGCGGTTTTGAGTGTTTGCTCATAGTGGGCCTATTTTGGGTCTTGTAGGGAATATAAAAGAAGACTACAGCTCCGTCTGAGAAGATTTGGTGCTCTATGAACAAAAACTGAGTGATTGATTTGAGGGAAATCTGATTGTTGCAAAAGTCTTTTCTGCAAAACTTGTTTTGTCCTCCTGCCAGATAAATACCACTTATATATATATATTTTTTTTTTAACTGATATGCAGAGGTGGTTTTATTCTGAAAAGTGTTAGTGTCACATCTGTTCCTGATGCTGAACTCAGTAGTTGATTGTGTCACATTGAAAACATTTCATACCTACTTGGTGGTCGGCCAGCTGTTATAAAAGTAAGCTGGGGGGGAGGGGCGGCCAAATCTGTGTATAGATGTCATTGCTTGCTGTTATTTTTGATCAATATTGTATCAGGATATCTGAGAATGTAGGTATCGTTTGTAGGTTTTATTTACATAACTGATCATATTCAAAAGTGAATAACTATTGTTCTCTCACATTAACACCTTTGCTGCCACCTGAAGTGACCGCCTGGAGCTGCCCCCACTCAGACATAAAGAAAGCATGTAATGTGTCTCCTCATAAACCCATATACTGTCTGTCCAGCTCCCTTTATTTGTTCCCCCTCCCACTTTCTCTCTCTCTTCCTCTCTCTCTTTCTGAATGCCACAGGCCTCTCACCCCTCAGTCCAGATTTAGACCTCAGTCTTTCCCAGACCCAGCTGGCTGAAGCCTGAAGCACAGATTTCCTCATCTCTCCTTCCTTTGTTTTCGCCTCCTTCTCTGCCTTTCCTTTCGCTCCCTCCTTCACTCATCTTCCTCACCATGCCTGGCCTCTTTCATCACTTCTTTATCTGACACCCTAGTCCAGCCTGCCAGATGTCTGAGCTGGATGGTGCATCGAGGGTTGTAGTCCAGGGTTTCGTTGGTCGTTCTGGTTCCACAGAAGCAGACCTCCTGCTCCTCTTCCTCGGCTATGGAGCCTCTCGCAGAGGTAAGACTCTCCACTGACTCCCCCCTCCTCCTGGCTGATCTGTCAACTCCTGCTAGGCGTCAGTTTGCATTGGTAACCCAAACATGTGTGTTGTAGTGTGTCTGGACATGACTTTGTAACTGAGAAGCTGCAAAGATGAAAACACTCTGGCTACTTTTACACGGCAGCACTCAACGCCAAGTTCTTTTCATCGTCAGTAATTTTTAGTATTTCTGCATCGTTTGTTTGCTTTTTTAAAGTGACACAGAATCACAAACTGTGTTTAGGTGAACATGAACAAACTCCAACTATAACCAGACCTGTAAGAACAATCACAGTCCAATCTGCTCTGAGCTGAAACCAGACATTGACACCAAAATTTGTAATACAGAAATGTCGACCTTTTGCATAAATCACTGCATCAGTTCAACTTGGCATGAGGTGCTATGTCATCTGCTGCTGTTAGTCTACTGTGTTTTATCAAGTCCAGAGTCAGCGCAACCTTAAGTCTACCAGGAGATTTTAGAGACCTTTACGCTTCCATCTGCGGAGGAGTTTTAATGAAGATACAGATGCAGGAACTACAGCTCCAAACTACTACCAGCATAAATCGCAGTATATAAGAATACACAGTTTTCTTCATGTTTTCTTGCAAATCTGCTTTGCTGGTTGAAGTGATTCCAATAAGAAACAATGCAACAAATATGGAGAGCTGTTACCATGTGATAAAACAATAAACTCCAGGTGCTTTTGAGGAAAAAAAGTGTGACAATGAGTTGGGGGAAGTCTCAAGGTCTGTTTTCAGATAAATTTGCCTGAGTTAAAAAGCCGCTAATCGTTCAGTCCATGGAATTACATGAGTATGATGTAAAGTTAGAGACAGAAAAAGACCACATGGTACCTTAAAAAGGTAAATCACAGAATATAAACCACAAAAAGCACATGTACAATGTTGTAAAAAATTAAACAACAGTGATCACTTTTATCAATCAGAAGTTTAATGAGGTTTAGAGTGAACCTCCAAACATGAATGGCCTAAACTGTTGTTGTGCTTTTATTCCAAGATCCCATTATTTGAGATGGACGAGGATGAAGATGAAGAAGAGGATGTTCTCTCGATGAAGAGCAAAGGTACGAATGAGAATATTTGTTATATTGAATGTGAGTATTTAATTAGACACCACACATACCTGTACTTCCACCATCACGACCTCTGCTACTCCTAGTTTTCTGCAAAGTATACGATACACTTAAGTGATCATGTTTGTCAGCCGGTGTCTATAACCAGTCCCTGTTTGTAATGACTGTTTCGTGACTTAACCTGTTGATATTGTTCAGCTTTGATCTATTGCCACCAATCTATATCATGTGTTTTTGATTTGTAGGTAGCTGCAGATATTCAATACACGCACATGCATCTCCTTCAAGCACAGACCCGGACACCTACATTTATATGAACTTTATGAAGAATCACTGCTGCTATGACGCCATCCCTACCAGCTCCAAACTGGTCATTTTTGATACAACCCTGCAGGTATGACACTTTCATTTCACATATTCTTTTTCTACAACAAGTTGTAAACTAGTTGTACAACAGTCCACAAGCACTCTAGGTCTTTTGGACAGGCTCAAACCTGCAGTTGTAAAAGCAGAGGTAATCCAAAATATACAAATAATGCACCATCTTTAGGATCTCGTATCTGGTCGTGATCTCACAGAGGCCGACAAAAGCTGACCCAAAACTGCTCTAGTGAGAAAAATTAAGCAGTTTGAGAAATGAGAGAAAATGTTTAGAGAGTATATAGAAAGCTGTCTATTGTAGTGACCATCAGTACCCTATCGAGGCAGTCAGTAAAATTTAGATTTCTCAGGAGCTTTATAAGGAATACAGATGGAATACAACCTGATTTACTGAGGGGATCTGTTTCAACTTGAAACACTGATAAGCATAGGTGCTTAAAGAAAAATGAAAACAAGTCTAAACAGTACAGGGTCTAAAAGGGTCTTCAAAGCAAATCCAACATGCATGAGTTATAGTTTGTGTTGAAGTTAATGAGCAGCCGTCTCTTCATCAGGTAAAGAAGGCTTTCTTCGCTCTGGTGGCCAACGGTGTGAGGGCAGCTCCTCTGTGGGACAACAAGCTGAAATGTTTCGTAGGTGAGCCAAAAAAAAAAAATCTCTTTCTTTGTCTGTTTGTCCGTCTTCTTTTACACTTAGACGGATATATTTGAATTAAAAAAAGTTTTTTTCTTCCATTTTAAGAAAAAATTTGGTTGGAAATACTCACATAAACATAGATGAAATCATAAAAAGTTAAAGAAATCGATTTATTGCATGAGTCTGACTGAAACCAGATTTAAAAATACATGTAAACACATTAGTCTGTTTGAAAGCCATTCCTATTGGTTGCTACTCACTGTTTGAGTGAGGGGATTGGTCAGGAACCCCCAGCCATGAAGTACAATTCAGCTTTATGTCCCACAATCAAAACCATGTATTTGCAAAGCTGCATCCTTTCTCTTCATGCAAGTGGTTCATGAGTCTACCATCAAACCTCAGACTGAGTTTCTTTCCTGTCAAAGCAGTCTATAAAACAGCGTTATTAAAGTTGACTTCTAATAATATCCCGACTCTGATAGCGTTTAATCCTAGTCTGACCTACATTTGCAGAGTTCTGAAGATACGTTTTGTCGCTCAGGTCTGAGGGTTCAGCTTTCCTGACTGTAGCTGGGGGTTAAGGTGGTTTCAGATGCCGGCCCGGTTTCCTGCTAACATTTAAAGGGAATAAGGTCAACTACAAGACATTTAGTGACATCCAAACCCTGTCACACAGAGCACTGATCTTCATTACACTCAGAGCAGGTCCCGAGGTGTTAACTTTCTGTTTGTAATTGAACCGCAGCAGCCATAAACATGAGTGTCAAGTGCAAGTACAGCAGTCTGAGAGCGATGCATCCTGCTGATTACAGACAGAGCTTAAACCCAAAATCCAAAAATGATCTTTTTAGCTTTTGTCTCTCGTACCTTTGTTGTCCTCTTGTGGACCAGGTGTTGCTTGTTTTGTTTGTGGTGGTCTTGGTATGTGTCTTCTCTCTGCAAAGGGGTAGTTGTTTGTTTTTTACATTTATTTTATGCATTTTTTGTATCGTTATTAAGGATGCAGTGAGAATATGCAGCATTTGAAACCAAGACAAATTTACCCAAAGTGACTGAAAGGATACGTAGCATAATGTATCGATTTGTATCGTATCTAGCTGTATTGTATCATATTGTATCGTATTGAGTTGTATTGTATTGCATCGTATCGTGTTGTATTGTATCGCATCATATCGTGTTTTATTGTATCGTATCGTGTTGTATTGCATCGTATCGCATCGTGTTGTATTGTATTGTATCGTATTGTATTGTATCATGTTGTATCATATCGTACTGTATTGTATCGTATCGTATCAAATCATATCATATCGTATAGTATCATTTTGTATCGTTCCAAATAATACTGTAGTGTAACTTACCATAACGTATCATATTGAATCATATCATATATCGTATCCAATCCCAGTGTACTCGTCTGTATCTCTGAGTGTATTTCTGCAGGTATGCTGACCATCACCGACTTCATCAACATTCTCCACCGTTATTACAAGTCTCCTCTGGTGAGTCCTACTCCTCCAGCTTCCACATCTACAAAGAACTGCTCTAAAGTCAAGAACTTGTCACACGTCTGAGGTGATGTCCTCTTGTTTTGCAGGTTCAGATCTACGAGCTGGAAGAACACAAGATAGAGACATGGAGAGGTTTTTGCAGAACAGCATTTGCTTAAAGGTATTTCATTACTTCAAAGCAAAGGTATGAAGTTGTAAAAATCAGTGTCTGTGTCTCCTGACAGAGATCTATCTGGAGTACTCTGTCAACAGGCTGATCAGCATCACCCCAGACTCAAGGTAAATCTGGACCCAGGGTCATTTATGTAATTATTTACAGTGAGCACTAAAACAGTCATAGCTTTGCTGGTTTACCCTTTATTGTCTCTCTGGTAACACTTTATAATAACTATCCGTTATAACTAGATAATAGATCATTAGTAAACTGTTAATTAATTAGTTATTAATGACTTGTTATGTGTTTGTTACCTATTTGTTAAGGATTTATACTAAAACCTTATAGATAGTTAATATATTGTATATAAACACCAGTTAATTATTGTATATTATTGTATACTGTTAGTTAATGAGTTACAAATGACTTGTTAACTGTATGTTAATCATTTATAACTTTATCTTATAAATTAGTAATAGATCATGAACAAGCTATTAGTAAATTACTTCCTACTGACTTGTTAAGTATCAGTTAATAGTTTATATATGTTATTGGGATGTTTTCTAAAGTTGCAACTATCCCTCATTTGTTAACCGTTAGTAATTGAAGAATAGTTGCAACTATAAAAAACATCCCAATAACATATAAACTATGAAATGATACTCAACAAGTCATTAGTTATTAATTTACTAATAGCTTGTTCATGGTCTATTACTAATCTATAAGGTATAGTTATAAATCATTAGTTTACAAATCGTTTATAACTCGTTAACCAACATTTTATTTATGATCTATTAACTATCTAGAATGCATCTTTAAAAATCCTTAACAAAATGTTAAACACTTAACAAGTCATTAATAACTCATTTATTAACAGTTTACTAATGATCTATTAACTAATTATGACAGATAGTTTTTATAAAGTGTTACTGTCTTTCATTTTTTCATTTATTCTGTTCTTATAGTTTCAGTGATCATATAAATGACATTTAATGTTCTGTATTTGAACAGAATCTCAGGAGTGTGTAAACTGGCATCTTTCCTGTCGATAAACTGCCTCCAAACCAAAATGTTGAGATCCAGAGCTGTTTGTTTCGTCCTGATGTTTTGAAGTTGCTGCCTCAGACTGTTTTATTTTGTTCATAATTTTAGTTTCATGTCTTTTCAGTCTGTTTGACGCCATCTACTCCCTGCTGAAGAATAAGATCCACCGCCTGCCAGTCATCGACCCGGCATCAGGAAACGTCCTCCACATCCTCACTCACAAACGCATCCTCAAGTTTCTCCACATCTTTGTGAGACTTCTTCTCCTCTCGAACACTTTTCATCAAGTTTGTGTAATATTAATGTAAATCGTAACATCAGGGATTGCAGTCATCGGTCTGTGATTATTTTAACATTTGTTTTTTCATTTGTTTGTCGTGCAGGGATCTATGATTCCTAAACCTCGGTTTCTTCAGAGGCGGCTCAACGAGGTGGCGATCGGCACCTTTAGAGAGATTGCGACAGTCCAGGAATCAGCCTCCGTCTATGACGCTCTGACTATTTTTGTGGAGAGGAGAGTGTCTGCTCTGCCTGTCGTCAATGAGCAAGGTGATCACAACGTTAAAAAAAACACTATCAAACAAATTAGGCTATTTAACTTTAACTGCAGCAAGGAACAAAACATATCTATTTATTGGAAAGCATGTGAAGAAACGGAGCCAAACTCTTCAGTCTCAAAGAGATAGGAAAAATGTGACCCCAATTGGTCGGCATTTCAGTTCCCTACAAGTGATGAGGATGAAATCTGGAGAAATTTAAAATACATACTGAGCAGTAGTGAGGATGCAAGGATCTCCAACATAAACATCAAAAATGTAAACTAACCTCTTTGTCTTTGTCGTAAAACACATACACAAATTTGCATCTTCCAGTATGTTTTGACTGACACCCCTGTGTGTCTCTTCTGTAGGTAAAGTGGTCGCTCTGTACTCCAGGTTTGACGTCATTGTAAGTACCGACAGTACTGTCAACCGCCGTAAATACAGAAACATTAATCTTTGGATTTTGTGATTTGCCGCTGTTGTTTTGTAGTAAAATGGATATAAATATTTTGTCTCGTGGTTGAATTTCCTGTCTCCATCTCTCAGAACCTGGCGGCCCAGAAGAGCTACAACAAGCTGAACATGTCGATGCATGAAGCCATCAAGTCCAGAGCGTGCTGTGTGGAGGGAGTCCTCAAATGTTACCCTTATGAGACGCTGGAGACCGTCATCGACCGCATCGCCAAAGCTGAGGTAAGAATTACTGACGTGACAGTGATGTCCCCTTTTTTTCCATTTATAGTAAAAATCACTTTGATTCATCCGATAGTTTTAAGAAAAGTGTAAGTGATGGTCAAACTCTTCTTGATTGGCATGTTGTATTTCCTGCCAGGTGCATCGGTTGGTGTTGGTGGACAGAAACGATGTGGTGAGAGGGATCGTCTCTCTGTCTGACCTCCTACAAGCCCTGGTTCTCACCCCTGCAGGTATTGATGCACTGTGCTCCTAACTCCACCTCCTCCTCTTCACCTCTTGCTTCATCTCTCAGGTCCTTGATTCACCTGCAAGTCTGTCTGTCTTCAAACCCTCCCCCTCCTCTTCCTGTGAACATTCATGATCTTACGGACTCTTCTTTCTCTCAGACTATGACAGTCTTGTTTTTTCCTCTTCCTAACCGTTGAAGTAGTTTCAACCTTTAAGAATTCACCAAAAGACCTTCATACTTCCTAGATATCTACCTCTGAATTCTTGTCTTTAACCCTCTTGTGATCGGTCAACAACCCAAAATCTTCTTCCTAAAAATCCACCAACAAGGACTGCATCAGGAACCCTATGCTCCTACCGATGTCTTTGCCTGCCCTCAAAGTCAAGGCAAATTTTTTGATCCATCCTTCAGTCTTCCAGTCGCCTTGTGATCCTACCTCCAAACCAAGTCGCTCTTGCTCACTCCACCGTCTGCAAAATCTGACACCAATCCTCCACGTCCTCTCACCCAAACACAACCCTCTTTCAGCAGTCAGCTACTCTCCTCATGCTGCAGGTTGCACCCTGGAGCACCTTTTTTAGCCAAAAATCAAAGGTAGGCGCCACATCCTAGCTGCCTGTCAGAGCTTGCATCTTGCACAGAGTTGTTGCTGCAGGTTTTGTCTTTCCGAAAGGAAGTTTTGAAGGAGAATATCTCTAAAAAGATTGAGTGAAGGGCATGTGGGAGAAAGAAATCTATTTCCTTTCCTCTGCAGACTTCTGATGATTCCTATTGAGAGTGAAACTCATGATTTGACATTTGAGTTGTTTGTGTTTTGGAATTTATTGGCACAGAATGATTCAAATGAGTTCCTTTATTGTATAAAAGAAGAGGATGCAGCCTACTTCTACCCTTACCTAAACTTCATCTTTACAAAATGAACTAAATGCTGTTTTGAGGGTGGAACTGTGAACAGGGACCAATAAGGCTGTTAGTGTTTCTTAAGATTTTAAAAACTAAAACGTCCTCTTTTTTTATACAATGCAAGGATTGGTTTTGTACTGTCACCTCTTCAGCCATTTGGATGCTTTTTGTGCTTGATCAGACACCGTCGCTAGGGTTGATGCTCAGAGTTCACTTCAGAGTGATCTTCTAAACCCAGTGCCCTTATTTAGCAAAGTGGTTTCCATTAGGTTGTCTGATGAGGATCATGTGATTTGAGAGAAAATACTAGTCTTAAATACAAAAGTGTATTCACATGACCAAGAAGCCTGAGTTATCATCCCTGACACTTTTTATTGAAGTAAGTTCACAGACTAAAGTGTTCAAGCTTGGCTTTTTACACTATTGCATTAGATTTTGTGTGTAAAGGACCAGTATGGGGGACTGTGTGGCATCAAGTGACAGCTGCATCCAATAAATGCTCACGTCTTACAAACTGGACCTTTGAAATGGTTGACTTCTGTCTGAAAAGCCTCTTGATGTAGAATAGTCTGAGTTTTCAATTTGCATTAGGTTGTACCTGAGTTAAAATACTACAACTCAAATTCTCATCCATGAGAGTGCGTTCCTCTGCTTCTGTTAATTTTCTCTTTTCAACTCTTTCCAGATACTTTCAAGAGATCAACCTATCAATATGGGGACAGCAAGAGGGACATTGATGCAATAAAATAAGACGATTCAAGGGCGGAGTGAAAAAAACGGTGAAGCAAAGAAAGCTTGTTGCCTGAAAAGCAAAATGCATGGACAAGGAAAGAGAATTACGGTACTCTTAACCTTTCGCTATTGTGCACATGTAAGACACTTTACTCTTCAGTAAAGTGGCTCAACAGTTACAGATAAAGGCAGTAACGTTGTGCTGGGAAGCAGACAAGAAAATGGCTATTATGTGTGAATGCAGATTCAGAGAGCTCAAAGTACAAAAAGAAGTTTTGATGGAAGGCAAAAGAAAGAATTAACCAAAAAACAAACAAACAATATAGTCACATTTGATGGCTTTACTTATCTTTCTGGTCTTATAATGCTTATTAAACAGTCATGTATAACTTGAAATTCTTACATTGTGGAATTGGGATCACGTTTTTGTAAATGCACTTAAAAATGTATAAATAAATGTTTTGTTTTGACGTGTCTTGGTTCAGTTTTCTGGACAGTAAAGAGCCAAAGATGAAGTTTTACAAAATGATACCACACAACCTAATATAAAACCGTACAATGAGATATGATCCTATATGAAATTATATAATACAATCCAAACAAGACTGTATATAAAATTGATGATGCCTGCCTACTCGATGGGCGAAACCACCCTGAAAACAGCACCCTCTGGTGACTGGCTGCAGTATAGGTCATAAATCCCGCCTCCTCCAGCCATCCTTACGGGGCTGTGGACAAACTTTAGAAATTTATTACACAGAATATTAATTTTTTTCCCCCTGCTTGTGATGTTGACATGAAGTTACAGTAAGACTGGTTTGTGCTCAAGTCCTCTTTTTTCTGAACAGCTCAATTTTTAAAAGTTATTAGGGGGTTCATGTTTTCTATGATTGACACTTGATACAGCCTATGGGCGTACGAAGATTGCATAGCTCACCCGGGATGCAATGATGATAACATACGATGTGATACGGCACACTATGAGACAATACAACACAGTTTAATATGATACAGTACATAGTTTCCCTCAGGATCAATACAGTAGCTATCTATCATTTATCTACAATATGTTAGATACAGTAGGATACCTTACAAACGGCCCTTAGGGGAATATTAATTAATAGGACATAACCACACATTTATCTACATTGAGGAACAAATAGATTAAAAAATTAAAAGCAAACAGTAATTGACATGGAAACAAGGAAAAAGGACGTATAATTAACCACAAAACCCAATCATGTAAATGTTCAGCTGATAAATTCTGTCATAGCTCATCATTAGACAGCAGACGTGACGAGAGGCTGGGTTTTGTCCTGAGGAGAAGTGTTTGGGTGTGTTTTGTTTACCAGGGGCGGGTTTGTTAACTCTGCCAGCTTTCTACATCCTGGTCACATGATTAAGAGTCATGTACATAAACACTGGCACAAATAAAAGCAAATAAGAGAGCTGATGGATGTTGTGTTATTTTCACTATGAGAGACTTTCTCTGGTCAGTCTTTGACACAGTAAAAATATTAAACAGGAATTAATGAAAAATAAAATAAAAGAGATTTAAACAGATCAAAATAAACACAGATGAATACTTCTTGTTCTGCACAGAATATATATCTAAAAAAAGATGCGACATAATCCAAACTGAAAGTTATGATTCTATAAAATACAAGTTTAACTTAAATTCAGAGTAACCTCTGTGGGTCTTGGTCTTTTCATCAGGTTATAAAAGGAATTTAATCCAACATTAAGCTCTGCGATGTATCAGCCACATGCTCCTCTGCTTTACAACTTCATCCTGTGAACAAACACTCAAACCTGTGATCACTCACTCAGTCATCCTGTTATTCAACACTTCACCTGGAAGTTTAACTCTTACTCTACCTAAGCAGCTGTCTGCAGACTGATGCAGCAGACCGTGTCAAGCTGCTGGAGCTGATGAGTGACACCGACTTCTGACTTCTGCAGACATGGACTCAAAACCAAAGTAAGAAATCACATCTTATGTTTCTTTACACCTGTGAGGTTTAAGATTTTTTTTTAATTCAAGGCTGGATGTGTTTTAACATTTTTTATAAGCCAGGTCTCTCAGTATTTTCAAACAAAATCAGATAAAGTTTTGCTGATTTTTCTTGGTCTTTTGGGCTTAAATGTGAGTTAAAAGAATTTTAAATTGTTGAAACTTAAGCTTCAAAAAAATGAAACTTCATCTTGAAAGCACAATAAATAATGTTCACATGTATAGTGGAGTAATTGAACTGTTTACATCAGTTTAATAGACTGAATATAACTTGTGGGTAAATATAATGAGTTGTAAAATCAGTGAGGAGCAGCAGTGAAGTGTTTAAACATCTAACAGCCTATGAATTTAAGGATGACAAACCAAATTATTCTGCAGACACCCTTTTTGTTTTGCTTTTGTGAATCTTCCTGATTGTTTTGCACGACTGTGGATCCAACAAGATGTTGCTCTCCTGGTGTGTTTTTCTCTTATTCTCGGTTTAACATGATTACATAGAAGTAAGAGCAGATGGCATTAGTTGTCTGGTATCAAACTTACATAAGTGATGTTGAAACTTTAAGCCTTTGGCAAACAAGAACTGAGAGTGGACTCTTGATGCAGGAGTCATCTTATTTTATTTTAATCTGGGATATAAACTATTTGATATATGTGATGATTATTATTGTATTATTAGGACAACTTAACTCATTTACAAAGCCTCTTTCATACGTAAAAAAATGCAGCCCGAAGAGCAAAATTGCAAAACTAGGAAAAAGTAAACGAATAATTAAAGTTTAGTGGAAAAAAATAAAGATAAAATAAAATGTAAGCCAATTAAAGAAAAGAAAACTCATACAAAGACTAATGGTAAAATTGCAGTCCAAAGTTAAAGGCAGGTAAGAAAAATAAGTCTTCAATCTACTTTTTCAAATTCACTGAATGCTCCCTGTTTTAGTATCTGGAGGCAGAAAGTTTCACAGTTTCACATGCATGAAAACGCACGCACTCTAGTCTGCACTTGGATGGTTCACATGAGAACCATTTAAAGGGGAAGCATTCGAGGACCTAAGAAACCCTACAGAAATATAAATGAAGTTAGATCTGTGATATGGAGGAAAAAGACAATTAAAAAACATTTTAAATCAGTTTTAATTAAACAATAAGCCGATTTGAAGAGGTGGAGTAAATTGCAGTTTTCTTTGGGGTTAAAACTCTACCAGTAGTATTTTGAATGAGTAGTTTTGTGAGATACTTCTTCAGGCAAACACACAAATCAATATTTTGTCATCTTTCAGGGTTGAGAAATGATCGTACTTTTAAAATGTTTAAGAGATGATCCAATTAAAAAGGAAATATGAAGAGTTTTAGTGGTCCAGAGCAGACTGAAACACATTCTGATGATTTTTTTTAGGATCTTCAGAAACAAAGAGGACCATCAATGATTTCTCTGCTGTAATTTTTACCGCCAGAAATCGCTTTTTCAATACTATACAATAACTTTATGTATCCCCAAATGGAAATTCATTTATCTGGAATCTCACATAAACTGCAGATTAACCGAGTCATGATCGGACCTGCCTAGTGGTGGTAAAACAGCTCTGTAAGCTTCTTTGACGTTGGCATACAGCAGATCCAGGGTTTTGTTTTCTCTGGTAGGACAGTTCACAAACTTTGTAAATCCAGTCAGGTGAGAGGAGAGGGAGACATGGTTGAAGTCGCCTGATTTTATTACAAGGGCCTCAGGATGTTGAGTCTGTATCCTAGCAACCGTATCATGGAGAACATCACATGGAACTTCAGCCGCTGCCTTGGGTGGGATGTATAGATGTCAGACCACATTATTGACCGCAATCAAATATATGTTGTTTTTGTTGTTGTTTTTTTGCTTTTACTTTTTCCATGGTGTTTATTGTAATCAGATTATTTAAATGTAGATGAGGCAGTTGTCAGGATTTCTTTGTAAATCTCTTCTTGTACATGCATAAATTGTGTTTTGTATCCTCGAACTCACTGGTAATCTATTTGGTATGTAAAATGCAATATATAGATTTTCTAAATATTATTTAAATGATCTGACTGTCAAAAGGCATAAATCAGCAAAGATGATGGCAGTACATCTTTGTCCACAGGGGGCGCCAAAATCAGTACTAACAGAAAGTTACTCACAGGAGCTTTAAGTCTCAGTTTCTTTTGCAAAATTCACACTTTGACATGGGGCCTAATTTTTCAGCTTTGAATTCAGCTTCTCACAAGGAACTGCAGGTTTTGTACACCTCTACATTGGCCTCGTTTTTCAACACACTAACTGCAAGGTCCAGAAGCTCAATTTGCATTTCCACTTAACTTTATACTGCTGCTACCTGGGCAGGTCTCTTGACCGAAACCAGACTAACATAACACTCTAAAGAAAACAGGCCGCAAGAAACAGGACAAATTAAACACAGAGAGTGATCGGATTAAAATGTTTTCTCAAAGCAAACTAGCTCTGGTTCATTAGAAACTTGGACTGGTTCAAGTTTATCTCTTTTGCATGAGTAAGCAGGTGTGGACTGTGAGCGTAAGCATCCATGAGGACAAGCTGACGATGTTTCAATAAGTCTTTATTTACAGCCAAACTCTGCCGGTTCTGCTACTTCAGTTAGGGCTGTTAAGTCTGACATAACAATGATGACAGATTAATTCTTATTTGTTAATCCTGAAAACAGGTAGCAGGTAGAAGGCTTGGAAAAGAGTCTTAATAAGTGCAGAAGGAGATGAGGAGGTTGCAAATCCTCTGACACACAGCCTGATGCCTTTCTTGTTCTTGGAAGTAAATTTTTAGTTCATTTCTGAAGGACCTAATACCACTTGTTGCTGGAAAGTAAAATAAATAGACAGTGGACTTCATGGGGACGGATTTTTCCCGCATTCCTTCAACTGAGTCGGGGTGAGCGGTTTATGTTTACGTATTTGAATTTGAAATATTTGATGCACTTTGCTACAATTTTAAGGATCTGTTAAAACATTTCAATCAGAATAAATTTATATCTAATAATTTCAGAGAGCCCTGCCATGAACTGGCGACTTGTCAAGGGTTTCCCCCGCCTTCACCCCAAGATGCTGGGATAGGTTCCAGCCCCCCTGCAACCCTCCCATGGGATATATGGTAGAAAATGGATGGATGGATAATTTCAGAGAATATTTCCTCAAACTTAACTGAATTTGACGAGTTTTATGTGTTTTAGAGAACATTAGGTGGATATTTTGTGTTGAGCTTTAACGAAATGTGGAAAGTATGAAGATATTAACTGAGTTTAATTTCTGGGAGCATAAACATTTCCACATTTCTATCTTACTCTTTAAGGTTTGCTGCTTTTTCTACGTTTTAAAACCAAAATAGTAACACTTAAGTAATTTAAATGATCTCACACTCAATACCCTGCATTCTGGTGAATATTCATGCAAAATTTAGTTGGGAAAATTTAAAAAATGAAAGAACACAATTGTATTTATATGATTCATGAAAAATAATTGTTCTCCTTGCTTAAAGCCTTAAATCTTTAAACAACATTATAGGACAGTCATTCTAAAACTGGGTAGTTAAATATAAATCAAATTATAGAATAAACTGATGACTGCTGTCAAAAAAAAAAAGACTGTCATGAGTATTTAAATTCCTGTGAGGAACTTTTTGTTGGTGTTAATTTTGGATACCTGCTGTGGCATAGGTATTATTTTCTTATCTCCTCTGGCTTGCTTAAGTAATGTTTTCTCACAAAAAAAATCATTTCATGCTGGCTTCTAACAGTCAAATTTATCATTTATTGTGAATCCCGTATTTTCCGCACTATAAGGCGCACCGGATTATAAGGCGTACCTTCAATGAATGGCCTATTTTAAAACTTTGTTCATATATAAGGCGCACCGCATTATAAGGCGCATAGAAAAGACGCTACAGTGGAGGCTGGTGTTACGTTATGCATCCATTAGATGGAGCTGCGCTAAAGGGAATGTCAACAAAACAGTCAGATAGGTCAGTCAAACTTTATTAATAGATTACAAACCAGCGTTCTAACAACTCCGTTCACTCCCAAAATGAATAAACAGCTGTTTTAGGAGCCATTTTGGGGTCTTTACATAAACACACAAATAGAAATGAAACGGCACGCGTCGCGCAGTCATATATCCCAGCATGCACCGCGCGCTTCTTCTTCTACGGGGGAAAATGAAGTCGGCGGCTGCTTACCGTAGTTGCGAGACCTGTTGTGGCTCAATATTGGTCCATATATAAGGCGCACCGGATTATAAGGCGCACTGTCAGCTTTTGAGAAAATTGGAGGTTTTTAGGTGCGCCTTATAGTGCGGAAAATACGGTATTTTAAGTGGAAAATGTACAAAAGGGCTTTTTTTCTGCTACTTGGCTGACACCTGCCTTCTCTCACTGGTTTCAGGTTACAACAATGACATTATAAAATTCTTCAACCTTAATGTTGATGGTCTTGTTTGCTTTTGTATATCATAGAAAGGCATTAATGTCAATTTCATGAATCTCAGTTTAAAAAAATTGAAACGGCATCCACAAGAGATGAAAGTTGGCAGAGAGAGACATCTCGCAATCCTGCTTTGCTTATCAGCTTCTCTCAGGGGGATTCCAGGGCTTTTCCAGGACAGGCTAATCCTGGTCTTCCCAAGGAGTCTCCTCCCCCTGGGACATGTCTGAAAGACCTCCAAAGGGCGGTACCTTATCAAGAACCCGAACCATGTAAACTGGATCCTGGCTGCAAAGGAGTACTTTCTCTACTCCTTGTTTTGCCCAAATGTCCAAAGTCTTGATTTCATTTCTATGGCCAAGCCGCGGCAACCTATGGGCAAAATTTACTACCGCTACCTAAATCCACGATCAAATTTGTGTGATCACATTAGCTCATGACCATAGGTGAGGGTTGGAACAGATCGACCAGGAATCGATCAGGCTTTGCTCCTGCTTCACCACAACAGTGCAACACAAGCATCACTGCTGCAGCATCAACATGTCTGTCAAACTCCAAACCTATTGTTCCCTCATTTGTGAGCAAGACCCCAAGGTACTAAGTGTTGTCGTCCTGGAACTGGAGCTGTGAGTTTGACTTTGAGTTTGGGCTGAACAGAAGACCAAACCTGATAAATGGAAGATCTGGTATGAGTGGAAGATTAGGCTAGGGTTTTATCCTGCTGAGAGTGTTGATGGTTTTATTGCAGGTAAGCAGCAGGTGAGCAGATTTGATTGCAGCAAGGTGAGTTGCCAGCTTCAGATGGACGGAACAGACCAACAAACCACACAAACACAGACAGGGAAACGGGGAAGGAAGGAGACTAGGAACCCCTCGAAAATTTAATTATTTTAAGATTTATTTTTTGGCTATTTGTTTTTATTTCAAGAGGACGTGACAGTAGACAGTAGAAAACTGAGAGAGCACATGTAGCATTTTTCTAGTCAATTTTACGACGTGGGACAAGGTCTTGTTAGTTTTGCGGAAACTTAACACCAGCCCACCATGAGCAAAACTTTCACTCCAATTGCCAGGTATTAGCAGCAAGGAAAAACTTGCTTCTTACAGGCAGACAACTCAAACAGAACTAGACACTGCTGAGACTGTTGCATTTCAGCCACTGCAAATTTTAAAAAAGCTTCAAACTGATCCAAATTTTTCCTTTGAACAGGAAGACCAAGCTGTTTGGCCTGAAAATGAAAAAGAAGAAAAAAACAGATAAGGATGTGGTCCTGGCAAACAAGGGAGCTTTGGGTAAGGCCTGGAAAACAAACACACACTCACTCGCACACTCTTTATCATGGCTGTATTGACAGTAGTGATTATTCCTGTCATATCACTGAGGGTGAGGCCAACCCTTGTCAAACAGTTACTTGTTAAACACTTTGACATGAACATGACTTCCTGTTCTATGATTGTGGGTCGTTCAGGTTTTCAAGTACAACACAGATCATCATCATCATCACTCATCACAGGATATTCTTGTCTCTGTTTATCTAGTGTTCCCAAACAGATCGACTGTAATTATTCAGATATAGTTATTTCCCTTTGGGTTTAAAATGTTTCTACATACAACCGTATGAGTGTGGAAATAATCTGCTAGATCTTTAACTTCTTATTGACTTGTTGAAAGCTTCCAACACTGTGTAATAGACATCACCTCTGCTTTACTTGAAATAATAAAAGGCATGCCCCAGGGCTCTGTTTTGGGACCACCAGAGTCCCCAATGCAAATGTATATTTATATGCAGATGATACAGTTATTTACTGCTCAAAAACAGCATCAGGCACCCACCATCTATCACTACAACTCTCTGCTTGTGTGTGCGTTTGGACAGATAGTGAAGTAGAGGGACCTTCTGAAGAGGCCAATCTGCTGGAGCTGGAGGGAGAAAACGCTGAAGAACAACCAGAACCCACTGCAGTCAGGACCAGAATTATACCAGACACAAAGAGGTATGAATGAACACAGTGTATATCTGATTTGCTGCATCTAGATAGAGATAATAAGTGTGTAAAAATAAAGTGAGAAATATCTACTGATGCACTGCATGTTGGTTCATATTGGTGCAATTGAGAATATGGAGTGTTATTCAAATGTGTCAATAATGATCAGAACCAGTACATCAGAAATTTGGAAAAGCAAATCTATTCTTTAGAATGATCAGTTTATGTTAAACTCAGGCTTTTACGTAGTCAAATCATGTATGTTTTTGCTATGATTAGTCACTTAAATACTCGATTTAACTTCCACAGAACCAAACTGAAAACTCAAATCCAGGACAGTGAAGGGAAACCACAAAGCTTTCAGGTGACAACTAACAGGTCCCATGATAGATAAACAGAATATGCGCAAAACATTAAAAACAATACAGAGAAAATGATAACTTTTTTAGCACTGGAACATTGAGTAAATTGTATGTAACTTTCCATCTATATCGCAGATTGCCATTAACATAACAGAGGCGAGACAACTGGTAGGAGAAAACATCGACCCCAGTGTGGTGATCGAGATCGGTGATGAGAAGAAACAAACATCTGTCAAAGAGGGGACCAATGCTCCCTTTTACAATGAGGTAAATTAGAGCAAGTAAAACCCTGCAAATGATCTTTATCAAGTTTACTGTATATGATTAATCTAATTATCTTATTCCCCCTCATTTCAGTACTTTGTGTTTGACTTCTTTGCCCACAAAAATGTGTTTTTCGACAAAGTCATCAAGCTGACAGTAAGTATCAGTTTAAGTCTTCATAGGTACATAATAGTTATAATCTGTATGTATATGAGATAACACATTTGGATTTCTGTAAACCTCACTATCATCACCATCTTTGGCATGAATGTGTTTTTGTTTGCTTGCAGCCTTGGCTTGTCAGGTTTTAAAGTAACCAGCTCATCAATTTACAGCCAATGTCATTGCATTCCTCGTTGATGTACAGATCCAAGCTATAAATATCAGTCACTATGCAGATGACACCATTGTTTTCAGAGAACATCTTTTCAATCAACTTCTGCATCTTTGAAAAACGCAGTATTTTTTGTGACCCAGTGGACATTATTTAAAACATTGACCTCTGCATCTTGGTTTAAGGCTTTGTTGCGTTTAGTGTTAATTCAAGTTTTTGCCCTTGGATTTGCTGAGATGTACTTTGTTGTCAAAAGGCATCACAAATGAGTTGTGAGTTTGTGCATCTTTCTCTTTCACCAGGTGATGCACTCAAAAATGTTGAGGAGTTTCTGCATTGGGTCCTTCAAGCTGGATGTGTGGACTGTCTACAAACAGCCAGGTAGCTCATCTCTGTCTGAAACATCTCTAAGTTTACCTTGAGAGGAGGTTACCAGAGCTCACCTGTACTTACAAAATAATGCCAGAGCAGCCTTCAAATGTCAATACATGTTTTAACTTGAGTTATCATATTTTTTTAACCTTCATAAGTTCTGTTGCAACCTCATCAAGGTACACTTTGGAGAAATATCATGTACAACGAAATCAATGATACTCTTTGACTGATTCACATTTCATTTGTTTTACATTAAGATTATGGCCCCTCTCTTTCTTTCTAACTCCCTCAGGTCATCAGTTCATCAATAAGTGGGCCATGTTGACCAAACCTGGCGACACCAGCACTGGGGTCAAAGGTTATGTGAAGTGCGATATCAGCGTCTCAGCAAAGGGAGACGTGATGCAGCCCGGACAAAAAGCAAGTGATGCTGAGGAGCAGATAGACAAGTATGATACCTGTCTTTGAAATGGGGTTTTCTCAGTTTCTGGCTTGTCTTTCAGATATTGAAAACAGAGTATCAGGGGGATAGTTTTTTTTTTGGAAACCCAAGATGCTAAACATGCTAACTTCTTTAATTTTGAATCAAACTACATAAATATCTTGCAAAATGTCCAACCATCCCAAATATCAGGCTGAAATACGAGGAAAAATGTGAAAAGAAGACTGACATGCCAAAAACATTCTGATGTTCAACTTAATTTTTAATTCAGGGCCATTGAATCTCTTCATATGCAGATGATACTCTGCTATTTTTTGTTAGTTATGGCCCTTTCATGCTGTGTGTATTAAAAGCAAATTCTTTCATTCAGAGTTTGCAATCTAACATATTGCTACACTTAATATGCAGATGATACTCTCCTATTTTTCATTAATATTTGATATTAGATCTTTAGCCTCTAAAAGGCACATTCAATTTTTGGTGAATACTTATCCATGGTAGACCCGTATTAGGTCTGTGATCATTACTCCATTAGAGAAATATACCTATATATACATATATATATACAGTATATACAAATATATCCTATATGGTGGGGGGTTTTTTCTATCAGGAATCTGCTGGTACCGGAGGGTTTACCTGCTGAGCGACCCTGGGCTCGTTTCTATGTAAAGGTGTACAGAGCTGAAGGCCTCCCACGCAACAACTCCAGCATTATGGCGAATGTCACCAAGGCCTTCATAGGGGACAACACAGCACTCATAGACCCCTATGTGGTGGTCAGCTTCTTCAAACAAATGGTAGGTTGTGAATAAACCACTGGTAAAAGATGTTTTACTATCTAGAAATTTTAAACCAATGAACGTGTTGCTCTCAATCCTGCAGAAACTTTTGGACAACCTTTTGAAAGGATGTCAAAAGTACAACTATTCTGGGTATTTCTTTCTTGTAATCTTAACTTTTTACTTTGAATCCATTTCCACTCAGGGTCGCACATCTACGCAAAAGTCCACAGCAGACCCGGTGTGGAATGAACAGATCGTCTTCATAGAGATGTTTCCACCTCTGTGTCAGAGACTGAAGCTCCAGGTCTGTGGGGGAATGACCCTCTTCTCATTTTACTACTATTTAATTTTTTAAAAAGAAGCAAAACTTATGAGTAAAAAGGTAATGTGATTCTTGTTTCCATCTCCTTTTAGGTCTGGGATGAGGGAAACATGAGTGATGTTGCTATTGGAACCCATTACTTTGACTTGAGACGCATTTCAAATGAACAGGATGGTGACAGAGGTAAGGACACACTTGAGCAGGTAACAGAGAAGAGAGAAAGTTATTTTGAATTTCAGAAGAAGACAAACTTTTTAACATTTTGACACTGTTTCATCTATGTTTTGTAAATTTGTTTTTCTCCAGGGTTTTTACCAACGTTTGGTCCAGCTTGGATTAATATTTATGGTTCTGCCAGGAACTTTTCTCTGGGTGATGACACAGGAGAGCTCAATGAAGGCATTGGGGAGGGTGTGTCCTACAGGTCAATGTCTAAACTGTTCTTCAGTATTTCAATCATAAATTTTCATTTTCATAAACATTTTTGAAAAACTCAAACCTGCTGCTTTCAGGGGCCGAGTCTACATGGAACTGGCAGTGGAGATCCTGTCAGGGGGGACAGGTTCAGAGTCCAAACTCACCAAAATGATCAAATCTGTGAAGGATCCTAAAGCAGGAAAAGCTGGAGGGAAGGACGGTAAGGCGGCTGCAGGAGCGGCAGCTGGAGGAGCAGCTGGAGGAGCTCCTGAAGATGACAAAGGAAAACCCGCGCCAGCTGAGGTCATGCCTGTGGACAACCCTCCTGTGGTAAAAAAAAAAACTGTTTCTCATAGCACCCTTATTCCTAACACTAAGTCTGTCAGGTGCTCTGTTGAAAAAGTCAAGGAGGATCACATGCAGAAATATTGGTGTTTGTGTTTCAGCTGAATTTAGACAACCAGAAGAAATTTTTCCTGTTTGGAGCGTTGTTCGAAGCCACGATGATCGACAGGAAGATCGGAGATAAACCAATCACCTTTGAGTTCTCCATGGGTGAGTTGCAAAACCACAATTTACCTTTATATTAAAGCATTAAGCCACATTACAGACAGTGTTGAGAACTGAAAGATATCAGTGTAACTGTAGTGAACCTTTCTCCTTCTGTAGATGATAAACTCTCTTATTTTTCTACCAGGAAACTTTGGTAACAGTTTTGAGTCTACGGGTGCTCCTCCTCCAAGTCCGTCCTTGAGTCTGAAAAGTCCCAAAAGTCCCAGAATCCTGAATATCCAAGACAAGGGGGACACATCTGGCTCCACTCTCAGCACCCCAACCTCCCCGTCCACCCCTCTTTTACCCAAAGAAACCATCCCACTGACCTCCAAGTCCACCACACCTCCAGAGAAACCACTCATCGTCGATGGAAACAAGTTGAGTCTGGAAAATGTTTCTGAAGTTTTCTTATAAACAGATGATTTTAATGTTAGTGCCTCTTAAAGCCAAGGATACATCTACACTGATACTGTGTTATCTCCACCAACCTCTGAGAAGGCTGTGAAAGTACAACAAAGACAAAACTGCGGCTGTTTTAGGACATTTCACTATGCAATTGCTAAAATGTAAAAGATGCAAAAAAAAAAAGGTGGGTTTTTACATTTATGTGTTTTGCACATTTAGGTTCTACATGTATCTACCTCTGGAGAAGCAGAAACCTTGTATTAACGTGATGAGCCACTGGGAGAACAGAACCTACAGACTGTTCAACTCCAACATGCTGGAAAACATCGCTGCTCTGTTTGTACGTGTGCAATAATCCAAACACAACAATGTTTTACTTTTCAGATTTGATCAGGATTTTTTTGCATATGACAAATTTGGGTTATTCTAAAGGACACTTAGTTTGAATATGTCCGCGATGTTGATTTTCAGGAGGAGGGCGTGAATGTTGCAACCGAACTTCAAAAGAAGTCGGATCCGGGGGCGGAGCCAAAGCTTAAAACCACCCTCAAAGAATTCTGCATGGACGCCAGGTAAAGTAATGAACCAATCAGACCAGGAGACGACCTTTTGTTTCTCAAGACAAAATGATGGGATGTAAAAACAATAGAGGCTGGTTTTTTTTTTTAACAAACCAGATGATGTTTTTCTGTTAAAATAAGACTGGACAACTGCACTTAAAGCACTGGTGAGAAAGGTGAATTTCTTACCATTGCATGCCTCTGACTGTTTACATTTCCTTTGCTACCTCACCAAAATAAGACAAACTGCTCTGTCTACAGAGGTTATCGTGTTTGACCCGAACTGAAAATTGCTTAAAAAAAAAGAAGTGTTGTATTCATATTTGTTTTTCTGCAGGAGTTTCATCAAAGTAGCAGAGGCGAAGTTGAAGGCAGAGTTGAAATCAAACTATCTGACCCAGCTGGACAAGAAACGTCTCACCATGTGCAAACAGGAACTGGTGGGGGAATCTCATTTCAATGCATGAAAAACCTGCATAATGTCACTTAGAAAAAGATTTTATGTTATTTTCTGCTGTTTTGGTTTTAGTTCTACAAAGCTGTTCACATTCAGACCTGTTAATCTTTTTACAATCAGCACTGGAAGTGGTTAGCTTCAATGCTCAATATAGGAGTAATAGATTTTAAAGGTGAGCAGTTCAAATGAATGTGATATTCTGACTATGCGCATGTTTTCCAGGAGAGTATGATTGAGGAAGCCGAAGCTTTGAAAGACCGAAAGAGAAAAGTCAGTGGAGTGAAGGGAATGCTGCAGAGTGTAACGAAGCTCACCAAAAAACTGCGCTTTCTTGTGCAGGAGGTATGAGACTCCCTGTGTCTGTCTGTGTCCTGCTGCACACATCACACTTTTTAAGTTTAAGTAAATCTCTTTGGTTTTTTTTACTCCTCTGCACGTCCCCACAAACATCAGCCTCAGCACACTGTACCTGATGTCTTTGTGTGGTTGTTGAGCAACAACAAGCGTGTTGCATACGCTCGGATCCGAGCCAGAGATCTGCTGTACTCCAGTGAGGAGGAGTCCAGAGGAATCCACTGTGGCAAGATCATAACTCTGTATTTAAAGGTAAATACGCACAGGACTTAACCTTAAAACAACCGCCTAAGTAGAAGGTGCAGAAAAACCTGAGTTTGTGTGTTCAGAATCCAGGAAAGCGTGTTTCCGGCCTGACAGTTCAAGCGAAAATTGATGTGTATCTTTGGCTTGGAACCTGTGATGACGCAGTCAAAATGCTGGATGACCTGCCAGCAGGATTCACTCCAGCCACAGGAGGTGCTAATGCTAGTAACCCTCCATCACACCTGATCAGTGCAGGTACAGTTTCTCCAGTTAAGTTATTTTTTTGGTATTTTGTCCTTGGATTGATGTATAGCTCATCCCCTCCTCAGGAGGTTCTGGTTTACCTTTCGGAATATCATATTTACCTTTGTAATTAAAAACATCTTTTGTGCTAAATTTGCACTGTGACTTATTTAAAACTTGAAGTTCTATAATGTGTGCTTGTCTTTGTATCTCCAGAGCAGAATCAGTTCCAGTTGAGGTGCCACATGTATCAGGCTCGTGGTTTGATTGCTGCAGACAACAGCGGGCTCTCTGACCCTTTTGCCAGAATCACTTTTCTGTCAAACTGCCAAACCACCAATGTAAGTGTGGAGTAATTGATGTGTGTGTGTGCTTGAGACGCTGTGCTTCTTTTCTGTTTTATATAACTTTTAGGAAGGCAGTAAGTATGCTATGATGTATTGACTTACTGTAAAATCCACTCACTCCTTAAGATTGATAGCTTCCCAACCAATAAACTGTGTATTTCTGTGATATCCAGGGGTTTCTCTATCTCACAGAAGAAATCAGTGTATGTTCAGAGACTGTCTAGATTCCTCAAAAAAATTAGTCTGTGATAATTCAAGTATAAATTTAGTGATAAAGTGGGATTTCTGTTTTTAAGGCTTGTTTTAAAATTATGAGTGTTGACACAGAAAACCTGTTTAGGTCGGCTTTTTTCTACACAGAGAAATCCTCAGAAATCAATAAGAGAATAAATATCATCATCAATTGTATCGTACTGGATCATAATGCATTGAATCATAAGTACTATATCCAATCATGTTAAAGTGTATCATGCTGTATTTTATTGTATCATATCGTATCAAATCATACCGTGTCTTGACATAAAATAGCGTAGCTTAACATAGCATAGCGTGACCTAGCGTAGCACAGCCTAATACTGTGTAAAAGGCATAAAGTTACGCATCGTACTTAATATTTTATGAACTTATTGTATCTTAATTATCATATCGTATTAAATCTCGTCATATTGTACAATATTGTATCGTATAATTTGATATAATCGTACAATTTTCTGTTGAATTGTACTGCACAGAAGTACTTCCAATGGTGTTGCACTGTTGAGTTTTTCTTGTTTCCTGTTCCATTAACTGTATTGCTCTTTATATAATATCTCAAACGGATCCCTTTGCACCTCCAAAGGTTGAGCATAGCTATGTGTTGTATGTGTGTGTTATATACGTGTGTCTTTCTTTAAGGTGATCAATCAAACTCTCAGTCCAACATGGAACCAGAGTTTGCAGATGAGCAGCCTTCACCTGAGTGGAAATCTGCAGTACATCAAAGCGGAGCCGCCGCGCATTGTCATCGAGGTGTACGATGATGACGCTGTGGTATGAATCAGTACTTCAGTCAAAGATTCATGATTTATGGTTAAGTTAGAGTTAGAATATATCACTCTCTCTGTTCTGGCCATGTGCAGGGTAAAGCCGAGTATCTGGGAGCCACAGTCACAGTCCCTGAAGTCCGGCTAAACTCTGAGCCTTACACACCTCCAACCCTGAAATACAGCCCTCTGCACTGTGGCAGCCAGACAGGAGGAGACCTGCTGGCTGCCTTTGAATTGTTGCAGGTTTGTTGTTATCATGTTAACATTTATGATAAGGCAATATGAAACAATAAAAAGGTTCAGATAATGAGGAGGAATCACTGTGATGAATGTGTAGATCCCAGAGTCTGGAGAGAAGAGTCTGCCGCCGATGGAGGAAAAGGGGGGAGGAATCTACGCGGTCCCTGCTAATATCAGACCTGTTCTCAGTACCTACAGGCTGGAGGTTTGACTGCTAGCATGTATTTGTGTGTTTTTAGGACATTACTTAGCCTGTTTATGTAAAACTGTTAGAACAAGTTCTGAGCTTGCTCCAACCTGGCAACTTGGCAAAATTAAAAACTAGTGCTTTTGTTTTGTTTGTTTGTATCTGTTCAACAGGTGTTGTTCTGGGGTCTGAGGGAGCTGAAGAAGGTTCAGTTCTTAACTGTTGACCGCCCTCAGGTACGTGCACAAACATTAGGGGCATGAACCAGCTTTGTCTAATTTTTTTGGCCTCCACTTAAGTCACTATTTTATGAAGTAAATATATGAACCTCTGCGGCTGCTGAATTAACATCTGGGCTTTACTGCAAGTTAAGGAGAGTAGAGTTGGTTCAATTTCTGAACTTTCTGTTCTTAATTTCCTTTATACAACACAGCTCTTGATATAGGTTCATTTTTATTGTTATAGCACAATATACAGGATTACATGCTTTGTATGGCTTGGCTTCTCTCGTGCAGTAACTTTTGCATCCTGTACTGCATGAGTGTGTGTGTGGTTTTTTTTTTTAATCTTTCTGTAAGTAGACATATTATACTCATTTTAACCTTTCAGAGTGACACAGCTTGTGGGCGTTACTTTTTACGCAGCTTTGTAGTCACGAAACAACCCAAACACCTAGCCATTAGCATCCATGTCAGTTGCCCGTTGTGCATTAGCTATTGTTACATCAGCTGCTGATATCATGTTACTTGCAGCTTGTGACTCTGAGTCTCCCTGCATGACTATAGATGGGACAGCACCAGGTTTTAGTCACAGTTTAGAGGTAAATCCAGTTCATTCTGGCCTTTGATGACAAAGAAGTCATTGGTGAAGTGGTGTGCACAAATAGAAAAGTTCTGAAGCCTACGTCTTTGGCAAGAGAAAATTAGACAAACGATTTGCAACGGTCTGGACAATCTTCATGAGGGGAAATGTGCTGTGAATGGAGGATATGTACAGAGGTTGAAAAACGTAACAGTGGAAATGCGCTGTGAAAAGCTGAAACTTTTGACTCTCTTCTCTCTCTGCAGGTCATCATAGAGTGTGCAGGTAAAACTCTGCGCTCCTCTGTTATTCAGAAGTACAAGTCCAACCCAAACTTCCCCACACTGGTTGATGTCATGGATCTGGTAGGACACAATCTAACATTAAGAATAAATCATACTATTTTTTTACTGTGAAAATATTCAGACAATGATGCCGTTTGTGAATGCAGTTTAGAAAAGACTCTATGACCTGGGAATCAACATTTTTTTTGAGCTGTTCATCATTTAAAAAAGTCGTGTTTTACTCTTTTCTGCCGTCCTTCAGGACTTGCCAGAGAAAGAGCACCTCCATCCTCCTCTCAGTATCACTGTGGTGGACTGGAGGGCCTTTGGTCGCAGCACTTTGGTTGGGAATCACATCATCAATAACCTCAAGTCCTTCAAATATGTCCCACCGCCAGCCCTGCCTGCTCCTGTACAGGCTCCCAAACGCCGGGTTTCATACACACCTGAGGTTGAGGCAGCATTACAGTCACAGTCACAGCCACTGCCACAGCCACAGCCACAGCCACAGCCACAGCCACCGCCACAGCCACAGAGCACTGAAGGTAAAACATGAGCATACTGTGTCCTTTTATTCTTGTATAGCTACTTGTAAAAACATAAAAACAGTGTTACAGACTAAAGTTAGGATTGATTCATCCTCGACTTGAGAAGCTTTGGCTTTCCTGATCTTCATATTTCCTTTCCAGATCCCCAACCAGCAGGCCCATCTCAGCTCTCTGCAGAGACCAGTTCAGTCGCACCGCTGGCAAAGGAGGACGTCTTGATCACTGTGGAGGATGAGCCTCCGCCTCCACCTCCGCCCGGCCTGAAGAAAAAGGATCCAAAGAAAAAGGTGACAGTTACTGTCTGCATAACCAGAAAAATAACCAGATCCTTTGAGCCATTTTATGAACACTTCAGTCATGTGTTTACTCCAGACCCAGGAGGGAAAGTCAAAAAGCTCTCGACGATCCACCAAGAGGAGAAAGAGAACGGTAGCTGACGAATCAGCAGAGTGTGTCATCGACTGGTGGTCCAAGTACTACGCATCTGTAGAGAAAGAGGTAGGACTTCTAACTGGGTTCAAACTGAGAAGAACGAGTAAAAAGTAAAAATGTGAACATGTGGCTGTTTTTCAGGCCAAACAAAAGGACGGCTCTCTTTTCCCTCAAGTCTTTGAAAAAGGTAAGAGCTCCTCCAAGGAGAAATTTCACCTCCTGTGTTGAGACTGATTGCAGAATGAGAAGAGCAGAGATTTGGGGGCTGGAAAAGACTTAGAAGAGAGGTGTCACAGAAGTCAATGCAGCTTGTATTATGTTAACACTGTAACCTATGAGCATAAATACTCTCACATTATTCTGTGTTGCAGCCTCGGCTTGCGACACCTTGATAAGTGCTGGAATAGACTCCTTGGGTAAGGACAAAGACAAGCTAAAAAAACCTGGGTGTCATGTTAGGGACTTTAACTTTGTGGCAGGAAATCTTCAGCTGGGTATCTTGGTTTATTGAGAACTGGAGACTCTGGAAAAGGGTTAGCTTTCTCTCTGTGGGATTACTTTGTGAATCGATCAGTGCTGTTTTGGAAAGTCTTTTAAGGTTTAACTGTTAGACTTCTGTCTCTGTTTGTGTGGTTTTGTCTCTGCATGATTTCCCTCACAGCTCTGTGTGCAGATTCATTTGTTTTTTGTGTACTTTCAATGCCATAAAAATTTTAAATGAAGGTGTGTATGATAAATACATAGAAATTCCAGCTTTTGTAAATGTTCTGTTTGTTTCTTCAGTCAGTCACTCAGATGGAGACAAGAAGAAGAAGCAACAACAGAAAGGAAAACCAGCCGTGGATCCCAAACTTGGTGTTCCAGCTAGATTAGCCACACTGAAGGTGATCATTTCAGAAAATCAGTGAGCGGATGAGTATCGATCACCTCCATTCGCCTCCACTCTCTGCTCTGTTTAGGACGTTAAATCACAAAGCAAATGGCACTTAATACATTCAAGAGCAGAATCATCCATAAAGTTGATCTCTGTGCAGTTTGCTCCAGGGTTGTGATGAGGATGAACTGTGAGCATCTTCATGCACTGCTAAACAGAGTTGTACTGTGTGCACTTTAGCCCCAACTGGGTTCAATTCTATCCACACATGCCATAAACTGGATGGAGATGACTCTTTGGGTCATTTTTTGGCTCATTTATTTGGCTTATTGTCTTTTTGGATCATTCCTCTGCAGCTGTACACCAAGGAGCTGGAGGCGGAGTTTGGACCTTTTGATGATTGGGTGAACACATACGAGCTGTACAGGGGAAAAGCCAATGAGGAAGACGGAGGGACAGATGAGAGATTTGTGGGTAAATTCAAGGTGAGACGCTCTTGTGAAAGTTCTTGGTGTGTTTTTAATTTCAAAATCAGGGATTTTCTGTCATCAAAGTTGATCTTACCTGCTGTCTGCTCCTCTGCAGGGGAAATTCTGCCTCTACAAACTGACTGAGGATGATGATGAAGACTTGGAGGATGCTGCAGACTCCGGGTTCTTAAGAGTCAACAGAGGACTCCCTCCAAACAACCCGGTCAAAGTCCTCATAAGAGTTTATGTCGTCTCTGTAAGTCCTCGTTTCCACTGTAAAAGATTTTAGTCTCATTTTTAGTTTTCTTATTTTTATATTTTTCATTTTGTACATGCCCGTGCATTGATTGAGCACTGTGGTGCACCTCTCTGAATGATTTTTTAACTCCTTTCACTGCAGGCATCTAACCTTCACCCTGCAGACCCTGATGGGAAGGCAGACCCCTATGTCGTCGTCCGGCTCGGCAAGAATGAAATCAAAGACCGAGACAACTACATCCCCAAACAGCTGAACCCTGTGTTTGGAAGGTAAACAGCTCACCTCTTACACCTAAACCTAAGCTGGAAGATTTTTTTAAACCCGAGCTAAGACCTCCTCACGCTCCATCCCTGTAGATCCTTTGAGTTTCAAGCCACGTTTCCGAAGGAGTCTCTGCTGTCGGTGGTGATCTACGACTACGATATGGTGGGAGGGGACGACCTGATCGGAGAGACGCGAATCGACCTGGAGAACAGGTTCTACAGCCGGTACAGAGCCACCTGTGGACTCCCTGCTGAGTACAGCATGTAAGTCTGGCTATTAGTTGGAAATAACAAATATAAAAAAAAGTGCTTCACCATGGTTGAAGTCTTGATTGTTTCTATTGTCTCATTTTAGTATTATTTTATGTTAAGAAACATAAAAGCTGGACCTGGTTCTGACCCATTCCTACGAATGGATTTACAGGACCAGATCTGCCAAGAAATGAGAGGTTGTACTTTGGCCAGAGGGGGCGCCAAAATCAGTACAAACTAAAAGTCCCTCACAGGCGCTTAAAGCATTTGAAAAGTGTCATTTCAGCTGATTAAACAAATTCATCTACAGAGGAAGGACTCTTATATTTGGGAAAACTGTTTAAAGGTTCCATTAAAAAGTTCTGTTTATTGCATACAGTCAAAAATCTCTACCTTTGTCTGTTTTAGTGATGGTTACAACGCCTGGAGAGACTGTCTGAAGCCGTCAGAGCTGCTGGCCAAGATGTGCAAAGACAACGGCGTGGATGGCCCTCACTTCAGACCGGGACGCATCACAGTGGCCGACAAAGTGTTTACGGGGAAGACGCTGTTCATGGACGAAGGTGAAGACTGGACATAATACACGAGAAATACTTATCCAAGTTTATAGAATGAGATTTATTCGATTTTTTCTATAACATAAACTCACCTCATGTTTTGTTTTGTTTTTTGATCACTTTTATTCTTCAGCTGTATTAATGAGGAATCCTAAAACCGACTTGTTACTAATCTCCAGGGGAAGTCTTTGATAATGGTCTTGTGGTGTGCCTCTTGCCTCAGATCAGCCTATAGAGTCCTACGAGCATTTGTCCCTGAAGATCCTGCACCGCTGGTCTGAGATTCCAGGTGTGGGATGTAAACTGGTACCAGAACACATCGAGACCAGGACTCTGTTCAACAAGACTCGACCCGGCATGGATCAGGTACTTGAGCTGTTATCCAGTAAAGTACTGTATGTGATAACCTGACTGTATTTTGTGTTATTTCTATAGAGGTTAGTGTTTGAAGTTTACTACTTCAAACACTTAAATGTGTTTTTTGTGTGTAGGGTCAGGTCCAGATGTGGGTAGACATGTTCCCCATGGACTTACCCACTCCAGGACCTTCTGTGGATATTTCACCTCGAAAACCAAAAGGGCAAGCGCTTTCTCTTGATGGTTTATTGTTGATAAAAATACTTTAAGAAGTTAAACTGACTTTTCTAACATTTGTGTTTAGGTATGAGCTGCGAATCATCATCTGGAACGCAGAGGATGTGATTCTGGAGGACAGCAACTTCCTGACCGGTCAACAGTCCAGCGACATCTACATCAAAGGGTAAAAACAAGTTTGCTTATCTTTGGAGGTTGTCTTGTGTGCTTTTTACTTTGTTTAAAGTGAGGTGAAATCTTGTGTTAACAGTTCTTAATTTGCTTTTTCTCTACAGCTGGTTGAAGGGTTTGGAGGATGATCGACAGGAAACAGACGTCCATTACAATTCTCTGACCGGAGAAGGAAACTTCAACTGGCGCTTTGTGTTCCCTTTCTTCTACATGCCTGCTGAGAGGGTACAGACCGACAGTCAGATGAACTTTTGACTCAGAGCATTTGGTTGTCGTTGTGATTATTTAGCTTATTGTGTTACTGTGCTATGGGATTATCCTCTTTTAGCAAATATCCATATGGATTTTTCTTTCCTGTATTTCCAAGACCTAGAGGTGAAAACTACACTTTGGAAGAAGACAATTTTAGGTTTTATAGGTTTTTATTCCTCTATTCAAAAAGGATTGGACTGGTGGCTGACCAATATTAGTTTTGTGATAGCTAGTACCAAAATAACAGAGCAGATTGGCTGATATATGATGCCAGTATTACCACGTTGCTGTTTTTTTTTCTCTTGAGTTTGACAGAAAATGTCAGTTTAATATGACCAGCAACTGAGAAACAAAATTTTTAAAGTTGAATGAACTTTTTTATAATATAGTTGTCAATGAAAAATCACCACAAGAGACTATTGAATTTCTGTCCAGTCAACTTAAACAATAAAAAAAGAAAAAAACACAAATAAATTATGCAATTTAAATTAAAAAAAACCATTAGCGATGGATGAATTTTTAATGATTTGATGATGTTTAAAAAATCTCTATATAAGAACCTGTATATAAGAAATTTTTAAAAAATGCATGCCCTTTTTCTTGCCTTCTCTCTCTCAGGTAGTGGTGGTGAGTAAGAGAGAGAGCATTTTCTCTCTGGATAAAACAGAAAAGAAGCTTCCCGCCATCCTCATCCTGCAGGTCTGGGACTTTGAGACGCTCTCCTCTGACGACTTCCTGGGTGTGTACTTTAATGTACCTTTTACTCCATGTGTGTTTACATCCATTAGTATAGTTGTGCTTATAGTCTCTGTGTATGTGAAGGCGCGGTTGAGATAGACCTGCATGGATTCCCTCGAGGCGCAAAGACGGCAAAGGTGTGTAAAATGGACATGATGACAGAAGTGACGGACAAAATCTCCATCTTCCAGCAGAAGAGAGCGAGAGGCTGGTGGCCTTTCAGCAAATCCGGAGAACTGACGGTGTGTACAAGGAGAGACACACATATACAAACACTTGTGTCAAGGTTTTGACTGACAGGTGTGCTTTTGGTCTGACCCACAGGGAAAAGTAGAGGCAGAGTTTCATCTCGTGACGGCCGAAGAGACTGAGAAAAACCCAGTGGGAAAAGCAAGAAAGGAGCCAGAGCCACTTCCAAAACCAAAGTAAGAGCAGATTTACTGAGAACGCCACAGAGTTAATGCTTAATGCAACACATCCTGTATTTATTTAATAGTGTGAAATTAAGAAGAGACACTTTAGTAGACACTTTTAGGAAAAATAAATACATTTGGAACGAGGAAATGTTTTGGAAAACAAAAAAATTTAAAAACACAGACATATTTAAAAATACGAAATAAAATCTGAAACTGTAAAGTATTTATAAAACCCCCATAATCAATAAATAAAACATAAAAAGACTTTTAAAAATGCAAATAAATTTTGGGAACCAGAAACATTTCAAAGACCCAAATATATTTAGAAACAATTAGGAATAAAAATATTGTGAAAACACAAAAAAAATGTTGTTTTTTTTCCCCCCAAAAGTAATTTAGTGTTCAAAGTTTATTTATTTAAATGTTTCTGTTTTCATTAATTAATTTTAATTTGTATGTAAGTGTAATATTTTATTGTTTTCCAGTGTTATGTAATATTTATTTATTGCCCTTCATGGCCAGTGTAGCTAGGTGCTTAATAGAGCGATAAATTGTCCAAAAAAATATGTTGCTACATTTACAGTTTAAAAAATGTCTGATTTGTCTCTTCTCTTCAGTCGTCCAGATACCTCCTTCTCGTGGTTTGTTAATCCCTTCAAGTGTTTCTTCCATCTAATCTGGAGAAACTACAAGAAGTACATCATCGCCGCTCTGGTTCTTCTCATCCTCACAGTCTTCCTTGTTCTGCTTTTCTACACCATGCCAGGAGCCATTTCGAATAAGATCATTAATGGATAAAAACACAGGTGCAAAAACACTAAAAAAGCTGAGATAGACTTATGCTTAAAATAACTGAGGGAATCAGTACTCCGTGTAAATAGTCAGTATCCATTACACAGTTTAATGAACATGAGAAATACTTGTCAGGTACTGTCTTTGTGTCATTATCAGGCCGGGTAGAGGAGTGCACTTTATACACATTTCAACATCATAGGAAAATGCTCAAATTACAGTCACCAACACTTAAACCCTTTTAGTCATTTACTTTAAAGACACATATATTCACACTGAAAAAATAGCATGAGTAGTTATCCACTGTGGCACAGAGTTTAAATAACACCATCTGACTGGCTTATAAATACATAAACAGTGAAAATGTACAGACTCATAAATACTGAGACATACCTTGTTTGATAGCTTATTAATGACTGCACTAACAGAACACAGACTATAACAAACAGATTAAAACAAAATGAATTATTCTGATATTTTGACCGTTGATATTACATTAGATTTTTTCTACTTATCCTGGGTGTTGTTAAAAGTAGCTATTGTACACTTAAGCTAAAAAAGGCTCAGTAACTTTTTTTCATGAGGTGTATTTAAGTTTATCTCTGCTCAATAAAGACGTGAATTTAAGCATGCAAGCTCTTCTTTTGTTGTGCTGTCATCTAAGTGTCGTGTTTGCTTATCAAACTGTGTATAAATTAGACCAACTGTTTGACTAACGCCGTCAATATAATATTATAATATTCTACAGGTGAGCGCTAACACCTGATGAACACACACCCAACATAATAATTCTATAATCTGCCTTTAAATACGGCACTGAATGATATCTGAGTCTGGCAGAGAGACACCGTGCTGTGATAGGCTGGCCTGTGTGTAAGAGGAGGTGGGGGAGGATGATGTGACAGTGTGCTGATGAAGAGCCATGCTGGAGGAGGAAGAGGAGGGTATGAAGGGCAGAGTGTTGGAGATGCTGTTGTTGAGGAAGCTGCCAGGCTGGGGCAGCGGTGAGCTCTGTCTCTGCTGACTGCTGGAGGAGGCAGCTGGAATGAAAAGGTGAAAGAAAGTGAGCACTTAGCATCTCTTTGCTGACAGAATATAGTTTTACTTAAAAGTCCTTCTTCTGTTTCTAGATTTTTAGTTTATCACTTTTTTTTACTTGAGACAAAACTGCTAGTTAGTGGCATGCTGTATATAAAGTGACACAGGAAAGAGACAACTGAAACAAAAGCAGATTCAGGTACTAGGTGAGTATCCTTCTTACCACATGGTCCTCTGAGCTGCGGCTGCTGACTGCTGATGGGAAAGCCGTTTGAAGAAAAACCTGTAGTGCCACCTTCAGCCTGAAGAGAGAATGAAGCAAGAGTTACAGCTCTTGTGTCTGACAGTGAGGTCTGAGAGGAGAGACGATTCAAATCTTGATCCCTGGATCTTGGGTAAATGTAAATGCTTCACCTGGATCTGGTTCAGACCCGCCTGCAGTTTCCTTTTTGCCCTCCATCTGGCCACCCTCAGTCTGGTCTTCTCTCTGCGCTCTCGCACCTTCAACACAACAAAACGATCCGGTATGATTCATACAGACAAATAAAACCAGCCCTTGTTCAAGAGAACAGTCCTCCAAACTTGACAACCTGAAGAGATGTTTGTGTTTACTCACTAGATCAGCCAGCAGAGGCTGAGGCAGCATCTTCTCCAGCTCTCTGCGTCTGCTCAGGTTCATCCGTCGCAGTTCGTTCCTGCGCAGCTTGTATTCTTCATAGAGGCTGAGGTCATTAGTCCAGGGATGTTCCACCTGATGAGGAGGATTGGTGGGCTGTAAGGTTCCCATCAAAGGCAGGGAGGCTGCTGCCTGAGACATCAGATCTGAGTACAGAGAGGTTTTGAGATAACTGTGAAGAGTTTTTATATAATTAATCTATAAACTTATCTTAGCTCTGAACTTTTCAAAGCCAGAAAAAAAATCTTCAATCATGATTTTCCTCGACGGTTCTACTCACAGCTGTTTGTCGCCGCTGTGAAAGCTGCTGAGTGAATTCTCTGGTTGTCTTGAAGTTCTGACCACTCTGCCATACAGCTTTGAGCCTGAAGTGAAAAAACAAGTGTTATTGATCTCTGAAAGATTACCATTGACAGTCCATGTTAAATTACTTTATTACAGAGCGAGCTATTATCATTGCAGTTAGATTTTCTGTCTTCTTTTGGCTTTTTTAACACACCTGTACTATCATCTTATACCTGGTCAGACTGGACCAGAATTAACCAGGGATAACATCAAAACTGAAATAATCAGCACAAACCCCCCCGGTGATAAGGTCTTGATTTGACTGTTTCTTTCTTCTTAAGCCGTTTGCTTGTATTTCATATTTAATCAAGCTTTACCTCTGTCTCTGAGGGATGACTCTGCTGCACCTGACAGTCCATCAGCAGAGCACCCGTCACCTGCTCCTCCTCCGGCTCCTCTTTGATACAGATCACCTCCTGCTGCTGCTGTTGCTGGGGTTCCTGCTTCACCTGCATTTACATCACATTTGTTAATGTCTTTCACAACATTACACTGAAAAGCATGCATTTTCTATAATGACAATTAAACAAATATATTAAGACTCAAACTTGAAGAAGTCAAATAGTCATGAATCCTCAGCCACAGCAGTATTTGTGGCTTCTACTGCCTGGATGAAAACTAAAAAATGCCTACTTAAACTGACATTGTAGTAAAATCCATGTTGTGGCAGTACATAGCCCACTTTGAACAGAGAGCAGCCTTTTACTACTGTCTCTAGATACACTAAGGCCCAGACTACACATATATAGATATTTATTTATCAGGATATTTTTGTACTCCCGTCTAAATAAATGTATCTGTCCACATGTGTTCATTCTCAAAATTATCTGCGTCCACACGTAGCCTTCGAACTCAATTCTATCTGGTGCTGCTTAAAAAAATTCAGGAACAAGCGTTAGGGAGCCTAACCCTAACCCTAACCCTAGCTGTCACCCTAACCCTAACCCTAGCTCCAACCCTAACCCTAACCCTAGCTCCAACCCTAACGCAAACCCTACCCCTAACTCGAACCCTAACCCTAACCCTAACCCTAGCTGCAACCCTAACCCTAACCCTAACTCCAACCCTAACCCTAACCCTAACCCTAACCCTAGCTGCAACCCTAACCCTAACCCTAACTCCAACCCTAACCCTAACCCTAACTCCAACCCTAACCCTAACCCTAACTCCAACCCTAACCCCAACCTAACTGTAACTCTAACCCCAACCTTAACTCCAACCCTAACCCTAACCCTAACTCCAACCCTAACCCTAACCCTAACTCCAACCCTAACCCTAACCCTAGCTCCAACCCTAACCGTAACCCTAACCCTAGCTCCAACCCTAACCCTAACCCTAGCCCTAACCCTAACCCTAACTCACACCCTAACCCTAACCCTAACTCCAATCCTAACCCTAACCCTAGCTCCAACCCTAACCCTAACCCTAGCTGCAACCTTAACCCTAACCCTAGCTCCAACCCTAACCCTAACCCTAGCTCCAACCCTAACCCTAACCCTAGCTCCAACCCTAACCCTAACCCTAGCTCCAACCCTAACCCTAACCCTAGCTGCAACCCTAACCCTAACCCTAACCCTAACTCAAACCCTAACCCTAACCTAACCCTAACCCTAACTCCAACCCTAACCCTAACCCTAACCCTAACTCTAACCCTATCTCCAACCCTAACCCTAACCCTAGCTCCAACCCTGACCATAACCCTAACCCTAGCTCCAACCCTAACCCTAGCTCCAACCCTAACCCTAACTCGAACCCTAACCCTAACCCTAACCCTAGCTGCAACCCTAACCCTAACCCTAACCCTAACTCCAACCCTAACCCTAACCCTAACTCCAACCCTAACCCTAACCCTAACCTTACCCTAACCCTAACCCCAACCCTAACTCCAACCCTAACCCTAACCCTAACTCCAACCCTAACCCTAACCCTAACCCTAGCTCCAACCCTAACCCTAACCCTACCTCCAACACTAACCGTAACCCTAACCCTAGCTCCAACCCTAACCCTAACCCTAGCTGCAACCCTAACCCTAACTCCAACCCTAACCCTAACCCTATCTCCATCCCTAACCCTAACCCTAGCTCCAACCCTAACCCTAAACCCAACCCAAGCTCCAACCCTAACCCTAACCATAACTCCAACCCTAACCCTTACCCTAGCTGCAACCTTAACCCTAACCCTAACCCTAGCTCCAACCCTAACCCTAACCCTAACCCTAGCTCCAACCATAACCCTAACCCTAACCCTAACTCCAACCCTAACCCTACCCCTAACTCGAACCCTAACCCTAACCCTAACCCTAGCTGCAACCCTAACCCTAACCCTAACTCCAACCCTAACCCTAACCTATACCCGACCCTAACTCCAACCCTAACCCTAACTCTAACTCCAACCCTAACCCTAACTCCAACCCTTACCCACACATAACCCTAGCTCCAACCCTAACCCTAACCCTAGCTGCAACCTTAACCCTAACCCTAACGCAACCCTAACCCTAACCCTAGCTCCAACCCTAACCCTAACCCTAGCTCCAACCCTAACCCTAACCCTGGCTGCAACCCTAACCCTAACCCTAACTCCAACCCTAACCCTAACCCTAACCTAACCCTAACCCTAACCCCAACCCTAACTCCAACCCTAACCCTAACTCCAACCCTAACCCTAGCTCCAACCCTAACCCTAACCCTAGCTGCAACCCTAACCCTAACCCTAACTCCAACCCTAACCCTAACTTCAACCCTATCCCTAACCCTAACCCTAACTCCAACCCTAACCCTAACCCCAACCCTAACTCCAACCCTAACCCTAACTCCAACCCTAATCCTAACCCTAGCTCCAAACCTAACCGTAACCCTAACCCTAGCTCCAACCCTAACCCTAACCCTAGCCCTAACCCTAACCCTAACTCCAATCCTAACCCTGACCCTAACCCTAGCTCCAACCCTAACCCTAACCCTAGCTGCAACCTTAACCCTAACCCTAGCTCCAACCCTAACCCTAAACCTAACCCAAGCTCCAACCTTAACCCTAACCCTAGCTCCAACCCTAACCCTAACCCTAGCTGCAACCCTAGCCCTAACCCTAGCTCCAAAACTAAACCTAACCCTAGCTGCAACCTAACCCTAAAACTAAACCCTAACTCAAACCCTAACCCTAACCCTAACATAACCCTAACCCTAACCCCAACCCTAACCCTAACTCCAACCCTAACCCTAACCCTAACTCCAACCCTAACCCTAACCCTAACCCTATCTCCAATCCTAACACTAACCCTAGCTCCAACCCTAACCGTAACCCTAACCCTAGCTCCAACCCTAACCCTAACCCTAACCCTAACCCTAGCTGCAACCTTAACCCTAACCCTAACCCTAGCTCCAACCCTAACCGTAAACCTAGCTCCAACCCTAACCCTAACCCTAACTCCAACCCTAACCCTACCCCTAACTCGAACCCTAACCCTAACCCTAGCTGCAACCCTAACCCTAACCATAACTCCAACCCTAACCCTAACCCAAACTCCAACCCTAACCCTAACCCTAACCTAACCCTAACCCCAACCCTAACTCCAACCCTAACCCTGACCCTAACTCCAACCCTAACCCTAACCCTAACCCTAACTCCAACCCTAACCCTAACCCTAACCCTAGCTCCAACCCTAACCCTAACCCTACCTCCAACCCTAACGTAACCTTAACCCTAGCTCCAACCCTAACCCTAACCCTAGCTGCAACCCTAACCCTAACCCTAACTCCGACCCCAACCCTAACCCTAACTCCAACCCTAACCCTAACCCTAACCATAGCTCCAACCCTAACCCTAACCCTAGCTGCAACATTAACCCTAACCCTAACCCTAGCCCTAACCCTAACCCTAACCCTAGCTCCAACCCTAACCCTAACCCTAGCTCCAACCCTAACCCTAACCCTAGCTGCAACCCTAACCCTAACCCTAGCTCCAACCCTAACCCTAACCCTAGCTGCAACCCTAACCCTAACCCTAACTCCAACCCTAACCCTAACCCTAACCCCAACCCTAACTCCAACCCTAACCCTAACTCCAACCCTAACCCTAACCCTAGCTCCAACCCTAACCCTAGCTCCAACCCTAACCGTAACCCTAACCCAAGCTCCAACCCTAACCCTAACTCTAACCCTAACCCTAGCTCCAACCCTAGCTCCAACCTTAACCCTAACCCTAGCTGCAACCTTAACCCTAACCCTAACCCTAACCCTAGCCCTAACCCTAACCCTAACTCCAACCCTAACCCTAACCCTAACTCCAATCCTAACCCTGACCCTAACCCTAGCTCCAACCCTAACCCTAACCCTAGCTGCAACCTTAACCCTAACCCTAACCCTAGCTCCAACCCTTACCCTAACCCTAACCCTAGCTCCAACCCTAACCCTAACCCTAGCTCCAACCCTAACCCTAACCCTAGCTGCAACCCTAACCCTAACCCTAGCTCCAACCCTAACCCTAACCCTGGCTGCAACCCTAACCCTAACCCTAACTCAAACCCTAACCCTAACCTAACCCTAACCCCAACCCTAACTCCAACCCTAACCCTAACTCCAACCCTAACCCTAACCCTATCTCCAATCCTAACACTAACCCTACCTCCAACCCTAACTGTAACCCTAACTCTAGCTCCAACCCTAACCCTAACCCTAACTGCAACCCTAACCCTAACCCTAGCTGCAACCTTAACCCTAACCCTAACCCTAGCTCCAACCCTAACCCTAACCCTAACCCTAACTCCAACCCTAACCCTTCCCCTAACTCGAACCCTAACCCTAACCCAAGCTGCAACCCTAACCCTAACTCCAACCCTAACCCTAACCCTAACCTAACCCTTACCCCAACCCTAACCCTAACCCTAACTCCGACCCTAACCCTTACCCTAGCTCCAACCCTAACCCTAACCCTAGCTCCAACCCTAACCCTAACCCTAACCCTAGCTCCAACCCTAACCCTAACCCTAGCTCCAACCCTAACCCTAACCCTAACCCTAGCTCCAACCCTAACCCTAACCCTAACCCTAGCTCCAACCCTAACCCTAACCCTAACTCCAACCCTAACACTAACCCTAACCTGTTAGGGTTGAATCTGCATTCGTGTCGTTGGGGCCTAAGTTGTCTGTGTGTTTTCACCTGGATGGCAGAGGAGGGCAGTGTGGAGCTATCAGCCTGGGTGGATCCCTCTGAAGACAGAGAGCTGGAGCCTGAGTCCACAATCAGAGTCTGAACATGAGGAGGATCCACAGCAGTGTCTGCAGGCTCTGTCTGGGGCTCTACAGCGATGGTCCACTCACAGTCCTCCTCAGGATCATCATCTTGACTCTGAGTGGTTTCCTGCTCCCCGGGACAGAACAAAACTGCATAGACACAGACATGTGATCAGTCTGGTTTGATGATTTAAGGGTTTATTGTTTTTGAAAACTCGCTCATCCTCGAACCCGCCAGCTCTGTACCTGTGCTGCTGTCCACTGATTCTGTTGGTGTGTTCACAGAGAGCGGTGCAGGAGGCAGCAGGTCAGACAGGTCTGAACTGGCAATCTCTGAAGGACAGTGCAGTCTAACGCCTCGTCTTCTCTTATTGTGTGGAGAGGTGCATTCTGGGAGTAAAAACATAGAAGCAAGTGGGGCTCATTAGAGTGGATAGAGATAAAGGTCATTATTATGTAGAGTCACAATTCACAAAAGTTGGGATAATGTGTAAAGTGTTGATAAAAACAGAATTTAATACTTTGCAAATCAATTGATTTATGGAAAATAGTGTAAAACAATGAAAATGTCTATGGTTGGGACAGTAAAATTACTGATTTAACAATGATGATAATAAAACAGTTAAGTGTGAAACCTTTGAGCAACATTAAAGTTTATTCTTCCTCAGCTTCTACCTTGGTTGGTTCTTGTCAGTGATCCCTCAGAAATCCTGTTCTGAGCTGAGCCTGATGTTGAAGTCTCTGTGGAGGAGACCCCTGCACTGCTTCTCTGTGCTGGGAGGAAAGAAGACGGATGGATGCGGACCAAGCCAGATGCTGACGCCCTCTGCTGCAGCTCCTCCTCCACTCCCTGCCTGTAGTACTTCAGCTTCAGCTCTGTGTAGCGCAGCTTGGCTCGAATGTTATCGTTCTCCTTCTCTTTTAGGGCTTTCTCTCTTTGCAAAGTTGCAATGTCCCTCTTCATGTGAGCCACTTGGCTTTTCAGCTCCTCAAATTTCACTCCGACCACTTTAAGCATCTCAGCCAGCACTGTCTCCACCGCTCCATTCACTGCCTGCTCAACCACAGTGCCCATCTGACCTCGAATCAACGACACAGCAATACTGATATCCATTTTGGAAGAGTCCAGAAAGTGGAACAAAGTCTCCTTTATTTTGTACCTGTGAACACAACAACAACATTCAGATTAACATGTGCTGTTAAAGGGATATTCCGGTGTAAAATTAATTTAGGGTCAAACACACGGTAACACCAAGTTAGACACCCCCTCGAGAGATGAATGTTGCCGACTGCTTGCTTCTCTAGTTATACCAACTTTAGTAACGACGGCAGCAATACTGTTAGGATGAGTTTCTTTAGCCAGTTATATCAGCCTTTAGAGTGTTGGAGCTGTGTCACTCAAATACCTCAGATACTTCAGTGTTAGATTTCAGGAGCCATGGGCCTCTTACAACCATCCTCAACATCTACCTTGTACCCATGTTTAACATCACACAGGTCCCCAAAATACGTTCCGTCATGGTATTTCCTTCTATGGATCCTCCATATGTTCACCTAAAGCTCCTTAAAATACATTGTTCTTTGTTCTTACCGAACATGGATTTTTCTTAGGGTCAACTAAATGTCAGCAGTATGTTTAGAAATGTGGACAGCTATATACTTGAACAGTCTTAGACCAATCTTTGTTACACTTTGTTACACTTGTGGCATGATGAAGCTGTAACCCAGATCTGTAACCAGTAAAGCTTGTAAAATGATCATTCGTGTGGACCTTTCATTTTTTATAGTGTGAACATTGGCTAGACATCCTTACAAATACACAGCAGTCTGAGGAGCCATAAACAAACCTCAACCAAAACGCCACTCTATAGCCACAAATAATACTCAGAACAGCACCTAACTTCATCAACAGTACATATAGGGTCCTAGCCACCGAACATCTTTTTAACTTTGCCTGATTTCTTTACCAAAGAGACTAAACACAAGTCACCTACTCTCTTCCGGCTTGCGCTTGTTTGTAGTGAGACCTCAGGCCAGTCCATTACGGACTACAGCCGGGTGACGCAGCTCAAAGAAGAACATTTATGATCATTACTTTATCAATTCCTTTAAGTAATAATCATCATAGTAATCATTTTGCACTGCAGATGCGGTAGTTCTTCTGCCTTTGCGTCTTGGTCTGATTGTGTTATCATGAAGAAATGATCATAAATGTTCTTCCTTGAGCTGCGTCACCCCGCTGTAGACTTTAATTAACTACTGACAGCAGCAGAGTCACACAGGAAACAGTCGGATATTTACGTTTTCAAACAATCCGTATCTGTCGGCTAAAAACAGTGGTGCAGAGACAAAACAGCCAACAGCTAATACAGCTCACTATGGCAGTCCATAATCTCTTAAAAGACCAGACTCTTTTGTCTTACAAAGGATGTAAAAACACGCAACTTACCGTTGATTCCTGTGTTTGAATCACGAATTTTCCACAGATTGGTTTATTGCCAATATGCTATCGCTTAGCCTAGTCTAACTGTTACCGTCAACAGTTCGGGCTCATTTTGTCTATAATGCCTCACTATCTTATCTTACTCAGCTTTAATGTTTTTACTTCAACCAAAGAGGCTTCCATTGTCAGAAAAGGGTTAAAAACATAAATTTCTACAAATAGGAAAAACAGAGTAGGACTGTTCTCTATCACAACAGAAACTCCATTGTTGCTACCCGATCCATCCCGGAAGTGATTTTTTTTTTTTGTGGGATGGTAGAGGAAAGTCCCGCCTCCTTCGCCTCTGATTGGCTAGAAGTGCTGGGATCCGATTGGTTCACATTCAACTTTTTTTATGGAACTTTACTTAGAAAAAAATGCAATTCAAAGTGCCTCAAAGAGGCTAAATTCAACAGTTAACAATAAAACCCGACCCTCCCACACACACACCCATGGATCCACACGCACACAAAGACACACACTCACTCTCACTCACCCACACATACACACACACACAACTGCACACAGTGTGAGAATTTAAGATATATTGTTAGAGAGATGTTCTCAAACAAAGTGTCTGTTGTGACTGTTGCCTTGCCATTATGCTGAGTTATAAGAAGTAATCCATTTAAGGCTAAGTTAATAATTAGTGCATAATGTTAAAATTACAGGATGTGACTGTTGTGATTGACAGCTCTGTTGGAAAATGAGGCTCTTGCAGTATTTATGGTCTAGCAATCCTGCCATTTTCTACATAAGTGAAGACAGTCTAGTCAATGTCTTTGTTTTTAAAGCAAAAATAAAACAGATAAAATATATGGATGCATATTTGCTTACAGCCACTGTACATGTGTATTTATTGCACATTATTAGCAAATCTCACACAATGTTCCATGGATAAAATTTCAATATCAGGCATGAACAAATTTGACTCTTATACAAATAAAAGGAAAATTTCCATAGACAGGAAGTGGACCGAAATCAAACTGATGAGGAGTATTGCTGTGATGACTTTGTCCTCCAAATCAGTTGGTTTTTCTGTGATTTATCGAATACCATTTTAAGATCAGAGACACTAAAGTGAGGTCAGAGGTCAGGGGTCCTTATGGTCCGATTTATTTGGCTTCAGACCCAGTAACTGTAACAAAGTAAAGTAGGAGTAGACCCAGGGTCTGGAGATCCCCTGTGTTTTCTCCAGACCCTCAGCCTCCAACATAAGACCACGTTTAAAGGCCAACTGCTGCTGCAACAGCGCCATCTGCCTGCAAGAAAGACAAAACACACAAAAGCGATATAAATAAAAATTATAGGGGAACATTTTGACTTTTCCTCTCACACAGAGAAAACAGAGATGAATATACACCTGTTGAGCTGCTCTGCCTGCAGCCTGGCCTCCTCTGCAGCTCGTTGAGCAGCCTCTTCTTCTCTAATCCGACGTTCTTCTTCATTTTTCCTCCTATCCTCCTCCTCCTGCTCTTTCCTCTGAAGGTACTCCATTCTCTCATTCTCATCCATCTGTTGAAGCTTTTTGTTCTCCTCCTCTTTCCTCCTCTCCTCTTCCAGCCGTAAACGCTCGAGCTCAGCTGCAGAAAGCACAAAAAAAAAAAAAATCATGAATAACTACCAGATACATGACATGAGCTAAAAACACCTATCTTGATCCATCATCACCTTCTCATTATTGTTATCATTATTGTTGTTATTATTATTATTATTGCATTAATTACCTTTCCTCCTTCGTTCTTCCTCCTCTCTCATCCTCCGGAGTCTCTCCATCTGCTTGTTTTTCTCCTCCTGCCTCCTCCTCTCTCGTTCTCTTTGCTCCTGCTCCCGTCTTGCTCGCTCCTTCTCTTCTTCCTCCTGCTTCTTCTTCTTCTCCTCTTCCGCCATCCTCTTCAATCTAAAAAAGTAGAGTGTACTGTATTTTGACTGTATTTTGTCTGTGTTTATTGTTTACGTTTTCTAACAGTAAAAGGAGAATGTTCTGTATTTTTATTTTTCTGCAAATTAGGTTTCAAACACTTACTTGTTGCAATTAGCACATTACAATATAAAAAGTGTAATCTCAACTCTGTAAATAAATATTTGTGTTTAAATATGATATTCCAACCAAAGTTTCTATAACAAAGAATTGAATGATATCTTGACATCACCTTTTTTTAATCAAACTAGATTTTTAAAGCTGTTTTTAAAGGCGGACCTGAACTCTCTGCGAAAGTTATTCTTGGTAGTATTACAAACATGAAGACCTGAGCTCCTCTGCTCTCCTCCTCCTGTCCTCCTCCAGCTCATTTTTCATCCTGTCCTCTGTCTGCTCCCTCTCCTGCTGCCTCCTCTCTTCTTCCTCCTTCTCCCTCCTCTTCCTCTCTACCTCCTGCCTCCGCCTCTCTGCTCGCTGGGCCAAACGTAGAGCTGCAGCCTCCTCTTCCTCTTCTTTCTGACTCTTTCTGGGCCTGGAGAACTAAAACACACAAAAACACACACACAAAGAGTCCAAATGTGCACAAAAAATAAAACTTTTTTTTGTGTGTGTGTGTTTTTATCTCCGTACTGACCTCGGGCTTTACAGGGTTTAGCATCAGCTGTTCCTCCGTCACCATCACAGTGGAGCATGAGGACAGGCGACCGTGTGATGAAGTGAGACCCATGGTGCCGGCTGGCCCCGCCCCCTCACCAGAGGAGGCGACAGACCTCCTAGAGCTCCTCAAGTTGGACCTGGATGCAGCAGCAGTGGACCTGAGCGAGCTCAATGATTGGACGCTGCTGCTGTGTTTGTCTGTGTGGGTGGATAGATGGTCTGTGTCTGCAGGGTCTGTGTCTTTGGTTGGTTTGTTGGGTTTTTCTGTTGCAGGGGGACTTTTGATGGATTCTGAGTGAGACGCTGTCTTTGAATCCTGGTTGATCTTGGTTTCCTCTTTTTCTAGAAGGTCCTCTTGATTGACTACAAGAAAAGACAAGAATGGCTGCGAGTCCGTCGATCACATCATCAACTTGCATTTATTGTATTTATCATGAGATGGCAAACATTTCTCATGGAGGATTTTTCTGACGATATATCATGAACGATAATTTATCTCCCGTCCCTAGTGCACATGCGTTAACATCTCTATACTCACCAAAAACTAACTCTTTGTGTTTCAGAGTTGGGTCCTTCTTCTTCCTCCTCACTTCTCCTTGTTCTCCTTTCTTGGGGTTCTTTGTCATTTCTCCTCTCCTTCCTTCCTTGTCTCCTCTCTTCTTTTTTGCCTAAAAGACACAAAACAATGGTATACCTGAGTGCTATCCTAATTCATGCAAAGATTTATCGATGCAAATACATATTTTTTATGTGTGTTTTAAGCATTTGCATCATTGTGCAGATTCATTACACAAATATGTTGGTTTGTAATCAATGGTTTAGAGGTTTGTCCTCATTGTCAGTGTTGAACTGGTAGAACCCAAGAGCTATAAGCACCTTCATGTGATGGTATTTATATAAGAGGTAAAACAGTCACTTTAATGAAACTCACATCAGTAACCAGAGCAGATTGATCCGGAGTCTCTGCAGCTTCTACTTTCTTCTTCTCCTCTTGCTTGTTGCTCCTGATTGACTGAGCATCACTCCCCGTCTTTTCTTTTTGTGATCCTTTTTCACTCCCCGACTTTTCTTTTTGCGATCCTCTTTCCTTTCCTGTTTTCTGTCCATCTGATCCAGCACTACTCCCTCTTTTCAAGTCCTTTTTTCTAAATAAATGCAAAACATGGTTATCAATCAAACTACTCACTGACTGGGATGCCTGTAATATTTTCAGGTTTGCAAGATTCCCCTACTCACCCTGTTGTTCTTGCAGCTTCTTCAGTGTCCTTTGTCTTCATGTTTCTCCTCTTTTGGTCAAAAGCCTCCTCTCCCGTTGCTTCATGTTGATTATTGTTCTTTTGCCTGCAAGATATATTGTTTTCCTCTGTAGCTTTTCATAGAATAAATATTCCAAATCTAAAGAACTTAAACTAATGTCTTGTGCAACAACACCAACAAAAAACTTTTAAGATGATCGCATCAATCCTTTTCATTTCATCTTGGTAAGACTAGTAAGGAGTCAAATAAGAACACAGGTCCTAAATTATGAGCAGCAAGTAGTAACACTGTACAACTCAAATGTAAAAAACTAACCCAGTAAAACTGCTGATCTGTCCCGTTCTGCCCAGAATTTCTTCTCCATTTGTGTCTGTCTCAGTATGTCCCTCGCTTTGTTCCTCCACTCCCTCCTTCTCCCTCAGTGACGGCATCCTGACTTTGTTTTTAGTGTCTTTTTTCACCTGCTTCAGCCTGTTCACCGCCTCTGCACCTGCACTCTTCATTTGTTTCATAGTGCCTGCCACAGAGAAAAAAAATGATTTGTGAAATTCATTTAAAGTCAGATTAAAATCATATGAGCTGCAGAGTTTTACCCGGGTCTGTGCGGCTGCTGGGGGAGTGTATTTCAGCCGATCCGTGAAGATCTAAAAGCTGGATTGACAAATGAATTGAAAACATAAATCAAGATATTTATACATGAAAGGTTTTCTATATGTTTGCACCAAGTTATCTACTCAAACTGACTTTAAGTTATTACTCAATTTAGACAAGTGAGAACATCAGGCTTGGAAACTAGGACCCAAATCAATCTTGGAACATTGAATCACCTGTTGGAGCTGAATTTCCTCCACATGAACATCTGTATTTGGCTCCATTCTCTCTGCAAACATAAACAGTTTCAGTGGACACAGTAAGCAGTAAAAACACAAAACTATTTGGTCAAAGAGTGAAAACTGGTTTGTACGAAATATGATTCTCTTCAGTCATCTCTGCAACTCAACACTGATCTCAGGAGTACGCAGTCTGTAACAAGTTCACTGACCTGCATGTGTTTGCTCAGGCTGCAGCATAATGAGCCAGGGTAACTTCTCCCCTTCCTGAGACAAAACCTGGAAAGCTGAGAGACAGATGAAAATTAGCTGTTGATGCATTAATTAAAAACTCCAGTTGAAAACTATAAGTCATTATTTTTAAATAAAGCGCAGGTTTTAGATTTCTTTTAAAGGTACACTGTGTAGGAAGGTATATATTTAGAGATGTAGCAGTTAGATTCTAGACTGAAATGCAACTGCAAATACATGTTCTAACTGCATAATGCAAAAAAGAAACCACGAAGAAACATTTATATGAATGTCATATTTGATTTCCAACAAATGCTGTTAAATTCTACTCACTGGAACCTAAAAGGAGAGTTTTCTGTTTTTATATGAAGGCTCATACCTTGCTCGCATGTGCTGCCTTCATCATTCTCAGGTGCCTCCTGACTGTTCTCGTACAGAGACAGTTTCAGGATCTCCCCATCTGGACCCACAATCAGGCAGCCGACAGGTTTGTCAGTCTGCAAATCTGACAACAGAATTTTTGTTTGTCCAGATGACATACGTATGTTTAGTATTATGGCCTGTTTCTTTTGTATAACAGTGTGGTGGCCTCAACCACAACTTCGTGTCTTTAGGTTTTAACTTTTTTTGTTGAACTAATGTAAGGATGCCTAGTCCATGTTCACATTTTATGGAAGGTCCACACGAATGATCATTTTGACAAGCTTTACTGGTTGCAGATCTGGGTTACAGCTTCATCATGCCACAAGTGTAACAAAGACTAGTCTGAGACTGTTCAGGTTTATACAGTATATTCATCCATGTTTCCAAACATTGTACTTGCATCTTGTTGACCTGAAGGAGAGTCCATGTAGGGTAATAACAAAGCACAATTTTTTTGGGAGCCTGAGTGATGTTAAACATGGGTACAAGGTCCTTGTTTTATGATGGTTGTCGGAGGCCCATGGCTCCAGAAATCTAGCACCAAAGTATCCAAGATATTTGAGTGACACAGCTCCACCACCCTAAAGGCTGACATGACTGGCTAAAGAAAATCACCCTAAAAAATAATTTCACTTTTATTGCATTTGTGGCAGTTGTTTTCTAATTTGGGTGCACACATGTTAGTTACCAAACTGTCACATGGTTTAATTTTCTACATCATGATTTAATTTGAGTTTATGTCATTTCAAAGTAATACTTACTTTTCTGTTTGTCTTTGTTCGAGCTCACCTGACAAAAGTCTGTCTGCAGCTCCAAGATGGCCTCTTAAGCCTTACCCACAGGAAGTGGGACAGACCATCAAGGGGGAAGCAAGGAGAAGCTTGGACTTTTGATTCTTTGGAAAACTTTTGTCTTTATTCCTTCAGTCAGAATAGTGTATTTATTTATTTATCTATTTTTTATTTTTTTGTAAAAAGTTGGTATGGATAATTTGATGGTGTTTTTCTGAGTTTGTTAGATTTTTAGTTTGTAGTCACCTTAGTTTCCCCATTGTGTTTATGTTAGACTAGTCCTTTGTCTATTTAAATCCCAGATTTTGTTGATTTTTTGTTGTTGTTGTTGTTGTTTTTTGTTTTTTTTGAGTAAAATCAAAGAATCAAGATCTTTGTCCACACCTTTGTCCTTTGCCTGGTTGCTTGGTCCCTTACAGACATAGCATACTGTATTATAATGACTGCAAGAAAATGTTTTTTTGTATTTGAATGGTTAAGTAAACTTTTTTCCTTCCAAAAAGACTTTATGAACAAAATTTAACTTTGAAAAAGAAATAATAAATCAAGAATCCTCACCTCATCTTGCATCAAACATGCACTGTGGCTACCTTAAATTTGCCCACACAAACATGGACCTATGTTGTGGTCGATTGGCCCCATCATACCTCTCAGCTCCAGAGGCAGGATGCCCCTGATGACCCCTTTGTCCTCACAGGTGGGCTCATGTAACTCCTGGAGGTTGAGGTGCGGGTTCTTCAAGAAGGCCAAAGAGCTCTGCTTACCTGGGCCTTTTCTACCCGCAACACAACCCAACACTCCTGCAGGAGGAAGAGAAGTATCTAAGGGGATGGAACAGGGAAGAGACAAGAGCGTAATGATCACATAAATCTTTGCCAAAACATTTGTGGAAAAAATGCATTTTGTTGATCTGAGTGGGAGCAGAAATAGGGTAGAATAAAATGATGCAAAAATGACAGTTATCAAATGATACCTAAATATAACTATTATCAGTTGTTGTTAATATCAGTGCTGTACCTTCTCCAGGATCCAGCATTATCACACAACCTTTGTCAGAGAGCAGCCCTCCTTCTCCTCCACCTTCTCCCACCTGCTCGACTTTTTTAAAATAATGTCTTTGTGCTATTTCACCTCCAGCTGCTCCTCTTTTCTTCCCACTCAGTCTTTCTGAAAAACATGTGCTCACAGGATAAATGGAGATTCGTATTTACTCTGACACTCAATCTTTGTGTGAGTTTGAGGGTGTCTTTTTGTTACCTGGGAACAGCTGAGGAAGAACCAAAGGCTGCTTATGGACTCTTTTCAGATTTTCTTGAGGCTGAAATCCAGCTCTGTCCGACTTTGTCTGATGAGCATCCTGCTGGGTCTGGACCGGGGTCATCCAGTTTGGGGATCCAGTTCGACTCTCTGCTATTGAAGGAAGGTGTTGTGCATAGTGCTCATCATTACTGGAGTCCTCCCATCTCTGCTGCATCTAATGAATAAACAAACAGATAGAGGTTGCTGCAGGGTGAAACGGGGGTTAGAGCTGTTTCCTCACTGCAAGAAGGTTCCTGGTTCTGATGTAGACCGGTTTCGACTGATAAGATTGACTTACCTTAACAAAGCGTAACTTAATGTAACGAAATGTAACTTATCTTAACATAATTTAACTTAACATAAATTAACTTAACGTAACTTAATGTAACTTAACGTAGCGTAACTTAACGTAGCGTAACTTAACACAACTTAGCGTAACTCAACTTAACATAACTCAACTTAACGTAACTCAACGTAACTTAACGTGGCGTAACTTAATGTAATGTAACTTAATGTAACGTAATGTGCCGTAACTTTATGTAACATAACGTAACTTAACGTATCTTAAATTAATTTAACATAACATAACATAATGTAACTTGGCGTAACTTGGCGTAACTTAGCGTAGCGTAACTTAACGTAACTTAATGTAACTTAATGCAACGTAACGTAACTTAACACAACGTATCGTAACTTCAAGTAACATAACTTAACCTAACTTAACTTAACATAACTCAACTCAACTCAACTCAACTAAAGCTAAACTTAACATAACTTAACTTAGATCTCCAGCCAGTCCTGTTGGAGTCAAGTTGCTGCTACAAAAGCCAGAGTGTCATACCTTGTCAGTTTTCTCCCAGGAACAGACTGATTGTCCCTCTGTTAGATGAGGAAGGAGACCTGTGTGTAGAAGAGGCAATCAGAGCTTTTATATTTATCATGATGTACTGCAAAGGACTTGTACAAGGTCAATGTTTTATAACTTTTCAGCCACTACATCTATTTCTATTTCTGGTCATAATCATATTCTAAGGTTGATAGCTACCTGATGTAGTATTATGCTCAGGCTTGGGACTTAACTGCTTGGTACCATGTGTTCCCACTAAAAAGGTAAGAAATAGTATTTTTGATGGTAGATGCACAAAAGACAAGAGCTTGTTTTAATCTACCAAGACAGAAAACTCTTAACACACACCTTTCCTCCCATGTTGCTTCCTACTGATTGATCTGTCAGAGTCGCTGTTATCTGCAGATGTTTTCACACTGCCCTGACCATCTGTCACATCACAGACACGGTTTAGATGATGGACTTTCTCTCCCGTCTCTTGGTGGTTTGTTTCTGTGTTCTGTGAACTTTCAGGATGATATGAAACAATGTCTATGGGACCCTGCAAACAAAATTGAAAACTGTTAACATGCTGCATGTTTCCAGGAACAGTCACAGGCCTTAGAGAGGTTCTGGTCACCTGAGGCTCCTCTGGTTCTTCGGGGGTCATTGCCACATAATGTACCCAAGGCTGAGGCTCACTCGGTGGCGATGGAGTCCTATCAGGGTTGGGGATCTGGAGGAACAGATCCAAGCGGAGTCTTTTCCCGCTCTTGTGCTCCTCGTCTTCATCTGCAGAGAGACATTAGATAACTCGATAAGTTTTGATAAGCTTGAATTAGTCAACTTGGCATTTTTCACTATATGGCTTCACTTCTTTTTCAGCCAGAGAAGTTTCACAAGTTTCCCCTTTTAAGTAGAAATCTCCTTGACTAATCAGGCAGCATATTGGGTTGTTTTGTGGTTAGATTTGTTCAATTTTCTTGTTTTATCACAGAACACGATTTAAGTTCTCTTAACTCAATTTATCCGAGACTCCTAAATCTTCTATCCTGTTACTTTTAATTTCATGGATTCCAAAAAAGTTTGTGTTTCAAATCTCTACTTTTGTGAGTCTTTTTACCTCTACGTTGATTCTCTGGATGTGCAGTTTTTCTGTCTGCAGAATCTAAGCTGTAGTCCTGCTGGCAACCAAACTGTTCACACAAATCTAGACTTGGCTGCTCTGGTGAGGTGAAAACAGGTAAAGTGTTGGTGCGCTGAAGGTCTGGAGAAAAAGGGAAATGAAGACTGGGGAAGAAGGGTGGACCAAGTCTGGAGAAGATGAACTAGAAGAGAGAAAACAGAATCTTTGCATGAATCAACATTTTGCCACAAGAGGAAAGAACATAAACTCAAAATGACAACTCTGAATTTTTTTTCCAAAGAACCAACCTGCAGCTAATGAAAAGTAAAAACTCAGCTTAGGTCTTGAAATTATAGCAGTTTGCAAACATACAAACATGCAGCTAAACAAAAGAAGTGGCAGACAGACAAAAACTGTGGAAGCTAAAATAGTAAAAGAGTAAAATAGCAATGCAAGAATATTAAAACATTCAGTGGAATCAATAAAGTAAAATGATAAAATATGTTAAAATATTAACTAAAAAAAATCATTAAAAATTACAAACAAACCACCAACCAACCACTTAAACCCAAACCAAATAACCAACCATCAAACAAACAAAACCAGACCCAATCAATCCAAACCAAAATCAAATCAAGCTAAACAACAACCAACCTATACATATATTAAAAAAAATGTTACAACGCAGTCCAAGGCTTAAATACCAAAATAAAAGCTGGTTTTTAGTTTAACTTCTTAAAAACTCCAAAATAATAGACTCCAAAAGGCCGAAAGCTTTGTCAAAAAGAAAATCTGGAATGTGGTTTGTCCTTTATCATTTCTTAGGTATATCATAGTTTAGTATTTATTTGAAAAACAGCTAACTCTGTGACCTTCACCTCACCTCAGTGTTATGTTTACTTGAATGAATTCACCAAATGGACCAAAACAGTAAAGAACAGACTCATGCATAAATATACATGAACTCCTGCCAGTGAGTCCATGGATGGAAACCTTTCATGACAGCAGCAGCCACTTTGGCTCCTTACCTGTCCTGTGCACAGTTTAAGAACTGGTTTCTCCCAAAACAGAGACAACATGAGCTTCAGATTGACCCACCTGGTTGTTGGTGTAATTCAAAATGGCTGCCGTTAGCTCCTTCAGGGTGCTCAGCTGGTGTTCCACTTCCTGTGTGTAACCCCGAACAGCCTGCTTCCTCCTGTCCGTTGAGTCGGACTCATGAGTGGCCTCAACCGTGATCCAGCTCTGGAGGCAGAAAAAGTTGAAGACCTTTAACCCGTTCATTCTTTGTCCAAGGTCACAGCGGCTGAATAGACAGTTTTAGGAACAAGATTTTTTTCATTTTTCCATCTTGTTTTAGTGTTTGCGTAGTAGACATAATCTTATTTTCTCTCGCACACACAGGTACCTGAGAGTACAGCAGAAGTGGCCCCCTACGGGTGCTGTATGTCTTTGGAAGAGTTGACTCTGTCTCCATGAGGAGATGGCCACTTTTGGACAGATGCAGGACAGAGTCATGTGACTTCCAGATGAAGTAATCCTAATGTTTGAAATTGGTTGATAAATTACTGTAAGACGGAGAAATGTATTGAGCTAAAAACTGTAGATATGCTACACCAATGTAAGTCTTTGTAAGTGTTTTACTACCTGCGGTGTGAAGCACACTTCCAGACATCCATCATATCTGCTTGAATTTCTTTTGGATGAAAGAAATCGACCACAACCCCGACTCAGCACAGAGAGAGACAGGTCCTTCATGATATTATCCTGGGAAGGAAAATTCAGCGAGACAGGCTGGATGGAAATACTCCACAGGTTAAAAGCAAACAAGACATCTTTGTAGATTAAACTGACTTGTTTTGATATCATAAACTCTATTAGCTAATTAGTCTTAACTTTGTGTGCTTTCTTTTCACATTATATGCAAGTTCAGTAAAGCTCATAGCTGCCGACTACCTGAGCCTACATGGTCTCAACCAAGTGGTGTAACAGCAAAACAAACCCAGCAAGAGTCTCTGACCTCTGGTGAAATGAGGACACAGAGTTTTGTCTGCAAAATCTTGGATGAGGTGTTTGGTCACGGTTTGTTGGCCAACCGCAGCAGACCCTGTTAATGTCGGCTTCTCAGCTGGATGCTCAGCCTTTACAGGGAGAATTTTGATTTTCTTGCCAGTATTAGCACCAGTTACAGCTGTGCATCTCATCCGTGATCATTAGTGTGTTAAATACAGCTTGCATTCTAAATCAAAATCAAAACTGCACGAAATTTCCAGTTACATTATGAGTCAAAAGGTTATAGTTTAAACAGTCCTCATTCAGACATACCGTAGCAGCTGAGTCAGGCACAGATTAAATTAGATTTAAAACGACTATCACGACCAAGCGGTGACAAGGTCAGATTTAAAAGTCCTGGTTTGACATTTTAAACAGTCAGATTGTCTTTGTTAGAGCATCAGGTGAGGAAAGACGAATCAGTTTTGGGTTTTAAGCTTCTTATCACATCCCGTTTTTTCTGTTTTATAACAGAAGTAAAGTTAAAGACAAACATCAAACCTACCTGCTGTCTCCTCTGTGACTGCTCTCTGTGTGCATGTTTGTGTGTGTGTGTGTGTGTGCATGCAATTGTGTGTGTGTGTGTGTGTGTGTGTTCAGTCTTTGTTGCTAGGGTGTCCAAACTCTGTACTTTGTGTTTCTGTTGCCGTGGCTGCAGTGACATACTCTGGCTCCGACACACACACACATTCACACACACTTCAGTTAGTAAAACTTTTTAATGTTGGTCATTTTGCCACCAGCAAGGTGGTCCAGTCTGTACAGGTGTACTCAGAGACTTCATGAAAATTCATGTCAGACTTTATAACAAAAAACAAAAGTTTATTTTACTTATCAAGTTTTGTAGATTTTACAACCAAAACATTCAACATTTTATTAAAAAATTGTTTCTTATATTCAAAATATATTTTTTTCTATTAGAAAATGAAATTTGTCACCTCTCTTTAAAAATGCTGTCTTCTTCCACTCATATTCCATAAATCAATTTATCAATGAGACCACATAGACTAAAAGATTCACCCTGATAAGCTTCTAAAGTCACTTTGACTCATTAGTATCTTGTTGAGTGTGAAATATTTAATCACAAATTACAAAGAATTACCGTGTCTTGAGCAATTTCTACTTTTATTTAGAGCGATAAACTGGATTATTGAACATCCAAAAGGGTTAAAAAGCTTCAACCTACCTGCTTTTACAAAGGGTTACAATCAGTAAAGACACTACCATCTATTTTCACCAAAGTTCTAACCCCAAACCTATTCATAATGTTTAAATGACCTATGCTACTTCAAAAAATTATTGATTAGTCCTTCCTTAATGTTTCAAAGAGCAGGGAAAGTGTATTTTTCAGTTTTAACACAACTCGTTTTTTGGTGAAATTCATATATTTTTGAGAAGAACATCTATTACATGGGATAATTCAATTCAATTCAATTCAATTCAATTCAATTCACTATAGCTTTATTCATCACCTAGGGGCAATTGAAAAGCATTAGCTGAGCAAAAATTAAAATAGAATAGAGAAAAAGTATAAAATCAGTATAAACGTCATCAGTATAAACGTCAACGTCATAAATATAATGTCATCTAATGTCATGTAAAACATAAAAATATAAAAGTCATAATGATTTGAATATATTTTTATGAACGACAAACTTCATATTGAACACTGTTCTCACAGTTAGTCACTGTTCTCACTGCTAGTCTCTGCATTCAAAGCAAAGGTAGGACACTTCACATGTGTGGAGCCTGCACATGTTTTTGCCAGTGAAATGGCCGCTCTCTCTACTCTCATAATGTTACGACTCCCACCACCTCCCTCCCAATCAAACAGATTCCAATTTGTTACTTTGTACATTATATTGCAGGAGCAGGTGCACATGTTACATCTGTGTCAAGGCACACTCTGACCTCCGGATGACTTCTGATCCCTTTGTACTCCATCTTTGATCACTCATGTGTTGTTTGTTTACTATTTCTATATTTATGAATCCCCCTGCCACTTCAAAGAGTTCAAAGAGCAGCTTTCTGTCACAGAAAGTTCTTGTGACTGGTTAGGTCATCTTGACCTCTGTCTCAGTGTGTCTGCAGGACTGTATGTCTGTCTGCGTGTGTGTGTGTGTGTGTTTCTGTCAAGGTAATGATAGTTTCATAATGATTTTAATATATCTTTTTGAACAACAAACCTTATATTGAACACTGTTGTTACTGTTTGTCACTTGTCCCACACTGCTAGATTTGAAATCCATGTAAGTATAGATACGGGTCAAATTTGACCCGTAACAGCCTTAGAGGGGAAAAATGTGTAGCACATAAACAAAAATACACATGAATATTTTTAAATTAATTTAATGTATTTTGGGTTATTTCAGGAAAAGTCATCAAGTTTCAGGCTTAAAAAATGATGTTTGGGGTATTTTTACTGCTGTTAAAAGTCAAAACGGGTCAAATTTGGACCCGAAGGGTATGTAAGGGTTAAAATACAAGTAAAAATATCTATACCTATGTAGTGGTTAAGGGTTATGGAAATTTATAGATTAAATACAACAACAATAATATGCAGTATATTGTATCAATCAAGTACATATATCATTAAGTAATTATTGTGTATTGATCAGTGTGTGATATTGTTTATGCTTTAACAATATTACTCTGACTTTCATGTCAATAAAGCACATTTAAACTGAACTGAATTTACTGATGACGTGACTTTATTCAGAACAAACTTTTTATGTGTTCAAGACCTGTGCTGGAGGGTTTTGCCAGAACAAGAAACATTCAATACAAATCATTTGACGCCATCTGCTGACAGGCTCGTGTTACTACATATGTGTTGTGGGACTCACAACAGAGAAAGGGCGGCGTTAGAGTGGGGGAAAAATAGGACTGACTACAGAGGACCTCAGTGGAAGAGGAGGATCTCAATGAGCCTAAAATAAAAATATACTTTGGTTTGCACTTTTGTTCAATTTCATAGTCATAAATATTATATATGAAGAATAAATAAACACATGACCCCACTCCCTCACTTGTGTAGCTTGTTTTTTTTTTTAAATTTATTTCTTCAAACTGCTGTGGAGTTTATACTTGATACTTGATATAGAGTAAGATGAGTGTAATAACTTTGCTCTGACAAAGTGTTAAGCAGGTGTTAATTTTAAAAGCTATAGCAAGAGCAGTCTTCTCTACACACTAAAACATGTAAAATTAACATATATTTAGCAGATGTTGAAATATCTTTTTTTTCACATTTATTCATTTAATCTGAATTTGTGCACAGTAAAGCATGCATAACAGAGCTGTTTTTTCAGTCGTTGCATTAGCCTCTTTCTACAGTATGTTGGCTTTGCAGGAGTCAGACTTCAGCACCTGGAGTGTTAAGATAATTTTGACTGATTTCCTGAACCAGGCGTAGTGAAAGGTGTAGATCAGAGGGTTTATACAGGAGTTCAAATACAGAAGCCAAATCTGCACGGCTGCGGTGGTCACTCCCACAGAGCTCTCAGCTGCAAAAGTGAGCGCGTAATAAGGAGTGGAGCAACACAGGAACATGACAACAACAACACCGAGGGTCCTCGCTGCTTTCAACTCAGATCTATTAGCAGTTAGTGTTCTTAATTGATTCTTAACAGCTGCAACATGGTTTCGCAAAGCTCGAGCCTGAGACACAGCTACGACAAAAACTTTTATATACAGAACTATGATGATGGTAAAAGGGCCGAAAAAGGACACGACAAGGTCTACAGAGCCTTCAACGAAGTTTATCACAACAACACACTCTCCAAAACAAGAGTTATACCTGTCAGGCTGTTTTAAGAAGTCCCGAAGTAACCAGCTGCTGTGAAAAGCAGCACAAACCCAACACAGACAAATGCAGACTTTCACTCTCCTTGCAGTGACCTTAGCGGAGTAAAGCATGGGGTCACAAATAGCCACATAGCGGTCGACTGAAATAAGCACCATGATTCCTACTGAAACACTGATAGTGACAAAACCTAGGAAGTAATTGATAGCACAAATAAGGTCCCCGAGCATCCAGCAGCCTCTGAGAAGGAGGATTTCAACTGGCATCTGAAGGGAACTAACGAGGAAGTCTGCAACAGCCAGAGAGAGGATGAGAAAGTTGGTGTTGGTATGGAGCTTCCTGAAATAGAAAAGTATCAACACTGAGCATTAAAGGTGCAGAAATGAATGATAGAAGCAGCTGTCATGCAAAGTTTAGCATGTTTCAGTTTTAAAAGTATCAGAAAATCAACATCTAATGGTAGAAGCTTTACAAACAGAGGTATAGGAGTGTGTGTTTTAGACCAATCGACAAAAAAATCTGCTAATGATTTCATCAAGCACCTGAAAATGAAAGTAAAAAAACATTTAAAGGTCTCGGATGAAAAAGTGTCCCTGCCTGAAGTGTGAGATGGAGATGATGACCAGAAGGTTAAGGACCACAGTGAGCAGCGTGACACAGGAGAGCAGACTGTAGGTGAGCGTGGCCTCCAGTGTAGATCGAGTCATCTTCCTGCAGGAATTGTTGAGTTGGGGAAAGCAGAGTTCAGCCTCTTCTGAGACCGACATCATCAGAGAGAGAAGATCTGATCTCTCCAACCATGCAGCTTATTTATCTGTACCCTTCCTACCCTCCTTTACTCAAGTTTTACACATAAGTACGTCACAATCCTCACCAATCAGGGGGTCACATCACCTCATCCCTTTGTTCTAAGCTGCTCGTAATAACTTGATAAAGATGATTACCTCTTTTTGTCAAAAAAGTTATCTGAAGATCTAGACAGATTTATCAGCACATTTACCAGGAATAAAACTCTTCCTTATGTTCAGGAATCTGTTCAAGAGAGGCACAAGGCAGAGGATGGCTGAGAAACCAACATCCAATAACTCAGTGTACCAGTGATTGAGTAGTGACTCAAAAGAAAGAATAAAATTAGGGAAAAAATTTTTCTTGAGAAGTAATTGTACATTATTCGGTTTCTCAGTGCTGAAAGTAACAAGTTTTTTTTTTTTTTGCATTACTTAGTCAAATCACCTGAGATGCCCTGTGTCTAAATGGCTGGAAAACAGTCTTAACTCTAAACTGCACAAATTATAATAATAACTTTATTTAACCATAAGAATATTTAACAGACTGTAAGAGCTTATAAGATCCAACAAAAGCTCAAAAACATATTATCATAATCAGTAAAATGCTTTTTATAAGGACATATAAAAGATCTAAGGTCATGATAATCATAATATCATAATATCATCATATCATGGCCTTCAGTCCTGGCTTTCACTGTTTTTTTGTTTGTTTGTTTTGTTTTGTTTTTCTTGTTGTTTTCATGAGACATTGAATCACAGACTTTTCCTGTTCTTCTTGTAATTAAATCGTTTGTTCCTTTGCTTCGACTTGTCATGTTCAAGAATATGTTTAATTCTTATAAAGCTTCTAAAATGAACCTTGAAATTTTTAATGCTGTCTTTTTGCTTCAAGTGTTTCTGCATGATGTCAACTGTCAAAAGACAAGAAACAAGCAAAATTTCTGTGTCTAGTATAGATTTGACTGATATATGCTGCTCATTGAACTGTTAAATCCAAGCTATGTAATCACAATGCATGCGTATACACCAAACACATATTACAGTGAGTTACAGCTGCACATTAAACTTCACCTTTATTTACATTGTAACCTGAGCATTTGCAATAAAATCATCACAGAGATATTAATCTATCAATTATCAAGAAAACTGGAAATGATTTAACATGTGCAGTCAGTGTTTTCTCACTCAGCATGTACATTTCAGATGGAAGCCTGGGTATTGTGGTCATGCTTTTACATGGTTTTAATGTGATCACATGAGGCTTCCAGCAGCTGTCAGTTAACCTCAGAATAACTGTGAAAATTTAGTGATTAAAAAACTGCTATACAGTATCCTGTATTCAGAATAAATGTGTTGCAAATGCAGGTAAGGAAAAACATGAAAGAAACTTTAGATTAGACATTAGAAACATTAGAAAGTTACTTTAATAGTATTACAGAGCATTTGTTTTAATCATGCAGGTAGGGGTCAGATGCTCTAGTAAACAAACCAAGTCTTGTATAAAAAACAAAGAGATCATTTCTGATTTATTAGTGAACAATACAGACAGTCTTTAAATTACTGAACAGTATATATGAACCTGAAAAGCATCTGCACTATAATATGGATTAACTTCCAGTATTCAGAAAACATATTGCAGTGTTATACTCAGCAATACATTTACTTAATGTGTATATTGGGTGTGTATTTACATCTTTATCAGCCTAGTTTTTATGAGTTCATCTTAAACTCACTTCTAAAAGCAAACTGTGGACAGATGATGGCTCTAAACGCTAACTGTAGTGCATTTTAGATTTGTGCATGATTAAATGTCATCACATCAATGTTACTGTATATCAATGTATAATAAACAAATACATAAATACATAGAATAAATGGTGCTTTTTTTCTGCCTGTTCAATAGCTCACTTTGCAAAGAAGGAGAAAATGTCTCAGAAAAAAACGGAGTAACCAGTTCCCTAAAAACAGGTTTTCTGTCATAAACTAGTTTTTAATCTGGGTTTGATGAATGAAAGTTATATTTTAGGAATAAATCTATAATCATAATAATAATAATACATTTTATTTAAAAGCGCCTTTCTGAACACTCAAGGACACTGTACAGGCATAAAAACGCAGTTAGCAACATAATTAAAATAAATAAAAACAACATACAAGTGTAAAAGTGGATAGTTAAAGTGAATATGCAATTTGGAATAGGTGTGTTTTGAGTTTGGGTTAGGGTTAGGGTTAGGATATCTTGAATGACCTCAGCTGTGTGAATTTCAACATATCCAGTGCATGGTATAGGAACATGAAAATATACAGTATTTTTGCCTGAAAGTACACAAACTATTCATTTATGACAGCTTAAACACTCCTACATGCCATCAAAGTATTTTCACATTACGTGAACCAGGCTTCAGTACCTGCAGAGTCAGAATGTGCCGAATAGATTTCCTAAACCAGGGGTAACAAAATGCATATATCACAGGGTTTAGACAGGAGTTGAAATGTGCCAGCCATATCTCTGCAGATGCAGCTGAAGCATCAACAGCAGTGTCTTTCCCTGCCAGGGTGGGGTAATAGTACGGGCAGAAACAAAACAGAAACACCACCACAACAATACCCAGAGTCCTCGCTGCTTTCATTTCGGTTTTCTTCACAACACCAGCTCCTAAACGCTGCGTAGTTGCAATATGACTCCGAATGGCACGAGCCTGAGACACAGCCACTGCAAACAACTGTGTGTACAAGAGTAGAATGACAGTAATGGGTATAATAAAGGTGAAAACAAGGTCTACAACCCCTGCAATGTAATTAATGACAACCACACACTCTCCGTAACAGGAGTTAGACCTGCCCGGATGTTCAAGGTGGTCTTGTAAAAGAAGAAGGCGAAAAATGACAGAGCAAATCCAAGACAAGCAGACGCAGCACTGGACTCGTTCTTTAGTGACTTTAGAGAGATAATGCAAAGGGTCACAAATAGCAATGTATCGATCGATTGATATGAGCACCATGTTTGCAACAGAGGCAGAAGTAATTATGTAGTCCATCACGTAATACACAGTACACAGAATGTCACCGAGAAACCAGCAGGCCTCTATGTAGATGATTTCAACTGGCATCAACACAAGGCCGACGAGGAGGTCCGAGACAGCCAGGGAGAAGAGGAGGAGGTTGGTGGGGGTGTGGAGCTGCCTGGAGACGGAGGATGGTGTCACTAATCATGCTGCAACTACTGAATACATCATCTTAAATGAATAGTTTCATGACTTAGTGCCATGAAGTAAGAAATGTAGGAAACAAGAATGGCAAATCACTGTCAACCAACAATCTCAACAAAGATGCATGTTACTGTGTCAGTTCTTCACCAGATTAAACCCCCACATTTCTGAAAAATCAGGTAAAACATGTGCATTTCAACATTTAAGATTGTAATATATACCTGAAATGAGAGATGGAGATGATGACGAGCAGGTTGAGAGCCACAGTGAGCACAGAGATGCAGGAGAGTAGAACATAAATCAGCATGGCCTCAACTGGAGCATGTGTGGGCTTGGTGCAGGAAGTGTTCAAGTGAGGGATGCAGAGTTCGCCGTCTTCTGAGGTCTCTGCCCCGTGAGAGAATCCTCTCGCACTCATCATCTGTCCGGATTTTGTATGCTCTCTGTCGTGCAGCTCTTTTATTAAGAGTCCTTACCGTTTCTCCGCCTTACTCAAATTTTCCCTTACATCAATAACTAAGTCCCCTCCTCAATCTCAACATTGTGCTTTTTGTCTATACTCTTTATGTCTCTTTCAATCCTAAATTGCAAGTCAGATCTTTATTTTAATCTCCTAAAACCTTAACGTTTATTTCTATTTTATTGTAAATGTTGTAATAGCCTGTGACTGGGTGTTGACCTGCCTCCGTAGGGCTGTGCGATTCGGCCTTAAAATTACATTATGGACATTTTTGTACAGATGTTTTCTTTTCCATCATTAAAGCTCCTGTGAAAAACTTTAAACTTTACATCAGTTTTTGTCCTCTGGACAGTCCATACTTATCTTGTCCTGCATGCAAAAGTTGTATTGTTTATCCAACAAGATCTCATCCTGATAACTTTTGGTATTTGATGTAAAATATGTTAAAAAAAATTAGGGCTTTTTCCTCAGTGACTCCACTGATACTGACCTCCTTGCAGCTGTTTCAGGCACTAAAATTGAAAGTATAAAAATAGACTTGTTGCTGATGGTTTTGTTTGCTTCTCATAATCATAGACTGTATATAAGATGGACGCCGTCTGTCTCCTCGCCGGGTTTTTGAGCGGAGCGCCATCACTCCGAGTCTCCCGCCCAGCCAAAAACGTCTGCGTACAACGCTTCTGCGCAGCTCTGGTTTCGAGGAAGTGGAGAAAAACCCGGGATTACTGAGAGCTTTTTGGCTTCAAATCTGTATACAGGTGGAAGGCGGAACCAGGCTGTCCATCTTATATACAGTTTATGGTCATAATCAAAAGCATTGACATGAATTTAAGTGTATTTCATGAACGTTAAAAAACTACTCACTGGAGCTTTAATACAACACTACAGTGACAAAGAAATGAGTCAAATGAAAGATTTAGACTCTTGGCAATGAGCTCAACTTTCAGCCCCCGTAAGTCTTGATAAGGTAGGCCATAATAGATGGTTCAACATGGGGTGTAAGAAATGTCTTAATCTGCATTTTGTCTATCCAAATATTATCTGTATTTATGTTTTGATAGAAAACTATAAGTGGGTGTGATTTAAAACAGAAGGTTTTACTTACCTTACTTTCACGGTTATCATGAAAGGTAAGGATAGACAAAGTCAAATAAATAAATAAGTTTTAAGAGTTGTCAGAGCACTTGGTCAAAATGTAATCCCCCACAAAAAAAAATGTAATTTACCTGAAATACTGATGCAACTGGTGAAATAAGACAGACCGAATAATTACTGAAGAGTAGAACTTAATGCAAAGATTATGTTCTGTGTTGGTGTGTCAGTATTTCATCATAGACCCCCAGACAGACATGATCCAAACATACAAACAAAAAAAACTCTTAACATTTGTCTCTAAGCAATAATTGCATCATATGTTGATGTCTGAACTTTTTCCCTGACACCTCTGATTGCAGAGCTGTCATCATACCTCACTAATGAAAGCAGGTGTGAAAATATTTCAAGAGCGACACAGTCAGCTAATTACACACGGAGGAGGGTGCAGAGCCCTGTGGGTTTGCTGAACATGTTGTTTGCGTGTCAGCCAAACTCTGACAGTGTGTGCTTCATGTTTCTCAAAAGTTAAACTTCAGTCTCAAGTTGAAAATATATCAGCAGATCTATTTGTTAGTAAGTTTTGGTACTTTTAATATTTTTAGCTATTATCCTATATTGTGTTGTTTTTCTCACAGTTGATGAGAACTTTCATTATCATTCACATCCTCAGCCTATTGTTCTATTATCTTTCGTTGTTGTTATGGTATGTTATGTAATTGTCCAATCACTTATTGATTACTTTGTAGTGCTTTCCCCCATCAATAAGTTTCATGAATGTTCAGATCTTTTGTGATTTGAATAAGTAGTTTTGTCTTGTCCATGCCACAGAAAGGCAAAGTTCTGCTCACACTTATGTATGTATTTTCAAGTTTCACAAACACATTTGAATTATTTACTTTAAACCTTGACATGTTGGTCTTAATGTATAACTCGTGTCTCTCACAATCCCACACCCTTCTCAGATGATGCCATGTCCCCCACGCCAGAATAAGACCAAGAGTTTGAAAATGACCAAAAATCCAATCTTAAAGTGAAAATAGTTTTAAGGGCCAAAAAAAAAATTTCAAGACTGAAAATATGAATTTAATGTGAAAAACATGAGATCCTAATCTGAAAACATTAAACCTGCAAATGGAAAAATAACAATAAATATTTGAGTAAAAAATTATTATTTTATTTTTTTTATTTAAAATTTAATATCAAACCTTGAACTATCAGTTTCAAAGTTTATTTTTTCAATTTTTTTTTTTTTTGTATATTTTTAACCTACTTAATTTTTATTTTACTGCATTTTTTCTCTATTCCACTGACCTAAATGAGGCATGACGTCTTGCTTAGTATGATTCAGGAGGAAATCGAAGGATGCGCTTCACACTTTATGTTAACAAACACACATTTAGAGCCATTCTTAATGTTTTTTAGCCAGATATACACAGGCCGCTCTATCCATGATGTGAGTGTCACTGTTCACAGCTTTCACTGTGCTTAAAACAATGTTTTAATGTGTGAATATAAATGTAATCATTGAGAATACATCCTCAATGTATCTTGTTTCAAGCCTTTTTCAATTACTATAGAATTATAAAATGTTTGTCAAGTTTTTGTGTTCTGTTGTTGTTTAAATGCATGCTTTGGACAAACCTAACATTGTATGTTTCGAGGGTTTACAGGCATGTGAAATGTCTGGGAACTCCTGCTCTTAAACATGTTAGCCTCACATAAGCCAGCTGGGCTGCAGTATCTGACATGTCAGTATGAGCCTTTCTGAACCAGGAGTAAGGAGAAATCAACAAATGAATCAAAAAACTAAAGAATCAATATTTTATTTTTGTATGTGATCTTTTAAATGACACATCTCTCGTTTAAATGTCTTTAAAAAACAATCATAAACTTCTAGATTTCACGATACATATCATTGCAGTAACACCATCAAGAAAACATGAACGATACCCTGGACAAGATCATTCCACATGCCGACACATATGCATACAGAGACACGAGTGTGAGTTGCTTTTTTACATGCCTGTTAAGTTTGTCTTGGCCAAAAATGATGATGCAGACTAAAATGTTGGCTGTTTGAACCAATAAATACAGGCACAGTCAGTAAACACAAGAAACTTGAGGGATCTTTATGTATTCATACTAATATCGGTACCGAAAATGATGTTTAGAAAGATTTAAAAAAGGGAGTTAGATTACAACATTATCCTGGTCCAGTTGTACCTAAAGCATACGGACCTCACGTGAGCCAGGCTGTAGTATTTGACATGTCAGTATGAGTCTGGTTGCTTTTCTAAACCAGGGGTAGAACAAAGCATAGATGAGAGGATTGAGACAAGAATTAAAATACAACAGAAGAATCATTAAAACTTCAACATCAGTGCCGATCAAGATATCATGGCCTGTAAGAGAGAGGCAGTAATAAGGAGAGTAACAAATCACAAACACGACCACGAGGATACCAAGTGTTGTTGCTGCTTTCATTTCTGACTTTTTTATTCTCGCTTTTTTTGAATGCACAAGTGAGACGACTACAACCCTGCGCTTCATGTCTCGAGCCTGAGACACAGCCACCACAAACACTCTCATATACAGAGTAATGATCACAGAAATGGGGATAGCGAAGGAAAAAACAATGTCAACCGTTCCTGAAATGCCGACAAAACATTCTCCTTGGCAGGAAATATACCTCCCTGGTTCAGTCAGGTTATCATATAGAAGGATGAGGCTGTAGAAACCAGAGCAGATCCAACACAGAGAAGCACTTACTGTAGCCAGTTTGACGGTAACCTTGACCGGGTAATGCAAAGGGTCACAAATAGCCACATAGCGATCAACAGATATGAGCACCATGTTTCCGACAGAGGCAGACACTGCGGTGATGGGTAACAGAAAGTAAAGCACACACATGAGATCACCCAGGATCCAGCAGGTCTCCTTCAGGAGGACTTCAACCGGCATCACCAAACAACCCATGAGAAAATCAGAGACAGCCAGAGACAAGAGGAGGATGTTGGTGGGAGTATGGAGCTGCCTGCAGTGAGAGGATATCACATCTGTAAAGCATGTCAACAGAAGCTGAAAAACAGTTTATCACACTCGTAAACCAGCAATGCACCCAAGCTAAAACTTTTCTAAATTCGTAAGAGAGATTATGTGCCTGAAGTGTGAGATCGAGATGATGACCAGCATGTTGAGAGCAGCTGTGAGGAGACACACTAACGACACAAAAGTGTAGAGAATTAAAGAGGCTGAGTCGAGAGTCTCTGGTTTTCTGCAGGAATCGTTGAAGAGTTGTGGGAAGCAGAGTTCAGCTTCTGGCATGATCTCAACAAAGATGAGGAGCTGCTGAACTCGGGCAGCCCCTCAAATTAAAGCATTCAGACATCCCCTTTTTAGGTTTTTTTTTGGTTTGCCCTCGATGACATCCTGCCCGCCTCACCCTCATGTTACATTGGGGTCAATGAACTTTTAGACTGACTCCCCTGTGCAATTTGATACGAGTACATGTGCAGGAAAAATGTTCTGATCCTAAAAAGAAGCATCTGAAAAGTTGTGGTGATTTAATAGCCAAAAGTTTCAACTTTTGCAGTCTGACTTCCTCTTTTGCTCAGTCTGCTCTGTGGTGCTTTAATAGAAGCTGGGTGTATCTGCTGCAGAGGGCCTTCGTATGCTACAGCAGTACTTGTGGAAGCACAAACTACAGTGAAACCTATCAGGTATGCTGTTGGGTGGAGCAGAGATGGACCAAACAAGGATGTAATGGAAATACCCCTTTCTTTGGGTTTTGAGAAACTCAAGTTTGCAGCCTTGAAAACTCTGGAAAACCAACAAATAACACAAAGATGCAGCCTTGGCAAAGTGACTTTGGCGTTTCAATCATAACACTGACAGTGTTGAATCAGTCTTCAGTCATTTTATTGAAAATGTGATTATTTTTGTGTGAATAAACTCAAATGTTTCCTCAATGGTTCATATTTATTCTGATCACCTACTTAATCTAGTTTTCCTCCTTACATTCCTTTTACATTCTATGCAATGAAAGCATCCAGATGACCCTGTTTTTACATATTTATCCATGAGTGTACTCTATAAGATCTTCCATTCATTGGATTGTATAAAGGGGTGTCAAAAGATTGTTGCTCATCATGTTTGTACAATGCTCGTGCTGCCCACCAGGAGTCAGTGTTGGGCCCTAAATTATTCATCTTACATATTCATGATATATGTGAAGTGTTGTATGTACTGAAGCTTGTTTTGTTTGCGGATTACACAAACACGTTTTGTTGTTGTCACCTCAGACATGAACAAATTAAAGGCATGGTTCAATACTTACAGATTTTCAATAAACTTAAGCAAAACAAAAAAACTGATATTTGGAATCTAGATTTAATACAAAAGTGGGGGTTAAAGTAGAAAGAGTCAACATAGAAAGAGTTCATGAAATCAAATTTCTTTGGGTTACACTAGATGAGAAATCACATATTAATCATTTATATTCAAAGAATCAAGAACTATTGTAGTGTTGAATAAAGCTTAACAGGTTTCGGATCATACATCACTTCACATCCTCTACTGTTTACTGGTTTCACCTTAATTAAGTCACTGTTCAGAGGTTTGGGGCAACAACTACCAAAGCACAGTAAATTCACAGAAATTCACAGTTCACCATTTATTCTGCTAAAAAGATATATACGATCATTCACAATGCCAAGTATCAAGACCATACAAATGCATTCTTGTATTTTTTTTTTTTTTTTGTTACTCCCAATTGAAATAAAAATATAAGCAAAGAAATAAAAATTTTCATTTATTTAGTTTTTAATTTTCGAGGAAAACAACAAGAATTACGATGACAAAACTACCACAAAACATAGAAGACAGTTTAAGTTCATCTACTAGGATCCATGTTAAATAATCAGGTGTTTGACCATCTTGTGTTGTACTATGTATTTTCTGTATTGTCACTATTACTTTTTCTTTGTATGACCTCTTGCTTTTTCATTTCACATGTTTGAAATCAGAAGTAAACATGTGAGGAGGTTCACCACTTTGTGAGAGGCTGGGTGAGAAAGAATCATAAACAATGCGTCTTTCAAAGTGGATTGTTCTTGAGTTTGTTACATTTCCATGAGAAACAATAGACTCACTGTTCAAACAAGACTAATAAAAACAGACAGAAGTCTTTAGCACACACCCATGCCCCGCTGTGTCCCTTTGAAAGGTAGTAGGGCAGAAAAATATGAAAATCAAACAATAAAGCAGAAACAAACATCGTGTGACAGAGTTTACTGTGTCACATTTGGCAGAAGATGAAAACTTATTTTTCTGCCAAGCACATAAAATGGCAGATTTAGATTTTTAACCCACAGAATGATACATTTCTATGGTAGAGACTGAAATCACTTTGCAGGTAAGAAGTTGTTGTTCTCTCATCTTGAACTACCCAACATTACCGAACCAACCACCTAAGAAGAATGGCATGGGAGCATTAACCTGGCAATGTGCTGCACCCTCCTGTGTACTATTGCTATTTCTCAAGGATTAAATTCAATGCAAACTATTTCAACACCAGCTATCACAGTCTCCTGAGTCCTCACAGTCTGAGGGTCAGGTTTAATAAACTACATTACAACAGGTATCAAAGTCGATCATAGATGGCTATTCCTTCTCACGCTGTAAAATGCCAGCTGACTTGTTTTGCAATACCCAGGTCAATGTCATGCTCTGATAAATGTGTAAGAGTTGGAACATCATTGAACAAAGCTGAATGAACATGGCATTTTCCACTTGGACCCTTGATTTGATGTCAGCTTTTTCTGAGAAGTGCTTCAAAGCACTCATACCTATACTAAACTAAACTAAATAAAGCATCCTTGAAAATAACAGTGTGAATTTTCTGCGATTGGAAAGCTGTTTCATTTTGGTGTCCATCTGATCAGGTCCAAGCTCTTAACATCTCCTGCAAAGACCTCCTCTCAAACAGCATTGTGTTCTGCTCTGGTTGTGTTTTCCTGTTCTCTAACAATAAAGATGTTGTTTTTTTTAAATACTGATATATTCCACATCTCACAAGGCCAAAGAGTACTGCTCCTCTCAGACATACAGTGTACACATGGGCCTTACAGACCCTAAGAGATTCTGAGTAATTGAACAAAGTTCTCAGCAAGTTTTTGGGCAGAAAATCCAACCTGAAAAACCACATCACTAAGATGGTTTTTAAATTACACCCCCAATTTTCTCATCACAAACTTGTCATTAAGCTGATAGTACTTTGCGACACTCGGTCCATTAACATTCAAACAGCTCATTTAGCATGGGGTTCTCTTTTCTCTGCTGACAGGGACAGACAAGAAAGAGTCAGGTCAGGTAACAGAGAAGACCTCTGGCCTTTTGGGTAAAATTTGGAGTCCTGTATCTGACAAAAAGCACAAGGATAATCATCCTCATCCCAAAAAAAAAAAAAAAAAGGGAAGGAAGAGAAAAAAAATGTAAGGTATAATATTGTAAAATGAAAGCCTGACTATGTTTGTGAAAGAAAGAAGCCTTGCAATAAAGCAGTAAAAAAAAAAAGGATAATCATCCTCACTCTCATTTGGTACCTCTGCAGTTCTGGAAATCTTACAGCCCGCAAGCAGCCAGCAGCTGTCATTTCACAGCACGGTATATGCACCTTTATGCCCTTAAGTTATGTCATTACATAACACTAAACAATACTGGAGCACTTAAACAACTTTGAAAATGTCTTATCACACAGTAGCGCCGCTCGAGTGTTTGCATGTTTGTGTATTCTCTTCAACTTTCTTCTGTCACACTGATGTTGTTCGTGATGAGACGGACACGCCTGGGCTTTACACCTGTCAAGACTTCTTTCCTGGAGGTGAAATTCATCAGTGTCACGATTATAATAGAGGTGTCAAACGTCTCCTGCCCTGTTACATTCCACCCGGGTCACTTAAAGTGAACATTTAAGCCTCAGGATATTTTTCTTTTGTACCTGCAAACCAAACACAGACTCTTGATAAGCAAATAAGCAAACAATAGATAGACGATTCAACTAAGCCTCATCCGTTTAATAATTACTTACCAACACCCTTGAGGGTTTTAAATAAGGTCAGCATGGCGCCACAGTACTATTAATGCTGTTTTTCTATTTGTGTGTTTTAGAATATTTTTATTGACCTCTATCCTCTAAATATTAGTACCAACTTAGATAGTCAATGACAGCAGAAACAAAGCTTGAGTATGTACATTACATTAGATGTTAAGTGTACTGTGCGAGGCCAAAACAAGATTGGGACTAATCTATGTCATTATATCAGATCTTAAAGTAAAGTTTGGTCAGCAGTTAGAGTAAATGCACCAATATAAGCCATCGTAGGCTGTTTGAGGGTTTTATCTCGTGACTGCAGAACTGAAACCATGAAACATTTTCACTTTTGCTCCGAAACAGCCTTTTTGGGGGGGCCTGAGTGTGTACATGGTTTCTGGTGATTCTACGCAGCCTCATGCATTCACTGCAGATTTCAGCACTTCCATATTAGGTACAGATGCACCAACTGCCTTCAACTTATTAGCTAAGACTCATGCTATCTTAAATTGAGGTAACTTGTTAATCAAAATTAGTTAGAAACATTAAAAACTACACTGGTCCCCCTTGCTATGTACATATCTCTTGTACACCCCTTGAAGCCTACATCCTGGTCCTGCACCCTAAGGATAAAAGTGAGTCTGTTTGTTGGTGAACTGAATCTGTTAGCATGTGGTGTACTCTACAAGAACAAAAGTGTTCAATCTGTTATTTTTTGGTTCTCCTGTGTGGCGTCTCCCACCTTTTTAAAATCAGTTTAAATTTTATAAAAGCTTCTGCCCATCTTCAAGTTATGGTTTCTACTTTTTTCCCTGTACTAGATCCTTCTCTTGTCTGCACTTGTGATCATGTCAAGGCCAAAATGATCCCCTTTGCAAGTGCATAATAAAAAGATGTCACAATTTATTCAATAAGAATAAAGTAATATGAGATAACAGACTAACTACAGTGAATTTCATGGGTCTGTAGGAGGCAAATTCAATGGGTTTGGGGTTATAAAATGATTTTTAAAAACTTTTTCTTATTCCAAATTTGTAAGAAAGACAGTCAAGCTTGATAACTTGATGTCCTCTTTTAGAGAAAGTCTTATAATAGAAATCACAAGGTGTTGATGTGATGCCAGCAGTCTGAATCAGACTCTTCCAGGTAATTACAGAGTATGTGGAAACCGGAACGTTTCGTGACTGAGGCCTGTCCAACAAGACAAAAGGCCACAAGAATCCGTGACACTTTTTTGACTGATGGGGAGTCAACAAAATTGTGAACATGTACAGCACACAGACAAAGAAGGAGACAAAGAGGGTGTGCTGAGTCTTTCACACGTTGAGACAGTGTGACTGCTGAAGCATCCAGAAGCCTTTTGATCACTGAGCTGTGCACCTTCATTTCATCTCTACAAATCCTCCAGAGGGTAAGAGCCTTTCACTTACATCTTTTGATTAATTTGACAAAACTCATTTTTAAGTATACTGTATATATTTGTAAAAGGGAGAATTAACTTAAATTTAACAGACTTTGTGATTCAGAGTTGTAGATTTTTAGACAACAGTTATTTTGGTGCATTAACATTTCAGAGGAAAGACACCTTTAACTATAAAAAATGTAAATAGATTCACCTATCAGACAGATATTTACACTATAGCTGTGATCCGGTTCGGGTTAAAAGATGAATCAGTGTCTGGTGGATCAAGATACGATATCATTGAATCTTATCTTAGTATTGGATCTTTGTAAATATAATCAACAAGAGAGTCATCAAAGTATTATTCAAGAGCATTTCAAGAAAACATTTGTCATGTACTGGTGCCATATCAGTTTATATTGCTTGAGTGATTTCTTAAGTCTCATAATGGCAGTGTCAGTGATAATAATCATGAATTCTGATGATTCATATTGTGTATTATGCCAAATGTACAATATACTACATAGTGTTTGAGGTTGTCATTGGCCTTTTCTTTGGACATGTCAATTGTAAATTTATGCATAGTCCAGGGCTCAACATTGAAATTGCCCCACTGGCTGCTGGGTAACTGGTTGCCAGACTCAAAGTCTGGCTAAGTCTGGCAGGTTTCCAGTCAAAATATTGTCCAAAGAGACTATGCTGCATATCTGATCATGTCGCACACTGTCAAACCATTGTTCAGGGATACTGGGGTTTGAAAAGTCATTCTTGTCATCATGTTGATGATTGCAACAGCAGTCACATTACATAAGTGCCTGTGCGTTCACGTGTCATAGCTGCATCACTGCTGTCAGTCATGTACATTTGGAAACCTAATGTAGCCCAGGAGCTCTCTCACGCTTGTCTATTTTTACCCCTCTGTATTGGCCAATAACCAGCAAAAGTCATATTGTTTAAAAGTTTATTGTTGACGGTGTTTGGGGAGAGCAGAACCTTTCAAAATTGTCTATTACAAACCATCTGAGCAAAAAACAAGGTGTAGTAGGTGTGCACTGCTGCTGGATGATGAACTACGTTTTAGCTACATAACATCAAAATAAAACACTAAACAGTTAATTAAATCAGCATTTGTAAGTGACATTAATCTCATCATCGACAAACTCCACAGTTTTCTCTACATACCTTTGAAGAAAACATATTTCACCAGTGTTAATAAAACTCCTGTTAAACTTCATCCATGCTAACCTCTTCATGGACGGCCATTGATGCCAGGCCTGCCACAATTTCACACACCTGTCTCTACTGCTTTTTCCACCGTAAATAATGCTGGTCTGAACAGTCTCTGATTAGAATGAAGCACAAAGCAGCTTGAGACGCTGCAGCACTGATCAGTGACATACATGAAATAAGGCTCATCTATCTGCTTTTTAGGGTTTGGTCACCAATCAGAAACTTCTAAATAATTTGTCTGCCTTTTTCTGTGTTAGGTTGTGGACATTGGACGACCAACATGATGGGCCTCGTGTTTTATCTGGCTGTGTTTGGCCTCCTTACAGGTGAGAGGGTTTCAGAACCACCATTGCACAATGAATCCAATGTCAGGCAAAAGAATGGTTTGATACATGATCACCATCAAGCGTTGAAATGTCAAATTAAGTTACGATTTTAAGCAAAAAAAGCTTGTTGTTATGATGCTCTAAGATCTAAATCTTTTGACTTGTCTTGCATGTGTCTAAAACACTTTTGCTTTACCTCTGAAACTTTAGGATCTGATGCTACGTTCCAAACATTCACCAGCTTCGGGGTGGTGAACATCTCCTCCTGCCCAATCACCTATTATGGACAAGTATATGAAAAAGTCTTTGTAAGTCAAACAGTTTAATTAATTAAAGCTGATTTGTTTTGTTTCTTATCATTTTTCTCTTTTCTTTATTTACTTTTTTATTCCAACACAATTTTTCAATGTATTATTGAACTGGTTGATAATTGCAGATATGTGTAGGTTTATTATTGCTTGTTTGTGGTTTGATTGGATACCTCTGAAACTGTGGTATTAACTTTATCATTTAATTGTTTTGTCTTTCTTTATAGTCAGATTTTTTGCAATGTCATATTTGTACAAAAATAGGTAGTTTTTTTTTTTTTGCCATAGTAATGCTGCTGCCCAGTTCTACTTGTTTTATTTACCATCTTGAATCTGTTACCAATGTGCTTTTTAACAGGTGAGCCTAAATGCCAACAAATTTGCATTTTGCTTCAATGGCACCTACTCAGCGGGAACCCCAAATGACTGCATTTTAATGTCTGGAGGGACAGCCGACAGAGGGGAACTGGAAACTTATACAAGAGACATACCTGTTGGATCAGGTGTTCATCAACTTCTTCCAGACCTGAAGTTCAAAGGGAGATGTGTAAATGTGATCCCTCTGAGAGACAGCCTAGAAGCTGCAGTGAGTATCTTTTTTTCGTTTCACCACCACACCTTTTTTTTTAAATCACTGCTTTTGTTTGTTATTTGTGTTGCTCTACCAAAATTACCTTGGGATGCCAGAGTGGACTTTTCTTTTTCTCTTTTTCCTTTAAATCCTGCAGCTGTACATGAAAACAAAGGAACAATAAAAAAAATTCTGTTAGCATACAGCTCAGTAGCAGGATTTATTCTCTTGCTTGTAACATAACAAATACATCCTTAAGTACTTAAATGTAGAGTAGTATCACTTGTTTTCAGAAAGTAAGAACAATATCGCATCTTTACAAAAAACAACAGTGATCTGTGTATTTGTAAATAAACTTAAACCAAGACACAAAAATTATTTCAACCTAGCAGAGCTAGCATTAGCCTCGGCTGTAGGAATCATTCTTTTAGGGCTGCCTGTCATGAGTGAGGACTATGTGCCATTTGGTGGCCTGTTTAGGTATTGTCCTTACAATGCAACACAGAGCACTAAAATCACTTAATTTTATCTTTTTAAAGAGATTTTTAGGAAACAGAAAAATTAAATATAGAAGATATAGTCTGCTCTATGTTTTAAAACAAATTTAACTCATTTAAGTCATTGTTTTGACTACAAACTTTTTCCAGGTCCTAAAATGAACTATACTATAGTCTAAGTTACTGTCACGTTTTTCAAGTTGAAACAAAAAAGGGGAAGGACTCATGTGCAGAACCAAAGATGATTTATTCAAAAAGAACTAAATAAGAAGCAACAACAACTTACTTCAGACATTTCCAACTAAAAATCCAAAAGGGCAAAAAACCACAAGAAGACACTGGAGACATCAACATACACAGACATATTCACAATGAACCAACAAAGAAACAAGGGAAGACAAGGACTTTAAATACACAGGGAAACGAGCAACGAGACGCAGGTGAGACACTGAGACACAGGTGCAGACAATCACAGAGGAGGGAAAACCGAGGAAGTAAAACCAGACTAGAAACACAGGGAATAAACTACTACAAAATAAAACAGGAAACACTGAAAACTGATGATGAATAAAACACTGAGAAGAAGAGGGAACTATGGTCAGACACAAACTGAAAACTCACAAGACAGAGCTGCAGGGGAACAGGAACAATAGAGATCAGAAACACCAGGAAAAATCACAAACAAAATACACTCAAAAGACCAAAACCAGGGGAAAACTAAATACATTTTAACATACTTATACATGTTTTTAATGACTGAACACTTTTTAAAATCCTTTAATTGCCCTTTAGCTTCACAGTCCATGTATTTTTATGACCTTCCACTACTTTACTCAGAGTATGATCAGTTTGTCCTGTTTTTAGGTCCAGCAAGTTGAACTCGGCAACTTTGGGACACAAGCAATCTTGGGGATCAGGACATTTTCTGGATACACAAATACAGATATTGTAAGAAATTTTAAGAATGGTTTAGATGGCTTGTCACATGAATATACCATTTTAAAGTTGGTGTCCCATCAACAAAATGATTATTTTCCTTTTTTGACACTTTCCAGGAGGCAGATTCACAAGTAAATGGCCAAACAGTTTCTAAGAAGACATTTCAGACATCCGACACAAGTAATGGTGTCATCACAGACATGAGTGGATGCAGAATGTCAGGTTAGTTGGTCCATTTATTCCTCCAGAGAAGCCCGATATCTAATAGCAGTTAAGTACATTTAATGACTTTAATTTATACAGTTTAATATTTTTCCCCAACTCCTAGGTGTTGTTTATAAGACAAATACAACAACAAATGACCCCCAAACCTGCTCTGAGATATTGTGTGATCCCAGCGGAGTCGCCAAAGTAGTCAGTAAATGTGGACCCATGGAGCGCTGCCATGATGGGAGGTAAATACCAAAAAATACCAATAAATGACATGTTGAAACATTTTGATAATTTTACTGTTTATAAAGATGCTGATTATGTTATTTTCTCTTTCCTTCTCTGTCAGTTGTGTCCCAAACAAAATGTGCATTTTGGCTGGGTCGGCCATCATTGATTTTGCTGGCAAAGTCCACACTGTCCCAGACAGATGTGGGTACACTCTGCTGAGCCCCAAGTCTATCCCAGGGTTTGAGGCGTACGGAGTGTTCAGGGAAAGACGCCGTAAAGATATCAACTTTTTGAGCCATGTTATACTGAAGCTGAAAGATGCAGGTGTTGTGATTGTCCTGAAACAAGGCAGAGTTGAGGTAACTGATATTCATTCAGATTAGTATGTCACATTTGTGGTGAATGCGGACTCAAAACGAAATATCCTCATTTCTTTGAGACAGTGTTGTTCTCATTGACGATGACGTTGACAAAAATATGTCGTCAACGCCCCTTTTTTTCCACGACGAAGACGTGACGTTGACGAGCTAAACATTAGTCTTAGATGACTAAAATGTGACGAGACGAATGTGCGTTTACGTCGACGAGACGAGACAAGACGAAAATGTTAGTGGTGGATGACGAACAGAGTTGCAAATTCATGAGCATTTCGTCAGTCAAAAGCTAAACATATATTCTGCAGTGTTGTTTTCGTTGACGATGACGTTGGCTGTTTTCACTAGCTGGCTGTTTTCGTTGACGAAAATATTTCGTCAATGCCCCTTTTTTTCCATGACGAAGACGTGACGTTGACGAGCTAAACATAAGTCTTAGATGACTAAAATGTGACAAGACGAATGTGCGTTTACGTCGACATGACAAGCATTTTGTCAGTCAAACGCTTAACATATATTCTGCAATGTTGTTTTCGTTAACGATGACGTTGACGAAATATTTTTGTAAACGTCATCGTCAATGAAAACAACACTGCTTTGAGGTTATTTTCTACATCTTACAGCTGATAATTGCCATAATTGCCAAGATGCATTTTATCTCATCTGGATTTTATATTTTATTAAGTTTGGGTGTCAGTCAGTAACACATAATAACAGTTAAATAATGACGCGTTTTTGTCACTTTTGTCTTCTGGTTTCTTCAAGTTGAATGGAAAAGTCTTAGAGCTCAATGTAACAGCTCAGGTGTTTCACGGCGTGAAGCTCTCCAAAGACCAGAGAGGAGTGACTGCTAAAATATCAAAAACCACCCACATGGTTTCCGTCTTCTTTGATGGCGACAAAGCGCTTATCCAAATTGCAGGTACGATCTAAGAGCTGAAGAAAAAATCAGGTTTGAGTTTTTTAACTTCCATTCGCTCTTTGAGACTCCCATTAAGATTGTTGCTTTCCTGGCCAGTGGGAAGGTTACAGGCCTGGCACATGATACAGGTCTTCACTTAAAAAGATAGTTTAAAGCCCCCCAAAACAGACTGTATCTTTTATGCCAGAGCAATTCAGATTCTGGATGTAACAAAACTTTGAGCTTATAACTGTAAGTGTTAATAGTTTTGTGAGGTTGTCACAAGATTTGAATACAAGAAAGGCATCAAAGGCAGACAGACGAGTTAAAGCATAAGGGTTTCAACTGCGTCATCACTAAGCTAATGGATGCCTCTACCTCTATGGTGTACTTTTTGTATTCCCCTTTTACTCATCTCATTGTAACTTAAAACAGGTTTTCTTGATTTGCGACTGTGCTTGAAAACTAACATGTACTGTGCGTATGTCATGTGTCCTCTGATGCCGACTAGGACCCAAAGCAGCTGTCCAGGGTTTATGTGGAGATGACAGCAAAGGTTTCAACCAAGAAAAGGTCTCTGAATACAGCTCCAGTGGGTAAGATCTCAAACAAAACCTCTTTATGATACTGCACAGAGGCATTGTAGCAGGTAAAGATTTTACTGCCACTATTTCCCACACATAGACGATACCTGTGCAGACCACCAAAGGATGTTTGTTGGTGATTTTAGCATTTTGGGGTCTTTTCTCTAAATAAGTCTGACATGGGTTGTACTTACACAAGGATGGAGGATGTTTAAACCATTCACTTAGCTGTGTACATGTACGTTTATTCCCATAAATCTTGGAGCAAGTGGAAGTACTTTCTAGGTCTTATCAAAATAAAAACGCATTGGTGTTTTTAAAAAGAAAATCAAAGCATGAATACTTTGAATACTAAAGTGTTTTCCTTCGCTGAAGCTTCAAAACAAACTCAGTGACTCATCCTAACCTTCAAAACTGACAAAGAGATGTCTTATAAACCCAGAATTGTAATTATAACCAAATCAAGGGCTGTGTGTGTTGTTAAAATTTTACTCTTTTTTTTTTTTCCATAGGTGTGAGGTGCAGCATGAGGACACTACTGACCCTGATATAGACTGTGAAGCTGCTACTAAGTGGTAAACATTGATTACTTTATTTCAAGTGGAAAGAAAAAGTTAACATGAGTATTATGATTGATAAAATAGCACCACATGGCCTATAGTCTGTGTATATCCTCACTGATTGTATGAGTTGGAGGTGTTTTTAGCCACATGTGTTGCTCGCGAGGGCTTAAAATTCAAGAGATGTTTGTCAAATCTTCACAGAAATATTGTTGCAGAGTTAAAAAGGTTAATAGGCTACTTTGAATTCCAGAGCATGCACGTACATGCACATATTATGTGTTAAAAAAGCAGGTCTTAAACGTTTGGGTTGGACCTGTTTAGGGTTTTGGAAATAATCATTGTTGAAGCCCAACCTACAGATTGCAGGTGAATGCAGAGTTGACAGGTACAAATTAGATTAAACTTTTTATCTATATCTGTGGTTTAAAGCTAATAAAGAGAATTATGTACCATTCACTCCTGAAAACCACTTACACGTTTCTTCTTTGACTAAACTTAAATGTTACATTTTCACATCAGGTGCACTCTCCTGAAGCAGGCTCCTTTCACTGCTTGCAACAAGCACATCGACCCAGAGTCCTTCATAACTGCTTGCAAAAACACTTTGTGCAAATACCCTGCAGAGGATGGTTTCAAGTGCAAGGCCCTGGAGATCTACGCCATGCTCTGCAGCAAAAACAACAACAATATGGAGGTGGAGGACTGGAGGAAGAAGACCGGCTGCTGTAAGACTGTCATGTGATCTTGGATTGTGTTGTGTTATAAAAATGAAAAACCCTGTACTGAACTCCTGAAGTGTGGATTATGAGGAAATCTTTGTAAATTTCTGTGGGCTTTTCAATAGACCCTCACAGTGATACAGATGGTGCTTCACTGTGGCTCTCGGCTAATTTCAGGGAATCTAATTGGATGAGTTTTGTCTAGAAAGTCCAATCCGTTGTATTTTCTCCATAAAAGAAATACTTTACAACAGGTAAACTCTCAATTTGCCATTAGACATATAGGGAAAGTTTTATTTAAACATATGCACATTATGAATTGTTATGAGATGATATAATTGACATATACTTTTAGATAGGGATGCAACAAAATCAAAATCTCATAATACCAACCGTATAATTATTATCGGGAAATAAAAAAAATTTCATGATAATTTAAAGAACATAGGTGAATAGCTCATGTCCAACAATCAACTAGAGAAATCCCTTCAGATACTAGAGTTCTCATATTTTCATAAGAGAAAACAAACTTGCAGTAATGAGTCTCAGAACTTCACTTATTCTGTTTTGTCTGTGTGTTTGCAGCTCCTCGGCCCTCCTGTCTGAATACATACTGCAGTGATCACGAGTTTTGTGGTCACAGATACGACGGGGGTCAACCTCGCTGCCTCTGTCGTGCCCTTTTTACCTCTAAGCACAAATCAGAAAACACTTACGGTGAGTCGCCCGTGGTGCAGATACCACTGTGTCCAATTTGCAGGCTTGCTCATAAGTTCCAAAAATTGTCCTTGATCAGGCCGATGTCATACCCCATTTAGACAAAAAGGATTTATTCAGATTATGTTGAATTTATTCAGACATGGTCTTGAGAGAGTGTTTTGTTTTGGGTGTTCAGGTGAGCCGACAGTCTGCGAGCACAAGTCGGCTTCAGTACAGTTGGCAAACTGTCTGTTGGCGGAGCACGGCATCGACTACTCTATCTTACATCTCAACGACATGTCCTGCAAAGGTGAAAAGGACGACAACACTCACATGGTGACATTTCGCTTTAACGGCAGCAAAACTTGCGGTACAGTGGTCAAGGTGAGTCTCTTCTTTTTATTTTTGTAATGTACCATGAACAAACGACTGGATCCTTTCCAAAACTTTGCTGAAAACTTGATGGTTTTTATTCCATGGGTGTGGTTCTACATGTCTTGTGTCCATTCAGGCAAATGACAGCAAAATTATCTACAAGAACACCATCATGACCCAGAACATCTCTGCAATGGGCGCAATCTACCGTCATGACCAAATGCACTTCGACTTCTCCTGTTACTACGATCAGCCAGATATCAAGAGCTTTGCTGTTAGACTCAAACACAGGTACAGTGTCAATGTTGACTTCGCATATGAAGGCCAGGGATGACTGTCCTTTTTTGTGCATTTAGAAGCTTTTTTATGATGTTCGTGCAGAGGATCAATTCTTGTGTTTGCGATCTAGCTCTGTAGATCAGCATATCACCTCTGGAGCATGGAGTTACAATCTGACGATGAAGGGCTACACCGACGCCGAACTTACTCAATCTGTTGAGTCAAGCACTGAAATCCAACTGAACGAGAGAATCTGGGTGGAGCTTAAAACGGAGGGGCTGGATGAAAAGTTAGTCCATGTGGTGGTTCACTCCTGCTGGGCGACCAATCAGCCTTCGCCGAGTGGGAATCTGAAATATGACCTCGTCATAAACGGGTGAGAGTCACGCTCACGGTCTTTGAACATGTCTTTGATCCTTTTGTTCCTCAGCCTCAGTCAAGTCTGTTTGCATATTTCAGCTGCCCTAATCCTGCTGACAACACGGTGAGGACGAAGAACAATGGGATGGGAACGAACACTGTGGTGTCTTTCGACACATTCCAGTTCACCGGCCAGAATACTGACGTCTTTTTGCACTGCAGAGTGCAGCTTTGTGTGGCAGAGGGGAACAGCTGTGTGCCGGTATGGTCCCTCAATATTCGTATTGAAATACAAAAACCTGGGTGTCCAGTTTTATTGACGTGGCAGTGTAATCTCTATCCACAGAGACAGTTTGAAAATACGAACATCAACCATGTGTTTTAATTGCTTTTTTAGAAATGCAGCAAGCATGGGAGATGGCGCCGATCAGTTCTGTCAAGTTACATGGATGAGAACCCTGCAATCATCACCATGGCCTGGACTTCTTAGGTATGGGTATTTCACCTCATTATTATACAGATTTTAAAGTGAAAAAGAGCATGGCTGACCACTTTTTGGTAGTTTAGCAGCGCACAATCTTGGCTCTAATCATGGCGCAGAGCACAAAGAGGTTCTTTGATTATTCAAATGTGTGTTTGGAGCGGAATTTGAATCAAACCAAAAAGCACATCTGTTTCTTAATTCTCTTTGCACATTAGGTTCACTGCAAGCAGGTGTGTTACCATTTACACAGCAGAATTGAGCCTTTCCAATGAAATAAACCAAATTCAAGCTGATCAAGAAAACACACTCAGGCCAGTGTATGAAATAGGGCAAGATCAAATTCGAATCCACATCCTGCATCACATCATAGAAAATTGGCACTTAATCTTACCTATTTTTTATGGCTGCATTTGTTGTGCTTAGAGCTAGGGTTAGGGTTAGGGTTAGGGCGTCCTCATATGTCTTCATATAAAAGGCCCCTCAAACCATTTCTAGGTTTTTGTTACTCCGTTTAGAAATGCATGGCCGGAAAAATAAGTAATAGTCATGATGAATAATTGACAAACTGAGTAATGTTTATTTCTGTCCTGCTGTTTTGTGAGTGTATACCTAACAATGAATTGGATTTGGTCATCTTCGCAGGTCTCCTTTAAGGTCTGGACTGACAAGTGTGCTCAAAACACAGTGAGATTCCCATTTGGAGCTGTCCTGATGAGGAGTCCACCAACAGCATACTCATAACAACTAAACAAGCAAAGCCATAGAAATTCATTTTATCTTTACTTTGGTTTTTGGGTTTGTTTCTCCTTTGATGCTGAAAATTATTACTGTTGAATTGGAAAGGCCCAGATTTGATGAGGAGCATCTGAAGAAGAAGGACTTGATGATACCTGTTATATCAACACATACACATGGATACTGTAAAATACTTTATATCATGAATCAAAAATATGTTTCAGAAGCATTTGTAACCAGGATTTTTTAAATGGTTTATACTCTAAAGACAGAACAGAGAGAGGATTTTGGTTGTATCATAATTCAGTCTAAACTCTCAGGACCTTCTTGTTATTTGGGGGAAATTTTCTGTACTACTTGTAAGACATTGAAAAAGCAACATGAGGTTTTTTTCAAATTAAAACTTCCAACTTTCACTTGGGAGGATCACACAAATATCTTTACTTTAATACGTCTTTGTCAATAAAAAGCTCTTCACGTGGGGACATTTGTCATTGTCATTTCATATTCTCTATTTCTGCAAAACTTAATTTTTCTATCAATATCCTTTCAGGTACTGTACAATTACTTTATGATTAAGTTCCCTTTTTTACTTTACAACAAAGGCTGAAACCGCATCTGAAAATATGACATGTTTTATGATGAGTCCATTCGGTTTTGAGAGTTTGTGAGCAGTTGTTAACGGCAGTCGAATTTGGATTTACAGCTCTTAGCACTTTCTACTTCCAGCTTCGAGAAGGTGTAGTTAGAAAAGTAGATGAAGCCGCTCTTTTGACGACTTGAAGTAGTTTTATAAATAAATCTGTGAGGATTCCAACGAGCTAAAACCCGCACACTTTGAGAGAGGTGTGGCTTTTTGAGACTATAGAAGAATTCACTCTCTGTTTTATTTGCTTAGTGTATCTTCAGCTTTAACTCTCACCAAACCGTTAAAAGTCAGATAAGATATTACAGTTATAAGCTACGTGTAATTCTATATTTAAAAAGCTGCAGATATTTTCCCATATCTAATTTGTAAAGTTACAAAACTTTGAGTGATGCAGTGACGTCTGAGACAAGAGAGGACGGGCCAATCAGCTGCCAAGAAGGATCCCTAGAGGAAGGAGAAACCGTCTGCGTTTGTTATATAATGTCTTAATAATAGTTCAATCACTTTCTAAGCTTACTTCTCCACCTAATGATGGATGAAGATGAACTCTGCTTTCCACACCTGAACACCTCCTGCAGAAGGTCAAAGCGTGCTCACTCACACACTGTGCTGGTTTACGTCGTGCTGTGCTTCATTTCAGTGCTCACTGTAACTCTCAATCTGATGGTCATCATCTCCATCTCACACTTCAGGTAATCCTTTATTTTTTCTGTCACTGCACAAAGAAACACTGATGAAAAAATGCTAAAACGGTTGTTTTCTTTTTTACCCTGCCAGGAAGCTCCACACTCCCACCAACCTCCTCCTCCTCTCTCTGGCTGTCTCAGATTTATTTGTGGGTTTCCTCTTGTTCTTTCAAATTATCCTCTTGGACGGCTGCTGGTACCTCGGTGACTTCATGTGTAATCTGTATATCACCTTAGGCTATATAACTACATCCTCCTCTGTAGGAAACATGGTGCTCATATCAGTTGATCGCTATATTGCCATTTGTGACCCTTTGCACTACTCCACCAAAGTCACGGTGAGAGGAGCCACAGTTTGCACGTGTCTATGCTGGCTCTGTTCTGTTCTTTACAACAGTATCATATTGAAGGATTTCTTAGAACAACCTGGCAGGTTTAGCTCATGTGCTGGTGAGTGTGTGGTTGGTGTTGATTATTCTGTAGGACTTGCTGATATGTTTTTCTCTTTTATTGGTCCTGTCACCGTCATCATTGTGTTGTATATGAGAGTATTTGTGGTGGCTGTGTCTCAGGCTCGGGTTATGCGTACTCATACTGCAGCCGTCATTCAGAGTTCAGTGAAAGTGACTGTGAAGAAATCTGAACTGAAAGCAGCCAGGACTCTTGGTGTGCTTGTGGTGGTGTTTCTTTTCTGCCTGTGTCCATATTTCTGTGTCACTCTTTTAGGCCAGGACTCTACTCTCAATGCTTCATCTGCTGCCTTTGTCATATGTCTGTTTTACTTTAACTCCTGTTTGAACCCGCTGATCTATGCCTTGTTTTACCCCTGGTTTAGAAAGGCAGTCAAACTTATTTTTACACTTGAGATACTGAAACCTGGTTCTAGTGAGAATAATATACTATAAGAAGTACAGTGAAGTGACTAAAACACTGGAATTTATTTATTTGTTTGTTACAGGCCCCAGATGTGAATCCTGTGGCCAGATTAGGTTCTCTGCAAATAATGATTCGGATGTAGACAACAGGTAGTGTGTCAAATACTGCTAGTCTTTTTCCCTTTTACAAATAAATTATCTGCACTTCAAGTTTCATACCCCTATCATAAGCCACAATTTGAGTGCTTAAACTGTTCCCACTGACTGAAAGGACAAAATCCTAATTTAGCAGAGCACTAACATTCGATGTCACAGAAGATGTACAGGAGCCTTGCAAAGTATGAACAATAACTGAGGAGACTCGAGGTAAGACATGATGGGCATAACCATAGACTGATACAGCACTTGACTAATGGACACTGCATGAGCTAAGTTAACAAAATAGCAAAATGTCTTTGTTTGACAAAGACTATAGGATCGTTTTCACTTATACATGTGTGTGATTTTTGACATGTATCTACCTGATAATCACTCCTTCCAACAAGAAACTGCACAATATTTCAACTGCAAAGGTCATATAAATGAATACATGCACATCAATTAAAAAACACATTTCATAATGTGACTACATGACTGTGCGTCACATGTTAAACTATGAAAAGGACCTTAAAGTCAGGCCTATGATCAGTCTAATTCTGTTGCACTTCATTGTTTAAAAGCATGTAAAATTACAAGATGCTTTTAAGAAAATTTTAACAAAGAGAAATGTGATTTATTTACTCTGTTTTATGGTACATATAAGATAGTTCATAGAGATGCACCCATTGTGAAATCTAATGTTTTTCTGTTACTTTTTTCATCATTTTTTGTGTTTATTCTTTTAAATAGGCTATGACATCTGCTGGATTACAGTTTTTCCTGCAGCCCCTCCTCTTGAAATGTCACCAGAACATGTCAAGTCAAGTCAAAGTTTATTTATAAAGCACCTTTAAAAGGCAGCAAAAAAAGTGCTGTACATGGGATGAATAAAAGAGGTAAATAAATAGATAACAATAAAAAAACAAAATTAAAAACAGTGGAATAAAACACAGACTGTGAAAGAATAAAATCTACAGTGCCATGATTCCTGTGTGCTTATTTATTTAATGCAAAGGAGAAGAGGTGGGATGATTTAAAAGACTCTCAGGTCTGTGAGGCTCAAATATGGCCTGGTAAATTGTTCCATAGTCTAAGGGCAACAGCTGAAACAGCCCTGTCACCTCGAGACTTGAGCCATGTCTGACAAACTTCATGTCACTAATATTTCTCAGAGGTGGTGTAACACTCAAACTGACATTTTCTTTAATACTTCATCATGAAAACAGTTTGTCCAACAGGCAAAAGGTCTGTCTATTAAAAACCCCTTCTCTGAATTTTCACTAAAGTACATTTACAGGCAGCATTAAACTGGTAGATAAACCCCACATTAACTCCTGATGAGCCTATGAACAGGGCGGGTAACTGCAAGTACTGAATACTCTCACATTAAAAATGCCATTACTTTGTTTTCAAAAACAATTTTTCTTTACATATTGAGTTGTAGATTGATCATGGGCCAAATGATGAAAAACTCAAACACAACACACAGTAACGGAGTCAGAGGGTCTGAAAACTGATCGGTCACCCCAATGGCCACCCTGAAATCCCAGTTCATGATCAGGCATTTGCCTTTTTGAGTCTTTAAAAAATGAAGAGAAGCAGATTTAAATGTTGTCACCACTGAGTATATTCTAAAATTGAAAATTATATGCAATAGAATACATATGTTTATTCTTTGTTAGAAGTTAATGTTCATTGAATGTGATAAGTGGATATGACCTAGGGCTGTACGATTTTGGCAAAAAATTGTAACGGGTATTGACTGGACCCAATTGCAGCACAAACAAGCAGGTTCACTTTAACAACAGTCTTTATTGAACACCAAATCCAATGAAGCAGCAGAGTATAGCAGGTGGGTATGGCAGGATTCGAACTCGGGTCTTCCGGGTGATAGGCGAGCAGAATAGCAGTGGACCACAGGTCAGGCAAGAGTTTTGAACTCGTGAGCAGGGAATTGTCCACAGTCTTAATTTGCTCTACGAGTGTAGTGAAGGGGAAAACACTCAACTCACAGCTGGAGGAAGATTTCTTGGAGAGTGGTTCAGGTGAGGACTGGGTGAGGATCCAGAGCTTGCAGAGGAGCTGGCAGAACCAACGTCGGCAGAGGAGGTGAGTTGGCGAGGTGAAGCTGACGAGAAGGGGGATCTCAACAGAGCAGGAACAGGCTGAGTGACATTCAGCTGCAGGCAGACGAATAGCAGGAACCAGGCAGGCAAAGCTCGTAGTCAAGGACAGAAGGCAGGTAGGTTTACCGGGGCTGAGGCAAGAAGCAAAGGTCAGGGGCAGATCAGGTCGATACCAGGTAAGCAGTCTGAGGATAAACGCTGGAGAGTCAGGCATGAGAGCAAAGACAATCTGGCAAAGAGTGAGGGGAAAGAAGCTGCATATATACTGGCCTAATTGGAGATGATGAGAAGTTAATGTTCATTGAATGTGATAAGTGGATATGACCTAGGGCTGTACGATTTTGGCAAAAAATGAAATCCAGCATTTTTGCTCTAAAAAATCGAAAATAAAACAAAAACTTGAAAATGAAATAAAACGGAGAGCAACTCCAACAAAAATGTGATTTAAGATGTGACTTATATGAGAGCACTGAATCAGCTGATCTGACTTTCTTCCTCAAGGTGACTGTGCGTTTTAATTTGCAGCTGTACCGATTTTACTTAATCCAAAGTTTAAACCAAAACTAGAGTTTACCTGATTAAGAGAAGCATCTTCATGAGCCTTTCAGGGCCTCCAGCCTTCACAATGTTTCAGCATTAACTTCTCTTTGGGTTTTTTTTTTTGTGTTTTATGATGTGCAGATAAACTAAACTAGATTAAAATGCATAAACTTTGATTCAAACTGAGAATACCAAGGAAAAGTAAAGGTAAAAAGAGGTGGCGTTTGGGTAAAAGTAGATGATGAAACTTGCCACTGCAGGTATAAAACCTGCCATAACAAATGGCTTCATGGGGGAGGGGAAGGAGAGCAGGGCAAACACTCCTCAGCATCTCCCTCCTCAGATGATGGAGGGATCTGAATACTGCTTTCCACAACTACTCAACGCTTCATGCAGGAGGACGCAGCAACCAAAATCTATATCTTTGCTCAGTTATTTCCTACTTCCCATCATCTCTGTGCTGACTACAACTCTCAACCTGCTGGTCATCATCTCCATCTCACACTACAAGTAAATAATGTTGATCTTTTTGCTGACACTTGTTGCTTTAACACTGTACTGCTCTTTTTGATAATGCGTTGTCTTGTGTCTCTGCAGGCAGCTCCACACTTGCACAAACTTCCTCCTCCTTTCTCTGGCTGTTTCGGATTTCTTCATTGGTCTCCTCATGGTGTTTCAAATTCTTCTCATAGACGGCTGCTGGTACTATGGAGATCATTTGTGTGCTTTCTATTTTGTTTTTGACTACACTTTAACCTCCGCTTCAATAGGAACCATGGTGCTCATATCTATTGACCGCTATGTGGCCATCTGCCATCCTCTACATTACTCTACCATAATCACTCACAGGAAAATTGAAATCTCTGTCTCCTTCTGCTGGGTGTCATCTCTTATCTTTCACTGTGTGCGGTTTAAAGATAACCTGGAGCATGTCGGTGAGTTTAAGTCCTGCGTTGGAGAATGTGTGGTTGTTATAGGCTATGTCTCTGGATTTATCGACCTGTTCATGTCCTTCCTCGGTCCTGTCACTGTCATCATTCTGCTCTACCTCAGAGTATTTGTAGTGGCCGTGTCTCAGGCTCAAGCCATGAGGACCCACATTAAATCCATCACTCTGCATTGCTCAGTGAGAGTGACCACCATGAGGTCTGAAATGAAAGCAGCCAGGACTCTTGGCATTGTTGTGCTGGTGTTTCTGATATGTGTGTGTCCTTATTTCTGTGTCATACTCTCAGGTCAGGACGCATCGCTCAGCACTTCATCTGCTGCCTTCATAATATGTCTGTTTTACTTCAACTCCTGTTTGAACCCGCTGATTTATGCCTTGTTTTACCCCTGGTTCAGAAGAACTATTAGACTTATTTTGACACTTCGGATACTGAAGCCTGACTCAAGTGAGGCCAACATACTGTGAGAAGAAATATTTTCATACACAGTAAATCATCAAGTATAGAGATGTTCTAGTCCCTAAAATGTTTAAGTTTGAACACTCATGAATGTATATGACAAATGAATGTATGTGATAAAGTGTGCAGGTGCATCTCAACAAATTAGTATATCATGAAAAATGTCAGTGAACCTCAAATATTTCAATGTACAATGTGTTGAATGTCCATTTTTGATTGGATATTGGGGCACATTATCTCTTATTTGGAGGAGTTAATTTTGTCTGTATACACTCCAAAAAAAACTGCTTTAGAGAAAGTTTTAAAAAAGATACAACTGAGTATAGAGAATTTACATTTGCATACTTTTAGGACAATCTTATTAATTTGAGATACAACATTTCTGATTTCCTACAGTTAAATTGAGCCACAGTCATGACAATTAAACAAAAAGGCTCAATGTATTTTAACTAAATGAAAATATGAATTAATCTTTCAAATGAATTTGTTGAGATGCACTTGTATGTTTTTTGTTGTTGCTTCATGGTTAAGTTTCATTCTGTTTAGAGCTTTTATTAGCTCCCCAATTTTTTACTATTAATTTACTGTAATTGTTGCTGCTGTGACAGTGTCATTTACTGTAAAGGTTAATAAAATTTATATGAAACTACCTCAAACAATATTTCTACTGCTGTGGGTTTTTAACAAAATTAAGGAAACAAATACAGAGGATTAATCATCTGTCTATGAGCAGAATAGATTAATACATCATTTTTTAAAAACATATATGCAACATATGCATGGAAATGTATGAACAGTTTGTCATCAGATTAGATGTCAATATAGTAGCTTTATCATTAATCTTGCTTGTGATTACTAATTTTATTATGTATTTGCAGTGACAGCAGTTTAAATGTTTGTTTGAGTTAGATACGATGAACCTTTTTTCATCCCACGGTGGGGAAATTTGCACAACAGCAGTGAAGGTTCAGCACAGAAAAAAAGAAGAATCATGCACACAGTGTACAGATAATCATAAAAAGGTAACTTAGACCTGTAGAGAAAATGTTATGTACAAAAAGAAAAAGGTTACGAAGATAAGATGATATATTAGTTGTGGTTATTTATGAGTATCATTAACAGAATCTGAATTTTTTATTGACACAAAGAATATTAAAGGCCAATTTAGATAGATAGATAGATAGATAGATAGATAGATAGATAGATAGATAGATAGATAGATAGATAGATAGATAGATAGATAGATAGATAGATAGATAGATAGATAGATAGATAGATAGATAGATAGATAGATAGATAGATAGATAGATAGATAGATAGATAGATAGATACCTCTTATTTTTTACCAGCACTCTGTACAGTTAGCGCAAGGAGACCAAGTGACATGTTGTCCCATCCTGCCTGAACTTCAGCTGCCTGACAGTTGAAGATTTCATTTGTCATATTCTCTTATCTTCTGACACACAAAGTGTTTTCAGTGAGTGACAAGTCAGGACTGCAGGCAGGCCTGTTTAGCAGCGGGACTCTTCTGCTTCAGAGTCATGCTGTTGTAATACTTGCAGAATGTGGTTTGTCATTGTCTTGCTGAAATATGAAGCTCTTCCATGAAAACACCAGCATGTGTTTCTCCTAAGACCTGTAGATTTTTTGTTCAGCATTATTGGAGTTTGAGTTTGTCTTACTCCCTCTAATTGTAAAACTCTTGACAGTGAAATGCATGTTTCATGGGGCCTCATCAGACATCCTAATGGCAACGCTTACAGCGGAACACATTTATTTTTTATATAAAAATAATCAAACAAACAAATAAATACATCCCACTACATTTCTCCACCCTCTGAGTACAATTCTATTCCAGGTCCATTGATGAGTCCTGTCAAAGTTCTTGACTCTCATATTGAAACTCTGACTTATGTTCAGGGTTTGAATAAGAATTCAGTACAACACTGTCTACTTTTACTATTGCAGTCAGCCTTACAGATATTAATATTACAGCAACAACATAAACTAAAGCAGGTTAACATCCAGGTAAATTTGCTTCATACCAGTTCTTTAACAGGTCCTGTGGTGGACTAGACCAGTCACAACCCATGGCTTCAGTGGGTTTTGTTTCCGGTCATGTTTAAATTACTTCTTTCAATGGCATCTGTCTATTGTGAAAATAACCAAGCACAATATTAACTAAAATTGTGATTTCTGATACTTAAAAGCAATATGTATGCACATTTTTATATCACACAAACACTATGAGCAGGCAGAAGCAGGTATAGATTTTAATGAATGCAGGAGTTCACATAAGTTACATTCTGCAAACAGTTTATACACAAATTCATTCTGTTCTTGTTTGATGAATGGGACCTTTTTATGTTTAGGGAACAACTGCAACACCTACAACACTTTTAAAAATGGCACAATATCACCCTTTTATATAACTCACGTGTCAGAAAAATAGTTTCTGTGAAAATTTGCAACAGCTGATGAAAAAAACTTCTCCATTGACATAATATGCAGTGTGTCCTTAAATCTCTGGTGGGCAAGTCATACAGTTACGGGTGAAGATCTGTTCAATGTGCTGCAAGAGAAGCAGATTTGAAATAACTGATACATACAATGAGACACAGTGCCCAGCATGAGTCAGTACATCCCCTATTAAAAGTAATGTATTACTCGATATATCGATATGAGCAAAAGTACAATTTCCAAAGTTTTGTCAAAGCTGAGCTTAACATAACATTTTATTAACCATAAGATGAAAATAAGGGTGATATGGTCACTAAAAATTGACTTTGCTCCCAGAACTTTGATTGGGGTGTACTCATTTTGCATCCTGATTTTCAATTGAAAAATTTTTTTTTGAAAGCAACTTGTAAAAATCTTGTTTGCAATGGCCTTCATTTGGGGGAGTATTTTGTTGTATGGTCTGACTTAGAAAATGTTGATTTTGAAAGTAAACTAAAGGTTTTCTGACAACTCTGAAGGGGTGAACTCATTGACGCTGAGCACTGTATATTTGCATTTTAAAATCCAAAGAACTTTTTTGATTTAGTGGTCTCTACAGTACTTGAGCATTGCAGGAGTTGGGCTGCAATATCTTTAGAGTAACAATAAGTCTGATAGACTTTCTAAACCAGGGGTAGAAAAGGGTGTAAATCACAGGGTTGACACAAGAATTAAAATAGGTCAAACATATCACAAAAGCAGCAGAGGATGCATTAAGCAGGTTATCCTGGCCTGTGAGAGCAACACAATAATACGGACAAAGACATATCAGAAATACTATCACAATAATACCCAGAGTCCTGGCTGCTTTCATTTCAGACTTTTTGGCTGTTACTTGTGTTGATTGTTGTGTGACAGTTCCAACATGAGAGCGAATTGCCCGAGCCTGAGACACAGCCACCACAAACACTCTCATATACAAAACAACAATAATCGTGATGGGAACAATAAAGGTAAAAATGAGATCTGCAATCCCAGCTATGTAGTTAATAAAGAAGATACACTCTCCAAAGCAAGAGTGGTACCTCCCTGGTTTTTCAAGAATATCCTTCAGTATCAGACTTTGGAAGATAACAGAACAAATCCAGCAGAGAAAAACACACAGTTGAGCTCTTTTTTGAGTGACTTTTCTGGGGTAATGTAGGGGGTGACAAATAGCCACATAACGATCAATAGATATGATCACCATCGTTCCTACTGAGGCAGAGATAACAATATATGCAATATACTGATAAATAGTACATATCAGGTCGCCAAGTAACCAGCAGCCGTCTATCAGCATGATCTGAAATAACATGAGGAAGCCAACGAAGAAATCTGAGACAGCCAGAGAGAGGAGGAGGATGTTGGTGGGGGTATGAAGCTGCCTGAGGAAGAAAACATGTTAAGTGTTATTGAGATTGTCAGGAATCTAGATAAAGACAAATCAAACAATGACAAAAATACATGAAAACTGCTCTGAAATGAAATTATATTCTGTCCACCACTGTTAAACATTAGACATTTGATTTCGTGAAACAATACTTGAAGTGGGAGATGGAGATGATGACCAGCAAGTTTAGAGCAGCAGTGACCACAGAGATGGAGGACAGCAGTATGTAGGTCAGCATGACCTCAAAGTGAGGACGTATTGATTTCCTGCAGGAGGTGTTGAGGAGCTGTGGAAAGCAAAGTTCAGTTTTCTCCATCTCTGCAGAGAGGACCAGCTGCTGCAAGCTCTGGCAGCAGCATGATGAAAGGTTCTCTAGTACCACACTTTTAATATCTTCCCTCCCCATCCTCCTACTGATGTTGTTGTCAAGGTTTCAAGGTTTAGGCCCATTAAATCTACTGGAGTAATCATTTTGCAAAGACAATAGAAGTTGTCAACACATTATGCGACCATTGCTACAGAAACTGGATGAAGAACTCAGTGAACTAAATAGAAGCCCAAACTCTCAATAAGGTGCAGAGGGTGACAGAAAAGCTCATGTAACCCAGACTGGGTTTCTGAGCTTGTTTTAATAGTACGGGTCTGCAGAGCCGGACAGCCAAGCAGATCCACAACCATGACAGATCCACAACCCTCTTTTTAACTGCTGTTCCACATCCCTTTTTGTGCCCAGAAATTTAATTTGATAAACTAGTTAATCGATAAATAAGTGACTGCAGTCACATATTATGATCTGATCAAAATAAGTCTTTGAAATTTGTGAATAAAGTGTTCAGTTCTTGGGACTCTGCCTACTTCCTTTCAAGGATTTGAAATTTATTTATTTTTATTTGGATATTAATCACGATTTCATTCATTTTAATTTTTTTATTAACCTATCATCATCTTTTTGTGTATTGTCTGTCTACCTATAATATTTGGGTTTATTCTACCAAAATATAAACTTATATTATCCCAATATCATAGGGATTGGCCTCGCTTTTATACTATTCATTCCTTGGCGATGATTCTGACCCCCTGAATGCAATAGTATGTGTCTGCAGAGTCGGATGAATGTGATTTTTTGTGCGTGTTTTTCTCGTAAATTTTCATGTGCAATCTCATGCACATTATTTGTCATCGTACTTCTGTTCCATTCACTACAATGCTAGTAGCCTACGGGTCAAAAAGTACATTTCCGACTTCCAACAAGCTAATGTTAGCATGAGCTTGACCAAGATTCGATGTGCATTTCAGACTATCATGGAAAATGGAAAGGGAAAAATGTCATAAACGGAGCCTGTCACATTTACTTTTATTTTAAATTCAAGAAAACAATTTTACAATTTCTAAAAAAAATAATGAGATTTACGTTTGATACTCGATCATGATGTCGATCCATTCAAGCCAATAACTTTCGAGAAAGAAGCAGCGGTTAAAAAGAGGGTTGTGGATCTGTTATGCAATGACCTACTCTGTCCAGCAGGGGCGCAAAGACGGTTGTGGATCTGCTTGGCTCTCCGGCTCTGCAGTAGCGCAATTCCATGTCCCACCAGTGGGTGGCGCGTACGCTACAAGGAAGGCTGTTAACCGTTGCTGCGTAACTTCTTCGGTTGGAGACACTGTCCTGAGAGCCTGAGAGGACACAATTGCTTGCTGAGAACTCACGGTATGGAAATACACTATTACAGCCAGAAATTCACACAAAACCCTGCAGTATTAGCGTGAAGGTGGAAGTTAAACGAGGCGCATCTGTTGCGGGCTTTAGAAATGCTAACGCTAATGCCAGTGCTATGGTATAACCTCATATAACCCCACTGAGTCATTGGAGTGATAGTATCGCCTTTTCAAACACCAATCGGGGTTGTAACACTGTTACCAGGTGCCTGATACTTCACAGACACAGATGCTAATCATTCTTAGCTATGATGATGAGTTAATGTGAAAGGTCGCTAATAACGGTAGCGTCAAGCTAACCGCTAGCTAGCATAAGGTTAGCTGTTGTTGCCTTTAGAGTACTTCTAGCACTGTGGGCGGAGCTCTGACAGTGTCTCACTATGGTCTCACACCATTAAAGGTGCATTATACTTGATTTTGAGTTGAAAGCTATTTCATTTAAGGAATGTAATACATGTAATATGTATTATATGCATTTTTATATGTCATATAGATGGTTCATGTCATTTAATGGGTTCAAAACAAAGTTTAACATGTTAAAAGGCATAAATAGAGGATTTCAGAAATGTCCTATGATTTAATTTATGTTGATGTATATATATCAGTACAAGAGTACATGATAGGTTGGTCATTGGCACTGAAATATCTTGATGTAATGTGATGTGTATCAATTCATTTCATAATAAGATTAAATACTTGATAACTAAATACACTTGATAAGAGAGTTTAATGATAGTTTTGAGTTAAGGAAATCAATAAAGAGAAAGATTTTGACTTATGCATTCTGTACTGTGTGCATAGATTAATTTTTTTATTTTTTCCAGACTGGATAGTTCGGGATCTGAACTTCTTGTTCCATGGCGAGCCAGCGTTGAAGTGGACTGTGGAGGAATCAACATCGCAGTGTGGCCAACCGCCACACCATTGTTTAAGGTTTATTGAGTTTCTTTTTTTCTTTTGGGCCCATTTAATATGCGGCTGTGCACATGAGGAAGCCGACTTCGGTAGGCACGGTCTGTGAGTTCATGCTAAAAATTTTGTATACAATATACCCATCATTTTAAATCCCCTAGTTGTTTACATGTCTGGTTTCTCTGCTAGAGTTAGCGTTAGTACAAGTTAGTACAGTTACTAAACTTAATTGTGGTAACCTTTTAAGTTAATTAATCAGCTGTGTGATAGCTGACGATAAATCACTAAAGCTAGGTGTGCGCATGCTCCGCGGTGCAGCGCATGTGTGCACCACATACAGTGATGCTTATGAGCCTGAGGTAGAGCCACGGAAGAAAAAACATAATTCTTTAGGTGTGGTGGTGCGTCATGATCAATTGCATGTAGGGGAAACCCTGCAGTATCTGTGGCATTTATTTCCACTGCTTTTATGAGACCAGCTTCTGTTGCAGTGTTACAACATGCAAATGTAAATCTGATCATTTTATTTTCATTTTAAGATATAAAAATACATATACAAGAAATGAAGCAGCAGCAATCAATTCCCTTGTCATGAGTTATCCTTACGAAGATTTGTGGACAAAGAACTTCAGTGACAAGTCAGGACCCCAGGCGGGCCAGTTTAGCAACAAAACTCTTCTGCTACAGAGTCATGCTGTTGTAAAACCTGCAGATTGTCGTTTGTCATTGTCTTGCTGAAATATAAATGTCTTCCCTAAAAACATCATTGTCTGGATGGCAGCACAAGTCTCTCCTAAACCTGTAGATTTTGTTCAGCATTATTGGAGCCTTCACAGATGTTGAAGCTACCCATGCCATGGACACTTATGATCCACATACTATCAGGGGTGCTGGCTTTAAACTGTGAGTTGATAATGAGCTTGGTGGTACCGCTACTGATAAGAGCAGAGGATACAGCATCTATTTTTTCCCTTTTGTACAGAGGTTTTCTCAGACTCTCTGAATCTTTGAATGATATTTTGTACTGTAGATGATGAACTTAACTTATTCTTTAATGATATAACCAGCAGTCCAAGTAACTTTAGCTTCTCTTGTACTTTTCTGCTTCTCTTGTAGGTTTCTGTTCAAGTTTGAGTTTAGGAAGGTTGCACTGCTCTTGCTCGAATTGTAAAACCTTTGAAAGTAAAATGCATGATGCCTTATTAGGCATCCTTACAGGAAGTGGAAGCTGGACAAGAAAACATATAAACGCACAGAGCTGAACATATGTCAACTTTTTCTTTATAGTGATGAAATTATCAGTTTTATATATAAAAAAATCTAACAGAAACAAACAAAAGGGTCTTTCAGAAAATAAATACATTCCAGTACATCTCTTCACCCTCTGAGTCCAGATACAGTTAATACAGATGGTCTGAGTCCATTGATGAGTCCTGTCTAAGTTCAAGACTGAGTAAGAATTAAGTAAAACATGATCTATTTTTACTACTGCAGTCAGCCTTACTGATATTACAGATTAGTTGCTGGGTCCTGTGGTGACCCATGGCTTCAGTGGGTAACCTCTACCTCCTACAATAATTAGGCCTCTTCAAAATATACATGTATGGAGTAGTGGGTGTCAGGTTAAAAAAAAGAAAAACAATTGTCCATGAAGATATCAGTAGGTATGGATTATTATCTGTTCAAGCAGAGCCCCTGTACACATGCATTTATGTAAAACAGCTATGTTCTTGCTGAGTAGTCAGTTTACTGTTTCATTTTCTGTTGTGCAGGATGACGATCGATTTCAGCCGCCGCGTTTATCCGATCATACGTATGCTTGGATTGGTCAGATACGAACCCTTTCATAAATCTCACGTGTGTCCTATCGTACGATGAATCCTGCACTCAGATCTGCGAAAGATTGATAAATGAGGGCCAATGTGTCCATAAAATGTCTGGTTGTGAAGTTATACAGTTACAGGTAAAGATCTGCTATCTATGCTACAAGAGAAGCAGATTGAAAATAACTGATGCATCAAAGGAGATACACTGACAGCACGACAACAAATGTATTTTAAAATTCACAGAAATTGAATTTCCTTGATTTAGTGGTCTCTACAGTACTTGAGCCTTACAGGAGTTAGGCTGCAATATCTTTAGAGTAAGAATAAGTTTGATAGACTTTCTGAACCAGGGGTAGAAAAAGGCGTAAATCACAGGGTTGACACAAGAGTTAAAATAGGTCAAACATACCACAGAAGCAAATGCGGATGCACTGAGTGTGTTATCCTGGCCTGTGAGAGCAACACAATAATACGGACAGAGACAAATTATGAACACTATCACAATAACACCCAGAGTCCTGGCTGCTTTCATTTCAGACTTTTTGGCTGTTACTCGTGTTGATTTTTGTGTAACAGTTCCAACATGAGAGCGAATTGCCCGAGCCTGAGACACAGCCACCACAAACACTCTCATATACAAAACAACAATAAATGTAACGGGAACAATGAAGGAGAGAATGAGATCTGCAATCCCAGCTATGTAGTTAATAAAGAAGATACACTCTCCAAAGCAAGAGTTGTACCTCCCTGGTTTTTCAAGGATATCCTTCAGTATCAGACTTGAGAAGATCACACACCAAATCCAGGAGACACAAACACACAGTTGAGCTCTTTTTTGAGTGACCTTTCTAGGGTAATGCAGAGGATGACAAATAGCCACATAACGATCAATAGATATGATTACCATCGTTCCTACTGAGGCAGAGACAACAATATATCCAAATAACTGATAAATTGTACACATCAGGTCACCAAGTATCCAGCAACTGTCCATGAACATGATCTGAAATAACATGAGGAAGCCAACAAAGAAATCTGAGACAGCCAGAGAGAGGAGGAGGATGTTGGTGGGGGTATGAAGCTGCCTGAGGAAGAAAACATGTTAAATGTTATTGAGAGTGTCAGGAATCTAGATAAAGACAATACTAGAAAATTCATCTGATAGTATACTCTTTCTACCACTGTTAAACAATAGACATTTGATTTCATGAATTAATACTTGAAGTGGGAGATGGAGATGATGACCAGCAGGTTTAGAGTAGCAGTGACCACAGCGATGGAGGACAGCAGTATGTAAGTCAGCATGACCTCAAAGTGAGGACGTATTGATTTCCTGCAGGAGGTGTTGAGGAGCTGTGGAAAGCAAAGTTCAGTTTTCTCCATCTCTGCAGAAAGGACAAGCTGCTGCAAGCTCTGGCAGCAGCATGATGAAAGGTCCTCTAATGTAACACCTTTAATACCTTCCCTCCCCATCCTTCTTTTGATGTTGTTGTCAAGGTTTCAAGGTTTAGGCCCATTAAATCTACTGGAGTAATCATTTTGCAAAGACAATAGAAGTTGTCAACACATTATGCGACCATTACTAAAGAAACTGGATGAAGAACTCAGTGAACTAAACAGAAGCCCAAACTTTCAATAAGGTGCAGAGGGTGACAGAAAAGCTCATGTAACCCAGACTGGGTTTCTGAGCTTGTTTTAATAGTACGGGTCTGCAGAGCCGGACAGCCAAGCAGATCCACAACCCTCTTTTTAACCGCTGTTCCACATCTGTTTTTGTGCCCAGAAATTTAATTTGATAAACTAGTTAATAAATAAGTGACTGCAGTCACATATTATGATCTGATCAAAATAAGTCTTTGAAATTTGTGAAGAAAGTTTTCAGTTCTTGGGACTCTGCCTACTTCCTTTCAAGGATTTGAAATTTATTTTGAAATAAATAAATTCCCACAGTCACATATTTAGATATTAATCTAGATTTCATTCATTTTATTTATTATTTTATTTATTATCATCTTTTTGTGTATTGTCTGTCTACATCTTTCATTATGTCTATGGTCCTGAGAGCCTGAGAGGACACAATTGCTTGCTGCGAACTCCCGGTAAGGAAATACACTATTAGAGCCATAAATTCACACAAAACCCTGCAGTATTAGTGTGAAGGTGGAAGTTAAACGAGGCGCATCTGTTGCGGGCCTTAGAAATGCTAACGCTAATGCCAGTGCTATGGTATAACCTCATATAGCCCCATTGAGTCATTGGAGTGATAGTATCGCCTTTTCTCATAAACCAATCCGTGTTTAACACTGTTACCAAGTGCCTGATACTTCACAGACGCTAATCATTCTCAGCTGTGATATGAGTTAATATGAAAGATCGCTAATAACGGTAGCATCAAGCTAACGGCTAGCTAGCATAAGGTTAGCTGTTGTTGCCTTTAGAGTACTGCTAGCATTATGGGCGGTGCTCTGACAGTGTTTCACACTATTAAAGGTGCATTATACTTGATTTTGAGTTAAAAGCTATTTCATTTAAGGAATGTAATACATATAATATGTATTATATGCATTCTTATATGTCACATAGATGGTTCATGTCATTTAATGGATTAAAAAGTTCAACATTTTAAAAAGCATAAATAGAGGATTTCAGAAATGTCCTATGATTTAATTTGTGGTGATATATACATATATATATATATATATATATATATATATATATATATATTGCAGTACAAGAGTACATAGGTTGGTCATTGGCAATGAAATATCTTGATGAAATGTGATGTGTATCAATTCATTTCATATTAATTAGAGCACTGTAAATACACTTGATAAGAAAGTTTAATGATGGTTTTGAGTTAAGGAAATCAATAAAGAGAAAGATTTTGACTTATGCATTCTGTACTGTGTGCATAATTGTTTTGTTTTTTTCCAGACTGGATAGTTCGGGATCTGAACTTCTTGTTCCATGGCGAGCCAGCGTTGAAGTGGACTGTGGAGGAATCAACATCGCAGTGTGGCCAACCGCAGGATCCATCTTCAGAAGACACCATTGTTTAAGGTTTATTGAGTTTCTTTTTTTCTTTTGGCCCCATTTAATATGCGGCTGTGCACATGAGGAAGCCGACTTCGGTAGGCACGGTCTGTGAGTTCATGCTAAAAATTTTGTATACAATATACCCATCATTTTAAATCCCCTAGTTGTTTACATGTCTGGTTTCTCTGCTAGAGTTAGTGTTAATACAAGTTAGTACAGTTACTAAACTTAATTGTGGTAACCTTTTAAGGTAATTAATCAGCTGTGTGATAGCTGACGATAAATCACTAAAGCTAGGTGTGCGCATGCTCCGCGGTGCAGCGCATGTGTGCACCACATACAGTGATGCTTATGAGCCTGAGGTAGAGCCATGGAAGAAAAACATAATTTTTTAGTTGTGGTGGTGCCTCATGATCAATTGCATGTAGGGGAAACCCTGAAGTATCTGTGGCATTTATTTCCACTGCTTTTATGAGACCAGCTTCTATTGCTGTGTTACAACATGCAAATGTAAATCTGATCATTTTATTTTCATTTTTAGATACAGAAATAAAAATACATATACAAGAAATGAAGTAGCAGCAATCAATTCCTTTGTCATGAGTTATCCTTACAAAGATTTGTGGACAAAGAACTTCAGTGACAAGTCAGGACCCCAGGCGGGCCTGTTTAGCAGCAAAACTCTTCCGCTACAGAGTCATGCTGTTGTAAAACCTGCAGATTGTCGTTTGTCATTGTCTTGCTGAAATATAAATGTCTTACCTAAAAACATCATTGTCTGGATGGCAGTGTAAGTTTCTCCTAAACCTGTAGATTTTGTTCAGCATTATTAGAGCCTTCATAGATGTTGAAGCTACCCATGCCATGGACACTTATGATCCACATAATATCAGGGGTGCTGGCTTTAAACTGTGAGTTGATAATGAGCTTGGTGGTACCTCTACTGATAAGAGCAGAGGATACAGCATCTATTTTTTCCGTTTTGTACAGAGGTTTTCCCAGACTCTCTGAATCTTTGAATGATATTTTGTACTGTAGATGATAGTCTTTAACGGTATAACTGGCAGTCCAAGTAACTTCAGCTTCTCTTGTACTTTTCTGCTTTTCTTGTAGGTTTCTGTTCAAGTTTGAGTTTAGGAAGGTTGCACCGCTCTTACTTGCTCGAATTGTAAAACCTTTGAAAGTAAAATGCATGATGCCTTATTGGGCATCCTAACAGGAAGTGGAAGCTGGACAAGAAATTATATAAACACACACTCAGAGCTGAACATGTCAATTTTTTCTTTATAGTGATGAAATGATCAGTTTTATATTCAAAAAAATCTAACAGAAACAAACAAAAGGATCTTTCAAAAAATAAATACATTCCAGTACATCTCTTCACCCTCTGAGTACAGATGCAGTTAATACAGATGGTCCGAGTCCATTGATGAGTCCCGTCTAAGTTCAAGACTGAGTAAGAATTAAGTAAAACATGATCTATTTTTACTACTGCAGTCAGCCTTACTGATATTACAGATTAGTTGCTGGGTCCTGTGGTGACCCATGGCTTCAGTGGGTAACCTCTACCTCCTACAATAATTAGGCCTCTTCAAAATATACATGTATGGAGTAGTGGGTGTCAGGTTAAAAAAAAGAAAAACAATTGTCCATGAAGATATCAGTAGGTATGGATTATTATCTGTTCAAGCAGAGCCCCTGTACACATGCATTTATGTAAAACAGCTATGTTCTTGCTGAGTAGTCAGTTTACTGTTTCATTTTCTGTTGTGCAGGATGACGATCGATTTCAGCCGCCGCGTTTATCCGATCATACGTATGCTTGGATTGGTCAGATACGAACCCTTTCATAAATCTCACGTGTGTCCTATCGTACGATGAATCCTGCACTCAGATCTGCGAAAGATTGATAAATGAGGGCCAATGTGTCCATAAAATGTCTGGTTGTGAAGTTATACAGTTACAGGTAAAGATCTGCTATCTATGCTGCAAGAGAAGCAGATTGAAAATAACTGATGCATCAAAGGAGATACACTGACAGCACGACAACAAATGTATTTTAAAATTCACAGAAATTGAATTTCCTTGATTTAGTGGTCTCTACAGTACTTGAGCATTACAGGAGTTAGGCTGCAATATCTTTAGAGTAAGAATAAGTTTGATAGACTTTCTGAACCAGGGGTAGAAAAAGGCGTAAATCACAGGGTTGACACAAGAGTTAAAATAGGTCAAACATACCACAGAAGCAAATGCGGATGCACTAGGTGTGTTATCCTGGCCTGTGAGAGCAGCACAATAATACGGACAGAGACAAATTATGAACACTATCACAATAACACCCAGAGTCCTGGCTGCTTTCATTTCAGACTTTTTGGCTGTTACTCGTGTTGATTTTTGTGTAACAGTTCCAACATGAGAGCGAATTGCCCGAGCCTGAGACACAGCCACCACAAACACTCTCATATACAAAACAACAATAAATGTAATGGGAACAATGAAGGAGAGAATGAGATCTGCAATCCCAGCTATGTAGTTAATAAAGAAGATACACTCTCCAAAGCAAGAGTTGTACCTCCCTGGTTTTTCAAGGATATCCTTCAGTATCAGACTTGAGAAGATCACACACCAAATCCAGGAGACACAAACACACAGTTGAGCTCTTTTTTGAGTGACCTTTCTAGGGTAATGCAGAGGATGACAAATAGCCACATAACGATCAATAGATATGATTACCATCGTTCCTACTGAGGCAGAGACAACAATATATGCAATATACTGATAAATTGTACACATCAGGTCACCAAGTATCCAGCAACTGTCCATGAACATGATCTGAAATAACATGAGGAAGCCAACAAAGAAATCTGAGACAGCCAGAGAGAGGAGGAGGATGTTGGTGGGGGTATGAAGCTGCCTGAGGAAGAAAACATGTTAAATGTTATTGAGAGTGTCAGGAATCTAGATAAAGACAATACTAGAAAATTCATCTGATAGTATACTCTTTCTACCACTGTTAAACAATAGACATTTGATTTCATGAATTAATACTTGAAGTGGGAGATGGAGATGATGACCAGCAGGTTTAGAGTAGCAGTGACCACAGAGATGGAGGACAGCAGTATGTAAGTCAGCATGACCTCAAAGTGAGGACGTATTGATTTCCTGCAGGAGGTGTTGAGGAGCTGTGGAAAGCAAAGTTCAGTTTTCTCCATCTCTGCAGAAAGGACAAGCTGCTGCAAGCTCTGGCAGCAGCATGATGAAAGGTCCTCTAATGTAACACCTTTAATACCTTCCCTCCCCATCCTTCTTTTGATGTTGTTGTCAAGGTTTCAAGGTTTAGGCCCATTAAATCTACTGGAGTAATCATTTTGCAAAGACAATAGAAGTTGTCAACACATTATGCGACCATTACTAAAGAAACTGGATGAAGAACTCAGTGAACTAAACAGAAGCCCAAACTTTCAATAAGGTGCAGAGGGTGACAGAAAAGCTCATGTAACCCAGACTGGGTTTCTGAGCTTGTTTTAATAGTACGGGTCTGCAGAGCCGGACAGCCAAGCAGATCCACAACCCTCTTTTTAACCGCTGTTCCACATCTGTTTTTGTGCCCAGAAATTTAATTTGATAAACTAGTTAATAAATAAGTGACTGCAGTCACATATTATGATCTGATCAAAATAAGTCTTTGAAATTTGTGAAGAAAGTTTTCAGTTCTTGGGACTCTGCCTACTTCCTTTCAAGGATTTGAAATTTATTTTGAAATAAATAAATTCCCACAGTCACATTTTTAGATATTAATCTAGATTTCATTCATTTTATTTATTATTTTATTTATTATCATCTTTTTGTGTATTGTCTGTCTACCTCTTTCATTATGTCTATGGTCCTGAGAGCCTGAGAGGACACAATTGCTTGGTGCGAACTCCCGGTAAGGAAATACACTATTAGAGCCATAAATTCACACAAAACCCTGCAGTATTAGTGTGAAGGTGGAAGTTAAACGAGGCGCATCTGTTGCGGGCTTTAGAAATGCTAACGCTAATGCCAGTGCTATGGTATAACCTCATATAGCCCCATTGAGTCATTGGAGTGATAGTATCGCCTTTTCTCATAAACCAATCCGTGTTTAACACTGTTACCAAGTGCCTGATACTTCACAGACGCTAATCATTCTCAGCTGTGATATGAGTTAATATGAAAGATCGCTAATAACGGTAGCATCAAGCTAACGGCTAGCTAGCATAAGGTTAGCTGTTGTTGCCTTTAGAGTACTGCTAGCATTATGGGCGGTGCTCTGACAGTGTTTCACACTATTAAAGGTGCATTATACTTGATTTTGAGTTAAAAGCTATTTCATTTAAGGAATGTAATACATATAATATGTATTATATGCATTCTTATATGTCACATAGATGGTTCATGTCATTTAATGGGTTAAAAAGTTCAACATTTTAAAAAGCATAAATAGAGGATTTCAGAAATGTCCTATGTTGAGCTCATAGGACTAGTTATTACAATCCCTTATATCAGCACTTGGAATTGAGTGGGGGGGGTAAAAGCTTCACTGGGGTCTTCAGGTGGGCACCCCCCTTCACTGGTGTTTCATTGATAGGCCCACGACACCTCCAGGGGGCTCAACGGCGACACCTGGCGTCCCAGGTGTGCCCCCCTCTGCTTTTACCCCTAGGTGGTCATTTTGCAGCCCAGGTGGAGTCTTTTCTCTTGATCCAGAGCCATCTGCTGCTTCGTTCGGCAGCCTCTGATATTGATTTGATGGCTCGTCGGAAGGCCTGTCCTCGTACTCCCAATCTCTTCAGAAGCTTGGTTGTGGATGTTGCAACGAAGCCTCTGCACCCAACCTCCACCGGAAGCACCTGGGCCCTCCAGCCGCGCTTCTCTGCCTCGGCTGCTATGTCCGCATACTTCAGTCGTTTGCGCTCATATGCTTCACCAACTGCTGCCTCCCACGGTACAGTTAATTCAATGATGAATGCAACCTTCTGGGTGGTTGACCACAAGACCAGGTCCGGCCTGAGGCTAGTTGGAAGGATCTCAGGCGGAAAGATGAGTTTTTGGTCTAGGTCAACCTGCATCCTCCAGTCCCGGGCAGAGTCTAGGAGGGTTGCCTCCACTCTTGCAGATGGTTTTGCCGGTGGTTGTCCTGCTCTTACAAATGGGGTGGTGTTTGGGCGTCTAGGCATTGGTGGAGGGAGGGCATTGATGGTTGTTCTCCTTCCTTCCAGAGTGATCGCCAGTTGTCTTAGGACCTGGTTGTGTCTCCAGGTGTAGCGGCCTTGGGACAGACTGGTTTTACAGCCGGTGAGGATGTGACTCAGTGTTGCAGGTGTTTGACAGAGTGCACAAGAAGGATCTTCTCCAAACCATTGGTTTAGGTTTTTGGGTGTGGGAAGAACATCATAGGTGGCTCTGATGATGAAGCTGATTTGGCTTCCTTCCATTTCCCAAAGATTCTTCCATGTGAGCTTACGATGCTCCAGGTTTTCCCAGCTGGTCCACTGTCCCTGTTTGGACTGTGCTACTGCTGTCGTGCATATGTTTGACTCCTCTTGTTGCCGAACCTGAGCAACCACCAGCTTTCTCCTCTGGGTTGATGTTGCTTTGTGCCATGTGGGTCGACTTGTTCCGAGTCCAAACCCGCCTCTTCCATGCTGCACCTGTCCCACAATGTCTCCATGCCTGAGAGCAGATTTGGATTGCTGTACCGCCTCAGATGGGTTCCATTTCCTCCCAGTTGCCAGTCTGGGAGCAGCTGCACGGATCACCTCATCTTGCAACTCAGTCAGGGTCATGTTCAGCCTCACCTTGGTGCACTTAAACTCCTCTGTGAGGCTAGAGATGGGCAGTTCCAGGGCACCATGTCCATACAAGCCAATGTTGCTGAGGCAACGCGGGAGGCCAAGCCACTTCTTGATGTATGAGCTCACTGTTCTTTCCATCTTCTCGACTTTGGTCATGGGGATCTCATAGACTGTTAGAGGCCACATCAGGCGGGGGAGCAATCCAAACTGCAGGCTGATTTGGCTTCCTTCCATTTCCCAAAGATCCTTCCATGTGAGCTTACGATGCTCCAGGTTCGTGATATGAATTAATATGATTTAATTTGTGGTGATATATACATATATATATATATATATATATATATATATATATATATTGCAGTACAAGAGTACATAGGTTGGTCATTGGCAATGAAATATCTTGATGAAATGTGATGTGTATCAATTCATTTCATATTAATTCGAGCACTGTAAATACACTTGATAAGAAAGTTTAATGATGGTTTTGAGTTAAGGAAATCAATAAAGAGAAAGATTTTGACTTATGCATTCTGTACTATGTGCATAATTGTTTTGTTTTTTTCCAGACTGGATAGTTCGGGATCTGAACTTCTTGTTCCATGGCGAGCCAGCGTTGAAGTGGACTGTGGAGGAATCAACATCGCAGTGTGGCCAACCGCAGGATCCATCTTCAGAAGACACCATTGTTTAAGGTTTATTGAGTTTCTTTTTTTCTTTTGGCCCCATTTAATATGCGGCTGTGCACATGAGGAAGCCGACTTTGGTAGGCACGGTCTGTGAGTTCATGCTAAAAATTTTGTATACAATATACCCATCATTTTAAATCCCCTAGTTGTTTACATGTCTGGTTTCTCTGCTAGAGTTAGCGTTAATACAAGTTAGTACAGTTACTAAACTTAATTGTGGTAACCTTTTAAGGTAATTAATCAGCTGTGTGATAGCTGACGATAAATCACTAAAGCTAGGTGTGCGCATGCTCCGCGGTGCAGCGCATGTGTGCACCACATACAGTGATGCTTATGAGCCTGAGGTAGAGCCATGGAAGAAAAACATAATTTTTTAGTTGTGGTGGTGCCTCATGATCAATTGCATGTAGGGGAAACCCTGAAGTATCTGTGGCATTTATTTCCACTGCTTTTATGAGACCAGCTTCTATTGCTGTGTTACAACATGCAAATGTAAATCTGATCATTTTATTTTCATTTTTAGATACAGAAATAAAAATACATATACAAGAAATGAAGTAGCAGCAATCAATTCCCTTGTCATGAGTTATCCTTACGAAGATTTGTGGACAAAGAACTTCAGTGACAAGTCAGGACCCCAGGCGGGCCTGTTTAGCAGCAAAACTCTTCCGCTACAGAGTCATGCTGTTGTAAAACCTGCAGATTGTCGTTTGTCATTGTCTTGCTGAAATATAAATGTCTTCCCTAAAAACATCATTGTCTGGATGGCAGTGTAAGTTTCTCCTAAACCTGTAGATTTTGTTCAGCATTATTAGAGCCTTCATAGATGTTGAAGCTACCCATGCCATGGACACTTATGATCCACATAATATCAGGGGTGCTGGCTTTAAACTGTGAGTTGATAATGAGCTTGGTGGTACCTCTACTGATAAGAGCAGAGGATACAGCGTCTATTTTTTCCGTTTTGTACAGAGGTTTTCCCAGACTCTCTGAATCTTTGAATGATATTTTGTACTGTAGATGATAGTCTTTAACGGTATAACTGGCAGTCCAAGTAACTTCAGCTTCTCTTGTACTTTTCTGCTTTTCTTGTAGGTTTCTGTTCAAGTTTGAGTTTAGGAAGGTTGCACCGCTCTTACTTGCTCGAATTGTAAAACCTTTGAAAGTAAAATGCATGATGCCTTATTGGGCATCCTAACAGGAAGTGGAAGCTGGACAAGAAATTATATAAACACACACTCAGAGCTGAACATGTCAATTTTTTCTTTATAGTGATGAAATGATCAGTTTTATATTCAAAAAAATCTAACAGAAACAAACAAAAGGATCTTTCAAAAAATAAATACATTCCAGTACATCTCTTCACCCTCTGAGTACAGATGCAGTTAATACAGATGGTCCGAGTCCATTGATGAGTCCCGTCTAAGTTCAAGACTGAGTAAGAATTAAGTAAAACATGATCTATTTTTACTACTGCAGTCAGCCTTACTGATATTACAGATTAGTTGCTGGGTCCTGTGGTGACCCATGGCTTCAGTGGGTAACCTCTACCTCCTACAATAATTAGGCCTCTTCAAAATATACATGTATGGAGTAGTGGGTGTCAGGTTAAGAAAAAGAAAAACAATTGTCCATAAAGATATCAGTAGGTATGGATTATTATCTGTTCAAGCAGAGCCCCTGTACACATGCATTTATGTAAAACAGCTATGTTCTTGCTGAGTAGTCAGTTTACTGCCGCATTTATCCGATCATACGCACACTGGGACTGGTCAGATATGAACCTTTTCATAAATCTCACGTGTGTCCTATCATACGATGAATCCTGCGCTCAGATCTGCGCAAGATTGATAAATGAGGGCCAATGTGTCCATAAAATGTCTGGTTGTGAAGTTATACAGTTACGGGTGAAGATCTGCTATCTATGCTGCAACAGAAGCAGATTGAAAATAACTGATGCATCAAAGGAGATACATTGACAGCACGACGAAAAATGTATTTTAAAATCCACAGAAATTAAATTTCCTTGATTTAGTGGTCTCTACAGTACTTGAGCATTACAGGAGTTAGGCTGCAATATCTGTAGAGTAAGAATAAGTTTGATGGACTTTCTAAACCAGGGGTAGAAAAAGGCGTAAATCACAGGGTTGACACAAGAATTAAAATAGGTCAAACATACCACAAAAGCAAACGAGAATGCATTGAACAGGTTGTCCTGGCCTGTGAGAGCAACACAATAATACGGACAGAGACAAATTATGAACACTATCACAATAATACCCAGAGTCCTGGCTGCTTTCATTTCAGACTTTTTGGCTGTTACTCGTGTTGATTTTTGTGTGGCATTTCCAACATGAGAGCGAATTGCCCGAGCCTGAGACACAGCCACCACAAACACTCTCATATACAAAACAACAATAAATGTAACGGGAACAATGAAGGAGAGAGTGAGATCTGCAATCCCAGCTATGTAGTTAATAAAGAAGATACACTCTCCAAAGCAAGAGTTGTACCTCCCTGGTTTTTCAAGGATATCCTTCAGTATCAGACTTTGGAAGATAACTGAACCAATCCAGCAGAGATAAACACTCAGTTGAGCTCTTTTTTGAGTGACCTTTCTAGGGTAATGCAGAGGATGACAAATAGCCACATAACGATCAATAGATATGATCACCATCGTTCCTACTGAGGCAGAGACAACTATATATCCAAATAACTGATAAATTGTACACATCAGGTCACCAAGTATCCAGCAACTGTCCATGAACATGATCTGAAATAACATGAGGAAGCCAACGAAGAAATCTGAGACAGCCAGAGAGAGGAGGAGGATGTTGGTGGGGGTATGAAGCTGCCTGAGGAAGAAAGCATGTTCAATGTTATTGAGAGTGTCAGGAATCTGGATAAAGACAATACTAGAAAATTCATCTGATAGCATACTCTTTCTACCACTGTTAAACATTAGACATTTGATTTCATGAAACAATACTTGAAGTGAGAGATGGAGATGATGACCAGCAGGTTTAGAGTAGCAGTGACCACAGAGATAGAGGACAGCAGTATGTAAGTCAGCATGACCTCAAAGTGAGGACGTATTGATTTCTTGCAGGAGGTGTTGAGGAGCTGTGGAAAGCAAAGTTCAGTTTTCTCCATCTCTGCAGAGAGGACCAGCTGCTGCAAGCTCTGGCAGCAGCATGATGAAAGGTTCTGTGAAGCAACACCTTTAATATCTTCCCTCCCCATCCTCCTTCTGATGTTGTTGTTAAGGTCTTAAGATTTAGACCCATATTAGGCTATCAGGTCATTGGGGGGTTATAGTGCGCTGCTCCTACTCGCTCTAATTGTAAAACCTTTGAAAGTAAAATGCATGATTCATGGGGCCTCATTGGGCATCCTGACAGGAAGTGTAGCTGGACAAGATAGCATGCACTCAGAGCTGAGCATATGTCAACTTTTTCTTTAAATTGATGAAATTATCAGAGTGGTGTGTGTGTGTGTGTGTGTGTGTGTGTGTGTGTGTGTGTGTGTGTGTGTGTGTGTGTGTGTGTGTGTGTGTGTGTGTGTGTGTGTGTGTGTACAAACAAAGGGGTCCTTAATATTAAATACATAAATACTGTACATTCTAGTACATTTCTCCACCCTCTGAGTCCAGATACAGTCAATACTCTGGTCCAAGTCCATTGATGAGTCCTGTCAAAATTCTGGACTCTCGTACCGCAAATTTCTCTTTGATTTATGTTCAGAGTTTGAATAAGAATTCAGTACAACACTACTTATTTTTACTACTGCAGTCAGCCTTACAGATACTACAGGTGCATATTGATTACTAGGTGGGCTAGAGGAGTCACAACCTATGGCTTCAGTGGGTGAACACTACCCCTACAATAGTTAGGCCTCTTCACAATATGCATGTATGAGGCAGTGGGTCAAGAAAAAAAACAATTTCCATGCAGAAATTTGTGGGTATGGGTTATGATCTGTGCAACCAAGGGCCTCGTACACATGCATTTATGTAAAACAGCTTTGTTCTTACTGAGTAGTCAGTTTACTGCTTTATTTTCTGTTGTGCAGGATGAAGCTGTTATGCACCTCACCAGTCCAAAAGGCATGGCAAATGTCTAATTTATGAATTAATCATCACTAGACATATAAAAAACATATATCATGCAGTTATATAGTACTTATAAAGTACTAATTAACTTTGCTAAATATGATACATTGCAATTTTATGTTCATGTTTAGATTACTTCTCTCAAATACATCTGTCTATTGTGAACACGACAGAGCACAATATGAACTAAAATTGTGATTTGTGATACTTAAAAGCAACATTTATGCACATTTCTATTTCACACAAACACTATGAGCAGGCAGTAGCAGGTATAGATTTTAATGAATACAGGAGTTCACATAAATAATATTCAGCAAACAGTTTATACACAAATTCATTCTGTTCATGATTCATGGATGGGACCCAGTATTTTTAAGGAACAACTGCCTACAACACTTTAAAGACTGGTACAATATCACCCTTTTATATAACTCAAATGTCAGAAAAACAGTTTCTGTGAAAATTTGCAACAGCTGATGAAAGAATTATAATGTGTCCTAAAATTTCTGGTCATATATTTACAGGCGACGATCTGCTATCTATGCTGCAAGAAAAGCAGATATGAAATAACTGATGCATAAGAGGAGATGCTTTGCATTATAAAGTTCAAAGAACCTTTTGGATTTAGTGGTCTCTACAACACTTGAGCATTACAGGAGTTAGGCTGCAATATCTTTAGAGTCACAATAAGTCTGATAGACTTTCTAAACCAGGGGTAGAAAAGGGCATAAATCACAGGGTTGACACAAGAGTTAAAATAGGTCAAACATACCACAAAAGCAAATGAGAATGCATTGAACAGGTTATCCTGGCCTGTGAGAGCAACACAATAGTACGGACAGAGACAAATTATGAACACTATCACAATAATACCCAGAGTCCTGGCTGCTTTCATTTCAGACTTTTTGGCTGTTACTCGTGTTGATTTTTGTGTGACAGTTCCACCATGACAGTGAATAGCTCGAGCCTGAGACACAGCCACCACAAACACTCTCATATACAAAACAACAATAATCGTTATGGGAAAAATTAAGGAGAAAATTAGATCTGCAATCCCAGCTATGTAGTCAATAAAAAAGATACACTCTCCAAAGCAAGAGTTGTACCTCCCTGGTTTTTCAAGGATATCCTTCAGTATCAGACTTGAGAAGATCACAGACCAAGCCCAGCAGAGAAAAACACACAGTTGAGCTCTTTTTTGAGTGACCTTTCTAGGGTAATGTAGAGGATGACAAATAGCCACATAACGATCAATAGATATGATTACCATCGTTCCTACTGAGGCAGAGATAACAATATATGCAATATACTGATAAATAGTACACATCAGGTCGCCAAGAAACCAGCAATTGTCTACCAGCATGATCTGAAATAACATGAAGAAGCCAACGAAGAAATCTGAGACAGCCAGAGAGAGGAGGAGGATGTTGGTGGGGGTATGAAGCTGCCTGAGGAAGAAAACATGTTAAATGTTATCGAGAGTGTCAGGAATCTGGATAAATACAAATCAAACAATGACAAAAAAACAAAAACACAATACTGCTCTGAAAGTATACTCTGTCTACCACTGTTAAACATTAGACATTTGATTTCATGAAACAATACTTGAAGTGGGAGATGGAGATGATGACCAGCAGGTTTAGAGTAGCAGTGACCACAGAGATGGAGGACAGCAGTATGTAAGTCAGCATGACCTCAAAGTGAGGACGTATTGATTTCCTGCAGGAGGTGTTGAGGAGCTGTGGAAAGCAAAGTTCAGTTTTCTCCATCTCTGCAGAGAGGACCAGCTGCTGCAAGCTCTGGCAGCAGCATGATGAAAGGTTCTCTAGTACCACACTTTTAATATCTTCCCTCCCCATCCTCCTTCTGATGTTGTTGTTAAGGTCTCAACGTTAAGGCCCATTTTAAGCTATCAGGTCATGGGGGGTTATAGTGCCACCCCACTAAACTCAAGGTAAAACAATCTTTCATAGCTAGAGGGTAAAATTGATGAACAACAATTAGAATGTAAATAAAAGTTTCTCTTGGGTCATGTATTTTAGGTCCTTTTGTTATGAGTTGCACGTGTGGGATCGCTCCTGTTAGATACACGAAATTAGAAACACTAAAGCACAATTAATTGCACCCAAAATGCATTCCTAAAAACCCTTTACCACCTAAAGGTAGTGGGCTGTTGAGACTGAAGTAAGGAGAAAATTGGAGGTTGCTAGATCTAGCAAAAAAACCTGTGGCAGACAAAAAAATCTGTTGAGTCACTGAAAATAAAACCATTTTTTATAGGTTTCCAGGAGAAGCTGAAAACAATGCTGTTTAAAAGGGTATCTTTGCAGGAGAAGCTGAAGGCTACAGAGCTTGGACTTGATCATCCAGTAAATAAAACTGAACAGAACTTCAAAAATGAAGAGAGAGATTACTCTGGTAGTTTTATATTGCATGCCCTGATGCTAATGCTTAATTTACTCATCTTACCTACTTTTCCTAATATCAGGATCAGATGCAGTCAGGATTTAGTCAAGTTCTTCTCAGACAAAGCCAGAAATTTTGAACAATCTGGAGTTCATGTGGAAAACCTTTCCTAACCCTAACCCTTAAATGGGCATACCTGGATTTGAACCCACAACCCTTTTATGGTGCGGCAGCTTTCTTCACCACTACACCATGGTGTGACATGTATAATGTTCTACACATATTACAGGGGGAGCTTTGCCAACTTTTGCGTTATTGTCACAATGAGATTTTGAGAGACATGAAAAATACATGACAAACCTGCCTGAAATGTACATGAAATTTTCATGCACTATTCAAGTCTATTAGTGGGCCTAGTCAGTAGGGCTATAAAATTCATCAAGTGCGTAAAACATTAATGCGTAGTCTCAGTAATATCACCAATGAGCTTTTAAAGAGGTACTATGAAACCTCATTGTTGTCTGTTTTCATCTGGAATACTTTTAAAATTGACCAACCCCAGTGCACAGAGGAAGAGTACCAGATCCAAGATGCAAACAATATGCACCATGCAGCTCGAGACACTAAGTTTCAAAATCAACAAGGCTATTTTCCTTTTATAATCTCAGACCCTTGGGGTTTTGTAACAGACTCAGATTTCGTCTTTCAAAACAGTCTAAATTAGGGATATGCACAGTTAAAAGCCGCCACTCCTGTATCTCAGCCCTAGATTTGCAAGTTGGTTGAACATGTGATGAGTATCTTAGTCACTGTTGGTATGAAATGTCAGTCACAGAGAGTAGGCCCAGTAGAGCAGCTATCCTCCACATGCCAGGGCTGTAGTTTGACTGATGGTCTGCCATAAGGCTGGAGTGATCTATTACCTGGATGTAAACAAGCACAGATGGAGGACAGCATCTTGTAGCACTGCAGGGTTGTCTATATTCTGATTGAGGAAATGAAGATGAAGCTGTATGTAGGCTGTGTCTGGTTACCTATGAGGAAGTTCACCTGCGGAGTTCATACTCCACAAATCAATTTGACATTGTTGACCCAGTGTTTGGTCATGTTTGATAAATGATGCTTAGTTTTGCTTTGGATTGAGTAAGTTGGTGGTTATCTAAATTTTAGTTCAAATGACCAGGAAATTAAAACTGACCAATACAAGAGTTTATGCCTTTCTGTTTCCATGAAGGGTCTAGTTTGGTCTTTTCAAGGAATAACCTCAGAGTAAAACCAGGCCTGACTTGGCTTTAAGGCAAAAAAAATCCTTTGGTTAAACAGTGAAAGATTGGAAAAAGAAAAAAGTGAAAGAATTCACTTTTCTTTGGTTGTGTTTTGCCAACAAGACATGCCTATCCCTTCATCGCTCTCTCCTCACAAACACATTCTCTTTCCACATGACTGAAGAAACCTTATGGGACTGGATTCTTGTCAAACATGAAACAAAAACAAACATCCTTCGTCAATGCTCTCCCATGAAACACCCTCATCAAGGATTCACACCTTCTTGTCCCAATGTTAGATGATTAAGAAGCCAAATCTCAGAGGGATGAGCCAATCAGAGGTGTTAAGATAAACAGCCACATCCAACTTTAAACACATGGTTTGAAATTATGTCGTCAACATATCATGCAAACACAATAGAAGTTTTGAACACATGATGCAACCATTGCCAAAGAGACTAACAACTGGACGAAGAAGTCACTGAACTAAAAAGAAACCCAAACTTTCAATAATGTACAGAAAGTGAAATAAATACAAACTAGACAAAGAAGAATTAAAACTAGATAAGCATGAACTTCATTACATTGGTGCACAGTTATAATCAAGACAGGTACAGCGGCAAGTTACAAAACAATGACTAAAAATTAAGCACATATACATATAAAATAGATAAGACCACTGTTTGGTTTTTGAAGTTTGGTTTTTAGAGCAGAGGACATCTAAAATATCTTGTATGGATTTAGGATTCCAAGTGTCTTACATTGACCCATTTCATTGCCTCAAGTCCTGTCTCTTTCTTGCATATGCTAACTTTCTATCTGTGCTTTAAAAAAAATTAAGAATAAAAGTTGGTTATTTAAAGATGAGTAAATTTGCTCTGAGAAATAAACACATGGAGTTCAAAGTCAGAACACAGTGGCCTGGCCTATATGGGGTTCAGGTTTTGTGGTTCATTTGTGGACTCATGAGGTCAAGACACAGTATTTTAGTAGTATTTTGGTAGTAAGCAGTTTTATTAAGTGATTCTGTGCAGTTCAGTTTGTTGAAATTGTATATCTTACTTTGATATTGAATAAATTGAAACAGAAAAAATCGGTTTGACTCATTCACAGTCAGTGCAAACTGCTCCAAAGTGGAAAGTGTTGGACAAACTTAACCATTACCTCAAATCCACAGTTAAGGACTCTTACCGGCATGAGTCGAATTAAATAATTTTGAATTAACAAATAGCAAAAGCCCACTGACACTTGATTTACCTGTCATATTTACGTATTTTAAATATTGTTTTCACTTGAAAAAGTGTCACCGTGCTCAGGTATTATCTATCGCCTCCACACCCTCTCTAAGATGTTTCAGATGCTTTCAGACACTTTCAGACACGGATCAGAGGTGCTTTTGTGTTCCTTTGACATCCCTTTTGTTGCGTACTTGCAAAGTAAAGGGAGCTCTCTGTTACTGACTGCATTTAAACTTAGTGCTGCCACAGAGTCAGATTTCCACCCAGCGATTTTTTCATGACCATGAGATATCGTAACAATATTAACATGATGTTATTAAAAACTTGAAAATAAAGCACAGTTAATGTTTTGAGGAAAGGAAAGACAAAGGTGGAGCAACACATTGACTGACTTAAAGTCCTTTGGAGAAGACTTTGGAAGAAGACATTTCCTGTTTGTCTAAAATAAGAAGATACAGTCATATATAAATACAAACAGACATAAATACAAGTAACCCTTTGAAGAAATCATCATCACTCTCAGCTTATATTTATTTAATGAAATGTACAACGACAGAGCCAAAGTGCTACTACAGATGAGGCATTTACAATACATGTAAGAAAATAAAATACAGTAAATAAAACAGTTATAGTTCAGATGATAAGAAGGTTTGGGTTTCGTAATGGATCACAGCTTAGAAAAGTCAGTCTATGGTAAACAAATTTGAAGATTGAATTAAATAACATGATTAGAGGTCTCAGATCTATCTGGAATTAAAAAAATACTATGTAGAAATTGAAATATATAGAGCAATAACTAATGGTCATATCCTAGCTCGAAATGCTCCCTTGCTCACCCTTCCTGTTGCTTAAGTGGCAGTGGCCTTTGAGAACAAGAATCCCTTGTGCGTCACAACTATGATCCTCCATTTTTTAACGTTTTTACCATATATATCAAAATATTATTATATAAAAAATATTAATGCATATGTATTTGTAAATCTCGTCTTCATCTTCCAGCTGGTGCATTTCATACAGATGCTCACAGACCACAAAATCATGTTTGTTACTAGTTTGTTTGTTCTGTGCTGCTGTAGAAACATAGCAATGCAGGATGGAGCCTACATGGAAGATTGTCAACTGAGTGTGCATGTTTACACATTTTTGTACTTATCCTGTACAGTGGCAAATAATATGCACACAACTGTGAAAGCAGTTGCCACGGCGGAAGGCATTCAAACAATCTTTGTCTCCCTCTGCTGTTTATCTTCTGTAGCACAAACTCAGAAAATTCAAACAGATGAGGTGAAGAAGCAAAAAGCAGCAAGGTTAAGACTATTTTACCAGCTTCATTAAAAAAAAAAGTTGGTTATTCATGAGATTTCCGTGGAGGGAGCAACTCATACGGCATGTCCATCTGTGGCTGTCCAGACAAAGGTGCTGTCCTCATTTCTACATAAGTGGTGTTCTCTGGTTCATTTGTGTTGACCTGAAACAACAAAAATGAAACATTTAACAGATTACGAATTTAGGCTTTTGCCCTCAGGCTGTTGTTTTAGGGCTCCTATGAGGAGGACTAAGAGGTCTCATTTATCTCCTGTGGGATTTATTTACTGAATGGCGGTTATGCCTTAGGTTGCCCATGTACTTCTTTGCCCTGCTATTGCTTTTTTGCACATCTGAACTTTGCACTATTCACAATGCCTAGCAGTTATTTTGGTAGTTTTGGTATTAGCTCTGGACTGAACACTTTCAGTGATCTTGTGCACATGTATAGTGTCTTCTATATTGTGTTGTTTTTTTTTATTATTTTTGACTGATTCTGATATGCAATCTGGTTAGGTAAAACAAGCTCTTGCATAGAGGTAATTGCTTTGGCATATTACTACAAGAATAGACAAGCTGCATAAAAATGTAAAAATGCAGTCGCAATTGGAAAATAAAAGCTATCTGAAATATAGGTGAGGTTTTTTTTTCATCTAACCTTTATGGTTCATTAGAAATAAACTTCCTGTTTCCACTGATTGCAGCGAGAAACAGACCAACTATTAACCTGCGTGTCTCAGGTATGAGATATATTTTCTGATGTTTACTGTAATGAGAGGATGTTTCACAGATCATATACAAAACAAACAGAGATATTTTGTCAGACAATATTTCTTACATTCATTCTCTTTCTGATGAAGCAAGAAGTGAGGACACAGCTGTACAGGAGTGTCAGAGCCAGCAGACCAATCAGAATAAACTCCAGCGGAGTCCAGTCATGCTTATGAGATTGATGTTTGCAGTTGTCCTGATGAGGCTGAGGAGGAGGAGGAGGAGGAGGTTTGTTGATGGCTAGAAGAGGTTGAGGAGGAGGAGGTTTGCATTCAGCTTGCTTTTGAGCTAAAAGAAAGAAAGTGAGGCCATTTCCTGTTTAGACATACTGGTTTCACACAAGCTGACACAGTTTTGTGGGTTTTTTGGGTGAGGTTAACTGTGAGAAAACAAATTTAACCAAGAGGGTGTAGGTATAAAATGCAATACACAAGTCAAACTTGGAAACAAAAGTTTAAACAATATGAAAGTAAATAGATATAATCATTTTATCAGTCAGTTTGTTACAGTCAGTCCTACCTTGAATTAGTGTGGTTGGTGTCCCTTTTTTGGTACGATGCTGGTCATTAATTTTCAGTGTGAACTCACAACCATATGTCAGGTTGAATGCTTCTGGACGGATGTTAAACAGGATGAAAAGCCACTCGCTGGCATTTTTAAAGTACATGACAATGTCCTTACAGTCTGTTTGATTTTTCTGGCAGAGCATTTTGGTTTCACCTTTTCTGGAAGTAGACAGAGATGGATCAGAAAGTGTCCAAGCTACTTTTGATATGGGCAAACATTGACAGTAACATTTAAAACATTGACAAGTAATTCATCACCCTGATTCTTGCTTTTGTTAAAAACATGAAACACAGACTATATACTCATTATTTGAAAATTAGAAATTAGCATATATCCTTTTATCAGCATTTTTCACTGTCAACATTTACTTTTTCACTTTTTTCAGTGAAATGTTGGGTTTAAGTGTTTTGTGAACTAGCAGTACATCTATTTTGGATTTTGGTTTGCTTTTACTACAATATTGAACCACATCTTCAAATATGTAAAAACCTAGCATGAGAGTGAAAGTTCAGTCCCTGAAACACAAACACTGATAACATTAAGAAAAGAGAAACAAAAAAGTTCAAACCAGGAGTAAGATGTGGCAGCATGCACTTCAAAGTGCAGAAGTAACAACCTGCTTTGTTTGTGTGTGTGATTCACAGATTCACAGATAACACCAGGGTTTGCACAAACTAACAGCAGGATATACAGTACGTACGGTGATATGCTGTTGAGTCGAATATCTAAGACACGGTTGATGCCGGCGTTGTGTCCACAGCTGATGAACACTGAGCCATCAGGGTTTACGGTCCGAGTTTTTGGCTGAATCACCTCGTAACCTGACGGAAAGAAATCAAGTAACTCCTTGTTAGCTTTCAAGAAGTTAAGTTCTCTTTTTTTTCCTCTTTCCACCACCAGAGTATGAAACCAGATTATATCATCAATCTGAAAATGGGATGCTTTGGTAAATCTGAGAGAAAAGAGGGTATTTAATCAACGCTCTCCATTTTTTTTAAGGCTGCAGATGTTAAAATGGCTTATGTGGTATGCGTTGTATTTATGTGTATTTATATTAATATTTGTGTGTATATATATTTATCTGGTTGTTGCTGCCATGTAACAGAAATGAGCACTTTTGCAACAAAAATGTGGTAATATCTCAAGTAAATCAAGAAAACTAACATGCAACCCAACTAGCTCTTAATCGCTTTTGACATGTTATTTATTTATTTTTTTACGTATTTCTAGTTTTATAAAAGGTAAATCAAAAAATTCAAGTAATTAAAGAAGAACATCAGTAAACTTTAGGGTTGATGTAATACAGACTCTTACCTTGGCTCAGCAGGAGGATAGGGCCAAAATGAACCATGAAGATGATGAAGTTGTAGGTTGGCATCTTCAGCTTTTGCTCTTTCTGGTTTCTGCAACTGAAACCTTCTCAAACTGAAATATCATGTTAACTGATACTGCAAACACCACAGCCTGGAGCTGAGATGTTTATCACACAGGAAATTGACAGGTCTCTGAACAAACCAAATTCTTCTAATGCATGCTGTCTACATGTTATTAACCCACATGCAGACCGCTGCTCTTCTAGTTTCTGTGGGTAAGTCATTTTCCTGCGGCTCACTGATGTCATGCAATGATGTTCAGATGTTTTAAATGTCACATTTTCCTATGCTAGAGATTTGTGCAATAGTCACACGATATGACTTTCATACCAGCAGGCCTTTTTCAAGGCTTTTCCAGGAAATAATCCTGCAGTTTTTAGTCATGTGTGAAACATAAACCTCATTCACAAATTAGATGAGCCCAGGTTCTTGCCGAGACCTTTTGTGCTGCTTTTATAGCATAAAATGTGCGGGAATAACACTTTTTTTGTTTGCAACTTTTACAAATTACAATTTCAGGATTAAAGGAAATTATTAAATCTGTAGTCACGTTGCCTTTCAGACACATTCCCTTCTTTGGCAAGTTGCAACAAGTAAAAATATTTCATTGTGGGGATTGTGAGATGAAGGTTGTTTCTATAGCTGCTCAGCTATCGCCTACTCTCTCATACGGGTTTTCAGACATTATTACAGTATGAAAATAGTCAGTGTTGCTGCTAATGTTCTTGTTTACATATATATAATGGTAGAAAATCATCAATAAGAATTTTAGTCTTTTTAATAAACGACAAAACACTCCTCATAGTAAGTGATTGCAAAGAAACACACAACAACTAATCAGGGCAGAAAAATAAGCATGAAAGGCAGCCTAGCCAAGAGCCTCAGTTTTGTTTTATTCTCCATGATCACACACTTTTGAGTATTGCAGCAGAAAAAGTCAAAACATGCTGTGTTTTCAGTGTGCTGACAGTCATCTGATCTAACCCCCTCCCCCTCATAGTGGTTTTTAAAATGCACCAGAGTAATAATCAGACTTGTAGCTGATGGTCTTGTTCACTTCAGAGGCATCAGTAACAGTGTTGGTCTGTTTTTCAACCAGTTCAAAACTCCTTAAAGTGCCTTTAACATGTGGATAGTGTCATGATGAGTTTTTTATATTGTTGTTTTTTCTCTTGTCTGGTATTTCAAGCATCATTTTTGTGTATTTTTTGTTGTGCAGTATGCTTATGTTCCTGTGGTCCCAGTGTTTTTCACTAATGCTTCCTAAGTTGAGTTTCAGTATTTCCTGTTTTATTTTGTAGGATTTCATCTTAGTGTGTTTAATTCCTGTGTATTCTCGCTTTCATCGCTAACTGTCACTAGTTTCACCTGTGTCTTGTGTCCAAGTTTGTATAGTATCCAGCTTTCCCTCCTTCTGTGTCAGTTTATGGTATGTTGTCTCCCCTGTGGTTCCTTTCCTGTCACTTTAATGGTTTTTGTCAGTTTTCCGTTTTATTGCTTTTGCAGTTTTTCAAATGGGATTTTTGTAACTTTTTTTTTAAGTTGTCATTTTCATGTAGGGTATTGTTGTTATCCCAAATCTTTTTTAACAGAAGGTTTCCTTGACAAAAAAAAGACAAACCCTCAGATTAGATCTAGAAAGAGTTTGCAGTTGTTGTCCACATCCTGTTTTTCAGAGAGCAAGCTTCTGTGAGAACTAAAGTGATAAGACTGTGGGACAAACAGAAACCTCAAGCATTTCATTGGTAGTCTCTCTTCTGTTCGAAGAAGACTGATTTACAGGATTAGATGTCTGCGTTTACTTCAGATGTGATAAAATAGCAAGTTTTTTCATGTTCCTTGCGCCAAAATCAGTTTTTGTGCACTTTGATTTTGTGCAATGTTGGAGAAGATAATCGTTAAACGTTTCATCTGTTAAAGCAGATGAAATCACATTTTATTGTTCAGTCATCGTTGAGTGGACCAAACTACCCATCCTGAAAAGAAAAATGTAAAATAGAATGACTGATTCTGTTTTCATACATTGCACTGTTTAGTGAATTTCTCTACTTTGAACTCCTCAATATACCAGCAGATTCCTTAGTTCTTTGTCATGAATAGGATGTTGTGACTGAGTGATGATTCAATACACAACCACTTCTCTTACTTGGTTTTGTTCCCACCCGTTCCCCTTCATCTCATCTAAAATGTTACCACAACACAATAAAAAAAGATTCATGGGTACACATTGGTCAGTACTTGGACCTTTTTTATTTTATGTTAGCACATGCCCTTTTTGAAAAATATGATGAGTAAACATACAGTCATATCAACCAGTATGCAGATGACACACTACCATACGTTTCACTCTTTTCTGATTATCACTGGCTTTTTTGGCCCCTTTTTCATTCCTGGTTTGTTCCTACACAAATTATTATACAAGCCTCTAATTCAAATGTACATCTGTATCAAACAGAACCTTTTTAGGTGTTCCACATGGCTCAAAGCTCGGACCATGTCCTTTTACAAATAAATGCACAGGCATTTTTATAGCAGCATTGAAGAAAATCCTTCAGTCGTTAATCAATATGCAGACGATTCACTGTTCATTTCACTTAAACATAGCAGTCTTTTTATTTGTAGTCTCATAAATCAGTATGCAGATGACACAGTTTACTCTCTTCTGATAATCAGAGTCCTTAGAACAAGCTTGTAAACTTTGCTGATGATTTCAAACAGTGTTTTTTTTAATAAGTTTCTCAAAGACATTATTTAATTAGCAACTGAAAACAGTTTACTGACCATTAAGTTTGCAGCGGAATAACTTCTGTAGCAATAAAGCACTTAAATGATTTAAAGCATAATATTTGCATAACCTTTCATTACAGCATATCAATATATCAACACAGTTTTAATAATAATTTGTGTTTACAACAATGTAAACATTACTTTCATACTTAATAAGTAAAATATGCACAAACCCCAGGATGGGATTTTGGTATCTTCTTATGTGCCAACCATCTGATCTAAAGGTGTTCTCGTATCTGTTGGCAAAGTGACAACTGACGGGTAATGGAGACACAGTTGCAATTTTTTAACATGAAAATGCAGCATCTCCTTTGTGATGCACAGCAGGTACAGGTCTGACAATCTCCCTCCTCATTTCTTTACACTGCAGGGCCTGCAAATGACAAAAAAAACAAACAGATTTTATACAGAAAACAGCGGACTTTGTGTTTTAGATTGCTTAAATAGGGCTCAATGAAGCCTGTACCTGAAGATAGATGATGAAGAGGAGAGCAAAGATGACCAGTATCACCAGAACAACCACAGGAAAACTGAGTGGTTCTGTCCTCTCATCACTTTCATCATCCTTGTCTTCATCAGCCTGGTGTGCTGTCTGTCTCTGAGCCCCCACCGCAGGACAGTCTGAGCTCTCTGTGAGATAAAAGAGTAGAGTTAAAGGAAGTAATGTGCGATGTGAAAACTGGCTCTCGTGCTTCTGCAGTCACATGTGATTGTCTCACCTAAGACATGAACAAGTGTGCCGTTCCCCTTGAGTTTGAAGTATGGTGGTGGGAACATGACCTCAATCTGACAGCGATACAAATCTGTGTCTGAGGCTTTGAGTCCGGTCACAGTCAGCTCCACAGCACCCTCTCCCATCTGAACTGAGCATTGCACCTGAATCACATATGAAATCTGAGTTTGAGTGCGTTCTCTTGCTTCATCCAGTGAGACTCTTTTGATGGTATCACTTGACTTCCATCCATCCACTGATTTACCTGTCCTTCTTTCTTCGCATCTGTTGCTGTCGGCTCAGTGAGGTTGAGCATTGACCAGCAGATCGCTTGAGTGCTGTGGAGGCCTTTCAACAGAGACACACGAATCATCTCGGGCTCAGGGAGCTGGTAGGAGGGTGAAGGATGGACGAAGCACTGGACCTGTGCTGAACCGTTGGCACTCACCACCATGTAAGGCTGAGTCACCCTCGAAGCTGGAAAATAATTTCAAATAAATGTTATTAGGGTGTATATTTGGGATATGATGCAATGCAGCAACCTCCAGGGCCAAAATAATGAAGCTGTAAAAGTATTTGCAGTTCCTCTCATGGCCACAAGGGGCTGGCTCCATCAGTGAGCTCCATGCAAAAATATTCAACGATAGATAGATAGATAGATAGATAGATAGATAGATAGATAGAGTAAAAATACTAGAAATATACAATAAATACAGACTAAATATACTAAACATCCTAAGAGAAAAAAGTGAGATATGAAAAAAATCTATACTGAAGAAATTAAATTGTTAAGCCTGAAAAAAAGTCGTATCATGAGATATATCATATCAGATCTTGCTTTGTTTTATCTGATGGTACTCTATTATCTCATGCCGTGCTGTATTGCAGCCTATCTGACAGTAATATAGCATACATTTCTGTTGTTATTTTCTGTACCATGTCGTATCATATTGTTACAAATCACATCTTATCAATGACATCATAGTGTATCTTAGCATTTTGTATCACACTATACCATCTAGTATTGCATCATACTGCACAGCATCCTGTCATAATTTATTATTGTTGTTGTTGTTATTATTATTATTATTATCATCATTATTATTATTATTATTATCATTAGAGTTATTATATATTGTATCGTATCATTTCTAATTGTATCGTAATGTATTGTATCACAATGAATCATACCGTAATGTAACATCACATATCATACTATAGCATATAGTATGATATTGTATTGTGTTGTATTGTATTTTATTTTATTATATGGGTTGTTATACCGTACTAAATTGTATTATATTGTATGGAATTCTATTGTAGTTTATCTCATGGGTTCTTGTCACTCGTTTTGTTTTATTATATCTTTCGGTGGCGTATTGCAAGGTAAGGAAAATTATTATAATTTATCTTTTTGGTGCCATGTTGTCATGGCACATGATTTCCAACCACAACTTTGTGACCTCACCAGTTCCTTTTGCCAGGAGTATTGAAAACAAGCGCTGTGTCTGAAGTATGATAATCCCCAAAACCAGGCAATTTAAGAAATGTTCCCCTATCTCTGATGATCTACTTGCTCTTGTAAGTCATATAAACCCATCAGTATGAGTTTCAGTTTTTTTTTTACAGTCTTAATCAATTTTAGTCTTGGAATCAGATCATACACTTTGATGCATTCCTATAGAGTATGATGAGTGATGGCACACTTCTGCCAGAGTGTATCACTTTGAAAATTTAGCATAGTAATCCATTTCTTTCATATCATTAATGGAGTCCATTCACCTTATAATGTCCCTCTAATGTGTCAGGCAATCGGTATAATATTTAGCTGTCTGTAAAGACCATGTCATTCATTATATTAGTAAAATTCAACACTCACCGCTCCACACAGGCTGGCAGAGGCTGAGGACTGCAAACACACTCCATATCATCACATAGGGAATCAGAAACATCCTACACTCTCTCACAGTTACTCAAAAAGCCGCAGATGCTCAAAAAATGTCAAAACCTGAGCACGAACACACCCGCACACTGAACAAAAATCACTGAAATATAGCAAAAACAGTGAAGCTGACTGTTTATAATGGAGCGTTCCCCTCAGAGGTCATGGAAACTGCGTGGCAACAGGAAATGAGAGTGCGTTCTGCCGGTAAAGACAAACGGCAAATCTTAGGCACCTATGGTTATACAGAAACTTATCTTTCAAGGTCTTTGTAGTTTTTATCTATTTGATATATGATACACAAAAAAGCAGCAGTGGGACAAAACCTGAGAGCCTGTCTAACACTGGTGTAAAGGGTGTCAGAAAAGTTGAAAAAAAAAAACCTATTAAATATCTAAAAAGAGGGAGAGAATTAATATCATAAAAGCATCAATAATTTTTATATATCATAGCATATCACAGTCATTAAAACACGATCCTTATCTGTATTGTCTGAGTGTTTGGCAGCATATCTTTTATATAAATGAAGGCTGTGATAGAGAGGCAGAAAATCAACCTGTTCTGCAAAACATGCACATAAACTTTCAATAAATCAATCTGCATTAAAGCTATAAGTGACAGAAGTTTTTATCATTCTTATCCTCGTTATTTAAGTCGTGATGAAGAATGTGCACATTGCAGCAAAATGAATCGATCAAGATTTATTGAAAACATCTTAATCTAAATTTCAGAGTGGTTTGATAATGCAGGAGGCTGACGGAAAAGATGTTTGTATGCAAGTGTAAGTTTAACACATAATGCAACACCAGCACACTCTTGATTGTGTATAAATACGTTGCAACCTTCTACAGGTTTAGAACTTTTCCTGCAAACTGAGATTTTTCTGTTTTCAACTTTGAGCAGGTTCATGAAAAAGGGCTGAATGTTGACACTATGGAAAAAACAGTGTAGGGTCTGTTTCAGGCTGGCTGCTAACCATCTCTACTTGGCAAAAGTGGAGCAATGCCCTGTCCTGCAATCTGTGCAAAGGCAGAACTGGTGAGAGCACTTCTAGGCTGTTGAGCTCTACAAAAGTACGTAAAACCATAAGCAGCAGTGATACTAGTTTGGAAAATATGCATGTTTGTGTAATTGTGTGCATGGTTTGGAAGTGTAGTGATGCATTGGGGGATGCATCACTACACATCGTCCGCATTCCCCAGTGTGGCAAATAGTGAAGGCCAATTTGTGTGCATGCAGCAGTGATCAGAAGAGGAGGGAGCACCCTGTAATCCAGTTAGAGAGCCTGCTGAACCCTCAGTCTGCAGCTGCTTGTGATCTTCTTGGCTGATAAATTAGTTTTCCAACTCTTGATCAAAAACCCCTGGTAATCATGTCAGTCTCTTAAGCACTCTGGGCTAATAAGGGTCTGGGTAGAGTTCAGAAAGTCTCTAAATTACAAAGAGTTACCATGCATACAAATATAATACAAAGTAAACGTCAGTGTCTTTTTAATCTTGGAGCTTTCATATCCACCCCCTCACTTTACATTTTCTCTGCTTTGGCTTGGCAACCAATGTCCCACACAGGCAAACACTGGAAGAAACAGTCATTTGTTATACTCACATCAATACAGGAGCACCAAAATGCTCAAACGCTGCACTTATTAAGTGCCTCCCTGGTCCTCTGATGACCCACAATAATTTAAGTCACATTCACCTACTTTAATACATTCTTTAACTGATGGTGATGTTAAGTTCTGAGTGAAATAAACATCATTTACATGTACAAAATCATGGAGCTGAAGTTGTTCCGAGCTTTGGATCATGTGTAAGGATATTTTTTTTATTTAAAAAAATGTGAACATGACATGAAACAATGTTTTTAAAATGTAAGTTAATGTTTTCACATTTTGAGCCCAAATTAAAGCCGTCTTGGAATATTCCAGTGATTGCGGTCATATGAAATATTTCAAATGCAAAAAAAAAAAAATGTGTGAACAGTGGAAAATGACAACTCTGACTTTGTGTGTTTTCAGGTAGATCAAAGTGAAAGCGCTGATGTGAGTATATTTTGTCTCTGCCTGACGTCACATCGAGTGTTTTGCCTGGAAACTCACTGTGGGGTTAAACCCATTTTTTACAGAAGATGCAGTCAGCACTTCAGAGTTCAGTCACCGAGAAATCAGCGGTGCAAATTTGCTGCCGTCATTTTTTTGGTTTTTTTTGCAGTACAGACTGCCAAAACATTTTATCATAAGTTTTTTTGAGCGTCTTCAGCGGAAAAACCACCATGAATCTGATTAGGGTGTCATTGTCAGCCAGTAGGAAACTGTCTGAGTCAAATGGTCATCACATGAATGAAAATTAGCTTGAATTTATGAGGGGAAAATTAAGGCGAATTTTGTCTGAGCTTCAGATAAAATATTTTCCAGTGCATTAGTGGAAAAAAATAGAAAGCAGGAGCTGATAGATTCATTCAAACCATAATGACATTACAATTAAACCTAAATAAAAGCCAGACTTAATGATTTGTCACAATGCAAATGATGTACTGTACAAAATGAAACACAATATCAACCCTATAATCAATAAAACCGAAGGGAAAACTAGAACAAAGCTCAAACTGAATGGACATTTCTACCAAGTGATGGTGCACAAAATAGGCAATGATTGTTACAAGTAAAGCTTTAAAGAGTATGAATTGCAAGTATATGAATTGCTCTCGGGATGAAGTCTTCTAGTCTTTCACATCAGTGCTCTGAGATGGATTCCTGAAGGCACAAGGTCAAACTTAGTCCGAGAGGATGAATCTTTTCATCCAGTCCAACATGAGCCTCCTTTTATCGCTGGGTGTGTCTCATATACACAATATACGTTTCCTGACACCTCTTTGAGATTATTCAAGTCTTTTCAACAAGTCTTTTCTTATTGGCCAAGTTCACCTTTTTACACATCACTTATTTAATCACAGAGTCATAATGTTTCGACATTTGTGTCATTTAAAAAAGCAAAAAAATCACCCCTATAACTCTTTTTATGTTTATTTTAGGGAGTTATGTACTTTATTTCAGTCCAGGACCACTGTTAGAAAAAAGAAAGTTCACTTCTTTTATGCAACCATTTTATTTGGTGGTATGGCTTTGTTCTGAGAGCTCCCTGCCCTTCTATGTGCTTGCGGAGGATGCCAGTACCACACCTTTCCTCTGTTTCATGTGTATACAAGAAAAGCTGCGGTGATGGGCCCAGCCGTAAAATAATCAACTTCTTTCTGAAGTACTTTCTGCAACTGCTGCTTTGTTTAGGACTTTGAATTTGTGGTGCAATATCTCAGACTGATAAAGATATACATAAACCATAGTTATATGTGATTGAGGAAAAAATATGGTTGACTTAAGGTACTATCATAATAGTTTAAAAGGCCTCCAGATTTCTACTCACTTCAGTGAAGAGAGGGAACACAGACATCCAAAGTAAGCAATAATGTAAAAACTACAAACAGATTCATTAAAACCTTTGTAAAAAAAAAAAAAAAAAAGGATGTTCTCATACTTGATGCAGTATGCAGGGAAAACACACACATACACACAAAGATGGCATGTCACTCTGTGGTTAAACATTGCAGCTTATTCCACCTCCTCTTCCTTCCTCTCTGCATTCTACCTTATTGTTACTCTCTAGGATACCGCCTACAAACACAATGTGAGCGCAATTTAGTTTGATTTTAAAGTTTTTCAAACAGAATATTCATTAAAACAACAAAATATAACTATTTTTGTTAAAGTTGTCTGACTTTGAAGTTATTGTACAGTTTAAAACCTGTGTGTATAAGGTCACATTTGTCCTGACACCTACACAGACTGAGTTTGACCACTAGAGGTCAGACTTTTGTATGAAAACAGCTCAAACTTCAAGAAGGTGTTGTTTTATGGTTTTGTGTGTGTATGACAGAGAAATTATTTTAACCTGTAGACAAATATTAGAATAGATAGAATGAAACAATTTATAAAACTCTGTAGAATACAACAAGATAGTAAGTATTATAATGAACAGCAAAGACAGAGAAGAGATTGAAAGAATAAAACAGGAGTGATGGGACGGATTATAAACTCTATATCACAATAAAATGCTGCAAAGACAATGTATTAAATCATTACTATAGTTACATTAGTTTACAACAGGTCAGTAACATGACTGGGTATAAAATGGACATTCAGGGAAGCATCAACTCTCTCAGTAAAGGAGTGAACGGGTTTACCTCTGCTAGAAACAGCATAAGCAAATAGTTCAACAATTTCAGAATAATGCAAATTTGCAATACTTTTTGCATTGTAAATCATGGTGTTTGTCATCTAGAGTACAACATATTGAAAGATTCAGGGAGAAATGTGTACAAAAAGAACAAGGAGCAAAACCAACACGGGATGGGCCTGATCTTCAGGCACCACTGTATTAAAAACAGACATGACTCTGTAGTTTAAACCACTGCATTTCATCAAAATCACTTCCAAAATTCATTATCTGTGAGTGAGCATGATTCATTACTGCATCCACAAGTGCGAGTTAAAACTGAGCCTTGCACAATAAATTATTTCAGCTGGGGAAGTGGTAGTTTGACAAATCAAAATTTAACATTCCTTTTGGAAACCTTGGATGTTGTATCCTCTGCTTGAGAGAGGAGAGGGACTCCCTTACTTGTTATCAAAGCACAGTTCAAAAACCAGTGTCCATGATGGTATGAAGATGCGTAAGTGACCATGACATTTTTTAAAATTTAAAATGAGCATATACTTTTTTTTATAAAACAATATATTTTCTGTTTCATGAACTAAAATTACAGACAATAATCTGAGAAGAATTAAACTAGAATGTAGAAACTAGAATAGAAATGAATAGGATAGGATGAGCTCATCAGGACTGAGTGGTCGAGGCTGATTCTGGGTTGGGCAGGACAGGAAACAAGGAACCGGGAACGCGCAGGGCATGGATACTCGCTCCCGCTGAGTTTTTTGGGATCCGGTGTGGACCTCAGGATACATCAATTCTCTACCACAAGGAACGGAAATAAGGTAGTACTGTCTTCAAAATAAAAGCAAAACTAAACCAGTACTAACACTTCCGTTTGTCCCCTTGATCATGCCATCCCACTTTTAGCCTGTTATTAAAAGATTTACAGAGTTTGTTTCTAGAGAGTTTCTGTTTTATTAATTACATACAATTACACTTTTCATAATGCTTGGACATGCCCCGAAACATTTTTGTTTTGTGATTGTTTTTTTCAAGGCATTTTGTATTTTTTTCGATCATTTTAATACTTGTTACCAGAGCCAGCCCAAGGCATAAGCAACTAAGCACTTGCTTAGGGCCCCGTGGCCAATAAGGGGCCCCGAAGAGCAATCAAAAAATATAATTTTTTAATATTTTTTATTTTTTGCATGTATGAGTGATGCTTTTATGTATGATCAAATATATATTATTGTAAAAATAAAGTAAATTTAAGTAAGAACATTTTGGTGCTGCTACTGATGTAAGGTCCTTTCACATGGGACCGTTTTATTTGTGCGATTATTTCATGCAATGTCAATATTGGCTTGATGTGTATAGTCAGGCGCGTCAAAATTCACCTCCTAATATTTCGTAATTTCGTGTCGGATATTGGCGTCAGTCCTGGTGTGTAAGGACCTGTAGGCCTATGATTCTTACTGCCAATATGTCAAAGCTCTGCTACCGTTTTGTGCCTTTTGCTGTGCAGTGTGCACTGAGCATCCAAAACGCAGATAGTTGTGGGGCAAAATAGTGTCGCAAAAAAGGACATATCCTTCAGGAGCAGAGAAAAGAAAGACGATGAAAAGAAAAAAATGCAAAGATAAAGGTATGTTCGCGTGTCAGGGAATGTTAATCAAAGAGATTAATATTATTGCCAGAAATAGAGCCCCCCCCCCAAAATCAAATTTTGCTTAGGGCCCCATTGAGGCTTGGGCCGGCTCTGCTTGTTACGGCAGCAAAGAGAGTTTATTGTGAAAGTCCCACCCGGAAGTCTCCTCTCACGCCTGCCTCGACCTTGACGCCAGTGTTTAGCGGTGTTGGGATTCAGTGTGGCAGCAGCAGCAGCAGGGGAAATCGGGGAAATCGGGGATATCTGGGAACGGGGAGTCGGTTAAAACCGGGACCATACCGGCTGAAATCCCGACGACGCTTTGACGGAATCACCGCGGGGTTTCTCCCCGGACTCTGCACCTCTGTGTGTCGGCTGCTGGCTGCGGTTTTTCCCCCTGAAATCTCCCTGGATCCGCACACAGTAAGTAGCCCCAATTCTCCTTCACCTTAACGCATCCCTGTTCAGGCACAGTCACCCTGCTTGTTCTTTCTCTTTGTGCCTCATGTGTGGAACAAAACTCTCATAAAACAACGATTTCAGAGCTTTTTTGAGTGAGAATGGAGGCTTTTTTTAATAAACATCCACGGGAATAAAAGCCAATTAATCCCGTGAGTGGCTGCATGTGTCTGCAGAGAAAGGAGAAGGGGTGGGGGGTGACAGAGAAAACGCTTCATAGAGGAAAAAGGGGCTTTCGTTCACCACAGATGCTTAAATGCATGAAGGTCCTGTCTGCATGTGCACACATATGTTCCATTCCCGCCTGGAAGCGATGCATTTCACGGTGCATGTGTGTGTTTTCTGCCTGCTGAATTGTAACGCCGCAGGGCCTGCAGAGCGCACACACTCCCGGCCTGGATGCGCAGGTTCGCCGGGGAGCAGCAGCCGGCTGACAGCGCCTCTCCAGCCGGAATATTTGCTCTCAGTGCTGCAGCTCGGAGGCCGGGCGTGCTGAGCTGACACCAGCAAGGCGTGGCATTCATATAGCATTACACATTACAGGGGCGGGTTCCCCAGCAGCTGCAACTCTCCTAAAATGTATTCAAATTATTATTTTTTTGCACAAATATATAAACTTATCAATGCACTGGTCTTTTATTGTCCAATTGCTGTTTTCTCTAATGAGCTGTCTGGTTTGGATGTATCCTCAAGCTTAATTTTAAGAGCCATTTTAAATTCAGCATCATCAGATATGCAGGCCTGCCATATGTCTGTCCGTCTGTCTGTCTTAACATCTTGTCCTCATGCTAAACTGAACCTAGAAGTCTCCCTGCATGCCCTCTTGCAGGTGAACCTCTATGCCTCAGTCTGTAGGCCTGACCATGAAACATCTTATTTGGAACAAACAGGTGTAAAATTGAAGCAGATTTGCGATCAAGTTAAGGTCACAGGATGTTTTCTTTCAGTTTTTACACTCACAAAGTCATTCCCACAACCTGTGATGATACATTTGGGTTTGTTGTTGCAAGCCCCAACCATAGCCCACAAATTATGGCCAGTAAATTCAATTTTTTTGGAGCTGAGATGTTTATTTCACTTTATACTGAAAACCAAAAAAATTGAAATGTCCATCAAATTTAACAAACATATTTATCTCGTTTGATAGATGTTTTTGGAAACTGATAAACTACAAGAAGACTTTTTTAAATCATTTATCAGACTGTATTCAGATGTTTTTTTTAGTCATTTGTTGATTATATTGACATGAAAGTATGTATCAAATATGATACAAAAGGCATTGAAGGGTTAAGAGTGTGCTACTTATTCTGCATGATGTGCATTAAGTCAGTTGGAGGATTTAATGCCCTGAAAGCTTTAATGCAGCTGTGGGAGTGTTCTTTCAGCTAAAAGGCAAACACAAACCAGGAAGTCCTGTTTGAAGATTAATTGGCAAATATATTTATCCGCCAGATAAAGTTGGACTGCCCTTTGGCAGAAGTGAAGCCCAGAATGACTTGACGACCTGAATGACGCAGAGATATTATCGGTCTGATTAAGGCATAAAAAGTGGAGCCAAAAGCTTTCACAACTCAGATTTATATCTGATACTCCGAATGTTAATTTCCAAAGCTGTGCCTCAGTATTTCAGGCTTAATGTTGGATTTTTCAGAATTTAAATGGGGGTGTAAATGCGCAGTGGAAACTTGAGTAAACAGAGGAGTGATGCCAGTTTCCAGTATCTTGACAGTTTTAGATAATAAGCCATGCGGTAGACAGATTTAGGTCAGTGCCACAGAATCCTGAATATTTATATGCAAATTTATACATTTTTAGGTGTTGTTGAACATGTTAGCAGTTTCTGTTGACTGTATATACTGATCCCCCCCTTAAAGAGTTGTGCTTCTTTAAATTATCTTTTTTTGCTCAGACATTGTAGGATTAAATTTGTCTTTTCACTTGTTTCTTAAAGCATACAGCTGAATCTATATGTCTAATGAATAAAAACAGATTGGGTTTCTTCGATAGACTGTTTCAACTACACAGAGAAACTAATAGATTGAGGCAGAGGTAGACTAACAATTCATTTGTTCTGAGAGGTAGTTTTTTGTTCTGTTGGTGTGTGGTTAAAAAAATAGTCTTTTTTTTTAACAAAACCATCAGTACCTTTTTAGGATCTTAGCCACTGGGTTTTTGTTCACCTTGAATGGCAATCTGGGGCAAAAATGAGCACTATCACTGCATGTACTTCTAAGAGCACAGTAGCCTTCAGAGATTTTGTTGCAGCCATAACAGCCTGTTATGGTGAGTCTCAGGTTTGAAAATGCAGAAATCCTTCCAGCTTCCTGTGAATTACACAGAATTAAACTTTGAATGGTTCTCACTTTCTGTAAGTAGAATTGGGGGCTTTTTTTCTGAGTACCGATCTGTGACAGGACCCATCAGAGCTGAAGTGTAATCATTCAGACAGACTTGAGACGTCCCTCCTCTATCACATACTCGCGTGCAGCAAAGTGGGGCAGAATCCAGCATCTCCCAGTGGTGTTGAGGGTTAACTGGAGTATAAAAATTCCCCCCTGCCCTACTTCAACTACAGTCTGCATCCAACAAGCCACTTTGCCAAAGCTCCACGTCTGAGACCTCCAGGGTCCCAGTTCCCTCATTCATTATTCTCACTGTCAGTTTGTTCTCATTTTCTGGGGGTTTCTCCGCTCCAGTCTCTGAATGATCCATCCAGTGCCAATCAAGTGAATTCATCTTTACATTTCTTATTGCATGTTTCTTTAAGTTCAAATATTTATCTAATGTCTGTTTAGGTATGATGCAAGGAAAGGGAGTAAATAAACCTTATGGAGTCCTTAAATTTAGGTGCAGATCTCAGTTAACTGCTTCCTAGCAGTGAGTCCCTACCTTGCAACTATCAACATTACTATCCGTAGAGCTCAACTACTACCTCAGTGGCAAGCTGAAATTCAAACCCCTTCAAACTCATAACACTGTATATCAGAGCAACAGGCAACCTGATGTAGCTTGTTGTATGATCTAGCAAAGGGTGCTCTCATTGAAACCTGACCAATGTAACCTTCCCATCCATGTGAAGTGGCAGCAGAAGACGCACCACCAACAAGCGGTGCAATGGCAAGTTTTCAGCCTCATACGATGGCCTTATTTTTTTGACTAGCCCCTTCCCAGAGTGTTTGAAAAAGGGCAGTCATAGATAAGGTTGCAGTTTGCACATATTCAAACATTTACAAGTATGTCCTGATTGATATTCAGTCAAAGTAGATTTTTTGAAAAACTGACAGCCATATAAAGCCTATGGTAATAATTTAGAAAGAGCTACACAGCTGCACAGAAACTGCACAATGTGGACTTCACTGGATACATTAGGAATCATCTCACAAGAAGACAGTTGACATATTTTTCCATCAGATAACCTCAAAAACAGATTGCCTCTTTTGTACCAAGATGGTTTAGGTTGCTTATCTAATGGTGCAACCTACAGTCAATCTTCCTTTTTGAGGCAAAAATACTTTTAGGTTTCACCTTTTGGTTGAAAGTTCAGTGTTTGTTTGACACATTTATTCACCTAATTATTCACCTAACCTGAGGGTCTATGTGTGATCGCTCACAGCTGAATCTTTTCACTGACTTTATGCAGACTCTTCCCACCATCCTCGGAGCAAAAGGCACAAAGAAAATCAGGGTGATCTGACATGATGGGACGGGATGGTGATGCCGTTAACTTAAATGTAAAAATGACAGGAGTTTTAGTTTGATGGGAGCTTCTTCAAATGTTCTTACTGATGTTGCAGTCTTAAAAAATAAGTTTTCATGGTAGGAAACCAGAACCAGTAGGAAAATCCTGACACCATGTCAAACTTGTTTTGAAATTGCAGACTAAGTGTTGTGGTTTTGTAATTTTGTTAATAATCAAAATGTTTTTGAGGTTTTTAATCACCATTTAACTTTAAAAAAATCAGACCATTTCATTCTCTCTGAGATTTGTTGTTTTTCCAGTTTAGAATAAAAGAAATATTTTGCACAAACAGGAAATCATAAAAGACTCGAGCCAACTGATTACAATTTCAAACTATGAGTGGAATGCCACCGAGACTAACTTCACAAACAAACAAACAAACAAACATTTTTTTTTATAAAGTCAGAGCGGTTTTGGGTTTCCTGAGATGTTCGTGCAGCTGTTTTATCCCTGTCAACAGATTGAGTTAATATTTTACAGCTGTGAGCTCTTCCATTCCACTTTAGCACAAGGGAAACACTGCAGACCAGCCATGAAGATGTAGGATTGACCTTGGATAACTTTTTTGAGTAACTTTTCCAGCAGAAACATGTAATAAGAGAAGGCGTTGGAGAAGTATAGAATAAAAACTCTGGTAAAAACTAGATGGTTCTTCCTGGGGGTTTATTTGCGTTTTGTTGCTTGTCTAATAGGGTGATGAATAATTTTAACAAAAATACAAGCAGCAAAGCAGACTTGTCATTTCCCAAAGCAAAAAAGGGTGTTTTCAGAAGTTTTTCTTCAGTTTTTGGTGTTTCAAGTTGTTGTAAAAGGAGTCAGAGAAGCGTAGAGAAATTTAAAAAGAAAACAAATTCATTAAAATTTGTAGTTATGGCTCCTGTGAGGATCTCTGTTTGCGTCAATTCTGGCGTCCCCTGTGGACAAAATGGTTCCTAGAAAAAAAAAAGCTATTTTGAGTGCGCTGTCAGGCATCTGGTCTAAAACCTCCCCCCTTGCTGAGGTGATTGGGATTAAAATTGGAGTATTTATTTGTCACGAACAGGTAACTGTTTCAAATTTGTTGTTTCGTAACCAGCTAAAAAGCCCCTAACAGGAGCTTTAAAATCTAGTTTGATTAATAAAGTTGTAAGTTTTGTTAAGTTCTACTTTGATTAGAAACCATTTTCTTGGACTAAACATTAGCATTTCTTAGGCCTGCAGCCTCGAGCATCAACATGCATCATGTGCGCTTCCTCTGGCAGCTCTGCAGTCATCCTGTAAACATCAGACTAAACGCACTCCTTACATCTGTATCAGCTGCTCCGGAGCCGTTTGTCACATTATTCTGTTTGAGGTCAAACCTGGTCACCATCTGATGGTGTTGTTTTCTTTCTTCTGTCCTCTCTCTCTCTCTGTCTCTCTCTTTCTTTTTTCTCTGAGACTGTGTCTGCCAGGCGTATGGAAAAATCATCCCTCCTTTTTTCTCTCAGGAAATTCCTCCTTGTCCCGGGGGTGAGAGAGACAGAGGGGGTGCGAGGAGGAACAGTATAGAGCACATCTGCTGCAGAGGGACACTCCAGGCCTCGCTTTTAGTTACTTCCTTTAATTTTGTTGCAAAAGTGGCACCACCGTTGACACTTGTTATCTTTGGTGCATCCAAAACCATTACTTATTGCAAAAAACATTAAAAAAAAAAATTTTTCTTACTGTTTTACATATGTCAATAGTCCTCTGCCTTTAACTGCATCAATCTTCTGGTAAACGGCACTTACCTGCAGTGATTTAATGCGTTGCACGGTGTGCAGTTTAATGCAGTAGTGTTGTGTAGTCGTCTGTGGTGCGGTCTGTTTTGCTGTGTCAGAGTTAATCCTGCAGAGATACTCACATTAAACAACATCAGGGCTAAAGCAGGAAACTGGAGATGGTGTGTGTGTGGAGACTAATGTGTGTTTGTTGGTTTGTGCTGATCAGATTGGATTGTTTAGAGTGATGCTGAGTGCTTATCGAAGTATTTCAATGACTGTTGATGATAAAATGTTGGGGTTTATGGGTAATTAGCTAGTCATGCCATTGGTTGCCGGGAAAGTATAGGGTTTTATTTTTGTTGCCTGGATTTCTCTTAATTGCCCCAACTAGCATTTCAAACTGTGACAAAGAGAAGGTGGTTATTTTGATGGTCTCTTGTAGTATCAGATGCCCTCATGTATCCCAATAAATACATGGATTTGATTCTGAGACCAGTAAGTCCCCAAAGGTCTCTTGGTTTGAGGTAAATTAACCTGCTGAGAGTGTAATCCTCAGATTGTCTGAAACGTGGACTTCATAGACCTTGTTTGGGATATGCCACCCACTGGTTTCTGATGAAGAGTTAAGAAACCTAACCAGAAACTTTGGTGGTCCCCAGATTGGAAATTTTGACTCAACCCAACAGTTAAAGGGATACTTAACACACCGTAACACTGAGTTAGACACCCCCTCGAGAGATGAATGTTGCCAACCGCTTGCTTCTCTAGTTATACCAACTTTAGAAATGACCGCACGATAGCAATACGGAGAGCCATGCACTCAACCAAAACACCACTCTATAGCCACAAATAATGCTCAGAACAGCACCTAACTTTATCAACAGTACGTATAGGGTCCTAGCCATAGCAATAGCCACTCACCCACTCTTTTCCAGCAGCCGCTTGTTTGTACGGGAGACCTCGGATGGGTGGCTAGTGCGATGGCTGGGACCCTCTATGTACTGTTGATGAGGTTAGGTGCTGTTCTGAGCATTGTTTGTGGCTATAGAGTGGGGTTTTGGTTAAGATTTGTTTATGGCTCCTCAGACCGTTGTGTATTGCTATCGTGCGGTCGTTACTAAAGTTGGAATAACTAGAGAAGCAAGTAGTCAGCAACATTCGTCTCTTGAGGGGGTGTCTAACTCTGTGTTACAGTGGTTTGACCCTAACTTAATTTTACGCCGGAATATCCCTCTAAATGAAAGTGGTACAAAAAAACCTTGGATGCAGACTGGTCAGATTGGAGTAAATATGTTAGACCAAGCTTTCTTGAATGGGTGTGTTTAAGGCTTTCTGAGCTTTTGGAGTCTGCCTCAAGTGGACACTGGAGGAACTGCAGTAAAAGTCTTTTCACCAGTATTTCATATTATTTTGTATCACACTATCAAGGAGGATCTTGATTGTGGCTTATACTGAGTTCAGGTATCAGGTAGAGGTATTGGGAAGGATAAACATGATATCCCAACATCTCAAAATGGTGCTGAAGTATGAGCACAGAGGGTGTTATTGACAGTATTCTGCTGTATTTAGCTGCCTGGTGTGATTTTATTGAGAGAACCAGACTGCCTTAGATAGTTTGAGTGCTTCAGAGCTCCGTGCCGTTAATCTTCAGGATTTTCCGAGCTGACTGCCTGGGTGTATAAATGAAAGATTACTGAGGCACCTTGATGTCGCCTCATTGGCCTGCACCCGCTGACCGGCAGAGGTAGATTAAACATCCATATTAACATCTACGGTAATAAAATGACCCAGTTTCGGTCAGGTGGAGATTAGATAGTGGATTAAGTTTAGAGAGGGGCTTTTGGAAGCTGAACAAAATCCCTTGTGTTTAATTTTAGAGTCAAAATCAGATACTAGAAATGGAATAACGAAATATGAAAACAGAGGGACCAAAATGTCTTCATTATCACTGAATCTTGTGTCTTTAGGTTTTTTAGACTGAACTGACTGATGTTAAGAGAGGCATTAATCTGATCCTAATGCCATTCATCTTCAGGGCTGTTTGTATGTCTGTGTGTGCTGATAACAATAAATACTCTTTCTGCTGTTTGTTGTTGGAACAGACGACTGGCAGCTGAATGCTATGACTCAGCTTGTGTGAGTCCCTCCCACACACAGACACACACACACACAAACAGAGCATTAATGGAGTATCCAGATGAGGTAACTTAACTCCAGACTCCTCCGTCTCCTCTCAGCTAATTGCTCTGTAAACTTAACACCACGGACGCATGGACAAACAACTAAACAATAAAATGACCTTATAGAGTTTTCAGTGTACATTAACGTTTTGGTACAATTTGAGGAAATCCTACAAGGTGTGAGGATTTCTACGTGGACTATTCTTTTGGTTGGTGCAGCAGGGAAGCCCTTCAGACCTCAGGGTTCGATGGTCAGGGATGTATTTGGAAAAGCTGTAAAGAGCATTCCTCTCATAGTCTCAGTGACGTGGTGAGAAAACAAGGAAATCTAGGAGTTTGGTTTGAGCAGTTGACATACAGCCTGACTAGCTTTCTTATAGAAAATAAAGACAGTAATTAGAGTTAAGAGAGTCAAAGCAGTTAGAGATTGAAATGAGGAAACAGAACAAATGCAACCATGGCAGCAGTTAGCCTCTGTAGTCTGCCATGTTTGTTAACTCCACGATCGTGTTCGACTGTGAGAGATTTTTTCCACGTCATGCTTTGCTCATAGTGGATTAAGACAGAATCAGATAGAATCTTATCTTGATGTTTTCTGTGTGATCTAGGGTCTAGACTGGCTGTTTTTGGGTAAATCTATGAGGTATTTTTGGTGACGACATGGCACTTTGTAAATAAAGATAGATCGGTTAATTGATTGAGGAAAAGGCACCTTCAAATTGCTCACCTTTTAGAAGTTCCAGTTTGTTTTCTTTCTCTACCTCATAAAGGTCCTGTATGTGTGAAACTGTTTGGTATGTGGCGTAATAGGTGGACCAGTTGGTGGCTCAATAGTAACAAGCTAAAAGGTGGCGTATCGTAAGAAAGCAACTAAGGAGAATAAAGGGAAATTTCTTGTCTTAAAAGCAGACTGACATCTGATCATCTGATTTTTCAGATTTTTAAAGTTTGACACTTTTTTATTCGACAGTATTTGATGGGGCTGCTGAAAAGTAAAAAATGCTCATGTGGGACTGAGTCCAGAACTAATTTGTCTACCTAATCACAATGAGTAACATATAATTTAAGTGCAAAGTGCTGCACCCTCTTCACAGAACTGTTTGGATAAATTGTTTTTAGTAATGATGCTCTTATTTGTGGTTAAAATCCAAAGGAGTCTACTGATGAGGAGAAAGCAAAGTGTCATTTTTCATCTTAAATGAACGTGTGACATTTCAACACCAATGAGCATCCAGGATAGATTAGAAAAATGTCGAAATCTACTAAAATAATCTTGTACTTTTTGCTGAAATTAAGCAGCTGAGGTATTAGTAGCACCTCATAGAGGACACTTTAGGGCATTTTTATCTGAAATGATTCAGACTTGATGAGTACTTTGAACATGGGAACACAGCTGTGATGATTTTCCGATCCTCATAATCCACACTGTCTAATTATCCACAGATCCAGCTGTCAAAAGTTATACAACAGCTGATCCGACTTTAAGAAAGTGCGCACATCATGACTTTTTGTGATTCATTTCTAATGCTCCTCTGTCTTTTGTTTTTGGAAAGGGAAACAAAGTGTGGATCTGTTTTTGTCAGGACACGTAGCGCAGGATTTTGTTCAGACTTCCTTCATCTGGTTTGACCAAAACAATGAAATTCAAACACAGTTTTCAACCACCAGCAGAACTGTCTGTCTGTGTTTCTCTAATTCCACACAGATGTCAGGTCATTTTGGCCGCTGTTGCAGTGTTAATGCACAGCCCTCGCTCGTGGAAAATTTAATCTCATTTATACTTTTCTCTATTTTTTTATTCTTTTATTTTCCTTTTTCCGTTTTTTTCAGCTGCATTATCTGTGCCAAGCCACTCTCTCTCTCCTCTCTGCTTTTGTCTGTCAGTATCTATGTCCCTCGACCACTGTGGAGATCCAGGGGCAGTCTGTGCAGCTGGGAATCAGGACCTAACTTTCCTCTGTTGAATAGAGACTCTGTGCCTCCTTTACTAAACATTAAACTTCAAAAGAGTGTTACTGCCCAGCAGATACATATTTGACATGACTCATACGTAAAAATAATATCACTACACAGTCAAAAATACACACAGCCCAGTGGTATAAAGGCAAGAGCAATCATTTCTAGAACTATGTCTGAAAATGAAATGTCACCTCGCTGAAAACACTTGAGTATTATCGAGAAAGTGTGATAAATCAAGGTATTAAATGAGTCAGCTTTCTAACATGTTTGAGCTGGTTGAATTGGAGAAGTATATCACATTTTGAATAGTTTCAACATGCTGATTTGAAGATATCAGATTTTGTATCAAGTCAAACAAAAAACTGCGGATATCATTAAAGTTGCCCTTTTTTTCTCGTATTAAATAAATATATGTGCAGATTTGAAGCCCTTTGAGATAATTTTCTCTTTTGGGAGGAGCAGAAAGTTGAAAAAATTGCAGAAATGATCAAGTTTTGTTGCTTATCCCAGCTCATTGTTTGCTGTACATTTAAATCAACACCGCCTGAATGAAGTTAGTTTAATATTTAAGTGTCTCTTGGTCTGTTTCGATGGTTGACTTTTTGTTTGTGGGTTATAGGTTTTGTTGGTGGTGTAGTTTATTAAGATTATTAAGTATTAATAGTTTTTCTTCTTTGTCTTTCATAAAAATGTTAGTGTTTTATCATTTTTTTAAGTGTGTCTCTTTTTGAAGGAGTCCTATCATTTCTACCCGCTGACACTTTTTATCCTATCAGCCTGGGACACCTATACAATAATACAGCACGATACAATACAAGAAGTTTATTGATTCCCAAAGTAGCTTTGCGTAAAGATGATCCTCTGTCAGCTTGAACATAGATGGTAAAGTAGAAGTTAGCTGCCAGCTTGTTAGCCTGTTAGCTTAGCATTGTAGTTTCCCCTCAAAGCAGTAAAACAAGTCCCAGAAGAAGTCCTGATTATAGTCTCTCCTGAGCCCCACCTCAGAGCCTTTCATGTGTGAAGCATTGAAATAAGACGGAGATGATGTTATTACAAAGTGTGTGTGTGTGTGTGTGTGGCTGAGTGTGCGTGTGTGTGTGAGAGGTCAAAACAAAGTGAGAGTGTGTTTGGGGTTTGTCGGTTGGTCAGTCAGCCTGGTTTGAAGGAACTGTTGACACAGTAAGTTGTGTGTGTGTGAGAGAGTGTGTGTTCGAAGACTCTGTTGATACTGTAAGCCTGTCTGTTTTCCATTGCTCATACTAGGAGAGAAAGTACAGCCATCGAACCTGTGTGTTTTGTGTGTTATGTGTGTGGTTGGATGTGTGTGTTGATATTATGGCTCTGAGTACGCCTGGAACAGCTACTGTTTTTCAGCGCTGGCTCTTTCATTCGCTACAGCACACGCACTCTCACACGTGAACGAGGTCCAATCCAAACCACAGTTACCTCCTACAAGCAGACAGCTCTCCAGTAGAGATGGAAAGTATGTGAGGCTTCTCTCTGTCTGCGGACTTTTGTCTCAGTGTGAATCAAAACAGTGTGTAGATTTACTCTGCCTGGCTCTCTCTGCTGTCTGTGGAGACTGCGAGGTGGTGTCAGTGGTGACAGGTTATGGTGCGATCTTCATTGTTGTCAAATAAGAGTAAAACAAAGTTTGGTTAAGTGTGGGTTTTTAGTATGGGGAAAAAGACAAAAATTAATATCTGTACAAAAGTCAAATGTGGTCTCCCTGGATGATTCCAGCTCAAATCCTCTGACGTGTCTGGAAAAATGTGTGGATGGAAATTGAACGGAGGATACACTCCCTCACTTCAGAAATAATTACTGTGTAGGTGTCTTTTAGGAAGGATCAGTCTGCTTTAACTTACTCAACTTTTTTTCAATAACTACAGTAGTTCTACTGTGCTAATGTCACTCAGTAGGAAAAGTAATGCTCGTGTGTCTCAGTGGAACAACTTTGCTTAGAAGCTTCAATGCTGGACGATCTTCCAAATGTTTGTCTGGCCAGCAAGTTCACTGATTAGTTAGTTATTGCACTTTGCCTTAATAGCACAGTGAGTCTGCTGTGGAAGTGGACATTTTGATTTGGGCTTTACAGGGATATTCCGGCACAAAAATAATTTAGGTCCGAGAGATGAATGTTGCCGACTGCTTGCTTCTCTAGTTATACCAACTTGAGTAACGACCGCAAGATAGCAATACACAGCGGTCTGAGGAGCCATAAATGAACCTCAACCAAAAAGCCACTCTATAGCCACAAATAATGCTCAGAACAGCACCCAACTTCATCAACAGGACATACAAGTTCCTAGCCACCAAACATCTTTTTAGCTTTGCCTAATTTCATTAGCAAATAGACTAAATACAACTCACCTACTCTCTTCCAGCAGCTGCTTGTTTGTAGCGAGACCCCAGGCCAGTCCATTACGGATTATAGCGGGGTGACGCAGCTCAAGGAAGAACATTTATGATCATTTCTTCATGGAAATTCAACCAGACCAAGACGCTAAGGCACGCTAAGAACAACCACATCTACGGTGCAAAATGATTAATATGGTGATTATGACTTAAAGGAAATGATATAGAAATTATATTACTGAAGTTGGTATAACTAGAGAAGCAAGCAGTCATCTCTCAAGGGGGTGTCTAACTTGGTGTTACGGTGTGTTTGACCCTAAATTAATTTTACATTGGAATATCCCTTTAACTGGAAATCTTTGGCTTTTAAAGGCAGCCTCTAGTAGACACTCTTTAGAAACTTTAAATTTTAAGACTGGAAAAATGGTTTCAGTTTCCAACACCAAAAGTTGCCACTTGGTTTGTGTTCATGTTTAATGCGATTGTGATCACTACATCTTCATTTAAAGACACCATATGATTAGTTTGAGACCAAAGTGTAGTCTGTAATGTCTGTAGACCATGTCACAACAAGACTTAATGACTTTGTATCACTTTGTTTGCTTCATATACTTAAGCAACAGAAATACTTGCACAGTCTGAATCCAACCCTATGTTGCTTTCATTGTGTTTACAAAGGGATGAAATTGAGCATGGTTTGCACAAACATCTACCTGATGTGAGGACCTTAATCCCATGTAATTTCAGCTATGATACGTCTCCATCAGGCAGGTCTATTGAGTCCTCTGGTTAGGTATGCAGCCACTTGTACTGTTTTCATTGAACAGATCCACCTTCATGCCGGTGCAGGTGAAGTCTAAAGACTTTGACACGTAATAAAATAAACTCACACAGCCAGCCAAAAGAGCAGAGCTGCTGGTGTGTGAGAGGGGTTAGTAAAGCTTCTTGGGTTAGCTTTAATTCTTCATGGCAGGTGGAGCAGAGCCTGAGACGGCCTTAGATGAGGACTTGTTAGAACTGGAGCTGGTCTGATGGTTTTTAGCTGAGTCAGAGTCGCTCTTATTCTCTGCTCTGTCATTATATGATTAGCGCAATAACTCCACAAGTACGACTCTGTGTTTTCTACTATTCTTAAATGTGTCTGAGCAGGTTTCTCAGAAGTCATGACTTTATCCTCGTCACTGTTTTGCCCTCCTCGTACAGTGCGTGTTTGTAACTAAACACTGACGTCATAAAAGCAACAATCAAACACTCATTCGGTGATTATAACTCATCGAAAAGTACACACATGTTCACTCTTTTACCGTTCGCTCTCACGTGTTGAAAAGGCTGTCGTTGGTTCCTACTGCACATGTTGTTTCTGGCAGGAACAGTTTCGGCTGAGGACATGCGGTGGAAAGTTTGACTTTTTTTCTTACATTGAAGCACTTAGTTTGGGTGTCACTGCGTGTGTGTTGAAGGAAAATTCGACTCTTTCACCGCTGTTGTGTAATGGGAGCTAAAATTGGACTGTCTCCGGGGTTATTTTGGTGGGATTGTTTAATGTTGGCACTTGGCTCTGTAGTGGGTATGTAAAACCCAGTGTGGATGGTTACGAAGACCTGCTATATGTGGTGAAAGGTCCCCCTAGTATTACAGTTAAGGTGAGTTATTTTTGCTTATTAAATGAGAAAAAAATACCTACAAAGTTCCAGTCACCAGTATTTTATCCACAGTACGTTAGAAACTTGATCTATTGGAAAAAAGTTTGGTTTAATAAGTTTAATTTGACTTTTTATGAGGCCAATCACTTAATCACACAAGCTGGAGTCTCTTTGTTTGATTCAGATACAAAGATGAGGCGATCTCTCTCTTTTATGCTCCCCATCGTCCTCTTCCTCTGAGCAGAGTTTAACCCAGTAGTTCAGTGACCTTGCATGGAGTGTGTGAGACGGTGTTCAATCAGTGTGTGAAGATGTCAAAGCAGCGACGCATGGTGCTGAGATTTTTCCTGGCAGACCTGCAGTGCGACCAACTCCACTGCAGAAGCGCTCGACCGAGTGCGTGCATCCTCCTTCAGTCGGGCTTTCTGTTGACAAAATTGTGATTAGATGAGGACTGTGTGTCGTTTGGATGCAGTTATTTTCTTGCTGTCACTGCAAGACTCAAAAAGGTTTTCCGAATCAGCTGTCACACATCAGACTTCAGTGTGTAGACGCACTCTGACGGGGTATTGCATACTTATTTAAACTGTGCTGCCTGGCTCATCTACACAGCGAGGGGTTTACTGCGCCGATCAATGATGCTAATTCTCAGGACAAAATGTGAATGGATCAAACCTTGAATAAATTTTCTGAAAGAAGGAGGTGAAAAATGAGAAAAATGGTTTTCATGACTCTCAGAGCCTGCTGACAAATATAAATGTAGGGCTGAGCAATATGGGAAAAAGTTTATCACAAAATAATTTTTTCATATCAGTCGATATCGACATATATATCACGATATAAGAAATTAAATTTAACTGCTTATTGGTAGCATGTCTTTTGCAATACAATAAGCTGCTACATCTGTAAGGTCTTTGTGTCTCTTGTGCGTTTTGTTGTAAGGTGTTGCGCTAGAGAAAGCGGACTGAATGGTCGGCTGTTTCGGCTGCACAGGCGCCATGGGCTCCTTGCTCCACTTGGGGTTTGTAACCTTTTGCATTGTGCGTGCTCTGCCGCGTGGCACTGCTTCAGGTGGTGAAAAAGATTTGAGGTATTCTCCGACTTTGCGAGAACATGTACTCGACATAATTCGCAGTACACATTACTCTGCTTCATGTCCCACCTCAAAAAAAACAAAATACCTCCACACCACCAACATTTTCGTGTCAGTGTTGTCAACGATGTCATCATCTGTTGAGTGCTGTCAGCTTCACGTGTTTAAGTACTATGGTTGTGTGTAGCTGTAGCCTGCCACTAAGCAGTTGTTTGCTTCTCGGTTCTAATTCAGCACGATTGGTTCAGTGCAAAGTGGACACAGAGCAACTCCCTTTTTCTTTGGCTATCTGTATAGTCTACCAAAACATGGTGGAATGCCGACTATCGAAAAGTATATCGACCATGTCTTATATTGATGTTGAGAGAAATTAATGTTCGATATATATAGTTTTATCGCCCAGCCCGATATGAGTATAAATATTTGTTTCCCTTAATTTTAAAAGAAAAAGCATTTATTCATTGTTAGAAACTATGCTGGATAATTTCTCACTAACCAGGTAGCTCTTATTTTGATTATTGCAGGCTGCTGCTCACATTTTATAGACTGATTTGCAAGACTGATCCAGAAATGGCAGGCAATTAAGGTTCGATTTTTTTTTATTAGCATTTGTTTATTATGTCCTCACAGGCCAGCACAGAAATAAAACGTTTTCTGGAGCTAGTTCATGCCGACCCCAAGTGAGGAAATAATGTGCTCAAATTTTACATGTCAGCAAAAGCGCTTGCAAACTGCAATGCCAGATTGGATATTGAGGAAATGCCGTAGCACAACAGCCAAGCTGTTTGCAAAAAAAATGGTACATCCTGAAAAACAGATGTTTTAGAGATGTTTGTTGCACTCAGCGGTTTCCAAATCATGAACATGGAAGACTATAGTGTCATTTAATCCCAGTAATGTTCACATTCTGAATTTCATGCATTTTTCTTGGTTAAGGTTCATATACCAGAAGCCTTACGCTGCACTGCCAAAAGAGCAGCATGTTTTTTCCCCTCTTTATTTAAATGGTTGTCTCTGCCCTCCAGTGCTGGCAGCCTGTGCCCCATTTGAATTAAAGAAAGCAGGCTGCACATTTAACCCGGGGGTGTGTGTCAGTGCAGTAGACATTGTTAAGTAGGTTGTGAGTCTGTGTGTTAGCTTGTTACCAGGCAGATCAGTGTGTAATAACTCCTTATAGCTCAAGCACAGCTAAAGGTTTTACCCTCACTGTACCTGTTAAGTACTAGCAGGGAAGAAGAGCTCATTATCAAAATCTGCTCTTCAGTGACGTAGCCTGTTAAATGTTGCTCACTCTGATTTCTAGCTTGAGAAACAAACTGCAGAGTACGAGGTGCTGATTTCAAATGTTGATGTGTCTATATGTGTGTGCTTGTCTCAGCAGCAGAAGTCTAAACTGTCTGCTGTTAAGAGACAAGCTGTTCTAAATAGGTGTGTGTGGGGGGGTTATCTACCACCCCAATGTCTCAGTAGGGCTTGCAGCTGTGAGTATATCTCTTGCATGCTCATTGACACACATACACTCCGGCTTTTTGAACTTGTCATGCTGATAATAGAAAAAACTGTCATGCTGATAATAGTTCTCTGACGCTACAATATTGGATGTCCATGCTAAACATTAGGATAACATGACATGACATACATGGATGCTGGTGTAATCTGAAAATGTTTGCAAGACAGCTGCCACCACATCAGAGCTGTGAATGCTCGCCACATCAGTCAGTACGTTTACATGACACGTGAGAAAACCGAATTATTGCCTTACTCCGATTAAGACCAGACAACTGAAGTGCATGTAAACACCTTAGTCCGACTATAATTGGAGAACTCCGATTGGAGTCAGAGAACTCCGATTAAGACACCCAGATAATGCGATTGGAATTCCATTTTCTCTACCATGTAACCAGTGTAGTCGGAGTGTGATTGGACAATGCATGTGCGTGTGTGCCATGCCTAAATAACCCCAGAACAAAAACACCAAAGAGGAAGTGGCACTATCATTTAAAGAGCATTTGACTCAGAAGCAACTGCAACATGGCTTAAGCACGAAAGAATGTCCACTTTTGGAACGACGAGGAAAGTACTGTTATGCTTTCATTCCTGAAGACATTTTAAAGTATATTGACGGTCACAAAACGAGGAATGGAGACATCTTTAAAAAATGTCCGGTAACAGCGCAACTGAAAAGACCCATATCGCCCCCTAGTTTTGGGAGGAGGACACGTTCACATCAATAATTCTATTTTCTCAGCTGCATGTAGAAAAAAAACGAATTATGAGCTTAGTCAGTTTACTGACTGATGGCGCCTTTGTAAACAAATGCCTGTAGGAGCTGGATTTGAGTCTCAATAGTTACTGAAACCTGGGGCTTTTCCATCTACAAGCTTTTCAAGTTAATGTCATGATAGCAGCTAATGTTACAATGGCTAGCTTATGCTAAGTGGGCATTAATAATAATAATAATAATATCAGTGCATTTTATTGATAAAGCACTTTTTATAGAACTCAAAGACACAATACAATGCAAAGAGAAAAAATACAGATATGTATTAATGAACATTTAAAAGCATTTAAAAGTAAAACATCACAGACAGACTAAAGCAAAAGACAAAACAACAATCACAGATTAAAAGCCAGTTTAAAAAGTTGAGTTTTCAGGAGTGATTTGAATATGGACAAGTCTGTGCAGTTTTCAGTATGAGTTGGGAGTGAATTCCAGAGGGAGGGGGCAGCTGTGGAGAATGCTCTGTCCCCCAGATTTGGTGCTTGGTCCTCCATTGTGGCTAGTATCAGATGTTTTCTGTGTGGACATCACTTTCAGGATGTTGTAAAAAGCTGTATAAATAGCAACATCCCAAAGCTGTGTTCAGCTCAATTCAATTTAAATCGGTTGAATCAATTGAACACCCTGAAACTGAGTCTAGCTTTATATTCGTGAATAAGCAGTCAAAATGAAGTTATTGGTCTTCGGTTATTGGTATAAGTTGGGCACAGCCCTAATGTCCTTGATGCAGTATGGTCCCCACACGTAGAGATAAATAAGTAGACATACACTTAACCAGATGTGATAGTCTTTTTTTAAGTTTATTAACCCAAAGAAGTTGGGAACCAAAATGTCCCCACAACCAAGGACTCTGCTCTACTCTATGGTCTCCACAAACGCAAGTAAACAAGTACAAACTCACACCCACAGCCCATATCCTCCAGGCTCAAATGAACTCAATTATATAGTGTTCAGTGAACAGTTTCAGTATGAGTACCTGAAGAGGAGATGGCTAGTTTAAACTTGCAGCTGAAACTTGGTTAATGCAACTATTCAATCCATCTGTTATATGTACGGCCCAGATTGCAACAGTTCTCTGAATATCTCTTGGATTAAACACAGTCGGTTAGCTTTAGTTGGTTCTTCTTTAATTCTTTTGTATCGTCCAACTAAAAGTTACATTGAAAGCACCTGAAGAGAGGATAACACCTGTAAACTTCCACTAAATTTTCTCAAATATCTATTGCAAACATAAAACCTCTTTTTTGTTGTTTTGTGTTAAGATGATTCCTTATAGTTTCCCCAAAAACTATGATGTTGGACACATAATCCATGTCGTTCACCATTTGTTATTATAACACATTACACAGTTTTTTATTGTTGTTTTTAGTGGTTCATGATTTGATTTAGTTCTGGTCTGATGGTAGAAACCTCAATCTCTTTGGCAGGTCTCGTTTTACAGCCACAGTCAAACTCTATTTTAGTTACCATGTCAGAAACACTTTTTAAAAGAGTAATCTTAATTTCAGCTGAGTTAGACTGCATGCCTTAAAATTGTTTAACCTCTGGACTTCTGTGAGTATTACTGATCATTACAATCCCAAATATGCACACTGTGAGGGAAAGATTGGTCATGAGTGTTAAGGGGTTTTAGTCACCTTTTTACTTCCACATTTTGAGCATACTGTATCATGCATAGCAGTACAGATCCATCAAAACAAGTGGCTGGATGTTAGATGATTGCACAGGGATGTTTGGGAGGATTGGGAAATGCTTTTGCAATGTTGAACCAGTGTCTTTATATTCAAATCAGATTTCCAAGTCTCATTATGTGGCATAATGAGGAGGTGAGGCGATTGTTTGCAGATTTTAAAGCCTCTGTTTTGGCAGGTCGTGTTGTTCCATAATACTTTTTAATACAGACCGTTGGGCAACAGAGGAGTCATAAATCTGCAGGAAAGGAAAACCAGATCTTTAGTGTCACTGGCATTAGCAGAATAAGTATTTACCAGAAGAAGATCCCAAATTAGACTCCAGGTTGTTTAAGTATGCTGAAAATTGAAGAGCAACGCCTGTCTTATAAGCCTAAAAATAAGCATTTTCAGTAGTTATCTCCCACAGAGATATTAGGAAACTCTCAATCAGGATATTTAAGAGGCAAGGCTTTCCACAAAAGCGTATTTATAGAATCAGGAGATTGTGATAAACCAACAATCAAAGACATTCGTTAAACAAAGCACTCTAGAGTCATTTGACGGCAGATGGTCAACCACAAGCAGTGTTGAAAGCAAGTTATTAGCTAATTCCTCCTAATGCTCTCCTGTTGAATAAGAAGTTACAACACAGTAGGATGAGGAACAATTTTTCATGACACATCAGTTTTTAATTCCTGAAATGAGATTGTAGTGTTAGTGGTGTGTCAAAACCACATTGTTCCAGCTGGACTGAACCACATTTGAGGAAGGATACAAGTCCCGGATAAAATTAGTATGCGGTACTCTGGAAGAACAGATTGTTCTGCTACCATGAGTCAGGAAATACTTTGTTGCTACAATGATGTTAAAAATCCATCATTTATCGAGTAATTTATTTCTGAGAGACTATTCAAAAATACATGTTTTTGTTTGATTTTCCATCAAGATAAATCAGTGGTCTCGTATTACATTCAGCTATCAACATGGAAAACATGTTTCACTGTAAACCATCTGGATGAATCCATCTGGATAGCTCGTTTTGTGGAGTCGTACACAACAGCCGCCACTACAGCATGAGATTGAGAACATTTTACAGGACATTACCCTGTTTTTGGATACGAAGCCAACAGAAAGACAGGTGAAAAGTGAACGCAGTGAGATTTCCTAGACTGGCAAAGCTGGCACATATCCGTCTGAGCGCGAGTTTCCTGACGCCAGACCACTCTGAGTCTGGATTATTTTCCTGTTCAGCTCTCTTGTTGCATCATTTCCATATGTACTACTTTGAGCCTAACTTCATGTGATTAAATTTCTGCAAAGGTTATTTTGATGTCATGAGCTCATTGGAGAAGAAAACAACCAGATCAAGTAGGTGATTAGATTAAAAACTCACTATTTTAAGAAAATGTGTCTTGATGAACTACTCACTTTCTAGTCTGACCCTACAATAATAGCATTAGTATTATATTAAGTCCATTGGTCCTCTCATAGGAAAAACTGGAGTTGTGTTCAAGAGAAGAAACTGTCTTTACAGCAGATTTTATTTTCCAAAACCTGGAATGAAAGTCAGAACACAACTTGTAAGAATGGGAAGTAGAAGAAACATGCAACTTTGAAATGACTCTGTAATGGATTAGTGAACCATTGCAACTGTATCTTTGGTGTTATATAAACTCGTTAGGGTTGGACATCTTGTGTGCATGACTTGTAAATAAATATAATCAACCAGTCATAGGTAGGGGACCAGTGCATTGCATCACCTGCACCGCCTTGATTTACGCCAGTGTTTTGCAACAGAGGGCCTGGCTTTGATTTTAACCCACAGCCCTTTACCACATGTGATTCCCCACTCTCTTTTGTAGTTTCCTACTCTGATAACCATCCTGTTCTCTCAAGAGAGACATAAAAACCGAAGCTTACTGCTCAGCTAAATAAATTTCAGTTGACAAGTCATATTTCCATATCCTTGAATGAATTAAATGTATGTATTTCAAAACATCCATATGCATTTCACTTGAATAAGTCCCACTCCAATCGTACTTAAAGTGTTCTCAGTGGTCTTGAAATTGTGATTGTGAAGTTTTACCAAAAATCTCGTTACCTGTGTCATTTTCAAGGGCTTTTCTTCTGCAGAGCTCCAGTACATCATCAGCAATTTGCCTCTGAGTCGTGGGCGGAGACAGCGCTGTCCTGCACACTTGTCTTTACGTTAGCTTGTAGCCTAGCATTGCCGTTGTAGTAGAAGTGGCAGGTAACATAGGGGCTATTCAGCTCTAGGACACTAATGTCCGTAGAGACATAATAAAAGCTAATATCATAATTATCTTTCTTATGAACATTGCAATCTGCTAACGCACACGCTTATTCCACGATCGTCCTCTGTATTTCTCCTCTATATACAGTGTGGCCCGCATAGAGGGGCTCAGGGGGCGGAGCTTGGATTGGTTACATGTAAAATCTCACTGTTTCTGAACCTGCCATTTTGGTCTGCCGGAGATTCACTGCAATTTGAATGAAGAAATACTCCAAAAAGCAATATCGCATGTAGTTTTCTCATGATAAATCCTGTAGCATCAGAAAAACGCCACATGGACATATAAAAAACAAGTAAAACATGATTTTCATCAGAGTGGGTCTTTAATCATACTTGTGAATAGTACAGTTACTTATGTATGTATTTTTACATACCTGTTAACAATTATTTACACACATTAATTGACCAATATTAAATATACCGGATATTTTGGCCTCTACATGCTTACCCACTAGCTCTTTTTACCATAACTTTACTGTAGGTATGGCCAAAAGTTCATTTATCCAATCCATGAGATAAGTTTTGAGGACATCTTACCCCACGTAAAGAAGAACTGACTCGTGTTTTTCAGAATGAGTTAACACCTCACTTTCCAGTAGCTTGATGCCTCTATTTCAAGCCGTTGCATTATCAGCACTCTTTGGTTTTAGGAACTGAGTGTTGAGTCAGCTTTTCCCAGAAAGTTACCATCAGTGTCCAACACCCAGCAACAATTAGTCAGCTAGAGAAAATAGACAGGGAAAAAAACAGTCCACTTTTTCTACTTTATGCTTGAGTACAAGTAACATCTAACTTCAACTCTGTTTAACTTGCTTAGCCGTACTCATACATGGCCTGTGCTGGCAGACAAGCCACTTTCTGCATCCCTGCATGTGATCTTTTTATTACCTTTCAAAGCCCTTGAGGCTGAGCTGCGGACACTTCTGTTGTGTAATACTTTTTGCACGGCAGTGAAGCTCAGAGGCACGGCGCCACACACCACATCACGTCTTTTTATGAGAGATGCATCAAAGCTAGTTAGAAAAAAAAAACACCGTCATTGTTGCTAAAATTGGAGTGCATGTTGTCATCAGCTGTTCGGGATGTCGGCTTGCTGTGGTTTGGATGGCCTGTGCCTGTGAGGGTCAGTGAGTAGCACTTATGTACTGATGTACCCATGAGCAGTGCGCTGGAGGAGAGCAGATAAGTGTGCGCTTGTCCCAACAACAGAGTTCTTGTTGTTTCAGCCATCAGCTACTGATCATATGAGAGCTGCTAATGATCTTATGCAAGGAAGGATTGAAGTCTGTGCGCATGTGATCTGTGCGCAGTTTTATGTATTTGACCACTCACGCATGCGTCCATGTGACAGATGAAATCATGCTCTCTCTAACTCCCTAAACACACACTGACATATTTAACTGTTACACACAGTTTCTCCACTCCCTGTTTTTGTGTACTGTGAAAGGTCAGACGTGACTGAAGCCCGTTTGACTCAGACTCTGTTCGATGTTGACGTTATGAGCTGCAATTATTTGGAGAAATGTCACCAGTTTTGGCTGAGTCAGCAGATCATGAGAGCCTCGCTGCAGGACAACTAAAAAAAAGTTAAACGGAAACAGAGTGAAAGAGAAAGAAAGCGGGTTGAGGGAAAGAGAGAGATGAAGAAAAGAGAGGAAGAGATGTCTGTGATGTGTTAAAATGTTGTTGCTTGTCAGTTATTTTTAGGTCACACACATCCAGCTTGCTCAGCATGGTAGAAAAACACACACTAGTGCCACCTGCTGACTGCACATTTGGTGTGTAGACAGCTGCCAGGTGTGTGTGTGGGTTTGGAGTTGTTTGATGTGGAAATACGCTAACAGTTTCCACCTGTTTGCAGTAATTGTGCAAAGCTATAAGCAATGGATGGATCTCTGTACCGGGGCCAACAAACGTGAACGTTTACTACATGCTGATTTGGGTAAAACAGCGAAAAGGCTGAGTGGTCCCTGAAAAGCTTTCCACAATACCCAGCAATGTGGGAATTTGTTGTTGCAAAGCCTGTTGCAAGCTCACTTTGGTTTCCATACGGTGCTGTCAGCAGTAAGACGGACTTTACATCTATATCTGTGGAAAAATAGTCATGTACAATCATACATGTTCTTTCTGTCTCTGCAGGGTGACTGAATTCATCCTCTGGAGCTGGACTGAGCAGCATTAGCAGACCAAAGGTAAGCAGAATTAAACCGTGCACTCATACCACACTATCACGTGGTGTGCAAAAACAGTTTTCTGTTTGTAGGGACTGATCTTTGCTGTACAGTACTGGTCTCTAAACATGACTCTTAAGGGTTTTCTTTTGCCCTTTGGCTCAAACAATGTGTGGAAGTTTGAGGTTCCTCCCTTCTGCTGGGATTTGGGTTAGTTTGGGCTGGTACCCTGGCTTACAAACCAAAAACTTTCCATCCCTGCACAAGGTCCTGCCATCAAACCCATCCAACACATTTGGATCAGCAGGAACTCTGGATAAATCCTGGCTCAGCTGTCAAAGATTAGTCGCCAGCCTTTGCTTAAGGCTCTTGTTGCAGAATTGGAGCAAATTCCTGAAGCCCGAAATCTGGTTTAAATCCTGTACTGAGAAGAATAGAGGCTGTTATAGCCGCTATTGCAGATATTTTGTGATATTACCAACTATGTAGATTAGCAGCTCCTTACATGAGGTAGGCTACCAACACTTCAGTTGGCACTGGTGTACCAAATACCAGAGGGTGGGTGAGTACGTTGTTGTGTTGTTCTTATGTATAACTAAAAGATATATGAATTGGGATTTGGATGCAAAAATGAATTCATACGGAACTTACAGTCGAGCATTACAGCGTCAAAGCTGCAGTCATTAAGCAGAGCTACAACTTAGACACAACATATGACCAGCACTGTGGACCTGCAATAATACAAATATTTACGATTAGTATAAATTAGCAATAACCCTGGAGTAGATCAGCCAGGGTGAGTATGTTTGACCCTTCAGCCAGCTATTTATGCACATCCCCTACCTAAAAGTAATCAATAAACAACTGGAATAATAAGCAAAAGTCAGGGTTAACACTTCCTTGAGTTAATAATTTAGAAAAAAAGTATTAAAAGCAATAGATAAATGGTTGGAATAGCCAAAGAGAAGGAAAACCAGCAAAAAAATTGGAAAGTAAAAGTAGTGAAATGATGTTTTAAGTTGAAATAAGGGTGGTTTAACTCATACCATGTCAGATCAATGGATAAAGAGTAGAAATCACAAGCAAAATTTAATGGATATAATGTAAGTACTCAGGTCTGTGACAAAAGAAAACAGCTAGCTGTTTCAACTGTCTTACATTTAGAGAAAACAGTGCAAATCAATGAAACTGTTTTGAATTTATCTAGAAGTGCTGTGGGGTTACCTCAGGTCTGAAAGGATTATGTGATCAATTACTAAAGCTATGTCATGCAATATTTTCAAAATACCTTACTCGTGTTACTGTGCCCACTGTGAGCCTACGATTAAGACTACTACCACCACTACTGTTATTATTACTACTGCCAGACCCCCTTTTTAAAGCATACTGTTACAACTTGGATTAAATGTTATTTAATCTGGTCTGCAGTGTCTGGAAAAGCTTGAGCTGACATCTGCTTCATTCTTTCGAAGATTTGTTTCAACCCCACAGTGTCCATAGTTGAGGCATACCCAAAATACAGGATACAACATTTTTCTATTAATGTCCCGCGTGTCACTTTTTCAGCTTCAGCCCATAAATATTAAACCAACACTCAGTAGATGGTTAGAAAGCTATGCAGAGGTTTCCAAAATAAATGTTCTTGTAGCGACTCGACGACAATGAATCACTGCAGACCTCTTACAGGCTTCTGTATTCGTCCTGCTTGTGTTTCATCCCACTCAAGCTCTGTGGAAAACTTGATGTCTCTGTGGTTAGAGACTCCAACGTTCAACCACGGCCAACTGTTGAGTGCCAGAATTATAAATCTGCGGTCAGTGCACTCTAATCCAAGTATACTTAAAGCAGAGGTCATGTTATTGATGTAAAGGGCTACATGAGTTTGGTATTAATAGCGGACAGTGACACGATACCCTTTGTATGTTACTTTTTGATGTTTTTTTTTTCTTTTTCTTTTTCCGAATATAGTTAATGGTTCGCATAAAATACAGGCAAAGTTAACTTGAGCCAAATGGCCCTCATGGGTAAAAGTTTTACATCATGATTCTTGAGAATAAGTCATTAAATTTGATTTAAAACAACATCTGCCACTTTAGTAGAAATATGCTTTTAAGAGGCTTTAGCTTGACTGAAAGAGATTCATTTCAAAGTGGGGCACTGTCATCGTTAATCATCAAAAAATGCTGCAAGCTTAAACTCATCGAAGTTTTATCTTAATATTAGACAGGTATTTGGGTTAAGTGATTCTAATAATGACAAAGTTATTTGTTTGATTGTACAACTATAAGGGCAGCATAAGAAACAAGGATTTTGAGAATACAGTTGGGAAAGGAAGTTATTTTACAAGAATGAGGTCTGAATCTTATGAGAGTAAAGTTATGAGAACTTTATAAAATGAGAAAAATTCAGTAATGTGATGAGGACAAAGTAAATGATTTATGAAAAGAAGTTGTCATGTTACAAGAATTAAGTTAAGTCCAAGTTGTTAAGCCTGTTAAGGAATAAAATGATCTTTTAATGACAATACAACTGCTAAGTTATGAGAAAAAAAATAGCATTCATTAATGTTATGTTGGAAGAATTATTTGGTTAAGTCATAATGTTTCAAAAAAAGTCAAATCTGATAAGAATAAAGTTGTTTTGTTACAAGAATAAAATAATAAAAAAATAAAAATAAAAAATAATAATAAATAAAATAAGAAAAGAGTCATTAAGTTACAAGAATTAAGTCACAGTGTTATGTGAATTTAGTTATACGATGAGAATACAGTCATTATGTTACAAGAGCAAAGATGTGAAGTGAGGAGAAAAGAGTCATCATGTAATGAGAGTTGAGTCATTATGTTACAAGAATAGACTGGTTATATTGTGAGAACAAAGTCATTGAGTTACAAGAATTGAGTTGTTGACTTGTGAGAATAAAGTCATATAAATGCTTGTAATATATTATGACTGTTTCTCATACTATTATAACAACAGTGGCCTACAACTTTACTCTTGCAACGTTATGGTTCGGCTCCAATAGTTCTGTGGTTTTATGGGCAAAATATGACTCAATTATTCTCATTATATTATGACTTTATTCTTTTATTGGTATGACTGTAATCTTATCATGTCATAACTTTATTGCTACAAAATGCCATCCAACATCTATGCTTGTTTACATCCGGATAGTACACTATTATAACATTATGGTAGTGGCCATCAACTAGAGAGCTATAAGTGGATGGCTTCATTACAGCTCATAAAAAAAGTTTTCAGTATCATCTTTCCTCAAAAACACCAGAATACACTCAGGAAAAATGAAAAATATATCTGCCACTTAAAGGTTGGCTGGCTAAATCCAAGTGAGATTTACTTAAGGGAGAGTGTCCGTCCAGTGAATTGTAAAACTAGTTTTAAAAAGACAGAAACACTGTTATTTTTTTATTTGTGATCATATGGTTAATGATTAAATGCCTTTTTACTTAAATGTAGCTTCCCATGAGTGTCAGTCTGAGAAATATGATTTCTGTGTGTATATTGGCAGCTGTTTGAGAAACGAGCGAAGGCTTGGAGGTGGTTTGGGAACACGTACGGTACATGGGAAAGCTGGTTTCTCTGTGGAGATCAGACAGTTTCCTCAGAGTCTTAAAGGGAGTGTTTGGCTTGAAAGGATGCTGCCCTGTTATCAGTCAGCTCTGGAAGGAGTAAAGCTACACACAGCTGCAGATACTACCTCGCTCAGCGCAGTCGTGATGATCATATCAAAGTGCTGCATGAGTACAAAAAATATACACTCTATATATACACACAGTGTGTGGTTGTGGGCATTTAGGGAGTGGCTGGTGTTCCTACAGGTTTATTATAAGGGACTGTTTGGGTTTGGCAGCTTAGGTGGGGTAAACATATATAGGGTGATGTCTCATCATGAGAAATTGGAGTGTGACCGGAGCTCAAATCTGTACAGCAGCACATAATGTGGGTTTATTGCTGTTTTTTAAGAGTTCTGTGGGATTAAATTGTCCTGTTTCATCCTCTAATGCCAATATTATATGACAGTGGGAAACTTTGTATTTTTAGTATCCCGGTGAGACGATAGAGAATGGATTCAGTGTGTTATATCCTGTTCAGCAAGAAAAGCCTGAGGGAACGTATTATGGTAGGAATATAAGCCTGAGGAATAGGGGACATGGGTTTAGGAAACAAGCAGATGGCTGAGGGGATATTGGGTCTAGTTACAGTAGGATGAGGAGCAATGGTAGGTATGGGAATCGAGATCCGGTTCCAGATGAGAACCACCCCAGACTGCATCAAGCCATCCACATCTTTTGCTTTTATGCTTAATAGTTCCCTTATCGATTATTTCCCAGTTAGTTTCGCATGCCTTGCAAAACAATAGCATGATGCATCTCAAGTAGCAGTCAGTGCGAACAACAACCATGGAGTCATATTATGATGAACGAATTACGAGGCAGTCCAAACCATGCATGTAACATAAAACTGTTGTGTTTACAATACCAGCTTTAAAATAAGGACAGTACAACATTTAAACTTAAAGTAAAATCCACTCTTTCTGTGAGACCGGAAGCCTCCTGTTGATAAACTGTGATAAACTGATAAGAAGCCAGGTTCCCATGTCTCAGCAGAGCAGATAGCGCAAAATGAAACTTATGCTGTTGCGATAGAAAACATGTTTAGACCTATTTTTGAGCCCAGATGAAATGTAGGTAACCAGAAGTGCATAGATAAAGGGAAACTGCTGATTTAAGCTACAAAATAGTGGTAGTGGGCCACCGTAAATGCTAAATAAAAGAAAAAAAACATTTAAATTCCACTAAAATCAGTAATAGGAACCCCATTTCCACCCACATGCATTTGAAAAAGTAAGCATTATGAATCCAAAACATACATGAGTACTTCAGTTTGAGTGCTGTTTCATTTTGGACAAGATTTGTGAAGTTTTGACAAAGTTGTTAACTCCTTCCAGTTTCAGCAACAAGTTTCTGGAAATGTGTTTAAATGTTTGGGGAAAACTGCGAAAACCAGCTAAATTTGTTGGATGTGTTTGTGGTCTTTAATGGCTTTTTTGGCGTAAAACAACAGCTCTGATGGTTTATCTGTTACCATAACAAAAACCACTTTGGACCCGTTGAAAGCTTTACCTTTGATACCTCCTTCCTGCCAGTTTTCATATTGTTGCCAAAGGTGGTGTGTGGTAAAGGTCTTAGAATAGCACTCCTCGTTCCATGATGGACTTGAGCGTGCTTGTGTATGCTGGAAAAGTTGTGGACCACATGAGCGCATTGGCAGCGAGGCTGTGTAATGTGTCCATGTTAAATCCATTCAGATACAGTAGGATCAACTTCCTGCTGCCTCTTGTTTGTTTCTTTTGGAGCAAAAATAGACCTCATTTGTTTCTTCCCTAAATCAGGAACACACAACTGTGTGTCTTTGTGTTCCAGTATCCAGTTACACAGCAGCAGCTGAGCACCCCTGGGATCAGCCTGGTCCTGCTGTGGGGCTCGAGTACGCACAGAGACACACAATGGGTTTAAATTGGACCGTGTTGCGAGCATGCATGCATATTTGTGTGTGTCTTTTTTCCTCATTAAAGAGCACGGGCCTACAGATGGGATTCATACATAACTCTTGCCTTTAGCAAGAAACAAAAAAGAGGCACAGACATGAACAAACCTTTATGCCGTGCAGTTAAAATGAATAAAAATAAGCAGCTGGGGATAACTGATTGATTTGCTTGGTTATTCTATATCCTATTGTAAGCCATGGTTGTAAGGAAACAAAGACAGACACTCTAAAGCAAAGCCTGAGGATCCAAAACATAAACCCATGTTAGTCAGACCACCACCAGCCTGTCTCTACCTCCCACCACCCCCCTCTGCAATAATCTCCCTTCCTTGTATTGAGAGACGGAGGCAGCTGTCGATACGAGGCAGCGAAACCAAAAGGAAATGATGTAATCCCTCCTGTCGGTCTCAGGGGAAGTGATATCATCGTTGCTGGATCGGCAGGCAGCTCCTCGCTCCTCCTCTGCTTCCTCTGCCTCCTTTTATTCTTCTCTCAGAGTAAGACAGGCGAAATGTTTCTGCTCAGATACGCCAGAATTACACCTCAGTCACAATTACCTAAGAGTTACATAAGAGTCAATCAAACTGTGTCCAGAGAAATTGCATAATCTGAGGGGAAAAGTGGAGCTGCAACAATTAAGAGTGTTGATTTTTGTCATTGATTGATGTATTTGAGTGTTTTTCTTTTTTTTTTAGAAGGAAAAAAAAACTAAAAATTCCAGGTAATCCTTCTGAAATAGGAACATTTTGTGGTTTCTTTCCTCTTTTATTACAGAAACCGTTATGTGTGGAGGAAGGGGCATTGCTGACAAGACATTTTCCCTAATTTTCTGACCATTTAGACCTAACGTCTTATCCACAATATGTTTTTTCTCCATTTTTGAAAAGAAAAAGATATTGATTATGTAGAAAAAATATGTAATTGACATTCTTTTGTGTCTTTAATAAGTGGTTTGATGCTTCGCAATCTCGTAATAACCATTCTGCAGTGAGAACTTGAGTCAGGCTGACATTATTATTGGCAATGAGGGTTTGAATCAACAATACAGCTGCAAACTAAGAAAAAAAAAACATGCTAGGGATAATTATTTTTTGATTTGTAAATTTTCATTGTCGTTGTTGTCGTCGTTTTCGTCACGGGGGCAGCAGCTTCAGGAGGGAAGCCCAGACGGCCCTCACCCCGGCCACTTCCACCAGCTCCTCCGGGGGGATTCCCAGGCGCTCCCAGGCCAAGTGAGAGATAAAATCCCTCCACCTGGTCCTGGGCCGGCCACGAGGTCTCCTCCCGGTGGGACATGTCCAGAACACCTCTAACAGGAGGCGTCCAAAAGGCATCCTAACCAGATGCCCGAGCCACCTCAGCTGACTCCTCTCGAAGTGGAGGAGCAGCGGTTCTACTCTGAGCGCCTCCCGAGTGTCAGAGCTCCTTACCCTATCACTGAGGCTGAGCCTGGCCACCCTGCGAAGGAAACTTGTATCCGCGATCTTGTTCTTTTGGTAATTACCCAAAGTTCATGACCACAGCTGAGGATCGGCACGTAGATCGACCAATAAATCGAGTCTCGCCTTGCGGCTCAGCTCTTTCTTCACCACAACAGATCTGTTAAGCGTCTGCATCACTGCTGACGCCACTCTGATATTCCTGTCGATCTCCCGCTCCATCCTACCCTCACTCTTGAACAAGACCCCGAGACACTTGAACTCCTCCACTTGAGGCAGGACCGCCCCTCCGACCTGGAGAAGGCAAACTACCTTTTTCGGACTGAGGACTATGGCCTCGGACTTGGAGGTGCTGATTCACATCCCAGTCGCTTCACACTTGGTTGCGAACTGCCCCAGCAAGAGCTGAAGGTCACTGCTCAACCTCTTTGTATCGCAGGAGCTTTTTGTCCTTAATGGCCACCATCATTTCACCACCTGTAGGGGTGAACAAGGAAGTGTTTACATCTTGAATATAACTGCTAGATATTATTGCTAAATCTAAATTATATGCACTAATGTAGTCGTAAAACCAGTGCAGTCAAACAGACTGGGTTAGAAGTTAGGATGATGTATTTCACAGTCTATAAAAACTCAGACTTGAGGCTCGACAGATCAGACTTCACCATTAATCTTAGGTTTTAATACACCCCTCTTGTCTAGTGTTGAAGTTTTGCTCGTGTATTTAAAGCGATGTTGTTGTGATTGAGTTGGATACAAGTATAGTCGTTTCACTTCCTACAAGTCCAAACACTCGGAGCGTTTCCAGACATGACCCGAGCAGAGAGACTCCTTCACTCCACACGTCTGCTGAGCGAACGAGCGAGCAAAAGGGAGACGAGCGAGCGAGCGAGCATGAAACGGTTTCACTGCAGAATCAGTGTCTGAGCTGGCAGGGCTTCAGGCCACACACACACACACACACACAGGCCAGCTCCTGTAATTGATGTCACAGTGTGAATCCTTGGGCTAATTATGTGCCCTTGCGAGACACACACACACACACATAGGCGCTGTGTGTGGTTCATTCACAGCATCTAGTTGAGCGTGAAAAGTGACATTAAAGTTTGAAGTCTTTTTAACTTTAAGGTGATTATTTCTTCTTGCTTGGTCAGCTGTTTCGAATGTTTTCATACGTGTGTGTTTTCGTGTGTGGCTCAGTGTGCGTGTTTGTGAAAGATACAGCAAAAAAAAACAAAAAAAAAAAACATATGGACCGACTGTCTGGATTCACTTGATGCTTTTTTCCTGGAACTGATTTATAGCCTCACTTCCAAAAACCAACAACCAGCCCTCAAAATACAGCTCTGTGTGTGTGTGACATTGTGTGTATCAATGCGTGTGTGTTTGTGTGTGATGTCCTGATATAGAGCCGTGGGAACAGCCCACACTGAATGAACTCGGGGAGCTTTGGAGCCTCTGCTGTTGTCGTTTTGTTGTGGCACTGGTGGACGCTGTGGGACACTGGGAGCTGCCCAGTTCAGATGCTGCGTGGTGCTCAAGGGCACGAAGGCAGCAGATGTCAGCGGAGTCACGAGGAAGGAGGAACTGTTGGCTGAGGGAGGACGTTTTTCTTTTAAGTCTGTTTTTCTGAACTCTCCTTTCCTACTATCTCTCCTGTTTCCTCCCGAGAGACTTTTTTTCCTCCTCCTCCCTAGTTTGGAGGGAGTTTCTGTTTGTAGTCCGGGTGATATGGACCAATCAGGTGTCAGCAGGTTTGGCGTCTGCAAGAGAAACATAACCAGGTGCAAAAGCGCGATCCACTGTGCACCAGAATGACTACCTGGATGCAAACAAACACAGATGACAGAAGGTATCCCATTAGTGTTAATAAAGATAAATAAGAAATAGAGTTGCTGAACTTGAGTGAACATTTCGTCAAATATATAAAGTAGGGCCCAACTGATATGGATTTTTGGGGGCCGATACCGATTATTAGGGGGGAAAGGAATCTGATTACCGATTAATTAGCCGATTTTTACAAATTTTTATTAAGTTATAAAATAGATTTACTGTAGATATACTGTAGGCTACTGTTCTTCATGCTGACAGGAAGACTGACTGATCAAACTGGGATCAGAAAAGCGTTTTTCAACAAAAAAGTTTATTTACTGTTGAGGTGGACCACTCTCCTCCGTGTGTCCCTGAGCTGCCTACTTCAGAACCGTCACTCTGCTGTGCTGTGAGGCCGTTAGTGGATGAAGATTGTCATGAGGTTGCTGCGCCATCTACAGGATAAGTCTGGGAACTTTTCAAATGGTGGAACATTTTCAAAGTGAAACTGAGTCTTATTTTCCGCATTTTATATTTGAAAATATCATCAGAATCAGCTAGTTTTGGCCGATTCTGACGATGCTGGGCGATAAACTAAAAGTTTACCCGGTACCAAAATTTACGACAATTACTAATGTCATTTTGCCTATATCAATATATTCGGTGCCAAAAAGATAAATAAAGTTGGTTTTGGATGTGTGTAGGTAGGCTATGGTCTCATGTGCCTGTAAGATTCTGTCCTACGTCAGAGATGTTACTCCACACCATCCAGTCTGTAACAAAGAGGCAAAGACAGGTGAGGAGATGGAGGACGGTTCAAAAGTTGTAGCGTCTGGAGCGGTGGCTGAAGTAAAGTTAATGTGGGAGGGGGTGAACAGCTTGTGTAGTAGTTATTGTCCATTTATCGTTATCAAGTAGAACTGCTCAATATATCATGATATTGATTTGAGGCCATATCGCCCAGCTCTTGTTCACTGGCTTCCTCTCTCCTTTCCTGTGGAGTTTTACGTCCCCAGATGACTCGGGCACCCTGTGTCGCTTCACCTCCTAAAATATCCCACTTTGACACTGTATGAGCACTTCCTGTATGCCACACTACAGCTGTCTCTAGCTCTGTATTTCACTGTGTGTGAGGGTCAAAGGTCAGAAGTTTAAGTCACTTCCTGGCAGCCTGCATTTTTTAGCAGGTGTCTATGAGAGGCACGCATTTATGTGTTCATCAAAAACCTGTTGAAAGCAGTTTTAAACTGAATTTTCTTTATTGAAGCCTTAATGTTTTTATATATCATGTAATACTTCCACTATCCTTCAGGGAAAGTGTCTGCTAAGGCTTTGTGTTTGTCTTTCGCTTGAGGAGCTGATGAATAACACATCCCTGTCTCGCTCCCTCTGATTAAACGGGAGGTGTAAGAGTAAAAACAGTTAATACATTATGGAAAAAAGGGGAGGAGGAGGAAAAACATTTACAGGCCGAGGAATGAGGGGGAGAAATGAAGTGAAAGAGGAGCCGGGGAGCTGTAGGAGGACTGAGGGATGGGAGGATGATTGCACGGTTTCAGTCTGACAGACAGGAGGAGTGTGGCTGCAGCAGCAGCAGAGTGATTACTGTTTACTTTGGACACACACGCACACACACACACACACACACACACACACACACACACACGTACACAGCACTTATAGCCCATCACTGTGACTTGCTGCCTCAGCTCAGTCTAACAGAGAGCTGGTTTTCAGACTGCTTCTGGTGGTGCATTCGAGTGACGTCTGACAAACAGCAGAGCAGCAGCAGACAGATCAGAGATCAAGAAAGTCGTGCAGTTAACTTCTTAAAGTTTATCCAGGTTTCATAGGGTTATATATTTTACCTATGGGTGTTATCATCTGACATTTGATATTATCCACACATTGTTTTTCCTGCAGTGTTAGTCTCTGAAGTTTGGTCTCCTTGCGCTGTGCGTTTGTAGTCCAGGTGTTGTTGACCAAACACGTGTACACAGGAAAAAGTGATGAGACTCACCTCTCTGTAATGACATCCTGGCACCTCTATAAACATATAACTACATGTAAGTGCAGCTAACAGTCTACTCTAGATCAAACAAGTCCACTTGAGTCACAGTTGAATTGTTTGACACTTGCTGTTTTTGAAACCTCCAATCATGTGCTACCATCACTGGCAGTATGTATTCATAGATATGTGGTGTATGACTGTTTTGACATGATGGGGCTGTTTTCCATTCTTCCCCTCAGTGTGATTCACTTTGGTGTTGAATCATTATGACTCTAGTCCACACCTCAATACAGAAGCTGGTGTTAATGCGTTAAAAGCTGAGTAGCATCCACCATGAAACAGAAAAAAGAAGAATAGCTGTGGGAAATTGTACACAAAGGAGATGGTCCCTTTTGGGAGAAATCTTGAATGTAAACACTACCCCTACCAACCAGTTTTCCAGTGCTCCTCCTCTCCCCTCCCTGTTCGCTCATATTATTCCAATTAAATTCAGATATAATGCAGGTAAATACTTCAGATAATTACAAATGAGGCCCAGTCAACATAAAAGTAAAAAGTATCGATGCTACTGTAGATGCTAACAGACTACCAGCAAACACAGTGTTTGCCAGACTTCTACAACTAGGATAAAGTGACATAGTCCAGGACCCGAGGTCAACAGTTTAGCGGCGCTACAACACGCAGCAGGTCCCGTTTGACAAGAAACACTTTGTTTAAGCCATTTACCTGTCCAGCAGAGAGGTTACAGGGTCTGTAAGATCCTGAAGCGTCCCCGAATGGTTTTATGTTGGTCTACCTCCTTTTTAAGCACCCGTTATTCCGCCAGAGTCTCCGGTAGTTACTTCGTTTTCTTGCTTGTGTTGGCAGTCATGGCCAAAGCAGGATTCAGACAATTTTCCGTACTTTCTGGTTAGTTCTGCTGTCCAATATTGTAGCACGCTAACTTTGTTTTGGCTCACGCACATTATTGAGGCAGTGGCGTGTGCCTCACAACATGAGGGAGCACTGTCCGCCTCACAACCAATCAGGTTGGGGGAGGCAGAGAATGGCTTTGTTTACAGTCAGAAAGAGCGGGCCGCTCACAAAATTTAAAATGTTGACTACACAGACATAAGAGAACACAGCGATATCATGATATTCCAAAATGTCATCAATAACTAACAGCAATTGACTGATATTAAAAAGCTATTTTGTGTATAAACCACATAAAAAGTTTCCTCTTTAACGGAATCCTGCCTACCCCACCTTTAAGTATCATCAAATTCTTCATAGGGTTGCCACTTTTTCAAAGAATCAGGTTCAAGTTGACTCTCGACCGTCTTCTCAGATGTTTTAGCGTTGCGACTGTCCGCGTAGGAAGGTTTTGATCTGGGGTGATACTAGAAATTCGTCACTGTATGAACTGACTGAGGTAAAGAGTGGTATTCAATGGTCAGGTAACAGTAAGATTGAACACAGACTCACTTTTCGGGATAGAGAGGACAGCTCTTGTTTATTGTTGTGTGAACTTGAACCAAAGACCTTAAAACCCTCTAGTATGCTCTGTCGAGGAGCGGCAGACAAAGAGATTCTGATTTGATGCATCAAAGATTAATTATCGCAGTTTTTTTCTCTGTCAAATTCACTGTGGAGTTGAATTTCATCAAAGTGTTGCAAATATTTTTATGATTTATTTTGTGTTACGCATCTCTGTTCCCCCCTGCTCTGAGTTACAGCTCCGCCTGGGGTCAGACTCCGCTTTAATGCGACGTGAAGTGAATTTTTTTCTCACATTAAGATTTTCCAAACAGAAAAGAGCTTTATGTGTCGGCCCGAGTCTAACCCTGGCCTGTGTGGAAACAGCAGATTGTTGTACAAGAGTGCAGCTGTGAGAGTTTTCACAACGCTCCTCCAGTCCCTCAGCAGTCCCCCAACCACACAAATACACTCACACACACACACACACACACACACACACACATACACACACACGCTCACCCTATCCTCCAGCCTAAATGACAGACCTTGCTAACCACAGGGATCTAATTGTAGCACCGCTCCTCAGTGTGTTCGAGCATTTGAGTGTGTGCGCGTGTGGTGTTTTTCAATGTATGTGAATATGGGTGTGTGACATTCTGCTCTCTAATCTTGTGTGTGTGTGTATGTGTGTGTTTTGGCTGGCTGACACTCCCCAGAGAGGAACAGGGGGCGACAGTGAACTACTCCCCAGGAATAGCACTCTGTGTCTGGGGTGATACTTTTGGCAGAGGGAGCCGTGGAGAGAGGGAAGGGGGATTAATTTCATAATTTATCTGATTATAGTAACCATGCTCTCTTTGAAATGTTTATTGGCATATCGGGCCAACATTCGTTTGCTGTTTGGTCCAGCAGAGGAGCCTATCATCGTTACCTGACTATTGAATGCCACTCTTGACCTCACTGAATTAACACAGGGATGATTTTCCACAAAAATGGAGGATGTGTGCCATTCTGAGCGGACAGTCAAGACAGGAAAATATCCAGAAATCACCTCAGAAGTAGAAGAAGTCAATGTTAGTAGACACACTGCTAATTTTGATGATCAATCTAAACAGACAGAGGTGTTTTTTCAATGTGCTGCAATGTTGTGGAGTGATACGAAACATCATTGAACTGCAAGTGAAGACGTTTATGGGCTGGAGGCTTTTTAGTAAGACTCAGGCTTATCTCCTCTTAATCCATCATGAGCAGAGCAGCGTTCAGAATGAAGAACTTCAGCACCAGATTGTTAAAAGACAGCAATCTGCTGAGACTGTAAACACAAATAGTCGAAATGTTCCTGTTGTGCACAAACACATGAGTGTGAATAATGGGCAGCACTGAGGTCAAACACTCATCAATGTCTTAAAAAGTTTTCCTCTTTTGACCTTTTGTCTTCAATGTTCTTCATTCTGCATATTTTTCTAAACTTAACAGAAGTTTTGGAAAGCTTTTCAAACTTTTGTTATTAATAAAACTCCAGGAGTTGACTCCCACTGTCCTCAGTTAACAGGCTCAAAAAATCTGACTCCTTGAACAGAGCGGTCTGTTCCCCCCCGAGCTAAAAATAATAATTATCACAATAATCAGCGACATGATTCATAACAAAAGAACAGAAGCAGCATGAAGAGGAAATCCAGGGGAAAGGTTGTGACAGATTAAGACAGAGCGTGTGTTTGTGGTACTACTCTGAGAACAAATCAACGCACTTTGAAGACGGTGCTGCTATGATTAATGGTGCCAATAACGCTCCTGACCACATACACACACGCACGCACACGCAGAGTTATGAAAATATATATTGTGGTCTCAGCTGGGATACAGATCAGAGACAAAGACACGCAGCTGCTGCTGAGTTCTTCTCTGTGTTGACATCCAGTAGCACAAAACGTGACGCGCTGAACGTTAAATGATTCATGTACCTAAAAACCAAGAACAGAAGGTACAAGGAACTGAAGAGTGACATAAAATATTACCAGAATGTTTTAATCCTTTTGCCAAGTTAAGTTGTTTTGGATTATTTTTTTTATGTTAGTGCTGCATATTGTCAAAATTTGTCAGAAAAGGATCATGATTATAACTTTTTTATTCAGAAACTTTTAGGGAAATCTGGGACAAAGTTTGATACGATTTTATCTCCGTGGAACAAAGAGTTACGTATTTTAATAGACTGATAAATTGGCAGAGACATGTGTCTGTGCTCAGCCATCATTCGTGTCCCTGGCTCTTTTTCTAACAGCTATAAAAGTATAATACAATACAAGAACTTTATTTATCTCTACAGGAAAGTATTTAAAACGTCTTAAAATCTGATTAAGATTTGTTGGATTCCTTTATGGGTCATTTTGAAGGTTGAGTACAGCTGGACTCTGTCTCTCAAACCTTATACTCCCTGCTGTCAAGTTCTGAGTCTGTCCATTTAAAACCAGCTGGAATCTGTCACAAACAGCTTTTATTGTCAGTTTTCAATTTTTACTGCAGCTTTTTTAGATCTGTCTCCATGGCAGCGCCAGGAAACTTTGACGAATGTTGTAAGAAGCTGTTCTCGAGAAAACTGTATCAAAGTTCTGTCGTAGTGTCACCATAGTTCTCTTGTGTTGATTGTGATGAAGGAGTTCAAATGCTTTCAGTCAAACAAAAACTAAGAATATATCAATTAAAGCCAAAAAATAGTAGTCGGGGAAATCTGCATTCAGACTTTATGTCCCTGATTTTTGGACAAATCAACCTCTTTAATGCTACAATTTTTTGTTGCAGGTTTTTAATTGTTTTGAATGTTTAAGTTGATTTAATTTGTTCCAATATTTAAATAAAGACACTTAAAAAGACATTTTAAATCTACACAGCGGTGTAAAACCCAAAGAACTTTAAAATCTGCATCAGATAATATTGAAAATGGTGTTCCACAAGGTTCCATCCTTGGTCCTGTTCTTTTTTCTCTTAATATAAATGATAAATAAATTATAGCTATTTTTAGTTACAAAATGATTTTGTTGATGACAGGAACTTGTATCTTGCTCATGCTTATGCACAATCTGCTGAGCTGCCTCTCTGGATTAAAAGTTGCACTCACTAAACAAACGTATGTCAGTCTTGGATGCAGAGAGACTTTTTTTGAAGCTCTTTTGCAGAACAGAACATTTCTGACTTGAACAAACTCATGATCACTTCCATATGTTGCACCATTCTTGACAGGGTAACTGTAAATAAATATATAACTATTTACTTTAATGAGAAGTGATTCAAAAGTTATAATTCAAATTCGGTTAGGTTGAGTTGAAGATTTACCTTTTTTTTTCTGCAGAAATAAATCCCGATTTCATTCCTTGTTTCGTGATTATTTTAGTGCCAATCCTTTCCTTCTTTGATTATTTCTTTTATATCTGCTTTTTTCATTTTAAATCAGAGATTTCTATCAGTTCAAAGGATTTAGATAAATGAAATAAAATAAAAATAAAAAATAAAAATAAATAAATAAATAAATGATGTGATGATGACAGACTGCTGTAGTGTAGTACAGAATTTTGGCCACTAGATGGAGTTGAGAAGTCACACTCTGCCATAACATTCATCATAGTCTTCTCTATCTGTCTTCTGTCTTTTCTGCAGATGGATCAGTTGTCAGACGAGGAGGTGGAGGTGAGGGAGGATGAGGAGGAAGAGGAGGACAGCGATAAGGAGGACCAGGACCTGGATAAGATGTTTGGAGCCTGGCTGGGAGAGCTAGACAAACTCACACAGGTGAGCAGAAGTTTTCCAAAACTCGGACCCTCACCTGTATTCTTTTGCAAACATGCCAAAATGTTTGATTTACTCCGTCTGCTGTCTGTCCAGAGTCTGGATGATGGTCGCCCACAGCCGCAGCAGCCGCCTCAGCAGAAAGCACCTCTCAGACAGGAGACAAACATGGCCAACTTCTCCTACAGATTCTCCATCTACAACATCAACGGTCAGACTTGAACACAGTAAACTCAGACTCCTGATCCTCTCCTGCTCCGTCATGATGTCTTACATTCTGGTTTTTCCTCTGTGTGTCTACAGAGGCGTTAAATCAGGGAGAAAACGTGGATCTGGACGCTCTCATGGCCGATCTGTGCTCCATCGAACAAGAGCTCAGCACCATCAACGCCAAACCCAACAGTGCAAGCGGCATGGCTCGCCTGGGACTGACCGACACGAAGGTACAGACGCAGTCAAAGTGCAACAGTTTCTTTCTCAAGCCAATATAGAGACGCTAGTTCATGCTTTAAAACCAGGAGAATTGACTTTTGTACCGCTTATCTTTCTGTTCTTCCTGTAAACAACATCTTTAACTTCAGCTGCTGCAAAACTCAGCTGCAAGAATGCTGACCAAGACCAGATTTTTAGAGTTTTCTATCGTTTTTTAAAGGTCCGTCAGAAGCCTCCAGCAGGGCGCAGCAGCAGGCAGCAGCCAGCAGGGGGCAGCAGCATCAGTGGTGGTGGAGGTGGTAGTGGCAGTAACAGTGCCAGTGGGGGAGGGGGCAGCAGCGGGGCCAGCAGCAGCAGCAGCAGCACCAGAGCTTCACCCGCAGGGACCATCAGAGCTCCAACAGGGCATCATGGGAGACCGGCGCTCGCCTCTAACTTCAGTCTGGATGACATCACTGCACAGCTGGAGAAGGTATGTGGATGTAAATCTGGAAAGACATCATCCTAACTCTTGGTTATACTCCTTTGGTTCACCCAAACCCCCTGAAAATAACACATTTGATAATTGCAGGACTGTTTTGAGAGAAAGACGTAAAAATCTCCAACTGATAATCCTGATAAAGCAGTCATCAGGTTTATGAAGTTCCAGAGGGAAAAAGAGAGAAACAGAGTTTCTAGATAAAGATAAATAGGTCGGTGAAAGCTGGAGGCTGAGAGGAAATTTGTTTCAATGTTTTTGTGGCTGAATAATCAATTTCATCCAATCTGTGGTCAGTGTTTGCTGCAGCTGTTTATCTTTTCCTGCCTGTATGAATCCCTTGGCTGAAAACTAGCAAGCTGATGGAGAATACTGTGGTGAGCTGAAACATTACAGTGTTTCCAAACCGCCATAAAGCAACATGTACAGGGTTAGACAGATGAACAGCAAAAATGAAAACTGCCTTAGTGGCTGTTTTTGTGAATTACATGGTTTTTGAAGGTTCTTTCAGGGCTTAATTTACCCCAAATTCATGGATAAGGCTAATTTTAATAAATCCAAGGAGCAGTAGTGCTCAGGGATTTCTTTTTGCATTATTTGCAAAGGTCTAGCTACCCGCTGAACCTGTCGTTATATGAACCTTGTTTATTTAGGCCGGTGCATATATGAAAAAAACAAAGGGTTTCTCAGCTGTTTTTTATAGTATTAGGTGTCCTTAAGAACATAAATAATAACAATAAATAAGTAGATATGGCGTTAGGGTTAGGGTTAGGGTTATGGGGTTAGGGTAAAAATCACTGTCTAGGACCTATTGAAGAGCACGTTTCAGACCATTTGGAGTCAATTAGTTTAAAAAAAAAAATTGGTAAAAATGGAAAAAAAAATGTATTTAAGCGTTAGGGTTTCTTTGGGGTTATGTTGGGGTATTGGGGTCAGGGTAAGGGTTATGGGGTTAGAGTTAAAATCACTGTCCAGGACCTTTTTAGAAGCATGTTTTAAACTAGTTGTAGTCAATTGGTCCAAAAAATTGTGAAAAATGTCCAAAAAAAAAATTTGTAAGTGTAAGGGTTTCTTTAGGGTTATGTTGGGGTATTGGGGTCAGGGTAAGGGGTTAATGTTGGGGTTAGGGTTATGGGGTAAGGGTCAAAATCACTAAACAGGACCTTTGTAGGAGCACGTTTCAGACCATTTGGAGTCAATTGGTACAAAAAAATTAGGAAAAATGTCATCTTTTTATGTATGCAAATTAGTGCATATTTAATTAGATATTGCCTTATTTACATATTCATACATAACACTTGACAAAACTTTTAATACAAAAACAATTTGTCTTAATGTCAGTTATAAACGAGGGAGGTTTCATGGTGATATCTGTTCGTTAAAAATTTTCCCCTGGGCTTCCTACCCATCATGGACGCCATCTTGAAAATGGCACCTTTCTAGTGGTCAAACTTTGATAAACTTTTAGTATGTTGTTAAGGACATCAAATACTATAAAAACAGCTGAGAAACCTTTTGTTAGAATTTTTTGGGGTCAAGTCATATTTGCACCTGACTAATTATAACACCACATGTATATGTCACATCGTCTGCCTCATCATGTGCCCGTCTTTTACTCCCTGTGTCTCCATTTTTGCTCCCCATCAGGCGTCTCTCAGTATGGATGAAGCTGCTCGTCAGACCTCTTCTCACTCCCTTAGCTCCGCCTCCACCTATTCATCCTCAGCCTCGATGCGGCGGCCTGGATCCTCTCAGCGCCAACACAGACGCACAGGATCAGTCGGCACTGTCAGTGAACACGAGGTACATCAGCTCTAAAGTGACCGCAGACTTTTATCCTGAGTCTGGAACTTTTTCAAAAGGAGTTATTTCAGGAGCGCTATTACATAATATTTCAAGCTTTTCAACTTTGTGTCTCTAAATTTAGAGTCCAGGGCCAAGTTGCTGAAAAGAAATCTGGTTGGGTTAAAGCTGTATGATTGGATTAAAATGGGTTTTGCAGAAAAAATAGAAAGACATTATGATATGAGATCAGATTTAATCCTGTTTGCTTTTTTAACAATAGGAAAATTAGGAAAACTTATTCCCAGAAGAGAGCTGGATTACAGGGAGAAAATGTAAAAACTCTCCAAAACTACAGTTTTACAATTGTTTTGATGCTTAAGACTGTTATTACTTTGATGTAGATGAGGAACGGTAGATGAGGTAGACCTTAAAAACACATTTTTAAATTTGTTCGTATCGAACATAAAGTTTTGATTTGAAGCACCTTTGGGAATCTGTTATTTGCATGGATTTTGGTGCCCTCTAAGTATGTGGTTAGCTGTCCCGTAAGCGCCCTGAGATTCCAGATTTGGTAATCTCTAAAGTCTTCTTGATTAAGGTCCAGTCCAGTTAACCCAACTGAACCCTCTGAATCTTTCTTTCTGAGCTTTGGTTTCTCTTTTACCATCTCTATTTCAGGTGCGTTCAATTGTCCACTCCTCCCGCTCCTCCGTCACATCAGCCTCTGGAGTTTCGGTGAACTCTGCCTCTTCCATGGAGTCGTTGGACAGCGTTCTTCGTAATGAATCTGATGGACAGCAGGTGTCAGTCATACCCTCAGCTGGAGGAGCCGGTCAAGGTCACATGGAGGTACAAACTCATTTTTTTTTAATCAAAACTATGAGTTGACTTTAAATAAGTTCATATTTCAGGAAATCTGGTCATTCTTGGTTGAAGGAGGCTTGACACTTAAGATTGTGACCATAAACTCATCCAAAAACTGTTATTAGAGGTTATAAATCAACTGAAAAGTCATCTCATTTACCCAGGGTTTCTAATTATCCTGCATCAGTCGGCACTGTTGCCCCCTGTTGGTCATTAGAGGAAAAGGGTTTTACGGTATTTGTGATTCTTCCATGTTTACCTCTAGTTTATTGGTCCAGGTGTGCTAAAAGGATCTCCCTCTCTAAAACCTGTCCTCTTACTGGGATTACGCTGAGTCTGCTATCGTTTCAAGCAGACTATCAGGAGATTAAGTGGTTTAGCCGATAATTGCATTGAAAATGCCGGGTATGTCATTAGCGCACATGCAAGTCAGGATCAGCGGGTCAAAGAGAAGACATGTAGATGATAAATACTTAAATGTTCCCTTTGTTAAACTAAATGTTTACTTTGATTTTGAAGTTTATTTTTCTGGTGACAGAATCTGTAACATTTAACTTTTGAGTGTCTTTTATGAGGTCGTCCTGCAGTGTGGAAATTTCACACAAAGTTGCATTTAAAGTTGCAAAATCAAAATGTTTATTGCTTAAGCAGGTTAACATACAAAGAATGAGCTCTGGGCTTTTGATGCGTCACAAATCTATTATTACGCTATTGTTTGACCCATTTTCGCAAGGTGTTTTTGCCAAGATAGTTGGTAGATGGATACATTTATACTTAATTGATCTGGAAGGACATTCGTTATCCAGTAGCTTGCAAAGCACATGATATCTACACGTAAACCAATTCAAGTAGCAAGAAAATAACTTAAGCATGTCAGATCATATTTGAACTGTACAAACTGCAATGAAACACGTACATATTTTAGATTAAGCCATTTAATTACACAATTTGATTATTAAAATTGAGCCAGTTCTACAATAAAGAATCAAACGAAAAGATTCAAATTGAACCAAAATAATTAACGTTGACCACTTGCAAAACAACCCTATTGCAGCCTATACACAATGAAAGTAGCGTTTCAAAATGGCTAATGGCAAATTTAAAAGAAACATGTAATGAAATTATGCAAAAAAATCTGGTTTTAATTGCAGGAAATGTGTGTTTCGTGGTCATAGTCCTTTATCTAGAAACCTTCATTTGAGAGATTACAGAAAAGGAAAAAGTTAAGAGTATTGATGATGAAGAATAAATCTATAATTCAAAACACAAATACTTAAAATGCATTTACATGTGAGAAAAGAACATCCAAAACGATTGATTAGGGAACTCACAAAAATTGTGTGATAATAAACAAAACATGAAAAATATCTGCTTTCCTGTTCATTCCTTGAACAAAGTTAGACAATAAAAACATTTATAACCCTGAAACCATCAAATGCAGCCTGTTAAAACAGGTTATTTGTGTCAACTTTCAATGGAGGTATTGTCCTAAGTATACTTCAACTTGACTTTTACAGTTAAATTATATGTTGTTCTGTGAAATCAGTGGTGAACTTTTCCACAGCTGCAGGAAACATCTCTTACCCAGCAGACGTACCTTCTTCTCAGCGGAGGTTTTAAAATAGTGAAGGATTTTTTCAGGCTCTGCTGCAGCGTTTGGTTTGTATTCTCTGGCCTTTTCTCCTCCTGCTGGCTGTGTGCTCCTGACAGTTTCTGCTGCTTCAGGCTGTGTCCTCGCTCTTTTTCAGATCAAAATCACTCAGGGTTTTTTTTTTTTCCTGTCTTGGAACACACTGAGTACAAAAAGCAGAAAATAATCTTCCCTGAAATCACAGTCGTAGACAACTCAAAGATGTGGGAGAAAAAATGTGAAGGGTGAAATGCTGGAAGAGCACAGAACAGTTGCAGGGTTCGGTTTTAACTCTGCAAACTTTACATAATTCCTCACTCACACTATCCTTCTAATTCGACCCCAAAACAATGATAATTTTTGCATCATGCACAAGCAAAAAAATAAGCAGGTCTGCAAACACAAACCCCGTTCTGAGAGTAGGAATCTGGGTTACAGCTTCATTTCACCCAGTGTATACAGAAATACTACAGAGACCAGCCATGGAGAAAGAGAGAGAGGGAGTAAAAAAAAAGACGAGTGTAGGATTGAATAAAATTAGAATAATGAGATGAGAGACCAGAGTGAGTCAGCGAAACAGCGATGATGATGATGAAGGAACATGGAGAGGGGATGGTGGTCACCAAAGGGCGATCACAGAGAAGAATAAACAGTGATGTGTATGAAAAGAAAACAAAGAGACAAACACTGAGGCGGAGAGAGAGAGAGAAAAGCAGAAGAGAGGGATTAGAGAGGATGTGATGTGGTGTTTTGGCCCAGAGCGCTGCTCCCATGAGTTCAGCTCATTAGAAACTGGGACTGCTGCAGTTTGAGTCTCAGAGTGTTTTTCTGCTTCACACACTCTCTTTGAGTGTACATCGAGGGCTAGAAAAAAGTAGATCTCCCTGAAACCTGCTGAACTGTCTGAAAAATAGAGATTAGACTGTGTATTGATGGTCTGATGTTTCTTTTCTAATTAGAGAGGCAGTGACAGTTCAATCAACTGTGCAAAAACAGCATCTAAAAGCGCCTTACATAACCGTATACACAACATAGGACATTATATAATTCATTAGAAGTATTAATAATAATCAGGCAGACCTGGGGTTGAATGAGGAAATTAGAATTAACTGAACCACGTGGACACGGTGTCTGATTGGTGCATGTCCAAAGCCTCCATTGTGGAAGCAGCAGCAAAGAGTTGTGGCCTCATTTGGTGGTGGAGAAGGAGGCCTCTTGGACTCAACTAACCCAGGTGTTTCTGAAGCATTAGATTGGTACCGCTCGGGTGGCCTGGATGGCTTTAGTGGAAGCAGAAGCCTAGTGGGGAAGCTGTGGGAAAGGACTTCTTGCTATCAAGCCTCTTCCAATATCATATGGAGGTCTGGGATAGTGTGTGTGGCATAGTAGTGAACCTGGGTGATGGTTCCCTAGAGGTTGTGCTTCAGTTATGTTAAGATCTTGTACTTTTCAGCCCCCTTATTCCAGGATTCAGGGGAAAAAAGCTAAACAAATACTGTGTGCAGGAGTTAGCCCATCCAGTCGTCTACTAGTGTATATATGGAGAAGGCCTATGACCAAGTCTCTTGGAGGATCTTGCAGGGGGTATGACAGGAATATGGAGTTCTAGGGCCATTGAGCAATGAGCAATCTGGTCCCGACAAGTGTAAGAGACTGAAGGTAGACATGTTCCTGGTGCCTTCACAAGGATTACCCCTTTGCCAACAGTCCTGTTTCTGATCTCAGAAGATGTCCAGGGTGTCTGGCTTAGAGACTTCAGAATCCATCTCTGGTTTTTGCAAGTGTTTATGTTGACCTTTAGTCCCTACCACTAGAGATGCAATTAATAAAGCAAGAGAGAAATGGACCAAGGGTATTCCTCAACAGCATCATGAGAAGGGAGGTCCGTTTGTTATGGCAGTCAGCTGATTCTTCAAATACAATTCTCATTTTTATGGATTTTATAAAAATGTTGTCATCACACGGTACTAACTGACATGCCTTAACAAGTTTTTAAGGGCATCAGCTGTAAAGTTCATCACTGATGAGCGTAGCCATTTACAGGCACTACAGCCCCAACTAGTGGTGGGTGGCTGTACTACAGCTCACACTGAATACGACCAGATTTTCATGTCTTCATGAATGAAAGAATTACTGATTATGACAGAGAAGATGTCAGACAGTCAGGACAGACAGCCTGAGCCAGACACAAACTAGAAGTTTTGGACCTGAAGGTATTTTTATCAGTCATATTTGAATGACACTAAAGCTTTTATAACCTGTCTCCACTTTATTAGCTTATGCAAAATACTGGAAAAAAAATGTAAAATAGTGGAGATACCATTGTCAAAAAAAAGATGATTGAGAGGAATTAAAAATATAAAGGAGTGTAGCAGAAATAAAATCTGTTCCTTGAAATATAAATACATGAAAACAATATTTTATCAGATTAAAAATAAATCACTTTTAATAATCTGAAAGCTGTTTGTCAAATGTGTAAAAATTTTAGCCCCCCTTACATTGGATTACACAAAATATTTAATATAAAAACCTGTAGAGGAGCCACACAACATTAGCTACATCTTCATGTGTGGCTTTTCCCTCTGAGTGATTACTGTGTACCAAAGAGGATCAACACACACACAGAAAATACACACAACACACACTCTTGGATGTCAGATCTTGGCCGAAGGGAAGACTGTAATCGTGTGTGTAAAAAAGTGTGTGTCTGCAGCATGTTTGACCTAAATATTATTTTTAATCTGAAGCTGTCGAGAGAGAGAACTAATGCTTTCTATAAAATGATTTCTAGTGATTGAAACACATTCAAGAGATTATAAAAGACAGCAGCAAATCATATTTGAGCGTTTTAAAACAAATGTAGTTTATTAAAATAAAATAAAGTGCTTTTGTTTTATTATTCTCAGATTCTGATATATAGATAGAAATAGATACCAGTTATCATTTGTACCTCTAATTGGTTAAAAATAAGTGGAAATTAAATAAAATGTGTCTTTTTAGAACCTTGGCTATCTAAAATAAGTATCAGGGAATTTACAGTATTAGATAAGATCCAAAATACAGACTGTACTGAGACTGAAACTCCATCCAGCATCCTGATAACCTTCTGTCTAACACAAACAACTTTTCTCTGCCCTTTAATCCAATAAAACGGATAAATCCCACTGTGTGTCTCTCTACTGGAGTCCAGTCTGCCCAGTAGGAACCAGCTCAGGCTGACTCACTGCAGCACATGCTCCAGAGACACAGGATTATCAAAAGCTCGCTGAGCCGATAGATTTGACCGGCCTCTGTGGAATCCACGTTGTCAGTAAATATGAGTAATACAGTAAATAATTTATCAAATAAATAATGAATAAAATCTGGCTGGTATCCTGCTGGCATGGAGATAAAATCCTGTGTAGTATGAAGAGGGGAGGGGTGGGGAGGGGGTCTGTTTGGCTGTCTAGACTTCTTTGAGTCAAGCCTGGAGCAGTGCTGACTTGTCTCTATTTGAATTATTTAACCTTTATTTTCCAGAGAAATGTTGACATCACTGTCTGAAGTGTACACAAGGTTTTTTTTTCAGTGTTCAGGAGTTAAATAAAAAAATACGAATTTAAAACAATAAATCCAAACATCCTCTTTTTATTATTGGTTTTTAATTTTGGCATTTTGTGTAACCTTCTTGTATTCTTGGTTGAAAGTAGTTCATTGCTTCATCATTGACCAATCAGAATTGAGAAGTTGAGGGACGACGGAGAATAAGCAGCATAAAGATTTTAAAAACAAGCTTAAAGGTACAGTCTGTAAAAATATTCCCCTTTGCATTCCAAGTTGACAAAAACAATTTCCAACAAGTCCATTCTGATAAATGCTGCCAAATACTGCTCATTGCACCTTTAACAATCTCCACTATGAGTAAGTGCAGCAGGACAATATTTGTTGTAAACTAATTAATCAGCGTCACATTGGCATGTCAGTTTTGGCCGATGAGAACTGATATCACAACCAGTAACAGTAAATACCAGTGAGAAATGAAGAGAGTAGATGGAGAAGGGAACTGGGAGAGGAACTTAACTTTACTTTTGACTTACAAGGACAGTGCACCATATAACAATACAATATCAATATTACACCTAAAAGAGGCTACAAACCACATTAAACACTGCAAAATTTACAATATAACTGCTCACTGAGTAATATTACAACATAGACAGGTGAGAAATTACATGCAGCTTCTCATTAGAGTTTATAAAAATCTGTAGAAATCCACTCATGGAGAATTAACAGAGTGATTGATGTGCAGCAATATCAGTACAGCAGCTTCAAAATCAGGTGAATATTAAATATATTGAATTTCGTCTAATATAACTTGATTTTGTTGATGAATAAAAGTACCACCCCCCTTTCTTTTTCTTGAAAATCATATCTTGGATGTAACCTCTTCTTTTCTCTGAATTTTAAATCCCATCTGGTAAAATATCTAAGCAGATTGAGCAGGTGGAGCTCTCAAGATTTAAAGAAAAGCGTTTCCTCCTAAAATATTTGCTTGACTGATGATGTACAACCGTCTTAAAGGATCAGATGGATTTTCTTCTTCCTGGAGGACAGATGTGACTTATCCAGTCTGGATGAAAATAAGCTCTGGGTTACTTTCTCTGACAGTTTGTTTCAGTATTTTTCTGAATATTCCCTCTCCTCGTCGTCGTACCTGTATCATAAAACTGTGATTTGTTTATGATGTGAACATTTCTCCTCCACAGGTGTTTATCTACAGCCGCTGAATCAGTGATGTTTTTCTGCTGCTGAGCTCTGCTTCTCCACACAGCTTTCTGCTAAACCTCCACGCCCAGCCAATCAAACTCCACATTAATTCACCAGGACTCTCTCTGTCTCTCTCTCTCTCTTTAAAGCACTCCTATCTGGACAGGGAAACCTCTCTGATTCTGAGAAACATAGCAGGAAAGCCTTCACACCTGCTGACCAAGGTGACACACCATTCATTTCTGCACGCCACTGCTCCTCTCCTGCATGCCTGTCACCCTGAGCGACTCTATGCATGATTCAGTGTTCATGCATAAGGAGTCAAGATCAATGTGCATGTCTTTTCTTTACTCCTCTCTCTTTCTTTGACTTTTGTTTTTAATCAGGGACACTTTGTGTGTTGTTTGTGCGATGCAAAGTGTGGTGACGTGTGCTGTTTACATGCAGAAACCTGGAGTATGATCCTAAAGCTTTGCAGAGACTGTAACACATATTGTGCCTTTAGAAAACACAACATGACAGACACTTTTTGGGTAAACTAGGCTAACCATTAGTTTGCAACATGAATTTGACGCCAATCTGATAAAAACAGAGTTAAGTCACATCGTCATGATGTGGAATGGGTTAAAGCCTGCAAGACAGAAATGCAGGTCCATTTTATAACGTAATTATATATGAATAAATTGAATAAAAAGTTACTTGATGATTTAATCTTGAAGAAAAAAGTAACTGAAATTGGTTCGGCTAATTGATGGGGCCAAAGTCAGTTGCCTTTTTGTGTCTTAGTCCTGTAAAGCTTTGTGGAAATTGGATGTGATTGTTTTTTGGGTAAAAATACTCTGCTCTCCTGCAGAGGAGTGACACTGTCTCTGTGTCGTCATACCCCAGCTCCTCTCTGGTTCTTGTTTTCTGGTGAAGCTTGTAAATGTCAGATCTGCAGCCTGAGTGCAGAGGCCATTCTGCTTCAAGCACGATTGGATTTGTCTTTTTAAGATAAAGAAAACGCATGATAAGAGAGGAGGCAAACTGTACCTGACACAGTGTGCACTGTTTGGGTTTACATCTCAGCGGAGGGAAGAGTCTCACAAAGAAGCGTTCACACATGTGCTTATCCTCTATTGTGTCTATTGTGTAGAAGCAGCAGAAACAGCAATATGTTGGCCTTTGTTGACAAAACTCTTGTGTGATCACGATCTAAGACTGCTTCACCAACACTTTGTGCTTGTGGTTACATATTTGGGATGATGAATTAATGATGAAGTTACTTTTTCATATTTTATAAAAACTGTGTTCAGGTAAGTGTGACAATCAACACTTTTTTGTCTGCATCAATCCACCAAAACTAGTAAAAAGTCCAGAATGTGTTACCAGGTAATGGACGACAGTTCTAAGCATCGTTCCCGATCAGTTTGCAACAATTGTTTAGTTTCCCGTTCCTCTTTATTTGCAGGTATTGTGTACTCTTATTTTGACTCCTCTGTGGAGCAAGCCTCTAGTGACCATTTGAGGAACTGCAGCTTTAAGCACTTTTTGCACTGACCGTCTTTCCTTTAAACTGCCTGTCCGGGCGCCACATAAGGCGGGATAAGATTTTACTTTCACAGAGTTCCACTGACCTTGTCCTTTCCAAAGGATCTATTAAGCCCAGTGTGTGCCGTGTGTGGTTGGCATCACTGACCTGACAGGACATTGCTAAGCAGCCTCGGTTTGTTGTTGACGGTCTGGAGCTGGGCCAGTTGCAATAATGGAGCTTAGCCGGTGAGCCTTGGGCAAGTTAACACCAATCAATGCAGATAATGGGACCAGCTAATACTCTAATCATTGCTCGTGTTGTTGTTGTTGATGTCCAGCCCAGATCTGGATACTGGTGTTGGGCAGGTTTTTGCAGGACTGTAGCTGCAGAGAAAATAAACCAAGTCTTTGTAGAGCTAGACACAGTGGAGAACATCTTATCTTAACTGATGGCCCCATTTGAAGGAGATTAAATAGAATTTTTCCATTTTAACCTGGCTTTTCTTAAGCTATACAACCTAATGTACATGAATGTACATGAATTAGATTGAAAAAAAACTCCAATATGTGGCTGTAATGTAAGAGTTTCTGCTGCTCTTAAGCTAAAGCTGTAGTCCTCTTAATGGCTAAGGGGAGAGTTTTATTTTCTGTGTGTGTGTGTGTGTGTGTGTGTATTAGAGAGTCAGTAAGGAGGCTTTATTCTGATTGGATCAGGGTTGTCATGTTTTGACTGGATGATGAAGCACATAAAGCACTCTGATTGGATGTTAGAGGAACGGATCAGATCCCTGATTATAATCTTCTTTGCAAAGAGGGGTGATTCCCAGTAGCATCATATAAACACACACACAATACACATGTACATGGACACACACAGCAGCTGGCTGGCAATGGGCTGTCTTATTTGTCTGAGTAATGTCATCACACAGACTTACACATCTGCTCCTCCCCGCTTCATCGACCTGTTTCAATTCTGCAAGGGAGAAAAAAAAAATCCTCCTAAACCTTAGGGAGTCAAATTAAGGTTCAGGTCAAGCTAACCCTCGCTGTTCACCTTTTGAACCCAAATCCCAAATCCTGTGACAGCTGAATTTAGGTCTCTCGGACAGATTATGAAGCATTCAATAAAGAACAACATTCTATACAAATTTGATTGAAAGTTTTCAACAAGCTTTTCCAACATGGTGTTTGGATCGATACATATAATGATACCATATGTCTGTTTTGGTCCCATAGTGTTATTCAGTGATATTATTATGTGGATAAACCCAGGCTTTGTGCTGAATAAATGATTGTATTGTATTTGTGCTGTATAATGATGATGGGCATAATTTCTTCAGCATCATGCTGTCCTACAGGAAGCAGCAGGAAAAAGATCGAGAAAAAGATAGCGAGACCTTGGGCCAGTCCATTGACTGCAGTGGGGTGACGCAGCTCAAGGAAGAACATTTATAATCATTTCTTCATGGAAATGCAATCAGACCGAGATGCTAAAGCAGAAGAACTATCACGTCTGCAGTGCAAAATGATTAATATGATGATTATTACTTCAAGGAAATGATAAAGAAATGATCATAAATGTTCTTCCTTAAGCTGCGGCACCCTGCTTTAGTTGGAGGTCTCCATACAAACAAGCGACTGCTGGAAGAGAGTAGGTTAGTTGTGTTTACTCTCTTTGCTCAAGAAATTAGGGAAAGTTAAAAAGATGTTTGGTGGCTAGTGCTATGGCTAGGACCCTATATGTACTGTTGATGAAGTTAGGTGCTGTTCTGAGCATTATTTGTGGCTATAAAGGTGGCGTTTTGGTTGAGCTCTCTGTGTGGCTCTCTGTATTGCTATCGTGCGGTCGTTGCTAAAGTTGGTATAACTAGAGAAGCAAGCGGTCGGCAACATTTATCTCTCAACAGGGTGTCTAACTCGGTGTTACGGTGTGTTTGACCCTAACTTAATTCTACGCCGGAATATCCCTTTAAACAGCTGCCACCCGCCTCAGATCCAGCTATTACTGGTTGTGGTACCAGGCAAACATGTCTCATTTTCTCTTGGCTGTTCTGTCCCTGTATTATTCTGACTTCTCTGAATCATAGCATGAAGTGCTCTGAGCTGCCAAAAAAAAATGAAGCGATTTTTGTGTTAAATCATTTTCTAGGATTGAGTGGGAGGGGCCACAATGGGGACTGACATTCAAGGGAGATTACAAGCTTCTGGGCCGGTCTAATTCCTGCAGCAGCAATGAGGCTGTGGATGTATTTATCACTCTGCTGCACTTGCCTTCCAGGGAACAGCAGTATGTGTGTGTGTGTGTGTGTGTATGTGTATGCATGTGTGTGTGTGAATGTAAGGGCTCTTTATGAGGCAGTTTGCATGCAGTAGCACATGTGCAGTTCTGTGTCAGTGTTACACCGCCTCAGCAATAAATGAAACCTCCCACACACATATATATATACGCGCACACACTCTCGTTCACACGTACACACAGCTGGCCCACTTCTGCCGCTTCTCTATAAGCCCCCCATCGCTCTGCTCTGCTCTGAGCCTACGGCAGCTCAGGAGGGACACATTCCTCATGACTTCAAAGGCAGCAGGATCTTTCCTGGCACAGGCTAATTTTAGTGGTTCTATAATGTAGGTCAAGTGAATATCTGTGAGACAGAGAGAAAATGTTTACGCTGCAAGCAGGAAGTGATGGGGATGACAGTGGGAGGAGGCAGAGGAAATGTCCTTTTGTCTGTGATTGGATGTGCGAGAAGAAAAAATGCAGAGAAAACATGCATATTCAATCTGAGTCGACTAATTTATCATGAAGTGGAGGAGCTTGAGGTCTAGATTTAGGATTAATGGATTATCATAAACAAATTGCTTCAGGTTTTCTGAATGGGAACAGGATTTTCCGCAGAAATTAAACCCTTTGAAAATGTTCCCAATTATTTAATTAACCTTATTATTTATCAATCCTTAGTTTACATTGCTGAACTTAAAGTACATGTTTCAGTGGTGGTCACTGGTGGAGTACCTTGCAGTAATAATTTGTTGAAGTGTGATGATGATGATGATGATGATGTTGGTTAGGTTGAAGGCAGGAGATGAGGGGGACCATAATGATTGTGAAGGCTGTGGTGATGATGATGATGAAGATGATAACTGACACACTTCAGCCAAATGCAGCTTCAGGCATCTGATATTCTCCTGATAATTACAAAATCAAGCTCAACCAAATTTTAATGCAGACTGACATGACGTGTAGACCGAAGTGTCAGTTACTATTAAAATGATAATTCACTGTGACTGTTTAACATTCCCTGGCTGTAAACAGTTGTTTAAATTTGGTCCTTTCAGCCACAGTAACTCAAATAAAACAACACACTTGGATAGTTTATTACATTACACATGACACTTTGTCAGATTTAATATTTTTTTATCGGCTGCATATTATTTTTAGCTGTACTTAAATTAAAAAACATTTAATCAAGTACAATATCTACTTAATTTAACTCCTGTTGTATTTATGTATTGCTATACAATATGATTTTTGATTTTGATTTGATTTGATTTTTTGCCTAATTTAAAAGAGTACAACATAAAACATGATAGGTAATAATGAAATGGTGCATGAAGAGGCAAAAAAGCCACGATGGGCATATTTGAAGCCTCCACCTTATAATAGCCTGATATTAATATTACAATTGAATGTACAAAAGCACAAGATAACGTGAAAAAAATTGATAAAATTATAGTGACTGACAACAACAATATAGACAATACAATATAATGTGTACAAAACAATGTGATGCAATACAATCCAGTGCAATACAATATAATATGATACAATGTTAAGATACAATACGATAGTTTACATTGCAATTCGATACATTATGAAACAATATGAAGCAATGTGATACAATATGATATGATATACTGTGATACATTGGAATACAAAAAAAAAGCATTTTGATAGTATTTGGTACATTATGATACAGTATGATATGATGCAACACAAGATGAAACAATGTGATATAATGCAGTGCAACTCAATTTGATATATACACTGTGATAACATACGATATGATGGGATACAACAGGATACCATACAATAGTATTCATTGAGATTTGAAATAATTCAATTCAATTTGATTGAATTAATAAACAATAAAAGTAAAAATGAAAAATGAACATCACCATGTTACAGTGCAGCATGTTTCTACTACAAACAATATAAGAGAAAAGCAAGGATGTGATGGATAAAGGGGTTTATAGTGAAAACAAAGGGCCGTATTAGAGCTCGATATGTAACAATGACCCAAAATGTAATAAAAAGAAACTTGTATTAAACCTGAAATGTAATATCTAGTCGATAATGTAACAACTTTCTTTCCTGAAATATAGTAACTTGTTACATTTCAGGAAAGAAAGTACTTTATGGGTTTTATTACATCATTTATAATGTCAACACAGCTACATTATAGACAAATTATTACATTTTGGGCTTTATTACTTTTTTTTTTTTAATAACATTTTGTGTCATTGTTACATACTGGGCTCAAACAAGCCCTTCTGCCATTTGTAATAATTTGTCCCTGAGGACAGCTGTTGTTTTACAAACATAAAGTATTTGTTGCTATGGGAGTAAAATCCACATCGCAGTAATTTTAGCTTGAGTTAATCCTCTTTTTCAACCTTTAATTCAGTTTTTAACCCCAACTAAAAAAACATATTCTCCACGTTATGAAGCTGTTTAAGAGCTTATGCCGCTGCTTAGTGAATGGGGTCTTGTGTTAATGTGTGAGTGTGTGAGGGAGAGTACTTGAGGGGGGTTTTGGGGGGATGTCAATAAGCAGATTGGCTGCTAATCTCCTCTTCCTCCTCCCTCATCATCTTCATCCCTTTCTGCCCTTTCGCTCGCGCACAATATGGATCCTCTCGCGTGTGTTTGGGGGGAAAAGTAGAGCGCAGACAGAAGTCCAGACATTCATGTGAGGTGAAGATCCTCTGAAAAATCGACCAGCATACAAATAAGCACAAGAGGCGGAGAAACGGAGGCAAGGAGGGAGTTAAAAAGGAGTGAAATGAGGACAAAATGCAACTAGATGAGAAAAGAAGAATCAGATAAGAGAACTGCAAAGGCAAGGAGGAACGGAGGGACTGCGAGGAGGGGGCATATGAGCGCTTGAGATAAAGAGATCAGAGCCTCTGCATGGAAGTTGGCACAGCTACGACGCCCCTCCCCCACTGCCACCCCATCCATCCCTACCTCCCTCTCTTTCTCTCTCTCTCTCTCTCTCTCTTCCTCTCATTCCCTCAGTCTCGCTCATCTGGGGAGGATGTGACAGGACAAGGTAGCATCACTCAGCTTGATTTGACAGCTAGACTCAGACTGCACCAGTCCGTCCCGATATCTGGCATTCAGCCGGACAAAACAGGAGTCAGTTGATCTGTTGATTTAGCCGATAGCTGGATTAGCCAACCTGCAGCTCAGTCAGGATGTAAACTGCATGTGAAAGAGAGAGAGCTCCTGCAACATTTTTGTTAACTTTTGCTCCTTTTTTACGCTCTTAATTTGCTCGCAGGTTTTATATTTGTAGCTGGAATTAAGACTCTTTCTGCTCCTCTAGCCACCTTCTGCTGCTTCTGATCACCTCCGCTTCATCTTATTTTGGAGATTGCAGATACGAAGACTGGACTTCTTCTCTTCGAATTCCTCCGCTGCAGCTGCAGAGAAGCAGCAGCCCTGCCTCTTGTTTGTGTCTGTTTGGGAAATTTGGATAATCTAACTTTAGGGGGGACAATAACTACATGCGAACATGTAGAGTACGAGCGTTAATCCAATCTCGGCTTTTATCGGCTGCCAAATTAATCTGGACATAATGATGATAATGAAGAGGAGGAGGAGGAGAAGCAGGTTTTGCACTGCCAACCAGACATGTCCGATGATTCTTCAGAGTTTGGGCTCCTTGGAAAGTGCACCTGTGTCTTGTTGGGACTAACCTCGGGCTGCTGTTTTGATTCCTTCTTCACTCTTGCAGAAAATGGTTTGCACTTAAGACAGCCTGCGAAACTGGGCTAATCTGACTGCGAATACACAGACAATTTCCTGATATAAACCTGGATTTCCTGGACTTCAAATACTGGATTTTGTGCTTTTATTTGATGCAAAGCAGACACTAAAGTGTTGGTTGATCACCTGAAATAAATAAACCATGAATTCCTGTTGGAAGGGTCAGGTAGGAACAGATTATAATGAGTTTACCTGACCTTAATACGGATTGACAGCGCGTGCTGCAGAAATGTGTCTGTCCATGCTATTAGATTTGCATTGACTCATCATAATGCATGCTTTTTGTTGCCCTTGTCGATGCGTGTGTGTGTGCGTGCGCATGTGTGTGTGCAGGAGGAGCAGGCTGCCAAGCTGAAGGCAGAGAACATCCGAGTCGCCCTGGAGAAGATCAAAGAAGCCCAGGTGAAAAAGGTGAGTCCGGTTCACACAAACACACACATGAGGACAGAGAGATTATGCAGCAACATTTGTGTATATGTGTGTGTGTGTGTGTGTGTGTGTGTGTGTGTTTTATAGTTTTGTGCATCTTAACTGTGTGCATGTGCCAGTCAGAGTCTGGCACGTGTCCAACGGACTCTGTTTTCTGGGTCAGGTCAGTGTTACTCCACGTTGAAAAGCCGTGGTCAATAACAGCTGGGGTCAACACACGCATACGTGCACGCGCGCACACTCGCACACACACACAGCACTTAGTATAATGACCATAGCAAGTTAAGTCCCAATCTCACGGAGCAGAGAGAGAGAGAGTGGATTACCAACCTGGATTACCACACAGAAACACAACTCCTGCTACCTGTCATTGTTTATCAGTCGATGGTGCACGGATCCATCTTTACCTCGTCTAACTCTGGTGCAAAAACACGAACACATTAATGAACATTGAGGGGATTTCTGCAAAAGAAAGCCCCATGGAAAGAAAAGTTTTTGTGTCACTGTCTTCAGACCTTGTTTGTGCAAATAACACGAGGAGTATTTGGGATTGATCGGTTGCAAGAGAGTGAAATTTTAAGGGAAATGCTGCATAAACTCAAAAGCACAAAGGGACATTTTTAACACTTTAAGAGGAGCAAAGAACGGACATGACATGATAGCAACTTTAATTGGGAATCAAGTTTTCCGTTCCATAACAAGGTCCAGTTAAAAAAATCAGTATTTTCATGAGAAAAAACACTGTGCAAAAACATTTATAAAGTTTTTGAATCTGATTACAGTTTTCCATGTTTTAAAAAATGAACTGTTCCCAAGATCACAATAGCTGCCATGATAAAGTTTGGGTGATATATATTCCTGATAAATGCAAATCAACTCTGAGAGCATGAAACAGTTCTTGCTGTTGCTGCATGTGGCTGATAGAGCTTAGGTCAGGGGAAAGAGCTGTTTTTTTCAGTAGGTTTGTTGCATAAAAGAAGTTAATTTAGCACCAAATGTATCCTATTAAACTTGTAAATAAAACCAAAACACTTGTTACCTAAAGGATGTATTCCAGCCTCTGCAGGTTCTTTGTGAAAATGTGAAGTTTGTGGAAGTTTGTTGCAGGTTTTGCAGCCACAGAAGTCCAAATCTTTTGTGTGTGTGAATGTGTTTTGATATTGCAACAATTCTATGCAAATGAACACATTCATATCGCACACTCAGTATGCATATGAATAAAAGATGTTATACATAAGAAGCTCTAAGCTCTCAAAGCGGAGTGTGTATGTGATGCAATGCCTTGAAGCAACAAGGTTTCGTCACTCGTTTGAAGAGAAAATACACAAAAACTGTCACCTGCAGAGCTGTGTTGTTGTCGGAGATTAGTCTGTGAACACAAGGGGAAAAAAAGAGGTTTCAAACCAGACGAGAATGATGCATGATGGTTTCTTTCTCTCTTTGTAGCTGGTGATTCGTGTTCATTTGTCAGACGAGAGCTCAAAGACGATGATGGTGGATGAGAGACAGACCGTCAGACAGGTATGAGTCTGGTTTAAATCAGAACTTCTGTCATTTGTAGCAGTTTAAATGATAATATATAAGTAAAAGTCATAAAAATGAACAATCAGAAGCTGTTAGCAGTGACTAAACTTTATAGTTAACAGCAATTAACTGTATTTTATATCTTACCTGGAGAATCTCAGTCAGTTGGTGTTGATATCAGTGCTTGAACCTTTAGAGTTGGTATCGCTGAACGCATATTAGCTAAGTACTAACCAAAAAGGCTTTTGTTTACAATACAGTTTTAAAATCTGCTTTAGTATTATTTAATGTAACATACTGACTCGCTGTAAAACTCTCTCACAGCCTGATTTAGGCAGCTTTCAGGTGATATTCAGGGGCTTATCAATCCCCGTCAGAAGAGATCAGAGTATTCAGACACTGTACAGATCTGATTCCTCTAACACTAAAATTTAATGTGTTTTTTTGGAGGCTGCCATAATTTTATAGTCTGTTGTCCATCAGAGGCTGTATCTGGAATCAGTTGACCTTTAAAAGTCCAATCAGAAGCCAGGATCTCCCATCTCAGCAGAGCAGTGAAGAGGATAAAACTTTTGAGATTTGTTGCTGACACAGGAAACCTGTTTAGGAGCTCCACACAGAAAGAGAAAAGAGCTGAAAAGGGAGCTGGACGAATAAGCTCTGGATAGGAATAAGGAACTATAGTATTCTTATCATCATTGCAAAACTCTGTAAGTGCAGTGTTCATCTCACAGTGCTGCGTGTTTTGTTCAGGTTTTGGACAGTTTGCTGGAGAAATCTCACTGTGGTTACAGTCCAGACTGGTCTCTGGTGGAGACTATCAATGAGCTGCAGATGGGTGAGTACACACACACACACACGCACACACACACATATAGAAAAACACACAGGGCCTTTCCAAAAGAGTCGCCTGCACCCTCTTCCTACACATCCCCAAGCTGTTTACACACGATCACAGTCTGCCACATTAAATGCCGTCCAAACCCTCGGAGTGTGGAGTAATAGTGGGTTGTTTTACACTCCAACAGCGAGCATGGAAACCATTAATCATTCGTTATGGGACACGCTCCAAAAATGAAAAAATCCATGTTGTAACCCACATGGTCGGAAACGGCTAAACTGACAAAAATGACACAATAAGGAAGATGTAAAAATGAAAGAGTTTATTCAGGATCTAGAAAAAAATAATCCCTTTTTTATAAAAATACATTATACCATAATGTTTTAATGGGACAACTAAAAACATCATTAATTGTATAATGTATTGTACTTGAAGGACTAAAACCCTTTAAAGCCACGGAGAGAAAGGTGCTTAAGGTGTCAGTACTCCCGGCAGTCTAAACCTATAGAAGCATGACTAAATCTTGAACCAGCTCTAACCTCACAGGCTTTATACAAAAGAAAGTTTTGAGTCACTCTTAAAGGTAGAGAGGGTGTCTGCCCCCAATAGAGGGGCACATCACTCCTGTCCTTAGCTCCCTTCATTGGCTTCCTGTCTCTTTTAGGATTGATTTTAAATTGTCACTGGGGTGATCGAGCCTTTTCATTTGCTGGTCCCAAGCTCTGGAATAAGCTCCCCATCGAAATGAGACTCATTTCCGACCTGGGCCTTTTCAAATCCGGATTAAAAACGTATTTATTTATGATGGCCTATAATACCCAGTAGAATGGTGACACTTTATTTTATTGCATTGTATCTTAAATAACTCCAGATCGTGAACACTAAACTAAAAATATCATGTACAAGAAAGAAATGTTTCTAAAGAGTATTTCTCAGACTGAGAAGAGATTTCAGTGAGTTACATAAACTTCTTCTTATTTAGGTGTAATGTAACCATGGTTACACAAAGTTTCTGCTTGCATCTGACTAATCGCTCCATCTTGACTGTTATTCAGCTGTGAGTGTGACCTTAGAGAAGCAGAGAGGGACAGATCTGAGAAAGGACTTCATACACACTTAAAAATGCTCATACACAAATTTTTAGCTGCAGCTTTTTGTACAAAGAGATTATAAAGTGGAGATGTATTATTAAAGTGTTCTGCATTCAACAAAAAAGTGATGCACAGAGATTTATACCTCTGGTGTGGAGTGAGCTGAGGTTAATGTAAAAGAAAGAGCATATTTAAGCTGGTTCGGTTAAATATTTATATCTTTTGGATGTACAACTGGATTAGCACGCTTTGGAAAAGAGAGCTCAAAATCCTGCAGAGCCTCCAGTCCTCATCTTGATGGGTTTAGTGGTCTTGGATGTTTTGTAGCAACAAATTTCAGTCCCTTTAAGATCTCAGATTGCACAGCTTTATAAGTTGTGTAACCTTGTCTGGATTTCCAGGTGTGTGCGTGTTAACTGTGTGTATTCGTATTCAGTGTTCAGTAACATCGTGCCCAACAGTGAGTATCAGGCTGCACAGATATTCAGCAACAGAGATATGAGCGTGTACAAACATCCCTCGGGGCTGTCACGATGTGTGTATAAGCTAGCACACACTGTACTCGGAGCTTCACCATGCTTAACACTCTTTGACACACACACATAAACACGCACAGTCTTTATGTAGGTCCGGTGTAGTGAAGCGTGTGATCTAACCTACATCTTCAGGGCTGAACAGACAGTCAGCAGCGTTATGAAAGAGAGAGAGAGGGTAAAGTGATGCTCGTTCGTCCATGTTCAAACAAACCTAAACTTGTCCTTGTCCGCGGAAATCTGCTCCACGTGTCTCTAAAAAAGCTTGGCTGAAGGCCAGAACTTGGCTCCAGGAAAAGTTTTAACTGAATTTGTGAGAATTAAGAGAGTAAGTGGAGTCTGAGAGACAGCACCCTTGGCACGCACGCATTAACACACACCAGCAGCACCCTGCTGAGAGCCTTCAGCAGGAGACTGGCTCTCTGTCAGATAATGACCTCCGACCTGTCACTGGTAACCCAAGAGGAAACGAATAGTCGAACATGCACTAAAATTATATCATAACTATCGCTCAGAAGCGTCCAGGGCAGAGGTAGCTTACACATCTGTGTAGACTCCATTAATGCTGAACTATATATACAGGCTTAGGGAATAGGGATGCACCGATCCGATATTTGGATATCGGCTCCAATATCGACAAATTAACTGGATCGGATATCTGATCAATGACGCCAATCCAGCGTTCCGGTCCAGTCTTTTTTTTTCTTTTAATAATGCTGCATTGGAGTTACCTCGGAAGTCAGAAGAGTTCTTAGCATTTCAGTTACCAAGTCGGAAAAAAGCAAAATCAGAGGCGGAAACAAGATGGCTACATCTACGAAAATTTATTATAGCGCTTGTCTTTGCTTATATTCAGACAAGGCAAGCGCTAAAATAACTTTGGTAGATGTAGCCATCTTGTTTCTTCCTTCGATTTAGCTTTTTTTTGACTTGGTAACTAAAACGCTGGTAACTCGGGTGTGACGTCATTCCAAGCTCAGACTTCTGACTTCTGAGGTAACTTAAACGCAGCATTAATATCATACACAGCAACACAGCGATTCTGTTCACTCTATATTCTATGCCTGTCTCTCCTTTTGCACTAAATGTTTACATGGAAGTCTTACTTCTTTTTGCTGTGTGCTAATGTGCAATTTGTTATTTGTTAATAAATAATATTAAGTAAATTTTCATCTGTGTTAATTTGTTACCTTTTTTTAACAAGGCTAAAGTAAAGCCTGATGCCTTCAGTCCCAGGGAAAGGTTTACAGTTCATTCATTCAACAGTAGTATTGGATCGGCGTCAGATATTGGCCGATATGCTCAGCCCAGGTATCGGTATCGGATTGGATCGGAAAAAAATGGACCTCTGCATCTCTAATAGGGATAACATATGCTGACATTCAGACTATGACTTTTTCAGGGAAGACTTTCATATTTCAGCAAAACAATGATAAACTACTTTCTGCACATATTACAACAGCATGGATTTGTTGTAGAAGAGTAACAACAAAGGAGACCAGACAGTGTTGAGCAGCTGAAATCTGTATCAGACATTTTTATTTGAGTATATCAGGGACACTTCTGTTGTTCAGGTCAGTTGTCATCCAAATTTCAAAGTGGGTCAAAGCAAACACGGTTTTGTCCAGTTTGGTCCTCAGAGAAAAATGTGTGAAAGGACTATAAAGAGGCCACGCTGAAAGACCCACAGTTTGAAAAGAGAGGAACGAGGGCAGCAGATTGCCATGAGCCATGTCGCCTCTATAGAGCAGAGTTATTAGAGGGACAGTCCCCTGCAGTTACAGTGTTTTCATTTCCAAGTTCACTCAAAAAGGAGTTTGTCATTGAAAATCACTGCAGCAAAACAACATTAAATTAGCTTTAGCTTTTGTTGAATCAGAGGCTGATTTTGTTGGGAAAGTTTACTTGAAGATTTGGGAAGTTTTTTGCAAAAGTTGGGCTGCGTTTAATTTCTGTAGTTTGAACCATTAAGGAGATTTATGGTTAATAACATCAAATATCAGACTGCAGCAACTAACAGCTCAGCTATTCAGGCAGATAATTGGTAGATTTAAAAATTACTTTCTTTTTTTGCATCTTTACCCCTCAAGAACAATAAACAATTTGTTTTTTTGGCAAAATGAGGAATTTTGGGACACTATCTCAGGCTTTGGATAACATCTCTTAATATTATTGAGCACTTTTTGACAGCTGAACAACTACTGACACACAAAATTTATACTGACTTTGTCTTCTCATCTTGATCAGAAGACATGCAGAGACAAATTGGATAAATGTTTTTAAAGCCAAGGTCTCTGTTAGGCAACAAATGTTAGTTTCTGTGCAAAAAACTTCAGACTCTATACATTTTCTGCCTTTTTTGTGGTGCATAAATTCACTAAACTTAAAGAGAAATATCTCATTCTCCCCGTGCAGAGCGGATCTTCGAGGATCATGAGAACCTGGTGGAAAACCTCCTGAACTGGACCAGAGACAGCCAGAACCGCCTGATGTTCACTGAACGCATCGAGAAGTACGCTGTGTTCAAAAACCCACAGGTGAGAATCAAAACCTTCACCTTTCAACACAATGATGACAGATTTTACTCAATTTTTCACGTTTTTCTATCTTCTTCCTCCTCCATTTGCTACAGAACTATTTGCTAGGGCGGAAGGAGACATGCGAGATGGCTGAGAGAAACAAAGAGGCTCTTTTAGAGGTTAGTTTTCTCCTCTGCACACAGCTCCTCTCTCAAAAGCATTCTTCCGCCAAACAGCTTCAAATTTTAATGTCTTCTGTCTGATTCTTGCATCAACTACCACACTGGATGCATGTGAATGTGATACTTTCAGGTTGACTTTTCATGGACAAAACGTCTTAAACTTTGGCCTTTAAAGCAGCGAGTCGCATGAGAATCAGAGGAGGTGCAGTTTAACTTTACAGATGTTTATATCTTTGGGTTTAAGCTTGTTTCTTAAAACCTAATAAAGCTGTAGGGGTGAGCCACTCAGAGTTGATAATATGAACCCACACTCCTGCACATGCTTCAGGTCAAAAAACATATAATTCAGTAAGTATTTATACCTACTGCCACATTTTCTCCTCTTGTAAAGTCAAAAATAAAGCAGTAAATTTCAGGGTTATTTGTGTTTAAGACAAAAATATACTACTACTATTTTTAAAGAAGTATTTTAATGTTGAGTATGAGCATTAAAATAACCCAGAGGAGTTTTTGTAGCTTTGTCAGTCCTTACTCCGACTCAGTTAACATTTCCACCTTGAGAAGAATATTTTAAGTAAATATTTTTTCCTGGACTTCTTCTGTTTTTTTGTTTTTTTTTAAATATGGTGATATTGGTTTGAATAACAAAAAGTAAGCACATTAAATTTTATCAACTTATTTCCCCAGTCTTTTACAATACATTAATTTATCCACTTTTCATTTTACATACACTGTCATCTTTTTTTTTTCTTTTTGCAAATTGAAAGGTTTGATAACAAATAAATAAAAATGTCTCAGTTGTGAAACTGTGTGTGTCTTTATGTTTCAGGAGTGTTTTGGCGGCAGCTCTGTGTCCGTTCCCGAGATGGAGGGAGTTTTGTGGCTGAAGGAGGATGGGAAGAAATCATGGAAGAAGCGCTACTTCCTGCTAAGAGCTTCTGGTGTTTACTATGTCCCCAAAGGAAAGGCTAAGGTGTGCAGAGATAATAACATTTCTTTATTCTATCATAGTAATGTGACTTAAAAAATAAACATAAAAATGAGCTGTATGTGTGTGTTTTCAGGCATCCAGGGACCTGGTGTGTTTCCTCCAGCTGGATCATGTTAACGTCTATCTGGGTCAGGACTACAAGAGCAAGTACAAGGCTCCTACAGATTACTGCATGGTGCTAAAGGTACACTACCATCTTTACTCATACATATTAAAGAGGTGATAAAGAGGTCCGGGATATTATACTAAGTCAGGTTCAAGCAGTCATAGTCCTGCAGTGCCACCTGGTGGTGTGGCAGAGTCATGATATCCACAGGATTCCTTGAGTTGGTTTGCATTCTGCAGATCCCTGGATAATTTAATGCACTGGGGTGTACTATCAAGAATATCAGAGCACTGCAGTGTGCAAGACCTCTTTTTCTGAGTCACTCTGCATGGACTTAGCACCTTTTCTCCTCTGCGGTTTGGTGTGACAAGAGTGTTCTAACTACACAACCTTGGAAATCTACATTTTGGGGGCAAAGACAGCTCAAATTTTGCATTACTTCGAAGACACAATGCAGCAGGATCTAGAAATGAAACAAATCCTGTTTTTAATCAGTTTTTAAGTATATGTGTTTTATTTTTTAATCAAGGGTTAGTGAGATTAATACTGCACACAACAGACAGCAGGGATCATTAGAGACACAATAGTCTTTTTTTTACTAAAAACAAGGAATATACGATATGAATGGCAAGGCTGAGTTCATTGTAAAATTTAATTGATTGGTCTAATTGCTCAGACTTTTATCAGGAATCAGTGAAGTACAGTAATCTGATTTAAAAACAAACGTCATGCACAGAAACCTTGCACAGTGCATGAGTTAAATGCATTTGCTTTGAGTCCAATTCAATTATTTTCTATCCAACACAAAATATTCACAGTACGAAGAAAATTGTCATCAGCGTCTCGTTGTTGCTTTTGTTATTTGATCATATAAAACAATTAACTAAGAATAACATATAGGATTTTAACAATAGATGAACTGGCATGAACATTTCATCACTTTTTTATAATTTCTTTATTATTTATGTTTTTTAATCAGCTTCATGAGTACAGAGATGAGTCAATGTCCTATATTTCTAAACGCCTCTATTACTGTCCTCATCTACTGTGGTCGTTTGTTAGGTTTTTGTCTCACTGTTGTTTGGATTCAAAGTCACTGGCGGACTTATTTGCACAAGATTTCACTCAATGCTGTCAAATAAGAATGTAAAATCTCAATAAAGAAGCCAGGGCATTAAACCTACTTTTACAATAAAGAGGCAGAGTAGGGTATAATTTGGTTAATATACCAATGCTTTGGTGTTCCAACAGTTGTTACAGGTCTAAATTTAGCCACAAGGTATCCTGCAGAGTATAAAGAAATCTGTGTGTGTGTTTCTATAAATAGCACCCTCAGATCCAGAAGAAGTCTCAGTACATAAAGTACCTCTGCTGTGACGATGTCAGAACGCTCCAGCAGTGGATCAACAGTATCCGAATCGCCAAGGTAAAAACTTCAAACTGTTTTCATGACTTTCTTGAGTCTGTTTCTGCAAAAAAAGTGACATTAACTTATTAGTTCCCAGACTGTACTAAATGTTCATCTGCCAATACCTTTGTTTCTGTTTTACCATCAGTATGGGAAGCAGCTGTACATCAACTACCAAGAAGCGATGAGGAGGACAGAGGCGGCCTATGATTGGTCCTCACTCTCATCCTCATCCATCAAGTCAGGATCGAGCTCCTCCAGCCTTCCAGGTCTGAAAAAAATCAATTTTTCTATACCAGTCACTTCCATTCATAGGTACAAGAAATTAAGAAAGCTAACTTATTTTTGTCCTTATACCTGCAGAGTCCCAGTCCAACCACTCCAGCCAATCAGACAGCGGCGTATCAGAGCTGACATCATCAGGCCACACCCGCTCTCAGAGTGTCGTCAGCTCCATCTTCTCTGACGCCTGGAGAAGAGGAACACAGGGAGAGGTATGAACACACTCCTCCAAACAATCACTGTCCAATTATTCTCTGTCATTTCATGTCTCATTTTTGGACTACAATTCCCATAATTCCCCTCTGCTTCCCTGCCAGCGGTCAATGGTGAAGGGACGTATGCCTGTTCCTCTTTGTGTAGGAGGAGAAGGAGGAGGAGGGAGTGGAGGTTAGACAGGATGTCAAGTAACTGGCATGTTAACGGTGTGGCTTAAAACCTTTTAACTGTTTGTGTTGATTTGGACTGACCTTTGTTAAAAACTGTTTGCTTTGAGTTTTAAAAGATACTGTAACCAGCAAGTGTAGCTCGGGGTCGGGATTGATATCATGACACCTTAACACAATTTTTGAAGATTAATTTGGAATTTATTGTGCCTCTAATGAGAGGTGAGAACAGGTCTGGATAGAACTGTAAACACTAGAAGAGAGAGTGTGCGGCTTGTTATGGACACCCTGCTTTCAGTTTTGTGGATTGGTGTTTGACAGAGTGTGACACAGCAATAAGACTCCGATTTAAAAGGTAACTGGACTTGGTCGCAACAAATGGTTTCTTAGCTTGTCCGAGGACAATGGTTCCGTACAATTTCTTGAATTACCTTGAAGCCGTACATTTCAGAGAGTTTGCTGTCTTTATCAAAAAGTTGAAGGTTCACTCCCAAGTTCTGTTGTCTACACACCAAAGTGTACTTAACCCCAAACCGTCCCCGGTGCTGTTGTGTGAATGGGATTGTTAAAGACTAACGGGGGTGTTACGTAGCAGCCTCTACCGACATTCAGTGTTAAGGTGTTGTAAAGTGGCAAAGGTGGCGAGTAATAAAAAAGTTCACTGAGGGTTAGAAAACTGGAGGAAGCACAATAAAAACATAGGCTGTGTACCATTTACCTTTTAGGTGTTCTTTACAGACAGCATCCTGTGGATTAATAATGGCGTGCAGTTAGTCATTAATGTTTCCACTTTAAGATGGACAGGAGTGTGCTAGTTTGCTGTTTGAATCCTTGCATCGTGTTTTTGATTGTTTCAGAATGAAAACAGTAAAGTTGTGGTTTTTTTCTCTCTTTTGTCTCCTTCCTTACCCTTCTTTCCTACCTCTGTGCTTCCTCTCTTCCTTTGTTCCTCTCTTGTCTCTTCTTACTTCCCTCCAGATGATGAGGATCGACCCTATCAGTAGACCCATCCCTCTCCAGATACCCTCACTCCCCCAACAGACGCTTCCTCACTCTCAGCCTCAGACTCCACCCTCCAGGACTAGCTACACCGACAGCCTTGTCCAGTCTGACGACTCCTCTCCATCACCACCCTCACCTCCTCCACCGCCGCCACCTCCTGTTGCGACTGTAACTCATCAGGCAGCACCTACCTCCTCATATGTGAAGTACAGCACGCTGGCTCGCCTTCAGAACCAGAACCAACCCAGGACACAGCCAGTAGACGCTGCCCAAGTTCCCCTTCCCAACCAGACTACAAAACCCAACTACAATACTCTTCCAGCTACCTACCACACCCAAACCACATTACCCCCATCTCCTCCACCTCCACCTCCTCCAACAGCACCAGCTCCTGGATCAGCAATGGCAGCACTGAAATATGGTGCAACAAGCCCCTCTTGTCTCCCACCGCCACCTCTGGAGGAGGACCTACAGGAGCCTTCTTACCTTCCACCACCTCCTCCTGAGAGCCTTGAGACCAATGGATTGCCTCCTCCACCGCCTCCTGAGCTCCTGAACTCCTGCCCCCAACTCTCCAACAGTGGCCTCCAGCAGTTTCTGTCGCAGAAGTTTCCAAACATGGTGTACGACTTTACCCCAGGAGCGGCTGATGATAATTCCCCTCCTGCACCTCCACCCGAACTTTCTCCTCCTCCTTCCCTTCAAGCTCTACGACCTGTGTCTCCAAATGCACCCCCGCCTGCACCTCCCAAAACCTTCACAGGCGGTTTCCCCCCTCAAACTGCTCCCAAACCCTCAGGCCCATCTTCCCTTCCTATTGCTCTATCACCTGTTTCACCAACGCAGCCCCAAAGTGGCCATGGACCATTTAAAAAGCAGCAAAGCTTCTCAACGGGACATTCCCCAAATCAGCCACCTCCCACCCTGCCAAAGCAGCACAGCCTCTCTTCCAAAAACCTTGCCATCTCCCCCTCTTCCTCCTCTTCCTCGGTCTCCATTGCTGCTGCTACCTCCTCTTTAGTCAAACAGATTGTCAATCAGTTCCCAGGAAACTCAACTCCTTTACCCACCTCCAACTCTGCAGAAGGCTCCAAGATTAACACTCCCCAATCTCCTCCAGCGGTCAAGGCCAAACCAAAATGGCAGCCAGGAGGAGTAATGGCTCCACAGTCACCCGAATTCCCCCCACCTCCTCCAGAGAACTCAGGAGGAGAATTTCCTCCACCACCTTCAGCTTCCAACAAGACAGGCTCGCCAATAAAGAAGTCACCTTCTTCCTCATCCACAGGATCCACCAAGCGAGGTCCTCCACCAGCTCCACAAAGAGCTTCCTCAATTAAGTCCAACTCAGGCGAGACCCAGGATGAGAGGCCAAAGAAGGTGGAGAGCCTTGTCAGTAAATTTGGACAAGCCCCCCAAACCGCAAGTTCATCTAGCTCCTCATCAGTGACCGGATCTCCTTCAAAAGATCCTTCTAACCTCCCCGCTCCGCTCCCCAAACCAGGGAAACTAAACTTGGCAAATCTTCCGCTGGCACTCCAGGGTCTGCAAACAGGCCAACACCAACAACCTGAGTTCCCGTCCCCACCTCCCCCGCCTCCCCCATCCAACACTCATCATCTTGACTCACCTGACTACTTCCCACCTCCCCCAAGTGACTTTGAGCTGTTCCCTCCACCTCCCCACCCATCAGAGTTCCACCACCCGCCAAAGGTTGCCGTGGTGAACCCCCAGCCTCAAATGCAGCCGCCCCAACAGGTTGTGTCCCCCTCTGTGTCTTCGTCATCATGGAAGCAAAGCTCGCTGAAAAAGGGGGCAGTCCCTCCCCCGATGTTGAACCGGCGGACCAGCAACCAATATGAAAACTCAACATCAATGCCCCTGTCGCCACCGCCTCTGTCTCAAACCCCACCTCCCTCCCTGTCCTCTTATTCCTCTTCCTCCTCCCCGGTCCCTCCCACCTCCCCAAAATCAGCAGGACCAGTCTCTTTGGCGCTAAAGCCTCATTTCCTGGAAGACCTGAACCGCACCCTTAAGAGAAAATCAGTGTCTCGCCATGGCTCGCTCACCTCTTCCACTCTCATCCCCTCCTCTAAGATGGAGCCTGTGGGCACTATGGACGACATGGCACTCCTCCCGCCTCCTCCCCCTGAGCTCCTGCAGCAGCAGCAGCATCAGGGTGTCAGAGGACAATCCAAAACTTTGTCCCGTCACCATGCACACTCGCAATCCGCCAAACATGCCAACATCTCAGGCTATGCAACACTGCGGCGAGGTCCACCTCCCCAACCTCCAAAACGGGACCAAAGCACCAAACTGACCAGTGAGTGGTAGGGGGCGAGGGCTGGGGGTGGAACCTAAAGGACTAAAACTGACTATTTAGGTCTCATTGTTACTGCAGAAAAGAAATAATCAATGTCTGTCTTGACTTGTCCGTCTCTCCTCATCCTAAACCATCCCCCCTCGGATTCTGAGCAAGTCGCAAGTCGTCTTTCCTACTCTTAATCTCAGATTATGATTGTTCCTATTAGCCTCATTATTACTATCATCCTCCTTATTACTATCATTAACAATACGTGTTTAATCCAGTGACATGAGTAAAAATATATATATGTAAATATATATCTGTATACAAGCAAGCCAGAAGAATCACCTATGGAGCTTTTTTCACTATGTCTGTGCAGCTTTGCATTGAAATATACAAAAAAGACAAGACTTGAACGACAACAGCAACAGAGACAATTTGCTGCAAATTGGTACTGCATGGAACCGCGGCAACAGAAGTAGCGTTACATGAAGGGAAGGAGCGATCGATTGAAGGAAGAAGAAATGCAAACATGGCCGATGTGTATAGAAATGTATGTTGTGGACTGGCGCGGAGGGAGCATTGCCATTTATTTCAAACTTTTTTGTGTGTGTGTTTTTATATAAGATTATTTAATACCTGAAAGATATTGTTATTATAATTATTTTAAGTTTTTAAGTGTCAAATGGGAATGAGTTTGACTGGAAGAGCGTCTGTATTCTCAAAGTATGTCCAAGTGTTATTAATCTGGGTTGAGAAGGTAGCATACAGCTGCTTCCGCTGAGTTTGTCTGTAGATCATTCAAGGAAATAGCGTTTCTTCATTTTAGAGCATCATTGCTGATTGGTCGGTGACTAAGAACATGTAAGAATTAGCACTTAAATGCACTCAGAACAAATATTTGCTGCAAATCAGGAGGAAAATTGACAAGTACAGTTAGAACTTTGCAAAATATTGACTTTTCTGGGTTTGGTTTGCAAAGTATTTCTGTAAAAAATAAAACTTTAACTGTACTGAGTCACCAATTTATAACTAATTTGGCCTAATATCTTTGACAGTCTTTATACAAATCAGTTTGGACACAATCCTATGTAAATTCATCCAATAGCTTTGCAGTTAGGTCATGTAATTGGTTAGCTAGTAGACTATAAGTAAGCTAGTCGACTACAATGAACTGAAATGTCTGAAAGAAGGGGATCATTGTTTGCTGGTAATAAACCAATCACTTGTTTGTCATCTGAATGCCTGGTTAATCCCTATGCTGGTAAAGTATTAAAGGTGTGTGTCCAGGATGCCGTGGAAACAAGTGCCTGTAAAACAAATCTGCTATAACAGCTCGCATTAACATCCCGGTGTGTAGAAACCCCTGACCGTTACTTCTGTGATGTTAGCCATTAGCTTTTGAACTTCCAAGTGCCATCTTTTGCTGCCATCTTTGTAGACAATGCAAGCAGACAAGCCAAATTTGGAGGGAAAGAAAGAAGCTGATGTGGGAAAAAGAGTTGCAGATAACATTGTTGATAGTACTAGTTTCAAACAAACATGAAGCAACACAACATACCTCTCTGTAGACCTGTATTTGTCACTCAAAGAAGAGCGACCCCAGGAGTTATTGTGATAATTTGCATTATAAAAACAAAAGTACCATAGTAACTTGTCATAACTGTGTTTCTCTCAACTTTTATCACTCTGGCACCCCCCAGTGGTTGAATTAAAAACGACATTGACAAAGAACTAAGGTCACCATTTTACTTTTTACAGTGCGATTTAACCAGCGATATAATTTTGACCCCAGTGATTTGTGTGTCTGGACTTAGTTTCTGCACTATAACATTATTTTATTGCAATCTGTATCTTGTGCTTATTCTTTCATGGTCTACAAAGGCAACCAAGCTAGGGCAGCCCGAATAATCTCCATCAGAAATCTGCTGCAACTTCAACACCGTGTGCAAAATTGTAAGATAATTGCATTGTTGAAACATACATTGCAAATGAAGAAAAAAATAAAATAAAACTGTATTGGCACTCACCGCTCTCTGATGCAACAGTTATTTCCATGAGCATGGGGGCTGAAACACTGAAACAAAGAGAAAGAGCCTCTTGAAATAACTTAGCATGACTCTCATAAAGTCCTTCAACTGGTGAACAGTATCTGTAGCAAATTTTAAAGTTATTTGACCTTTCAGACTGAAATAATTCAACACTCAAGGGGTGCAACATTAGCATTTGATGTTTTTCATAGTGCATTATGAATTAAAAGAAAAAAATTAGACTCCTTGGAATTAATTTCTTACTTTGAATGTCTTGATTTGGATTCTGGGAATTTGTAATACAGATTTTTTTTTTCCTTTCCCACCATACTGGCATTAAATAAAAAGTGCTTGGACATTCTCACAGAGCTCTGGTTATTAAATTAAAACATGAGTTCACAACTGTTAATTAATTTCCAATGTGTCTGCAAAATAAACGATAGAAGGCAGTCAGATAGTATTCTTAAATGCACCATTGACACCAGTTTAGACAGGCATTTAGTTAAACCAGTATCTTCAATAGTTATCCCATACACCCTTTCATATTCAAAGACAGAAATGTGTCCAGTTCAACTCACAAAGGCTTCTTAAACACACTTTTGATTCAGAGTTTGAAGATTGTTTTTCTCATGATGTGCAGCTCTACTTTGGTCCTGTATTTGTCACCCTTACAGTCATTAGATGAAACGATCTGTATGATATTTTACACACAATAAAGCAACGCAGATGCCAAAATTTCAACACTGCTGCCCAGTTTTGATTTCAAATATACAGTCTTTTTTTTTTTTTTGAAGCACTAAGGGTTTGTTCTAATGTGTTATGTTTAAAAAGTGATTTCTCCTCTACTTTGACCATCAACTATTGTATGATACAGTCTAAAAGGGAAGCAGTAAGAAAACACCATCTGCATACTTAAACCAATATGTAAATGTGAACATTTTAACATTTTGCCAACATTTTACAAATTGAAAGTCCTGTATACGTACAACAATAGCAGTGGGGGACAGGCCAAAAACCTCACCTTCAAATTATTTAAAATGAAATTTAATTGACTTTAATTTGATGATTTATTAAGGAGAGAAGACATGGTAATGTTATATTTTTAAATTACATAATAATTTGTTGTTATCATAATTTTATGACTCCTATAAGCTCCTATTTGCCAAAATTCTCAACAATAAATATAATGCACTTAAATAGTAAGTTATAAGAACAACTGCTTAAAAACCTGTGAATTGAAGAAATACTTTAATTTAGATGTCACAATTCTAATCTAATATTGATATTCATTTCTGTCAAAGTCCAGTGACTCAGCTTTAAAGAGATTATGATTTTAAGCTTTGTCTTGTTCACTAGTTGAGCATTTAGTTCCCTGTATTTGTAAAGAGAGTCCTTCTGTGTGTCCATGAGCTATTTCACTCTCCTCTCTAGACACTAGTCTTTAAAATTCTCTTTGACCTGCATTGATTAAAATAAAGAGACACAGTGTGTCTGTGTGATTTTTGTTGTTGGCTCAGCTCCTCAGGGTCTTTGTAAAGTATTTTTGGCTCAAGGATCCAGGAAGACAATCTGAGTAAATAACTCAAATACTTTGTCAAGATGATGAAATGATGAAAAAACATTTGCAAATCATTTTCGAGGGCAGCCTGAAGTAGAAAAACTCGCAAAGAAGCGGTAAAGAGGACAGATCAACCTTTATTGACATGAATACACATAAGATGATCAGGTGAATCCTCCCAGTTTGGTCACCAAGCAGCTCTTCTGTTGAGGTTTAAGGTTTTTTTGCTCAAAGGCACTTCAGCCTGTTTTTAAAGCAGATAGTTCAGTCAGTGTCTGGAATCCTCCTGCAGGTGCAGACAGAGAGCAGCAAATTAAGACAGCAAAGAGAGTCAATTTAATACTGATAAAGAACTGCAACACCTAGTTTGTCAGTGGACTGGATTACAGAAAATGTTGCTCTGTCTTTCTTGTCTCTGTTTTTCATGTTCCTTTATGTTTCGCTGTTGTCCAGCTTTTTGTAGAACAATAATGTCATGTACTCTATATTTCTGTGTTTTTGAGTGCTTTATATCTCTCCAGCAATATTTACCAGAACATTGATCCACTGAGATTCAGCATAGATGTACAGAGCGTTTCTGTCCGTCCTCAGCACCATTACGTTCTCTCCACGAAGCCTCCTCATCTGTTTTTCTCCGTCTGCTATAAAGATCTGCAGAGCGACATATACGAGCCTTTTAAACAAAGCACTGATATCTTACAGTAAAACCCTTTCACAGAGATAAATTTAACAGTATGTTGGACACGGCGCTGACCATGTTGACTTTGTCGAGCAGTGGTTTAGAGGATTTGGGGATGTTTGAACAGTTGCATTTGGCTGAAGGTCCTGGGTCTCCTGTGTCTCCCTCCAGACCTGGAAGTATAAAAACTACAACACAAAATATCAGTTTACATTTAGAGTCACAGAGCTGATGTTTACAAAGCCGGCAGTATGATCACTTTTTTCTTCATTTCTTTCTCCAGTTTTCCACGCTTTGAAAATCTTCTATTGTAGCATTACGAAGTTTGACTTCTGACCTTTCTGCTTCCACTCACCTTGCCCTGGTAGACCTGGATCTCCAGTCAGACCATGGAATCCTCCAGGACCTGGGTGACCACTCTGCCCTGTAGGTCCTCGAGATCCTTTCAGCCCCTACAAGTGAGAAGTCATGATCAAACTGACTGATAAACTGTCGATATCAAACATACCTGTACTTTTTCTCTCTTTCTAGTTTTCATCATTCCCACAAACGCCAGATCTACCAAATACTGCATATTTTAACACAACTGTGCGATAGTATTTGGTTATTTAGCAACACTTTCACAATACTTACACCTAACACTCTAAAAACAGAGATGGAGATCCCAGCATCTTTAATTCTGACCTCAGATTTCATATATTATGGAAACTAAATGACTGACAGGTTCAACAAATTCTGCAAAATCTCCACCAGACTGTTTCAGTGAACAGCAGTGATGTTTTAGTACTTACTTACTTATTCACTGAGGCTGCAGGGCTTGACTCCTTTATTTCCAGTTAAACCATCTGTTTAACCACAGTTCACTCAAAAATATAGCATGGCTTCATAAATACTTGTGCATGCATAAAACAAAGCTCACACTTCTCCTTCACTTGCAAACCAAGGACTAAAGTAGTAATTTGTAGCTGGAAAACGGTTGAATATTTTCTCTCTCTCTTCCTCACATTTAGATGATAAATTTTCCTGAGAGTATTGAAGAAAATGTCAGTGATGACCGTCTTTAAACACCCACCATACTCCCTCTGACTCCAGTCTGTCCTCGGGCTCCTTCCTCGCCCTTCTGCCCTCGATCGCCCCACTGACCTAGGTCGCCCTCAAGAAGCACAAAACAAGAACACCATGACACAAACAGATGTCTTTAAGCGCTATATAAATAATAGGTATTATTATTATTATTAAAATGTGTCATCAGGCACTTTCATTTGAACTTTGGTAAACTCAGATGTCCCTAAACATGAGATTTCAGTCTCCTACCTTCTCTCCTGGTTCCCCTGGGACTGCAGGCTCACCCTGAAGAAACAAACATATTGGTACAGAAGTTTTGATTCATTTGTTTGTTACAACAGCAAAGAAACTTTCCTCTCACCATTTCTCCACTTGGTCCTCTGCGTCCTTTCAGACCCTTCTCACCCTGAAGCAAAGACAAGAATAAAGTTAGAAAAAGAGAGGAATCACTTTATAAATGTATTTGAGTGATGAAGCATGCTGTCACTCACCCTGAATCCTCTGTGTCCTTTACTGCCCTGTGAATAAAAAAACAAAACACTTGATTCTGCACACATGGATGCACTGATGTGTTCATCCTCTGCTGCTTAAAAACAGCTGGAAACATATTTCATGTTGCGGATTCAGCAAGTGATGAAAAACCACAAAGTAGATCCACCTTTATCATCCCAGGAGTTCCTATGTCTCCATACAGACCTCTCCAGCCTCTGTCACCTTTCTCTCCCTGAGGAAACAGATCACAACAGCATGGTGGGTCAGAACCATAAACCATATAAAAATGTTTCCAAACATCTAATTTAAATCAGCCGAATCATATGACTGTGAAAACTTACAATGAACAGGAATTTTTTCACTATGAATGATTAACAGCTAAAAAAAAAAATCATCATTTACTTCAGATTGGTGTCTTTCTAAACCTTCATTTCAGCTCCTGTCTTATCATGACTATATATATTTGGATGAAGATATGCAACTCTCTTACAGCAGAAAAATGCTTTAGAAAAACAACTTCTATGCATTCTGAAATCAATGTGAATGTTTTGTTGAGAGTCTGATTGAAATGGACAGCCTTTCTCTGACCTTTTGACCCAGCTTTCCCATGATTCCTTGTAATCCAGGCTCTCCTTCTGGACCTGCCACACCAAGTTTACCCTAAAACACACACAACAGATTTCTTATTAATGACCTGTTGCTTTTGAAGACATCTTTGCCACTTAATGTTTAAAACAGGATGAGGTGATGGGTCTGTGTTTATGAATTTTTAGACCTGTGGTAGCCTGATTTTAGACCAGTCATCAAGGCTACATCTGTTAGACCTCTTTGAGACCAAAAATGCTCAGTGGGATGTGAAAGTTCATGCCAATTATTTCTGGTTCTGTATAAAACTTTAACTTTTTCAAACTGTGTCCTTCAGATTCTTGAGGACACTTTAGGTTACAAGGCCCCAGAGGAACCCCACATTGTGTATTAGTTTATTTCCATTATGAATTATTGATGATGTAAAAGGACATCTACATCAAATCCCCATACTTACATTTCAAAATGTAGAAGAGCCATCACAAGAAACAGGTTGAATTTTGATCTCCAAACCCAAAACAGTGACTGACATTGTGGAGGGAATATATCCCATAAAGAGACGACTAATTACTGAGTGCTAAATAACAGACTTGTGAAAAACAGGAAATGGACTAAAAAAACTTCCAGCTGGGGAGGAAATGCTGGATAAGAGGGTGTATGAGAAAGGCAACACCACAACATTCAAAGATTTGTTGGTTTTCACAGGAAATTTTTTAAATAAAAAATAGTTTTTAAAAAGTATAAATGTGTGTGTGAGTGTGTGTGTCACTCTGTACCCTTGGTCCTCGGGGTCCTCTGCAGCCCTTCAAAAATAAGACAATTAAAGTTTATAGTGCAGTCAGATCATGAAAAAATGAATAAGAATAATCAAGAGTCACTTAATATTTGGGTTTTTACAAACTCAAATGTCGCATTTATTGTTTTGTGGTCAAAAGACGGTCATAAAATAGTAAATACGAAGTGACTCTCTCTGACTGAGACCTGTCCTACCTTTTCTCCTTTTGGTCCTGTGATGTGCTCTGTGAGATCCACCTGATGAGAAAAGACACATTTGTGTTCTTACCATATTTATGCATAAGAAACAACAGCAAAGTGAGTGTTTAAAATAATAAAGGATAATATCTAAAAATGTTTAAGTGTGTAGGATCACCATCATCTCTGCTTTCCGTTTGATGGGAGGAAACAAAGGTGGAGGAAGAGGAGGAGGGATGAAGACCTGACATCTCCGTGGAGTCGAAGTGCTGCCTCTGTTAGATAAAAGTCCTTCAAACAGACACACAGACACTTGGATATTCAGATGAACAATCTCAATCTCAGTCTCCTTCAATCTCAAAGCTTTTGCATGAGTCTGGTTTGTAAATTAAAGCTGCAACAATAAGTTCATCAATCAGATGATAGAAAATCAATCCCCCAACCCTCTGATACTCAATCTAAGATCTGGTTTCTTTGGTCTCATGTTTGCACTCACTCGTTGTGATGGAGGGAGCTGCAGGCGGGACGCCACTGAGCAAGGCAGTCCATCCCAACACCAGCTGAGTCAGCATCTCCCCTCGTCCTGCAAAATCAATAATACTAATAATACTACTAATACTGTTTACATGTTATATATTGATAACAATGAATTCTCTCAAAGTATGCAAACTTAAAGTTCTGAGCAGCTTGACATGCTGCAGCGCAGACACACGTCTCAGTCTGTCAACATGTGCAATGGTGCACATACTTTATGCATGATAACTCTCAACTATCTGTGCAACATGCAGTTATTTTCCACAGACTCTGAGCTTGTTTTGTTAATATTTTAGAAAGTAAGTTGTTTTAATTTTGTTTTCTGTTCATCTTTAATGGAAATGGAAGATACATTTTTTTCAAAAGCAAAAGAGAAACTGCAAATCTGTTGATTCTGACTCAGAATTCAGCTTTGAAATGTGGAAATGTTAATATTTTTGTGGTGAAGTGAGGTGAAAATCATGCCTTCTTGTAAAGCAAATCCAACAGTTTATATCTTCTTTGTTTCACAGCACTGATTAAAAACTTATTTAATTGGCAAAAGAAAGAAAAAAGAAAAAAAGATATAGTATTTTTCTTCCTTTTAACATGGAGCTGATCGTCTCTTTAAAAAGTCCAGATTCACACTGATTTTATATTTATACCCACGACAAAAGCTGCTGATAACAAAGCACATTTTACCCTAAGAGATTACTCCATAAACCTCTGGAAAGCAAAAATGCACAGACTAAATAAGCATCCAGTTACAGTCCAAATCCTTCCCTTCCATGTCTCTGCACGTCTGGATAACTGCTTATCTGCTCAGAAAGACTGTGCATCTCAGCATCTCAACATATTGATCCTCAAATTGTCCCTTTTCTCGTCAAGTACGCTCACTCAGAGACTGTTGAATCTCCTGATTTATAAATAATATAAAGCATTGTAGTCATTGTTGAGCTCTTTGTCTTACCTCAGTGTTGCCTCTCCTGCACAGCTCTGTGATGGAGCTCCCGTCCTGCAGTGGGGCCGTCTGTTGGAGCTGCTTCTCCAGCTGGTCATCATCCAGCAGCAGAGTCAGAGCTTTCTGCTAAGCTTGCACGCTGAGTCCAACATATCTCCATAAACTGTGGAAATGCAACGCAGCCTCTGGCAGCGCCCCGCACAGATAATCAGATAATTACTTCAGACACAAGCCAAAGAGGAGCTGCTGATCAGAGGCTGCTGTGGAGGCTGAAACACAGCGAGGCACCTTCTGCCACATTGTGTTATATTATCATTACTGTATTTCCTTTTACATCTCAGGCTTTTGGCCAAATTCCTCACAGAGATTACACAATGCAATCTAAAACTATTAATCTAATGGGCGTTTGGAGGTAGAAAGACCTTACAGCGAACCACTCCGAGTGTTAAATGAGGACAACTGTTAAAATAAATACAGTTTAGGTCAGGAGATAAAACAAAAATCAAAAGGTGCAGACATTTTAATCTGATTTGCAGAGGTTTAACTCAGATTCATGCAGATATTTGGAAATTATGAGTAAAATTGACATTTATTTAATAGTCAAGGATCCATCCTTTACCTCAGGACATCTTTGTTCTAGTTTCCTCTTTGCACGGTTCACCTGTATTTGTGCGTGCAGTGATGAAATACGTTCACAGATTTTGGTTCCTCATGCAGTAATTCCCACTACAGCAGGGGTGTCAAACTCAACCACAGTAAGGGCCATAATCTGGATTTAGATCAAACCTAAGGGGCCAAACAGGGTCAACATTTCACCAAATCTGTCAACCTCCTTTTCTAAAAATATTGAACAAAAACAGAAATAATTATAAATCATTTGGAAATTCAAAAGAGATTTTTTTAAAAAAGTTAAAAGGCAATCCGAGATAGAAAACTTTTAATTTTTTATTCTATTTTTAGTTAGTTCAAAAGATCAGCGCACGGTATAAAAAAATATAATGCTTTTAAAGAGCAAAAACATGAGGTAATCGTTGAAATCAGGTTTAAAAGGTCAAAATATGACTTTAAATTTAAAATTGGAATTGAAAGTATAAAAATGAAAAGTCTAAATACTGAGTTGAACAAAATCAAAGCATGAAATAAAAAATCCAATCATGTTTGACTTGTAATCTTGAAATGCAAAATTGAAAACATGAAATAAAACACCAAATATTTTCCCCTCACATTCTTGACTATTTATCAAATCTTCCTTACTCTTTATTTCCCAGATTTTCCTGGTTTATTAAGTACATTTTAAATAATGGTGCTAAAGTTTACATTATTATACTGGAGGAAATCTGCAGACTTCTTACTGGTGGGCCAATAATAATACAAATACGATATGATATTGTGGGCCAGATTTGGCCCCCGGGCCTTGAGTTTGACACCTGTGCACTACGGAGTCCTGTCTGTTTTAATCTCAGAGCTTTCAGAGATTCTTCGCTGCCATATGATTCATGCAAGTCCAACACACTGCATCAAAAAAAGTGGATAAAATCATACTCGGTTGTCTTTTTATTGAAGTATTTAAAACCGCAAAGAAAGACTTAAGTGCAGAATGTTTACTACCATCTTAAGTTTGCTTTCTGACATAAAAAGGTGAAATAACAGAATCCTTCAAAATATACAGGAGCAGTCATGAGGTGAATGTAAACAGCCTAAAAACAGGCACAGGGAGGACAGAAGTGCCTGGACAGAGAGCGTATGTACAAAACTGGAGGGACTCAGCAGCAGGACATTTTTCTACACACATCAGTCCGTCATATAAAGTCAGAGAGGACAGCAGGAAAAACACCATCCATGAGGCGACTACAGCTATGAATAATCCCCACCCTCTTTGGAAACAGCCTACAAAGTGTGACTGTGCTTCCCTTTGAGTCTTTCATAAAAAAATTAATTAACTACACCACAAATCAAGCTACGAATGACAAGAAGATGTGCCACAAGCAGTTTTAAAAAACACCTAAAATTTCAGAGAAGGCCATTTGGGTAAAAACGAAAATTAAAATCCTCCTTAGTAAAATCTGTTGATTGAAGATGTCTTTTATCACAGTTTCAGTTTTTGTGTCCTTAACATCTCAAGTAGAGAAGTGTCTTTTTCCGTTCAGGGTTTTCCGTCAGTCTGGCAGAGTCGCGTCTGCATCTCGACCACCACCCGCCTCATCGCGCCTCCTAACTGGTCGTGTATCTGAACCAGCTGCTGCGGTGAGCACTGACTGAGTTCGAGTGGAGTCATCCTGCAGCTCAGAGCTTCAACCTCTGAAAGGAGACCCTCAGACTGCAGCTTTCTCCCGGCTCTCTGCTCCCCTGGCGACGTATCGGGTGTGAGATACTTGGAGACATCATCCTCTGGTTTACTTTCCGCAGCGGGTGCAGGCTCGTCGATCAGCTCAGTCGCTGCAAATATAAGAAAGATGTTAACTTGTTTATCCAATCAGAATGCCTCCCAAAGGAAGCGAGTTTGTTGAGCACATTTACGCAACAAAATTCATCACGAAGGTCAGAGAAAACATGCTATCAGTAAAACTTGATCCTCGAATCAAATCTGTTTCTCTGTTGAGACCAGTGAGCTGAAACTCTTCTGATGTGGTTTTCTAGCAAAGAAACAATCATGTGTTTAACATCTGGTTGACCTTTAAAAATCAGGGTGAGTGGGTCATCCAGAGTTTCACTCACCCAGTGTTTCTCCTGACACCTTATCCTCTTCGTCCTGGTTTTGAGGAGCATTGGTCTCCTCCAGTTCAGAGGTCATCATCTCTGTTTCATCGAAACTCTTCAGCTCGTCTCCGCCTCGTCCTTTACGCTACACAAGACATTTCAGGACGTCAAACATCAAGTATTCAACTCCAGCACGTTATTACTTGTGTTTCTGCGGCCTGCTCTGTACCTGTTGTTCGTAGATTTTAAGAGCCTTTTTCACGTTGGAGATCTTCGGGGATCGAATTGGCAGAGTCTTGATTTCACCTGGGGTCAAAGCGCTGAGGTCTCCCACAGTTCTGATGTTTCTGGCTCGGACAAGCTGTCCAAAACCACGAGGCCTACACAGAGAATAACATCACCCGCAAATTAATGCAAGACAAATATATGAATCTGACCCGATACATGACATGCACTTTCATTTCTCACCACATGTTGGAGGAAATCTGGGGCAGCACAGCTTCCACAGGTGCGGAGCAGCCAACGAGAGCGGGGTAGATACAGTCTCTGGAGACAGGTCGAGGCTCCTGACTCATCTCAGAAATCTGAAAAATAAAAATAAAGAAGTTTGACAAACAGAAAACCCAGGATGATATATCTGCTTACTTCATGATCTGAAGTTTTCCATGAACGTGAGAACTCTGAGTGTTTTGTTGAGGTTTTTGTGCATACCAGACATTTCTTGGAGCTCTTGTACCCTGGACTGTGCAGATTTCTTGGACTAAGGATCAGCATCCCCTTTGTTGGCGTAGTAATATACTGAGATAAAGAGCAAAAGCGGGTCTTGTTAATCAGCACTGGACAGATTTGGCTCTTATACATCAGAAACAGCATTTCTAATCTCATTTGTACCTTCGGCTGAGGGATGCTGCTGCCTTTGGATCTTCTTGGGGAGCTTGTTCTCAAAGCAGGGCTGCGACGATCGATGTCATCCGCTGTTTCCTGCTGTTGGATCGGGTTAGCGAAAGACACGCGTCTGGACTGCAAAGGTAAGAATCGAAAGATTGTTACTTTCATTCACTCCAAAGAAAAGTAAAATCAGAGAATACAGAACTCCCTGTCTCACTTACTTTGACCAGAGGTGAGGGCGTCTCATCCTCCAGCGGTCTCTTCTGGCCCTTCTTTAGGATACTGGTTGATGGGGACGCGGAAGGGGACCAGGATCCCCTCGTTCTGCCACCACCTGGGCTTTGGCCGACGTCCTGCCCCATCACAGCTTCAAGGTCCTTCTGCTTTGCCGGAGAGCCTTGGAGTTTTTCACCATTTTCCAGGGTGCTTGTTGGCTCTGATAACGATGTATTACAATCATCACTTGGAGCTGCATCCACATCTGCATCTCGGTCGTTGTCAGGGTTCACGGTCTGAATGTCCTCAACATCCTGACCGTCAGTGTCCAGAGGTTTGGTGTCTTTATCGCTGTCCTGTACAGGTGTGGCGTCATGAGCAGAGGGCTGCTCTCCGTCTTTTGAAAAATCATCGATGGCATCTGGACATTCACTTTGTCCAAAAGACGTATCATGACTTTTTGTTGTCGAGTCCTCCTCTGAAAGAACTTCATTCTCTTGACTGTTTGACGCCGAATTCTCATTTTGTTCCTCTGGAACTTTTTCAGCAGGCTGGGACGCTTCAGATTTCTCTTCTGATGACTCTGAGACCTGCAGTTGCTCTGTCATCTCACCAGGAGGCGCCAGTTTGTCCACAGTGGAGGTGTCACAAGACAGCTCCTCCTGAGTGTTTTCAGCACAAATCCCAACTGACTCAAGCACAGGCACTGGTTTCAAGTCCTCATTTTCTTTTGAGGCAGCATCCTCAGCTTTTGTCTCCGAGTCTTCTGGTCTTTGCGCTTCCTTTCGGGGTGATGCTGCGAGGATTTCACTGTTTTTTGTGGTTTCCGTGTCAATTTGCTGGACAACAGCTTCATCCTCTACCTCCATCGGTGCGTCTTTGTCTCCTTGCTCATCAGTGTTACTTGTAACCTGTAGGGATTCCGTCGTTGAACCCTCCACATTTGTTAAGGTTTCAGCCTCTACATTTTGTGACTCTAGCACTTGGGAGGACTGGGAATCATCCATTGCCAAACTTTGATCGGTAGTGTCTTCTTGGGATGAAATAGTGACAGGACTCTGTAGAGATGCTCGAGGTTTCCTCCCTCTCTTTTTGGGGACAACTGGACTTTCTTTGACCTCTGAGGATTCAGATCCTGTGGACTCAACACTGGCTACGAAAGCTTGGGAAGACCGTCTAGGTCTGCCCCTGCCTTGAGAGGACCCTGAACCCTCTAAAGACTGGGAACTTTCCAGAGAAGGGCTTGGACTTGATTTTGATTGTTCCTCTTTTACCATGCTCCTTTTGGCTCTTCCCCCAGTTTTGATCTCTACCTGTTCAACAGCTTCTGGTGTTGTATGAGCGTTAGATCTTCTCTGTCGTCTAACTGATTCATTGCTCATTGTTTTATCTGCAGGGTCTACTGTCGCAGACGTTTTGCTCCGTCTAGACTTGCTCAGACCTTGACTCTCAGAGGACAGTGTAACCACTTGAGAGTCCTGCTGGCTAAGGTTGTCAACCATGCCTTCTTCTGCTTTGTGTTCGTTTCCAAAACATGGTTCATTTGTAAGCTTTTTGGTCTTCTGTAATCCTTTTTGGGAATCAGAAGCTGGGGAAGAGGAATCCACCAGAGAATCACTTTTCTCCTTTGTGGTCTTTCCAACAATCTGGGATTCTTGGGATAGGCAATCAGTTTGAGGGGAAGAGGTAATCGATTGAGAGTCTGATGATGCCTTGCTTCTCCTTGATCTGCGAGTAGATAGGGTATCTAAGGAAGATGGTGTGATCACCTGGGAGTCGTCCTGACTGGGGATATCAACCAATTCCTCTTTTGTTTGTGGCTCAACATCTGGTTCCTTCAACTGACTCATGATTGTATTTGTCTCTTTTCCATCTTGGGAATCATTGGCTGGCGACGAGACACCAATGTGTGATCTTCTTTTCCCCCTTTTGCCTTTTTTAACAATCTGAGATTCTAGGGATTGGCCATCAACTTGGGAAGAAGAGGTGATCGATTGAGAATCTGATGATGCCTTGCTTCTTCTAGATGTGTGTACAGATTGGCTATCTGAGGAAGATGGTGTGATCACTTGGGAGTCATCCTGACTGGGGATATCAACTAATTCCTCTTTTGTTTGTGGCTCAACATCTGGTTCCTCCAACTGACTTAGGATTGTATTTGTTTCTTTTTCATCTTGTGAATCATTAGCTAGTGACGAGACACCCATGTTAGAACCTCTCTTCCCCCTTTTGCCCTTCTTAACAATCTGGGATTCTTGGGATTGGCCATCAGCTTGGGAAGAAGAGGTGATCGATTGAGAATCTGATGATGCCTTGCTTCTTCTTGATTTGTGTACAGATTGGCTACCTGAGGAGGATAGCGTGATATCTTGGGAATCCTCTTTGACCCCAGAAGATGAAACATCAATCTGAGAATCTTCCTCTTTCTTTTGAGCTGTTTCGACTCCACCCAACGCTTGAGATTGGCCACAAGAGTCCGACAATGCCTTGCTTCTTCTTGATTTACACAAAGACTGGCTATCCAAAGAAGGGGTCATAGCTTGAGAATCCTCCTGACTCTGGTCTTCATCTGTATCTTTTGTCTTGCCTTTTACATCATTCACTAAATTGTTGGTCTCGCTGGTCATATCTTGAGATTCTTCAGGAGGGGGAATAGTGTCCATTTGAGAATCTCCATCTTTTACAGTCTGTTCAATAAGGTCAAACTCTTGGGAGTCACTACTGACTTTTGGGGTGGAGGTGACTAATGTAGAGTCCTTCATTGGTTCATCTTGATCTTTTTTAGCCTGTTCTACCAACTCAAGCTTCTTCTTGGACTCCTTATTGGGCAGATCTTTTTTGGCGTTAGCAGGTTCTTCCGTGGTCTCCACAGATGACCTGCTCCGTCGACCAATCCTTCCCTGTGACTGACTGTCAGACTGCGTGTCAGACTTTAAGTCTGATTGACTAGAATCCAAATCTCTGGTGCTTCTCCTTCTGGGTTCAGGCTGATCAAGGAAATCCTGTGAAAAGCTATAAAGTTTGATCCTCTTGTTTGATCTACCCTGAGAGTTGGTTTGGCTTGACTCCCCCTTATCTCTCTGAGTCCTTGATCGTAACCTGACTCTACTACTGTCCTCCTCAGCAGCAATCTTACCTCGTGTGTTTGGCCTGCTCTGAATCGAGTTCGACTTTGGAGAATCACCTTTTGACTCCCCTTCAGAACGTTTCCTTTTCGGCTGCTGGAATTTCTGGTCCCGTACCTCTGGGTCCTCTCCAGGCCGCAGAGGTCTGACCCTTGGGCGCCCAGACCTTCTCGGTTCACTAGGAGATGCGTCGTTTGCAGAGGATTGAGAATCATCTTGGGTGGATTCAAATTCCTCTTCCTGGCTTGAGGGTTCAATTTCTTGTGACACATCAGCTGTTTTTATGCTCTCCATTGGACCTGCTTCAGTCTGGGTATCTGGGATAACATCTTCTTCCTCGGTTGTGTCACTCGGAAGTCTGTCAGTCAGTCTTACAGGCTCACATTTAGTCCCAGAATCCTTTGGTCTTACAGGGGAATCTGGAGTATCCTTGACAGGACTCTGAGAATTTACTTTTCCTACCTGAGTGGACTGGGATTCCTGGGAGTTTGGAGCAGCGGACATAGAAGTCTGTGAAGAAGACTTCTTGGTGCATTCTTGGCTATTAGACGTCTTTACAAGAGGACCTGTAAACTTGGATACACTACTGGGACTTGCAGGCTTTCCTTCAGCATACTTCTCAAGAGTAATAAAGGACTGTCGACGACTGTTGGGTTTCTGGGGAGTCCCTGAGACCAAATCTGAAGAGCCAGAGATGTTAGGACTTGTGTCTTGTTTTCTCTCCACTTCTGAATCATCTCCTTTATCTTCGGTTTTGGAGACATCTTCCATTGAAACATCTGTTGATTTAGGAATCAATTCTTCCGGTTTTTGGTTTTCTGCAACACTGTCAACAGCTTTTGGGCTGGCATAGTCCTGCGTGTCCTTTATTAGGACTTCAGCATCTTCCTCATTCTGAGCATGTTCTTGAGGAACCTTTGAGGAGGACAAACATTTTAACCGACTTGGTCAGATGAGCTTTAGGATTTATTATTAATTTTAAAAAATGAGGCACAGTTACATGTGGGCTGTTTTTGTTTTAAAATGTTAAACTTGAAGAAAACCAAGACTGTTGCTAAACTTGTGGTTGCACATAGAAATACAGGACAAAACAACTTTCTGTTCATCTTGCTTGGTACTGCTCTTTTGTGTTTCTTTTGCAATGAGGATTTTTATTTGATTACCTCCACAGGCGCCTCTTCGGTAACAGTTTCTGTTTGTTCAGCTGGCAGTTTGTCCCTGTGAAGGGTAAAATGTGAATATGTCAATGAATCTTGTTAGAGAAAGGGGATTTTTTTCTGATTCTGGCAGTCGATGCTGAAAACTTACTGAGTGTCCTCTTGGCTCTGAGTGTACTGGGTGAAAGCTGTAGTGTCCAGGGAGGCATCAAGGTTATTGTACATGGCAGGAATGTCAACCCTGCGTCAGAGAAAACATTAGCACCATTCAAGCCTTTAAAAAGACATCTTAAATGTGTTTTAAATGTGGCTGATAGACTAACACACCTTTTGGTCCTTTTCACCTCCTTCTGGTGTTCGGTCAGAACTCGCTCCTTGGTCTCAGGAGGAATGAAGACAAAGTCGATGGAGGCTTCTTCCTCTAAAACTGCTCTGCGGGGATGTTTGGGAGATCCAAAGTCCAGTTTGGTCTGTAAAAGAAAACAAATTTTTGATGTGTGGTTTAAGATGACAAATAAAAACAAAAAAGATAAACCCTGAAGAAGACCTGAGTTCTCTTTTAAACAACATCTGAACTCACAGAAACTGGTTTGGAGATCATCGTGGAGCTTCTCTCTTTCATCTCAGGAGTCTTTCCCAGAAGTGAGTCCCTCTTCCCCACTGTTGAAATCGGCATCCCGCTGAGCTTGGTCTCCATCTGAGAACTCTCACTCTGAGGACAAAAACATGCAAAGTCATAAACAAAAAACAGAGACTGAGGGGTAGATATATTTCGAATTTAACAAAGAAACATCTAAACTTACTGAACACAGTCCACTGAGCTCATCAGGAATACTGAGGACTTCAAACCCAGGAAGAATGATAGGGGTCTTCACCTTCACTTGGCTCAATATTGGTCTGCGGAAAGGAAAAGAAAATATACATGACACTACTATAAATTATATAACTGGATCTTAATGACCCCGCTAGCCATAAGGGTATTTTTTTCCATTTTTGCCTTGTTGAGAACATGTGGAAAAGCTAAAACAGGTGTGCAGTATTTTTATAAAAAAGTAGATCTAAATCATTTAAATGCTTTTATTTTGAAAGGGCTTGTTTAGATGGTTTTTACCTTTATTACTGACCAAGCAAACCAAGATTTGACCACAGTACCAGAGAAATATAGCTTTGGAGTGGTCGAAAAAAAATCAAAATATCTTTACCTGATCTCGTCAGGGTAGGTGAGGCTGTCCGACTTAGCGAAGGTGGCGTTCCAGAACTGGGTGACAGATGTGCGAAGCTGCTTGCTCTCGTGAGGAAACAGAACACACAGCAGAGGAGTCAGCAGAGTCAGGAGCTCATCGTCATACGTTAAAGTGGAGCAAGTCTGTAGACAGCCGAGAACGTCAGGAAGGAGCTTCTCCAGCTGCAGGAAGAAGATGAAGACAGAGGAAGTTATTTAGTTATAAAGCGCCAAAGTTAAAAAGCTTACAGGTTTTGAATAAAGAGGACTCACCTTTCCCTGAAGCTGTGAGGAGAATCTGGGCGGCTTGCTGGCTGTTTGTTTGTAGAAAAGCGTGAGAGGTTGAATCAGAGCGGTCAGGGCTGCGGTGATAGTGTTGGCGAGAAGGAGGTTGGAGAATAAAGTAGAGAGGATGGAGGTGAGAGCGAGTCCTGTAGGTTCAGAGGGAGCCTCAGAGTCCTCCAGGTACACATCCAAACACTGAACCAGCAGGGACTGGAAGGTGGTCAGATTCCCCAGGACCTTACTCCTCTTCTTGGTCCAGTTTACCGGAGTGTGAGGAGCTGCGGGAGACAGATTTGACCAAGAATGAAACTTTGCCTTTTCAAAGAGTGATTCAGGGCTGAAATTAGTTTTCCTGAAGTTTCCTTACACTTGTGCTTTTGTTGAAACCGAGGAGTGTAAGGAGAGAAGTCGACGCACTCCATCATGACCTGGAGGATACTGGAAACAGCACTTAATGTTGAAGGAACCTGGAGAAACACAAAGATCACATTTCTCAAAAAGATGAAAGACTTTCAACACTTTGAAATATCAGCTTTCTACAAAACGTGACACTTATATTCCTTCTTAAGTTATCTCTTTTTTCTGTTTAATAACTCTGTTTCCTTGTTCTTTTTTCTGTGCTGCCCGTCTACATTCCTCTTGAATTTCTGTACTTTACTTTCCCAGAAGTATGGGGGCAGCTTTGGGACATTTTTCAACAAGATTCTTAATTTTAAAGCGTCATCATTTTTAAGATCACTGTTTCTTGTTTGGATGTTGAAATATTTGGTGACTTCTGAAAAATGAAGACAAAGGTTTTCTTGTTTTCTACTCACCATCAGAGCCTCTTTGTCTAGGGCTGCTGTCATTTTCGTACAGAGCTCCTCGCAGCAGACGTTTTCCTCTGCTGTGACCACCAGCGCAGAGCAGCGAGCAAACACTTTGTAAAGTTTGGACCACGTGGAGAGCATCGACTTCTGGGACGCCTAACAAAACACAAAGACCAAAATGATCAAAGAGATTTATCCTGGTGAAAATAAAGAGGATTTAATAACAAGCAGGGCTGCTTCATGAGGGTAAGAATATGATGTTTAAGACCGACGGACAAACAGACCTGCTGCAGTGGTGTGCCTTTCAGTAGATGTGCAACAGGGAACATCAGGGCAGAGTGCATGGCGCTGAAGTTGTGCTCCAGAGCGTCACCTTGATTTACTTCATTAGACTGTAAATAAGAAGTGAGATTTTAAGCATTTAGAGCTCTGCTGGCATGAAACAGAGCTGTGTGAGGAAAAACAACACTCTGCAGTGAGCAGCTGAGATCACTTTAAAGAGACTGGAAATGAAGTCTTAAGTTAGTTTTACCCTCACTCATTTTTATTTAATGTCTTCATCTTTCTTCGGATGAGAAGTTAAAAACTACATGCTTGGAAGGTCTTGGCAGCTTAATTCACAATGTTTCGAACCCCAGTTCAGACTGATTTCAGTTCTTTTAGTTTGTGTTTCTTGATAATGTATTCTGTATTATTCATCAAGTCAATTTCACAGATTTTTCTCACTCAAACTATTCAAAACTCCTGATGCAGGGAACCACAAAACCAGAACTTCAGATCAACTTGGGCAGGACACCAAGACCAAATGATGAGTTTTGTAAGTCTTAAATCTAAACCAAAAGTTGAATTTCACAAAGAGTCATTTTAATTTGGGTAATGTCGATCAAACACAGTCACATACGAGTCCGCTTCCACCTCTCTTCCTCACCTTTGTGATGGTTTCGGTGAGTGGGCTGACCATCATGCTCCACATCTTCCACAGCTGCTCTTTGTTCTGCAGAGTCTCAGCGCTGCGCCGCATGCCGCCGAGCACTGCCTCCCCAAACGCCAGAGGAGACGTGTGACCGGAGAGACCACAGCCCACCAGAGTCTGAAGACACTCAAAAAACCTGCAGGAGGGAAAAAAGGAGCCGATGGATATTCACCAATATCCATATCCATAATATAAAAACAATGACTTTTGAGTGTATTTTTAACAGGACATTTTAAATGTGGGACAAAAACACTAAAAAAAAACTTTAAAAAAGATAAATGTGGACAAATTCGACTGAGTGATGCAGGTTGTGGTCGTGCCACCAGAGGGATCCAAACTGAAGTTACAACAACTGTTTGATTCATCCTGGATTTTAGATCATTCATAAGAAATTCAAGTCAGAGAAAAGTCTGTTAATCAAACCGCTCATGTTTAATACTGGGCACCATCTTTCTCTTCTGTATCACACTGAGGGAAAAATTCAATTTGGAGCAACATGGTCAGTCTTTAGAAAGACTTATTAGGTGAATAATGTCTTTAAAGTAACTTAGAAGAAACTCAATAGAAACTTAAATACAGCCGACAGTCATGTCCTGCTCGAAAATAATGATATAAGAGACCCCAGAGGCAAATTTAATCAATGTAAAGCAGAATTTAGTAAACATTTTCATGATGAATAACTGTTATCAGTCCACCACTAGTTTTAATGTTGATGTAGAGCCTTTCGGATCAAAACCAAAAACATGCAACTGGAGATTCGGACGAAAACATCCTCACAATCTCATGTTTACATTCATACTTCAGACCCACCTCTCGTCCTCTAAGTACTCCGACAGCGTGCTGCTGTTGTAGAGCAGCAGAATGAGGAACAGCGCCGGCGTCCCCTGAAGAAGAGATGACAGAGTTTGTGAGCTAAACGGAAAATGAATACATGCTGATGAAAAGAAAGCAAACAGCCCCTTACATTCAGTACGTCCATCTTTCCGACTTGATAGGAGGCGGAGCCGAGGACTCTCTGATGGATGCCTTTTACGGTCACTTTAAACAGGATCTGTCGAGAAAAATTAAACAGTCAAGGATTTTAAACTTGAATATAAATGACAGATTAAAGCAGGGTGCCTTTGGCTTTAGGTTTTTGTATTCGATCAACTCTTACCAGAACTTTCTCTGCAGGCAGAACCTCCGAGGTGACAATGCTCTGCAGAGCCTGAAGCATCAGAGTGAGGACCTCGCAGCCCTGCCGGTCCTTCTTACTGCCTACTGACAACCAGGAGAGACATTAACTTCAGAGAGCCGTCAGCTGTCGGACAAATGAAACTGGAAATGTGTCTGAATGAAGAGAAGACGGTCATCATCGGGGACAGACCCCTCAGTGTGTTTTCTCTTCACAGCAGTCCAGACCTCGAGGGTCTCAACGTTCAGACTTAAACTGACGACAGTGGGAGTGGGTCAGGCAGGAGAGGGGGACGGGGTCTTATGAGTCCTCCTCTCATGTGACGGAGCCAAAACCCAATCAGAGTTCTGTATGTGGAGCTGCGAGGTGAGGACCACGACTGGAAGAGCCCACCGTGCAGAGCAGCAGCCACCACACTTGGTCAAAAACACTCTTTAAAAAGATCCTAGAACTATTTGTTGACGGAGTTTAAGGTGATCATGGTGACTCTGTTTTACAACCTGGATATAAAAATGATCAGAATCAAGAGTCTTTGCACAAAATGAAATATTCATTAGATTGAATAAATGTGAATAATCAGGATTTTCAAGAGGACCAAGTTTCATAAGAAGAAAAAAACTCAGATTAGCAGATGTCTTACCTGACTCGATGGTGAAGTTGACAAACCGAACAAGACTCGTCCATATGATCGTCAAAAGAGAGTCTAAAAGGAAAAGCAGGAGAAACACAAGTCTCATTAAAGGGAGGGTTAAGTCAACACAAGCTCAAGACAGACGACTTTAGGCTCAAGACAATCTGGGAACTCGAGCTAAATCGTTTATTGTTGTAAAGATGAAGATGTCAACATGGAAACTTTGGACAGTTTCACAGAGAAGCCTTGAACACACATCTCTTTTACTTTCAGAGGACTTCCTGGGTTGTATTTCACCAACTCATGGGAGGTTGTTATAAAACTGCCTCCAACAAAGAGCCCCCTGCACAGCTCTGCATTAGAGCCTGCGGTTTGTGTTGGCAGAGAGTCGGCTGATTTGGTCAGATACTCCGAACTGTGGTTCTTTATTTCATTTGGAGTAAACACAATAATCATCTCGGCCATGAAGGGAAACTGCAGCTCTAGAGCAGAGCCTCCCTACAGTTTATCAGCAGCTCCTGATTAAAACCAGAGAATTTCAAACCCTGCTAACAAACACTGACACGCTGCCAAAGACTGAGGGGGAGCTGCTGCTGTGGAGAAACTTCACAACCTGGATTACTAAACAGTGGAGGGATCTTATCTACAGGACTGAACAGGGTCAGAGGTGATTCCAAAACTGTGATTTTTTTAACCTGGAGCGTCTTTGCCGACGTTGATGAAACCGTCTCGGATGCTGGAGGTGAGCACAGCGGCGTGTTTGGTGAAAGATGACGCTCCAGTGAGGAGAGGATGGGTCAAGGGCTCTGAAAGGATAATATGAGGGGCACATGAATTCATCGTCCAATCATATACTGATCGAAAACGACACAAGGAACCGACAGAATCTGGTTTGTCGCTCTCACCGAGACTCAGGATTATTTTGTTCTTCGCAGTCGTGTTAAGAACGTCTGGCCCCAGGAAGAAGTGCGTCAACATCTCCAGGCCCAACAGCTGGATAGACGGGAAAGTTGTCGGGTGCTGCACGCTGGAGTTCAGGCTCATCCGGGATGTGTTAGCGGGGCTGCTGAAGCCTGGAGGGCCTGCTAGGAATGCAAAATACATCCCGCATCAATGTCCACGTTCACCCTGATGCAACACCTATAGAGGAGGGAGGTGGACGTACCGGTCTTTGGAGTTGCAGGTGTAGCTGAACCGTTTTGGCTGACAGGTCTGGATGGGGTTCCTGGAACTGTAGGGGAGTCGGATCCAATGGTGCACTGGAGCAGAGGAAGAGCGACCTGGAGATAGACGAAAACTCTTCACTCTGACGATCACAGCTCTTACACTTAAGGCACAAAACATCAAAGAGCTGCAGGTCTGTTTCTCACCTGATCAAAGTTTGCAGACAGGTTGGGCCCGAGCTGGACCACCAGGTACCACCAGACCTCCACCTTAGTGAGCATCAGAGCCTCCGTCCTGACGTGGATGGACGCGAGCGGTTGCATCAAGAGTTTCATCCGTTTGCTGCTGCACAGGATATCTTCAGGAGAGACGTGAAACACAAATCTTAAAATCGCTCAAAGATGAATCACTTTGAGAAAACCACACAGGGAGCGCAGCGTCTTCAACTCACCTGGATTGAGGGCGAAGTTATCGATGAGGCTCTTCCAGGCGATGAAGGCGATCTTCTTGATGGATGGGGAGGAGCTGCGGAAACCGAGTTCCTCGAGATGCAGCAGAGAGTTAATGAAGGGTCCTCCTCTGTGCAGCAGCTGTGTGGGGAACACAACAAAATAAACATGCAGTCGAATGTAAATAAAACCATCTGACAACTTTCTGCATGTGACGTGTGCGGTTCAACATACCTTGCCGAGCAGTTTCACAAATAACGGCCAAAGCTTCAGGACGTTCGTCTCATTCTTGGACATGAAAAGTTTCTGAAGCTCAGGGATCAGTTTCTGCAAAGACAGATGAATATTAGCAAAGTGATTAACACGGCCGGGTTTCTATTTGAAATGTCAGAGCTGCAAAAGCATGAAATAACCATGCATATCAACAATTTGCACATCAATTACCTAACCCGTATTCAACCCTCGATGATACAAAATCTACACACGAGTAAGTACGGGCGGTTTATTTAGCCGACTCCATTTAGCTGCATCTATTGACTCCATGAGGTCTGGTCCCAACGTAAAAACATCCACAGAAATACTCACTGTGGACATCATGGGTTCAATGATGGCAGCCACTTCCGTCTGTTTCTGAAGCAAAAGCGGCATGCCCATCTCCATGGCTGCAGCGGCTCGTAGTCGCACTTTGGATGCCGAATGGATGACCAACGGGATGATGAGCTTCGCCCACCGGACTACTCTTTCACCCATCTGAGCTGGTACCTGCTCCAGCATCCTGAAAATACCGGTACATATAAATACCCACTCCTCTAATGACATTCAGCGAACTGGATATGATCCTACATAATGTTTTTCTGTTACCTAATGACAACATTTAAGGCCTCATGCTCCATCACCACAGACTGGATGTCCTCTCTGCTCAGAACCGCCTCCAGTGTTCCCAGTATAGAGGACACCTGAGTGAGAGAAGCCCCCCTCATCAGTACCCAGCAGCTCTTTGTTCAGTTACAAGTGTCTGGACTCAAAGCTCACCTTTTTGGCCACCAGTTTTGAAGGGAAGCTCTGTTTGGAGATGACCCATAATGCTCTGGTGCATGTGTTCTTATCGGTCGTCTTGACCACCAAGGAGCAAAGTGCTGTGAGGATTTCTCCTACAAGAGTTTCTAGAAAACAACAAAGGAATCACTGTCAGTCTTTTTTTTTATTATTTTATTTTCTTTCCCAATATTTCAATTTATTTTGTAGTTCTCTTTCTGGACCCTGTTTTTTAATTCAATTTTATTTTTTTTGGCAATACCCTTTCTTTACATTGGATGTTCAGGATAACTTGCAGTGTAATTATCTTTATTATTATCCTTTCTATTATTACTATTTATTTATTCATTTTCTCTCTCACTTCATGCTCCTTTTAGAGGATCTGGGAACATGGGGCAGTGAGGGAGGGACTGGGGGATTTATTATGTACATTAATTTAACATGTGAATTTGTTTATGTTCAAACTGAAAATGCTAATAAACAGATTAAAAAAAAAAAAGTAATCACTTTCAGATGGATTTAAACTCCCTCTAAGTTATGCCTGATTGTTATGATGTGTAAATAAATGACGTACCAGAGACTCCAGAGACGACTTGAGAATGATAAACACAAAACCCCAAAGCCTGAAGCGCAGCTTGGCTCAGCTCTGCATTCGGACTGGTTATGTGAGTCTGGAAAACAAACACAAAACAAGGACACAATAAGGATTCATTAAGACGTTTTGTTAGGAAATGATCAGATTTTATTTCCTGTATTTTTTAACCTTCACAAACTTATCAAAAAGACTCACCAAGGTGGCTTCACCCAAACGAGAAAAGTGCTTTTCAACAGCAGGGAGAAACTGGCGGCCTTCTTCTCCACTGAGCCGGCTGGAAAGTAAACACAAAGAACAAAAGCTGCAGCATTAAAAAGCACCAAAATTTGACTTTCTTCAACTGTATCATCAAGAAAATTAAATCAAAGTCCTTTTAAAAATGTTTGCAGCTATTTCACCAAAATATATGCTTTATATGTAAAGCAACATCAAAAATGAGAATATGAAACGTACTTTGCAATGGTGAGATAGGCGTCTGTCTGCTCGGACTGTCCGGCAGCACTGTCCTCCACAGACTCCAGCAGGGGGAGGAAACTGGAGCTGCTTGGAGGCTCCGCGGCCGCCATCATTATTACTTCTCACCTCGTCTTTGCTTTACAAAAAAGAGAGAGAAAACCACCATGCATTTAAAAAATGAGAACAGAAACCATGTTGTAAAAACAGTCAGCAGCAAAAATTCAAATGAACCAGAATCAAAAGGAAGTCATGATCCATTTTTAATCTGGTATGCTAATTATCTATCACCTTTTACTGCTACAAAGAATCACTACAGCGAAGATTGCACATGAGAGGAACTGATTTTTTGCGTTTCACTTTGTTGCTTTCCCTAATTCTACATGTCCACTGTTGCAGAAACGGTCCAACCAAATGAACGCTGCAGCTGCATCAATAGATTTACTTATGCTGGTAACTTTTTGCAGCAATAATGGCATTAAAGTGTGAAAAGCTGGACATAATTCATTTGTCAATGAACTAAATGAGTCATGCAGTAATCCTGCCAGAGTCTGCAGGGTGAAAAATGCACCGATAAATCTGACATCTCAGAAACCTGGTAGAAAAATCTTACTGCAGATCATTTGCTCCCAGTGGTGAAAAACATACTATCAGAGACAAATATGGTAAAAAAAAAAAAAGAAAAAAAAAAAAAGAAAAGAAGCAGCCACTGCACAGGCTCTGTCACTGCTTGTTTTCAGCCTGGATCTTCAGAAATTTATAAGCATCTGGTGTTGACCTCTGTACTCTGGCTAGGACATGTTGCTGCAACAACTAGATAAGTGAGACGTTGAGTTTTAAACACAAGTGATAAAATCTCAAACTGGATCCTAAAACTGACAGGAAGCCGATAAAAGGAGGCCCAGTTCTGAATCTTGTTGGAGATAATCTTCTTCTTCACCTGAATATCATTTTGAGATGAACTTATGACTTTTAATCCACTGCCGTTAAAAGACAGCTATCCGCCTTTTGACTCCAAAACATTTTGACTCTCTACTTTTGCCCTTAAAAGGGATTTTCCGGCATAAAATTAATTTAGGGCCAAACACACCGCAACACTGAGTTAGACACACTCTCGAGAGATTAATGTTGCCAACCGCTTGCTTCTCTAGTTATACCAACTTTAGTAACAACCGCAGGATAGCAATACACAGCGGTCTGAGGAGCCATAAACAAACCTCAACCAAAACGCCACTCTATAGCCACAAATAATGCTCAGAACAGCACCTAACTTCATCAACAGTACATACAGGGTCCCAGCCATAGTACTAGCCACCAAACATCTTTTTAACTTTGCCTAATTTCTTTAGCAAAGAGACTAAACACAACTCACCTACTCTCTTCCAGCAGATGTTTGTTTGTAGACCTCGGGCCAGTCCATCACGGACTACAGCAGGGTGACGCAGCTCAAGGAACAAGATTTATGATAATTTCTTCATGGAAATGCAATCAGACCGAGACGCTAAGACAGAAGAACTACCGCGTCTGCAGTGTAAAATGATTAATATGATGATTGTTACTTCAAGGAAATGATAAAGAAATGATCATGAATGTTCTTCCTTGAGCTGCGTCACCCCGCTATAGTCCGTAATGGACTGGCCCGAGGTCTCGCTACAAACAAGCAGCTGCTGGAAGAGAGTAGGTGAGTTGTGTTTAGTCTCTTTGTGAAGGAAATTAGGCAAAGTTTAAAAGATATTTGGTGGCTAGTACTATGGCTAGGACCCTTAATGTACTGTTAATTAGCTGCTGTTCTGAGCATTATTTGTGGCTATAGAGTGGCTTTTTGGTTGAGCGCGTGGCTCTCTGTATTGCTTTCCTGCAGTCGTTACTACAGTTGGTATAACTAGAGAAGCAAGTGGTCGCCTCTCGAGGGGGTGTCTAACTCAGTGTTATGGTGTGTTTAACCCTAACTTAATTTCACACCGGAATACCCCTCTAAATAGATATTGTGTAGTTTTGCCTGTGGTTTGTATGGCAATGTTGTTGTACTTGTACACTGCAATCAAGAATATCCTCCATAACTGCAGTATTGAGAGGCCCTTGCACTCACTGGAAATGTTGAATTTTCACTTACTGCTGTCATCAGGTATGCTTGGTTGCTCCTAGGAACATTAACTTTGTATTAATCAGGCAGTGATGATCATTTGTTTGGACATACCTCAGTGATATTTATGCAGAGCTGAGTCCACCCTCCACTGTATCCAGAGCTGCAAAAACACACAAATTAGTAGATATAACCTGTTAAGACAAATGCAAGGATGACCCGTTTGTTTCATATATTTGTGTGTTTGTTGGTTGCTATAACAGGCCAACATTTAGCAAATGTCTCAACCACAACAAGACCCCAGTAGAGCCCCATAAAGAGAAAAAAAACAACAACTTTTACTGTGTTATTTAGAGATTGAATAACTTAACTCAGGGTCTGAATGATTAAATGCATCTTATAGGACAGCTGTAAGTACAACATGCGAGGTAATAGCAGAGCAGCCTGCTAATGTGGACTAGCTTTATCAAGTTAGCAGCATTAGCAGCAGCTGCATGTCCCCTCACTTCACTGTTAGCCTCTTAGCGAAGTTTCATGCACACTAAATCAGAGTCAAATACCGCTAAAAAACAGGTGACACTTTTGCATTTAACCCGCCTCACCTGTGCCCTTCACGGCCTTTCATTCAGACTCATTATGAAGCACAGATCAGCGTTTTCAGACACTATTTACCCCGTTTGTTTGACACATTCATGGCTCACCTCGGAGTTCACAGAAAAAAGAAACAAACAGCGGGAGTTTACAACGACACAGCATGAAAAAGCAGCGGAGACAGACGTCTGCTTCAATCTGAGGCGAGTTTATCTCGAAGTTTTAGCTGTTTTTCTCTCCATGTATTCAGTCTTCCTCCTTCTCTTGTGCTGCTGTTACCCCGCGAAATCGCTGGCGCCAAACTATTACGCAGACGTACAAAATTACCTCTGACCCCGCTTACATCACCAAACCGACACGCCCACTTTGCCTTATAAGGATAATAAACAGCACACTGCCAGCAAGTGATGGAAAACAGGAGCTCCTACTGAGTGTTTTCATACTGGTACCTAGTTTTCTAAGGAAAATAAAAAAGAATATCCACGACAGTAAGTGACACTGATAAAAAAAGAGGTCAAAATTGTGAGCTACGGTTAAAATAATGAAATTTAAGGTCATGATAATGAGATAACAGGTCAATTTTATGAGCTATACAGTCAAAAGTCACTGTAAGATAGAATAATGACAGAATAATGGCATAAGAAAACTACAATTTATCATACTGTTTTGGCTTTTCGTCTCATAGTAACAACTCATTTCATGATTTCCTCTTCTTCATCTCAAATACTGGACATTATTTCTCATAATTCCTACTTTTCATTTAATTCCTAAACAATTTATTTCATTATCTCTACAACTCATTTCATAATTATGTCTTTTCTTCCTTTTTTCTCATCACTGTGTCTTTTTATCCTATATATTTTTTACTATCTCATGACTGCCTTTTATCTCAGAGACTTGACTCAATTTAATAAGTACGACCCTTTTTTTCCTTATAATTGTGACTTTTTTTATCTAAAGCCATGACTTTTGACACAATTTTAATATAAGGACTTTATACCTCACTATTATGACTCATTTTATACTTGCACAGTTTCATCTCAAAAATATGTCTTTTTGTCATAATTACAACTCATTCATTTTTTTGACTTTTTATTGAACAATTCTGTTGTTTTTTGCAAAGTTCCCACTTTGCATCTCATAACTGACTTTTTACCTCATAATGACTCATTTCATAATTTTGACTTTTTATCTCACATTTCTCTCCACGATTTCCACTTTTTATTTCATTACAAACTTCTCATGTCATACTTATAACTTATCTCATAATTTCCACTTTTCATCTCATTTCTGACTTAGTTTTCATAATTGACTCATCTCATTATTTCGCGTTTTTATCCCATAATTTTTTTTCCTCATATATCAATTTTTTCTTTCATTATTATGACTTTTTATCCATAATTGCGACTCATTTTATAATTGTGACTGTTTTTCCCATTACCTCATAATAATTTGAAAAATATAAACCTAAGGAATTTGGAAAATTATACTGTATGTGAACATTTGTATAGATGGATCATTAAAGAGTTGGATTATAGATACTGCAAAACAACCATTTTTGTTTCTTTAAAGTAAACTCATGAATGGGTTAATACAAATATCTTTATTCACTTTGACTGTAACAGCAGCAGAAAATTCAACACGACATAATGACACTTTGTTAAAGCCTAAATTATAAAGATTTATTAAAAACACTTGAGGAGGTGACCAATGACATCACTCATACAGCAACAGGATTGAATCAGTGTGTTAAACTCGGGGTCAGTGTAGAGTGTGGGTGTAACTGGGTAGAAACTGAGACGCATTAGTGGCGATGTACTGAAGCTGAAAACCTCCGGCTGTGACTGAAGCGTCAGAGAGGAACTTCAGCGTCATCACGTTTCCTAGGAAACCAAACAGCAGACACAAATTTAACCGTTGCAGCAATGATATATCCACGTGCAGACAGATGACACACCAACAAGAGACATTTCAGGTTTCTTATAATGATCAACGAGGACGTCTCACCTGTACTGATGATATCGTCCGGTAATTCATCACCACAGAATCTGTAAAGAAAGAGTTAAAATGTGAAATTTGTGTTAAACTTTAAAAGCTAATTTCAATAGATTTACTACTTCAACATTAAGGGTCTATAGATAAAGCACATCAGGTAAATTAAATATGCAAACTTTGGAAATGTTTTGTCTTTTCAGTATATAATCCAAGATAAACTGAAACACAATTTTGTAGAATCAGCGAATTATAATAAGCATATATGAATTTGAATAGTTGTTTTTCAAGGGTATATATATTTTGATTATAATGAATGGAAATTAGGAACATCCTTTTTATTATTATCTTATAATCATCCATAAAAGAGTTAAAATCAAGCATCAAATTACTATTTGGTTCTTCATCAACAGAAAAACCTTCAAAAAAAAAATATTTTTTTACTTACCCCCAGTTTGGGATAAATCATGTGTTCTCCATTCTTACTTAGGAGTAAACAGATTGTGGTGAATATTTAATAATTGAGTAATTTTATGATGTATGCGTCTTAAATAAAGACTTTGTTCTTGATTATCTCTGTGACATTTGTTCCAACTATGTGATCAATGGTCTTATCACACATATACAGACCATGTTGTGTTCAGAGGAGTTTCCCATCAGCTAATTTCATGCCTGGTAATAATTTACCCATATTAGATTGATGAAAACTATATTTCACCTCCTCAAAGTTTTAAAATCTGGTATTTTAAAGTCTCACCTCCCGGCGAATCCTGAGACATCATCATAACTGTCGTACACCTCCAGGTAATCTGCCAGACACGCCGTGTCGTCCTCCACATCAAACTCCAGGAAGTGCAAACGGATCCTCTGACCCAGACGGACTCTGATGTGCCAGTAACAGATCTGCTCGTCCTGATACTCTTCAGGAAAACCCGGGGACTGAATGATCTTCCTCTGGTCCGTCAGGGTGCCACCACACTCTTTCGCTTTAAAACACCAGAGACATAATTCAGGATTAAAACTCTATTAGTGGAAATTTTGATGCTGAGTTGAAGTTACTTTATGAATAGTTGGGACAGGGATCATATCAGAGACATTTCTAGCATTTTTTTAAGTATACTGCAAATATAGTTTCAAACAGTCCTATTTTGCCATTCACAAATGAGGAGCGAAACAAACAAGCATGTCATTCAAACTGCAAGACATGTCTCTAATTTTAATATCTTATTTTTGCTCATTGACAGCTGTATTTGTGTACAGCAAAATAAGATACAGAGTTGTATGTCCATGTTTTTCTTTATATGCTGCCATCAAGTGGTGAAAAAGAGTACAACATGATAATTTTTGCACTCCTCCCCCATTACCTTTACAAAATTAGTCTCTTTTTTTGTACCACAATTGGGCAAAAAACACTGGAAAATTAAAATGGAGGGCATATATGTGAACAAGATTGGTGTGGCCTTACAGGTTTATGAAATTTTGTCATTTCTTCAAGCACACAATGAGTCTCATAGTCTGGATAAATAAATATAGGGTCAAAGCCTGATAGACCTTTATACAGGGTCACAGAAAATCAAAAAAAAAAAAAAAAGGAGGCATAAGTTTTTTTTCCAATCTATCGAATCTGGGAGATAGATTGAAGAAAAGTTTCTAACTTATGTAAACCTCTGCAAAAACATTGTTAGGATGAACCTCAGAGCCCATTAGCTTTGCATGAAGACAGAAACTTGCTATAAAGATGATAATGAAAATTTTAAACTTGGGTCTTATGGGGTTAAAAATACAATAAACTTGGCTTCATTTTTACTTTCCATGTGGCCAGTCACGGGAGTGCTACACCACACTGAACACATTATGACTTTACGATTTATACATAAAGTCTGATGGAAATAGGGATATGTTTTATTCCACTACAGTAAAAAAAAGTATCTGTCCACTCGTGTGAAAATGTCGACCTCCAGCAGCTGGTTGAATTTTGCATCTGTTCATGCGAAACAGTTTATTTCAGGGGGTCTGCCCTTTGCGTGTGAGCCTTCAATGAATTCAGTACAGGAGGCAGAAAACCTTTAGCTGAAATGAAGGGAATCAAACACACATGTTGAGACAAAGGCATCAAAAGCTTTCTCCTCCGACATCCTGGAGGGAAAAGAAACTAAACATCTCATTTGTACTTCATTAAAAAATTGAGCTCACATTCATAACTGGGGCAAAGCTGAAACATCTTACCCCGGACTTTAAAGACGGACTTTGGTGAACAGATTGTGATTCTTTTGGATTTTAGGGTTGTTCAGAAAATGAAATGCACTGTTGTTTTTCAGTTTTCTTTTACTTATTTAGTCTCAGCCTTATAACTTCAACAACCATGAGTAGACTCAAGAGAAACAGACACTGGAATGCAGACTTTTTACTCTTTAAATAGTGTAGTTTAATCCCTAGATTGCAGAATGAAATGAAGAAACTTTGTAGAGCAAAAGGTGTTTGTTTAAAGTGATTCAACGAAACTGAGTGTTTCTGCAGGTTTAAAATTCCTTAACTTCTGCCTCCTTTACCGTCCTCACTTCACTTCCCTTTCACCGATGACTCTTTCTACTGTGGTGCAAGGCAGTCTATTGTACAGAGACTGAACTGAATCACCTTCACCACACAGGTCATCATGATCTCCTGCATCTAAACTCTTTATCAACTGTGGTCACAAATGGACAAATTCTACTTATTTTAGGTTTATGAGATTGTTTTATTCATGAGAATAACACATTTTAGCTCGTGAGTAGTGGTAAAATACTGTTTTTAGTATGCTCATCAGAAATCTTAACCTTACATCTGAAGTTTCTATTTTTCACTCTAAATTTCACTCATTACATCTAATTCTCTGCCTCCTTTTTTGTTGCAAAACTTTTCTATTTTAACTCAACAAAGTGGCAAGATTTGATAAATATCTAACTGTTGGTTTAAAGGCAACAAATTTGTCCGGCTGTTTAGAGCTTTTAAATGTTTTCTTATCACTCTAAAAGTGCTGTTTGTTCATACTTTTTACTGTAAATGAATGCTGACATCCTAAGAGCTTCACGGTTGACTTTTTCGTTGTGACTTTGTTGAATCATTCTGAGTCCAGCGGTTTTGAAACTGGTTCCCCTTTTTGGTGTCTCTTACTCAGCGCCTCCATTTACTCAGCGAAATCTTATCCAGACTGATGCTGTCTCTTCCTGCAGGTTATTCTTGGTCTGACTTTGATAAGTCACAGGGAGGGGCTCAGATTGTGGCTCTGAGTCTCCCTGTGATGGTTCAGTTCTGTTTCATTCTCACGTGTGACTTGAACCAGAAGTCAGAGCGTCTGTGGAGGCTCAGACCTGATGACAGCACTTAACCCGTAGGTCTGGGTCTTCCCCACTGGGACTCATGACGCTTTACACTTTACCACAAAAACACAGTCATCACTTACTCTTAAAACTACGCAAAACATCTGAAGTCATTCAGACGTTTAACTTGAGGATAGTTTTATGAATACTCTTGCAACCTCAACATTTTTAAGTGGCTATATGAACAAATCAGGACTGATCACAGTGGGCTGAAGACCCATTTGATTTCAGAGAAGCACAACAAACATGCAATTTGGATCAACCAACATGGGGAAACAGACAGTGCATCTAAGATTCTCCATCTACACTAGCAACAATCAAAGTAGCAGATATCGTGAGCCAAACACACGAAACTTGTCAAGTGTTAAGTCTTGTTTGCCAAAATGCTTTTGTAGAAATGTAAGCAGGTAGCAAGAGAGCTCAGACTATTTCAAGTGCGGGAAGTGGTCATGTCCTCCGTAGTAACAGTTTTCAAACCTTTTGCAAAACTTAAAGTAGCCACAATCTTAAAAAATAAAATCATGTCTCTCTGCAGCCTCTGAATAAATGTGTATGCATGGCACCTCTGTACATAACTGTCATCATTGTACCTGTACGTATGATCAGTACTCACAGTGTGGGTTGTAGCAGTACACGTCCCATTTCTCACTTTTGTTCAGCCTGTATCCGTAGTCGATGATGCCGATCTTCCCAAAACCACAGTTGGCGCCGGCTTTGACGATGGGGTAACCAACACGTCCTCTGTCGAACCATCCAGCTGCACACACATGGAAACCTGAACAAGAGCAGAAAAATGTTGGTTTTATTTCACAATTCACTGATTTAGGCCTCTGGGTCCTGACGACCACAAAGAGTCTTTTATTTCACTCTGCCAACAGGACAGGCTGACAGCTGCATCAGGCCAGGTCTTAGTGTTTGTATTTGTTTGTTATGTTCTTATTTGTTCAATCAGGGGCCTGAGAGTTTAGCTCAGTAACAATCTGCAGACCTCGACAGGAATAGGACCTCCTAGGTGGACGTCTGTGGGGGAAAGTCAGCTGTGGATACGAGGGTGAGTGGCTGTATTCTGTCTGTGCAAGAGCAACGGTGATACCACCCACCCAAGAAGGTGTTAACAGGCTTTTACTGCACTCCAGAGGAACTTTAAAATTTGGCAAAGAGTCACTCTGCAGCATGGAAAGAAGTGTTTCACACACTTATTTGCAGTGACCTTTACCCTGAGAACATGTGAACCTCTTCTGGTACATGTTAAAGAGCATTCCAGTGAGTTATGAGCTGTATGAACACGATTACATCAGGCAACAGTTCCACTGTGGGATTTGGATTTTGAATGTGTTTCATGGGAAACAGGAAGGGTAAACACTGAATGAATAGTTTCGTACAGAATATGGTAAAGGTATAGAATAAAATGTACAGGGCCCTTAAAAAGTTCCACCTACCACATTCTTCTATTTCAAAGCAGGTTTTGTTTTAAACATTATCATTGCTGAAGCAGACATTCCTAGTCTTTGCCATTCAACGCCTGTATACCTGTCATGCAGCTCTCAGTGAAAGATCAGCAGTTTGTGGCCATGAAAACTTGAAAAAGACCAAAAAACAAAATAGCAATAATTTCCTTGGTAATATGTCCAATTCTATTGTATCATAATGCATCATATTGTATCATTTCATACCTGTTTCGTTGGGTTGTATCTTGTTATATGGAATCTTATTGTATCCTGTATTGTCGTGTCATATTCCTATGTCAATAGATCATAATGTATCATATTGTTTTGTATCGTATCGTATCATATCGTATTGTATCATATCGTATTGTATCATACTGTATTGTATCGTATCGTATTGTATCGTATCCTATCGTATCGTGTCGTATTGTATCGTATCCTATCGTATTGTATCAACTTGAATGGTATAGTGACATAAAAGAACACATCAGGTTTCTATTTTTAACATATTGTATCTTGTAGATCACATACTATCATATTATATCATAAAATATTATTGTGTCATATTGCATTGAATTGTCATGTACCATGACATGTCATATTGTATCCTACACAATCAGATTACATAGTATTGATGTTACTGTATTGCACCGTATCATAAAGAATCTAATCTCAATCTATTATTGAGTGTCACATTATCAAATCAAATCAAAACATATCATATAAAAAATAAGGTTGCAACATCATATATAGTAATTTTGGATCCTATCCCATCATATATTGTAACATACTATATCATATTGCACGGAAATGCAATGTATAGCCTATTGTATACTGCACAGGTTTTATCATCATGTACTGGAACATATCAGGTTATAACAACATATTATATCATTTTAAAAATAACATTTTAAAAAGTAACACAACATACAGTAACTTATGGTAACGTATCAGATTTGACCTGACCAGATTGTTCAGTAACTTATCATATCCTATTGAATCGTACCTAAACATATGTATCCTGTCAAAGTGTGTTGTGTGGCATCTCATTGTATCGCACTGCACCACAATGAATAAGATCATAATGTATGACATCACATAACCTTGCATTGTTTTGTGCATCATTTCTGATCAGATTGCATAATAACCTATTGCATTTGAAATTATTGGAATTGGGTCATTGATAAAAAAAGTATGAAGAGAAAATTTCCAGTCTTTCTTAAAAAAAAAAAAAGTCCAAACTATTCCCAGAATGGGTCAAACCCCCATGTTGGACTCATCAGAAAAGTCACGCTTGGTGAGTTCAGCCACCTGTGTGCATGTGTGTGTGTGTGTTTGTGTATAGACCTATTTGCCGGGCGGCCTCCAGTTGTTGGTACGTGGCCAGGGAGCCTCCCTCGTACTTGCAGACAGCTTTGGCCTCTTTATACGTCAGCTGGTATCTCCCTTTGCGTGATTCCCGGTGGTAAACTCCAGCTGCTTGTTCTGTCCGAGAGAGAAACAAAAAACCAGCTACTTACTGCTTCTGCTCAGAAGCACAAAGAAACAACTGTCTGCATGGGTTTCTGTGCTGTAACCACAGCGACTTCAATCAGAGACTGAAAAACAAACTACTTTTTAAAAACATCTCAGAGACACCAGCCCAGCATGTTTTTGTTGAGAGGGTAACAAAAACTAGAAAGACCAACTGTGGGATTTGTTTCTGAGTTTTTTTGGAAGTTTCCCAACATTTGAGTCACCCCACCACCTCAGCAGGGAGTCCTCTGCTGATCCTGTTTTGGCTTTGTGCATGCATGAGTCCAAACTAGGCAGAAAGAGCTCAAAAACTCACTTCAAGAGAACTTTGATCATATTAAACCTCTTCTACAAATGTTTCTGATGCTTATTAAACTCTCGAGTTCATCACCACTGACTGCCTTTTAGCCCTCTCAGCTGTGAATCGTAAGTAGGCTACTGTGTCTCTTGTATGTGCATTCACGCAGGTCAAGAACATTATGATCCCTTATTAAACAATAAAATCAGAAAGAAAGGTGTGTGGAGGAAAGTCAGCTACTTGATTGTAATCTTAACTGTTAATGTAAAGTTGAGGCAACTGCAATTTAGTCCCTAAAGTTTGAGAAAAAGTAACTGGAGTTGCTTTTGTTTTAGCATTTTCTGAGATGAAGTCAAACTCTTCCTGTTTACCAGCTTAATGCGGATTTCAGTCAGGTCATAAACATGCAGTTTGGCACAGGAGAGAGCTGCTGCTGTGAAGAGATGCTGTTAATCCTGTTACTACTCAAAACACGCCTGTGTGTGAGGGTTCATGTTTTGAGGCTGGATTCACAATTCGCTGTATTTGGGTTAATACTAATTTTCTTCATTTAATTGTGTTGATTTTCGCTGTCTTCGCTGTATCTGCAGCATTTTTGCCTTTATTTTTCAAAGAGCTCTATAAAGTTAACGTGATCTGTTCTACTACTTAACACATGACTTAACTAAACATATGACTCAGGGCTGTCACAATATACCGACAAAAATAATAAAATAATGATGAGGATGATGATGATGGTGGTGGTGGTAATAATGACAATGCTGGAAATAAAGCAACCCCAAAATTTCAAAATAAAAGCGTATGAAGCAATCATTTTAATGGGCAATATCCTCTCCTGAGAAGTTTCTTTCACATGGCGGGTGATGTGTATAAATGATAAATCTGATTGCATTAAAACATATATTTAAATTTCCATAAATATCACAAGTGTATTGTCATTGTATATCATGAGGTGAAAATCTGATGACCTTAAAGCTGTATTAAGTTTACACTGAAAAAGCTTGGTGTGTAGTATTCGGTAGTATTTAGCAGAGACTTGGAAGAAATATGATATAATGTATATGAGGATGTTTAGAGTGAAAATCATTTTGCTTATGTTGACTTTGAATAAGTCTTTCATAAGAGCTGGTCAAAGGGTCATGGAGGCTGCCCTCTTGCACCACCAAGTTCCTACAGTAGCACATAATGGACAAACTAGTAACAAATGGGTATTTGTGTTTGGTGAGTGGCGCCACAAAATTCACCAGATGGAAGAAGAAAAGGGTGTTTGCTGCTGTGTGCAAAAGAATTTGATGGTAAAATGTTGAGGGACGAATGGAGGATCATTCTGATCATGCATCACAGCAGCTTCTTTGTCAAAGGGCCATCATCGCCTTTCCCTGCGAGACCTTTCTTATGAAACAGTCATTATTTTTCATTTGCACAATTCACCTATTGTGCAGCAACATGATCATATTGCACAACTGGTACTTTTACATGATACCTACACATTTTCCAGGTAGTACTCCTATTTAAATGGATATAAAACATTACATGTACTTGAAACAAAGTGTTTTGACTCAGTTGTGGTTTCGATATAAAATTTGGTCAGTAGATATTGCGAAATATTCCAATTTTACACTCTGTGCCTTCAAAAGTTGATCAATTACTTGTCAATAATCTAGATAATTCTGTAACTGCAGTCAAATGATTGGAATGAACTTCACAATAAAACAATTTTATGAGTAAAGGAAACTTAAACAATGGGACACTAAGTTTATAATGCAAATGAGCATCTCAAAAAGTGTTTCGGTGATATAATTCACTGTCGAACAACAGTAAGACACATCAATTTACATATGGTAAAAAGTTTCTTACCCAGCCATATGGAGTTGTGAAATATTCCGTTTTTGAAGCCCCATGCCTGAGCCTCTTTGAGCAGGAGGCAGAGAGCACAGAGTAGAGTGAAGACCTGCATCCTGCAGCCTGAGAGAGAGCAGTGACTCTGTGCAGAGGTTCGAGGAGCTCCACTGCTGCTGCTGCTGTCTTTATATAGACTGCCAGACCACTCACTCCTGCTGTCTTTTATACCACACACTCACTGCTGCTCTCGCCTCCAAACAGGGGTGAAGGGAGGGAAGTTTACCACAGTACTCAACATGACTAAACATGACATCCTCTTTTTATGTCCCACTCTCTGCCTCTTTTACTGGATTTTTACACCAAAATTCTGTGTCTGCCATCTATTTACTACAGCCTACATCCCAAAGACAGTTTGATGTCAACATGTTTAAAAAAGTTTGAGCACCTTGGACAACAGTTTCTTGAGTTTGTAAGATGATATGTTGTCACTGGCGATGGTCATTGTCTGGATGTCAGAAAATACCGCCCCTAAACCTGTATGTATTGTAAAGCATTAATGGAGCTTCACAGGTGTGTAAACTATCCATGCCATGGACACTTATGATCCCCACGCTGATTTTTGAACTGAGTTTTTTGTTTTTAGAAGCGATTTTGAGCCCATGTGGTGATTTCCACTACAGAGCCACATCTGTTTTTAATGCAGTACTGCCTGAGGGCCTGTAGATCGGGGCCACCCAGTATAAGTCTTAGGGCTCTATTTTGGTGCCTCGCCGGAGACGTGCCGCAAGCGCAGCGTCAGTCAGATCCGCCGCGCTGACAAGGCGTTCCCAAGCACATTTTGGTATTTTGGTGAGCCGCACAGCCCGGCGTAAGTATCCCCCCTCCCTAACTCAGCTCCTCCCAGCACCATAAGTCGTGAAAGGGCGTGTAGTTGGTTTAACACAGCCGAGACCTGTTTTCACCAAACACATAGGCTCCTCTCCTTGCCTTTAAATCCGCCACAGGCGAGGCGTATTACTATTTTCATGGAGTAGTCAAAGAGATCAAGAGATGTCTTAAGACAGTAATGCCACAAGATGGCGACAGAGGGCAGCTCCTCAACAAGTGTCCTCCACACTCTCTCATATGAGCACAGATGGATTTAGTGTGCGTAATGTTGGACCCACTGGTAAGACAAACACCCGTTTCCACAAATAAAGAAACTCACATAAAGTTGCTCATATTCAAACCTCACGTGACAAAGGTGGGTTGAGCGCACGGATCACAACATAAACTCCAAAAATGGCATTAAAATCGGAACCATCTGTGCGTAAATGACGCATCGCGCTCCGTGGCCTGGCTCTTTCTTTCATAGATGTTGGCATATAAAATAAATTTGGCTCACAAAACTGAATATTATAATATTCGTATGTCGGCTTAAAGTAGATAACGCATCTGAGCACTGAAACAAATCATCTGTTCAGCCGCAGCAGCAAGCAAGACGGACAGAGGACACGGAGACGTGTCCAGGTCGAGCTGTGCGAGAAATAAGAGGAAGAGGAAGAAAGAAAAGGAGGGAGACGAATTACATATCTTGTTAACTTCATCATGTGTGTTTATTTACTAGATATTTAATTTAATTTGATGCGGTTTCAGCTGTGTTGATTCGGTCAGGTTGTGTGTCCAAACGCGTGCCAAACGCGCTCATCAGATCAGATATAGATCAGAATATATCGATATAGATCTAAATGTATGTGCTGACTCAGATTAATAGTTGATGATGATTATTTATTGCACTGAAATGTGCCTGACACTGTGGAAACCTGCCGGTGAGGCATCAGTGACGTATGTCGATACGCCGCCGGTCTACCAAAATACTACAAGACCAGCTGCGTTCCGCCTTGCGCTGAAAGCTGACCAGGTTTGAATCGGCGAGTTTTCAGCGCACTTTACACGCCGTTGGCGAGCACGAAAATGTCACTGCGCCAGCTGATTCTGTCGACACCTCCCCCTGCCACGCCACCACGCCCAGCTTGGCGGATCTCGGCTCGCCTCCGTGCGGCTCATGCCACGAAAATACCAAACTCGCCTTACGCCGGGCTCCGCCAGACGAAAATACAACTGCGCGGGGCTCGCCGCCCTCCGCCGCCTCACCGGCGCGAACGAAAATAGAGCCCATAGTCTTTGACCTTTTTGGACAAAGATTCCTCCAGATTCTCTGATTCTATTAACAAGATCACGTTCTATAGACAATGAAATCCACAATTTTAAGCTGAGGAACATCACCCTGAAATTGTTTGCACACACAGTCTTTCACAGAGTGCTGAACCTCTTCCCATCTTGCTTCCAAGTGACTCAGCCTCTCTGAATTCCCATTTAAAACATAGTCATGTAACCCATCTGTTAACCAAATTCAACTTTTTTGTAACCTGCTGAAAAAGTGTTGTTGCTCTTCTGTCAACTCCTCTTGATTTTTTGACAAAAAAAAAAGGCATCAACATGTAACTGTTCGGCAGAGAAATATCTTCAAATAACTGAGAAGAATCTGCCTGATTATCTGAAGTGTAGAATTACTTATCCACCCAATCCTTCAAATGTGGTGACTGCTGGCTCCAAACAATCAGGACAGTAACCATCTTTTGACTTTTCTCAGAAATTAAGCATTTTCTGTCCAGCTCCCCAGCAGATTCATGTCAGCTTGGTTGCTCAACAGCACAGACCACAAGAGGCTGGGGAGTGGGGTGGGGGGGTCTCTTAGTGAAGTGAAAAGTGTGCAGAACCATCTGTGAAGCTTTTCCAGATGTTAGATGTCCCTCACGACTACAATAACAGAGTACGTCACCAAGGACGCACTGTGAGCTGAAAGTAGGACAGTGTTTGACCAACTGGTTGAAACAAACTAGGTGTCTTCACAGTTGAGCAAATTCTCAGAAAAACTTATTTTGTTGTGTGTGGAGCACTACTAGAAATGTTACAATGCACCACAAAAATAAAATTGATATGTAGAAAATATTTAAATTTATTCTAACCTTTTCTTTCTCCGAGACTTAAATAACTAAAACTGGTAGGGTTGCCTTTAGCATCTTTCATCTCATGTTTTTTAATGGCTATAACTGCTTTTGCAACTTCAATCAATGTACAAAAACTACTTTTCATATCTCTGTATCTTCTGTAGGACTATTTTGTCTTTTGTTTGTTTATTTTCTTCATTTTCCTTCTGTAAAGGTTTTGTTAACCATCTGGCTGCCTACAACATTTACGCTAACTGTGCATGTGCGGGACATTCGAGCCAGTTTAGGTCCAGTTGAGGTGTACATGGAAGAGAGAGTCAATTTACAACAGGATAATCCACCTACTGAGCATTTTTTGGTCTAAAAGAGGTCTAATAGACGTCTAAATGTAGCCTAGACGACTGGTCTACAATCAGGCTACCACAGGTGTAAAAATGAAGGTTTTTAAAACGTCAAAATTTAGACCAAGTTTGCACTAAATCAAAATCTGGGCTATATCTATACTACACTGAATATTGCTCAATGGCTATCATAATTATGTTGGTTGAGTACTTGGACATCAGTTATGCAACTCACAGTTGCTTTTTGAAATAAATAGTTATCGAATAATGGGTTAAAGTGCAATGTCTAAATTTCATCTAAAAATATACAGAATCTAGATGGTTGAAATTAGCTCTGAAAAAAACTAGATGTCTAATAGCGGTCTCCTGCTCAGTGGACAGGTATCTAAGTCTGATTTATTTATTTCTTGTTTCCGTTCTTAAAAATAAATAAAATATCTTTTAAATCAGTGGGTTGTGATGCAGCATAAACTTCTTTAGGACTCTCATGCATCCTACTGCAACAACCTGCTCACTATACATCCTTTTCTTTATATTACATCAGTTACTTAATGATGTTTCAGTGCATGAGTTACAATCAGTTATAGCTGTTTTATTCTTTGTGGCTTTGCTTCCAGACGCTGTAAATTCAAGTTTAACTTGATTTTTTATAAAACAACATATATCAGCTCTAAGTTTGTTAGGTGGAGTTTCAGTGTGGGTTGAAAACTGTGCATAACACAGTAAACTTGATGTCAAACAATGAGCTAATTTAAACAGTTTAAATTGAGTTTATCAGCCTTTTAATAACAAACTCTGGAGGATGTTTAGATGTGGTGCTGTAAGGGCACAGTACACAGTGTGATTACACAGTTTGAAACATGATACAAGCCTTTTAAAGAAATTGCAGGTTGATGTAGGAGGGTGCACAAACACAAACAAACACTCACACATGCACACACATACACATGTTGGGTTAAATTATCCTGAATCGGTTCCAGATCTGGGAGGAAATGATCTGTACCGTCTTAATTCTCAGCAAGCCTCTCCCATTCAAACCCACACATGGAAAGTCTGTCTCAGTGGCAGTCATTGTGACACACTGAATATTACATCTGCTTTAACTAGATATCCATCATCATTTCCATGTGCGCTACAACTACTGGTGACACAGCTCTGAGTGAGTGAGTGAGCAGCCTGTTAAATGATTAAACAAAAATAGACGACCATGAAATGAAATGATCAACTCTGCTGACATCATGTCTGTCATGAGAGTTATAAATTCAAAAATACGCATTACATGTCCTCAGAAAAAAGGGCAGCACACTAGAGTTTAGCAGAACTCATAAAATAAACAGTATTTTTAATAAAGTGTTACAAAAGTGAAGACAACTTAACCACTACATTTTCCACAATGTCCAACTAACTTTTTCATTAGTTTCTTTGTAAGTAGTTGGTTTAAAAGAGTTTAATTTGTTGGAAATGAAACTGAACTGAGCTATAAAGTGCTTAAAAACGGGAAACTTCACATTGTGGAGGTAATATTCTGCTCAATTTGAAGCTTTATTTAATACTTCTGATTTCTCTGCAATTGCTTTACATGATCTACAGCTCAGAAAAAACTTCACCTGTCTCAGCTGGTGTCTCAGCTTTTGTTTCTTCAAGATAAAATAACAAAAACCATCCAAAACTCACCCCTTAAAACAGTTGAATTATTGATTATTGAGGTTTATTTGACCTATGACGTGGAAAACTGTAAAAGTACATGATGGTGAGTGGTGAATTTTTGACTTGGGTTCAGTAGGTGACCAAAAGTCAAGACCCAAGAGTAAATTTTTCTATCAACTTGTCTCATTATGCAGCTTCTTAAAAGCTGTCATTTTACTATCATTAAGTTCAATTATCTATGATTTTAATATGAAACATATGTGATAATTTTAAGGTAAAGTTTTTTTTCTGT